TTCAGATGCAGGGATTGAACACATGATTCCTCGATTACAAACAAATGATTTGCATTTTAGACAAGTGTATTTTGTCAAATCATTGCACACGATGCAAATGCTTTCCATTTCTCCAACACAATAGTCAATGATGAGTCACGTTTCTTTAGGTGTTAGATATGATGTTCTATTATTATTTTACTGACTGATTTTAACTCCTTATTAACTAATTGCCGAATACGTCAAACGTTTCGGCAACACATATTCTACCACTCAAGTTTTGCCAACAGAAAACATTGTGCGGGAAATCAACGCACATGGCTCTGTTAAAATATTTCAAAAAGGTTTCCCAAGACGATATTTCGGTCGCGTCGTCTGACAGCAAATTAAATGCTGCCGAAGAAAATGCAGTAAAACAGCAATTATTTCTTGACGCTCCAGAACCAAAGAAAAGGAGGGGCAAATATGGAGCAAATGATGCTTTTCAACGAGCAGAAATTGCAAAATGGGGAATTGTGCATGGAATAAGACCGGCGACAAGAAAGTATTCCGTACCAGAGTCAACTGTTCGTGGACTTGTCAAATCGTACAATAAGGAACGAAAAGAGCGCACTGAACTCGAACAATGCCAAGAAAACATTGTGGAGCAAAAACTTTGTTACCCGAGAACATCGACGAGAAAGTTATCGCCATGATCAAGAGCATGAGAACGGCCGGTTGTGTTGTCAATTACAACATTGCTATTTTCATAGCGAAGGGGATAGTACTGGCTAATGATCGGTCTTTGTTGAAAGAAAACGGAGGAACCCTAGAATTCCACTATACATGGTGCCAGTCCATTTTCAGAAGATTGGGTTTCAGTAAACGTAGAGCAACAACTGCAAAACAACCCGTATCACCTGGCTTTAAAAGAAATTCGCTTCACGTTTCATCGTTCTATTAAGGAAGTGGTTACCGCTTATGACGTTCCCGACGATCTCATTATAAACATTGACCAGACGCCTAAATTCAGATTTCCAAAAGGATTCCACGTTACCCACACGGAAAATCATTGGTCAAATGAAACGAAAGCAATTGAATTAGTCAATCGCATTCTTATCCCCTATGTTAAGCAAATTAGAGAAGAGCTTGGTTTTCGCGCAACAAAACAATGGGTTTTGATCGCCGATGTTTTTAAAGCACATAGGACGGATGCCGTAAAGAAGATCATTTCCGACAATAATGGGAAGATGATACCTGTTCCCAATAATATGACATCATACCTGCAGCCCTTAGATTTAACGGTCAATCGCTCTTGCAAAGCTTTCCTTCGAAACCAGACGCAAACATGGTACTCAGAGCAAGTCCAAGCCCAAATAGAGAAAGGTATTCAACCTGATAAAGTTTCTGTTGATTTGAGAATTAGCGTGCTCAAACCACTTCACGCAAATTGGATAGTGCAGTTCTATGATTACATGCAATCGAACAAGCACATTGTCGTCAAAGGTTGGCAACGATCAGGTGTGAGCGCCGCATTGGAGGAACCACAACGAAAAGAGGATCCATTTGAACTGTAGCTAAACTTTTGTTTGACTTATAAAGTATATTACAAAATAAAACAAAATAATGTGTAATATTTCGTCTTTATTCCAAAGACATCATAAGTCTGATGATGTCTTTGGAATAAAGACGAAATATTACACATTATTTTGTTTCAAACTCTTGTAATATCTTGAATATCAAGAAAACGAGATGTCCCTCTTCGGACTTTGCTTTATTTTGAATTATTTGAAATTGTCTGCTTGTCCTGGTTATAAAGTATATTATTAGGCAATATAATTTATTACATTTTTTAGTTCTTGTTGGGATAGTGAACTCACGCTTTATTTTGAAGCCATTTTTGAGGCCACCCAATCGCTATTTTGATGAATATTGAGGTATTTCTTAATAAAGAAAGCTCAATATATATGCGTTAATTATTAATAGTTCTTTTGAACAAACCAAAAAGAACAAGCACATAAAACTACTTGCGCGAATTTAAAGCTTCGCGAATAATTGTCAACAAAGTGCGCGAAATTAAATCGCGCGAATTTAAAGCTTCGCGAATAATTGTCAACAAAGTGCGCGAAATTAAATCGCGCGAATTTAAAGCTGAGGGAAAATGAGTACGACTCGAATTTTAATACAAGTAAGGTAGAGGTTGAGTTCTTAATAGCATATAGTGATTTATTGTGACTTCTAAGTTAACTGCCGTATTTTATATGGTCAGTCACAGAAATTAATTTACACAAAGTTAATCATTTCATATTATAAAATAAAAACAATAAAACGCGTGCGGTGATTGGTGTAGAGAGGTGTTTGCATTGACCTCGGAGACGTTTGTGAGAACTCTCGAGCATGTGCGATCCTCGACCTTCGGTCTCGGGCTTGCACTGATCTGCTCTTGAGTTCTCCCAAAGGTCTCCTCGGTTTGCATATTGCTTTATCCAACAACTATAAACAACTATGACCTAATAATATCCAATAACAGTTTTACAACCACCAGTACTTCAACGGACTAACTTCAACTGAATTTGAAAACTACTCTCTCTAGCTGTTATGAATTGTCACTGTTTTTATCTTTAACGGGGTAGATGTATCAGCAAATTGATGATGCGGCCATGGGCAGTCCATTGGGCCCACTCTTTGCTGATATATTTATGTCTTTTCACGAACAATCCTGGCTGAATCAATGTCCTTCTTCATTCAAACCACTACTTTACCGACTCTACATTGACAACTGTTTCTTACTTTTTCATTCCTCCGGTCACGTCCCCCTCTTTCTTGACTATCTGAACCAACAACACGCGAACATAACATTAATAGCTGAAGTCGAACAAAGCAGGAATGTAAAATTCACCACTTCTGTTTACCGCTAGCCTACTTTCACTGGCCTCTTTACCAACTGCCACAGCTTATGCAAACTTTCACTAGTCTCCTGTTTACTTCACCACATCTTCAACCTCTGTTCTACTTACTAAAATTTTCACACGCAACTCGACTTTACCAAAAAGTCGCTCACCAAAAACGGTTTTCCTTCACGCATATTTGACAAAATCACACGTTGTTTCCTTACCAACACCTTTGCCCCCAAACCACTTGTCTTAACTGCTCCCAAAAAGCCCATCTATCTTAGTCTTCATTTCACAGGCATGCACTCCCTTCAAATTTGCACACAATCAATAACCTTTGTGCTGCAGCCTTTTCACATGTATCCATTAAATTGTTTTCCGCCCTTCCCAACGTATCTCTTCTTTCTTCTCCTCTAAGGACAAAATTCCGAAACTTCTGAGATCTGGTGTAGTCTATTTAAGTGTCGAAGCTGCAACGCCTCGTATGTGGGTCAAACCACACGTAATCTACACACCAGATTTTCGGAGCGCTTGGGAATATTCCCCCTATTGAGCATTTTTGCTCGCATTAACGCAACTGGACACACCTTCAACCTAGATAACTTTAAAATAATTTCCTCTCCTCATGATTCCTATGAACTCTCCATTCAGGAGAGGATCCTAATCAATAAACACAAGCCTTCACTTAAAATGCAAGGAAGCTCCATTAGACTTAACCTTTTTTATTATATGGCAAGTGTCACTTCCGGCAAAATGGCGCGCTTTGATTGGCTCAGAAACATTTTTGCCGATCCATTATTTTCCCTTAATCGACCACGGTCCAAAACGCGTAATTTTACAGTCAAATGTAAACAAACTTCGTAATGCAAACAGCAAAACGCAAAATAAACGAAACAAAACCATTTACGAATGTGATTCGAAGGAAAAACACTTGGAAAACAGTTTAACTATCCAGACAATACAGTTTGAAACGATTTATTTTTATGGACGAAAACTAGAAAAGTGAAAGCCAACCTGTAAAGACAGCAAGGACGAAAAAAAGAAAGCTTCGTTTCAGGTCCAATAATGCCATATAATAAACCTTTTAATGACCTCGCTTTCTCGATCTTTACTGAGAAATATTGGACCTGTATCTTTTTTATAAACCTCGCCCTACGGGCTCGGTCTGTACAAAAAGACCTCGGTCCGATATTTCTCCGTAAAGACCTCGCGCTTGGTTGTTAAGTTAACTATTACTTGTCTGAAGATGTCTTGAGTAAAGACGAAACGTCCCAATAAATTCAATTTCATATCCTTTTAACATTTTTTTGGTTTATCTCAATGGCTCTATTTAAAGCTTTATGTTGGGCATTAATTTTTATCATACGAATTCGATTTCCGCTCTGCACTTCTCTCGCTACTATTTTATATAATGACCTCATCAAACAACATTTGAATGTTAACCTTCCAAATCCTCTTCCTTGTGAACAAGACAAGTTTACTCAAAAGGAGAGAGTCTTACACTACAAGTCCCGGGCTTGTGACCGATATAGCAGAGTTAAAAGGTAAAAGGTTTATCATAGATTAATCAACTGAATATTTCTGTTCATTTTTGTTGGTAAACATGTTAAACAATTCATATAACCAAAGCTCGAATTCCATATTAAATATACAGTAACATATTTGGGATGCTTTCACTGAAGGGCAATGGTGTACGTATTGTCTAACGTTAACATAGGATTATATTACTGTATACTCAACATGGAATTTCAGCTCTGTCCATATGAACTGTTTAACTTCTATACTGGTCATTAACCGGTGACTTGTATGTAGCGCAAGGCTCTCTACTTTTGAGTAGACATGTCTCATATATATAATAGGAAAATAGGTAATATACACCCTAATTTGCAATAGATGTTATATGGTTAGTATACTAAAATCAAAAACATACCCTGGTATGGTATATGAAAGTCACCCATGGCCATATCACAGAAACCACATTTATAAAAATAATATATGACCATATATGACATGCAATAGTCGTTTGCATAAATACTGTATAAAACAACCCCCAGCACATACAAAATTCCAAAAAGAATGCAGGGGGTTTGCTGATCAAATATCGGTTTACACCTTAAAGATTGAATTTTTTCCGATCAAATACATGACCAATTTTTAATTTTAAAGTAAATTTTATTGCGCTCAATAATATGTCAAACTACGTTCGCTTATCGCGAAAATTTTTTGTTAAAGAAACTTATCTAAAGTCGCTTTGGTAGTCTACGCTTGTCGAGAGTGAAGCAATTCCGACGGGTTTTGTACGTTGAAGTTCAGAGAAAACGGGTTGAGTTGCACAATACAAGTCAAAATATACAAAAAAGGTGGCAGCTCCGACCAGTTCTCCTTCACCGTTTCACGCAAATTTTCGTTTATGACGTCTATGATGACGATTGCTGTATACCTAAAATCGAGAACATTCATCAAAACAAAAAACTCTATTACTAATTAATCGACGGAAGGCTACCTTGTATGACTAAAGGTAAATACTCCATTTCCATCAATTCCTATAAAAATGAAAATAAAAATGAATTGGTGGTCTACAGGTTGTTGCGATAGCGGGCTGTGGTGAAAACAGGGCTGTCACACATAAACTGCACAGGTAACAAGATGAAAATATGAAATCGGATTTTAAACATGATATTTTTGCACATTGAGCCGCTCGCTACTATGATATATCTAGAAGTTGTCTACTGGCGGAAGCTTTTCAAGTTGCATCCGTTTAAACACGGCAGATTTTTTTTTTGGGGGTTAACAGGAAAACACGGGTAAACGGGTAGATTTTTTTACAGGTGGATTATGTAAGATGCGCACAATTTCCTTATTGGTAATTTTGATTCGTTGATGACTACAACGACATTCTTTTGAAAATGTGCCAAAAATGAACATTTCAGAAAAGATATCGCAAAAAAAAAACATTCAAAATTTGCAAGCATGCATGTATATGTCCGTGTGTCTGCAGCAGGCAGGCAGATTTGGTCGAGTGGTTTTGGACAGCACTTGCAACAATGGTCAACCTCTCTTAGGATTAATTTGCTTGCCTGCAAAACGTAAACAAGGCAAGTCATCTATATATTTCGATTTCGAATATCGTTATGCTCAAGCACTTGACGAATGTCAAGCAGTTGAAGATGAACACAAAACAGTTACACGTTTACCCAACAAAGACCTTTCTCTCACCACAAACAATAATTTTTGAAATCGAAACGTATATTCTAGTTTACATCAAAGTATGGGGACTATAGGTGGATTTCATGTTACGTCACGTCAGCCATGTTTGTGGTCAAGTACAAAAGAATATTTTATTAATACTATAGTTGGCACCAGCGGACGTGGGAGGGTTACATTGTCTCATAATTCCCTAGAGATTAGCTGCAATCCAAGAATAAAAGAAGAGTATCACGGGAAAGATACATGCATGCTTGCAAATTTTGAATGTTTTTTTTCGTGAAATCTCTTCTGAAAATGTTTATTTTTGGCACAATTTTCAAAAGAATATCGCTGTAGTTATCAACGAATCTAAATAAACAAAAAGGAAATATTGCGCATCTTAGGGCATTTGTGACTTTGCCGTTCTTCATTATCGTAGGCTTTATGTTCCAATAACGAGTTTTACTTAGGCGCTAACGGCAAACGGTAAGCCGCGAAATATCACGTGATCATGGCTTGCGTTTTTTACGTTGCGGTTTTGCGTTTCAGTTTTAAGCGGGAAGAGACCCTTCTCGCGGTAGGTGATTTGTACCGCAAGCTTTTAGGTGCTGTTAATACAACCAAGTGACGTTTATGGCTCAATGTATTTATTTTATGTGAGTATACATCAATTGCATCGAGTTCTTTGAAAATTTCTTTGTCATCCAAGTTTTTTTCTGGGCAATGGCGATGGCGAAAACCGATCAACTCTTTTAACATTTCAACGTACGTTATAGCAAAACAGAATAAGCAAAAAAAACAGCAAAGAATATAAATGTATATGTTACTTGAATCTTCGTTGTCATTATGCGATTAACCGAAGCAATTAGTTTTGTTTACTTAAAGAGCAGTAGGATATAAATTAACATTCTGCTTGAGATTCAAAGAGAAACCTTCTGAGGCACAGAGTTTCGTGAGAGTAGTGTGTGGGTTGTTTAATCATTTCCTTCGTATACATTAGGTTAGAGTTGAGTTTGCTCTCCGCATTCACAGTTCACCGTCTTGAAAATATTTTATGTGTTTACTAAACTTATTCTTGCTTTTCGGCTAAGGATTTACTGTGAGTTAGTAAGAAAATTATTTTGTATATATTTTTGCCGTCTTTGGAAAATTTGAATTCACACCATTGACTAGGTAATGCTGCTACTGCCGGGCAAGTGGATTCATGAGTCATGTCTTTCATGTCGGATTTTCATTTTTGGATTTCTTACAAAAAAAGTATATGTTTTGATGATTCTATTGTGCATGGATCAAGCCAGTGTGAATCAGCAAAGGACAATCGATAGTACTTGCAAATATTTCTTTATTATCTTACAATATAACAAAAATGTCTAAAATGTAAATTTTAGATTTAAAATAAGTAAGGTCGACGAGACATTCAGCCAAGCACCACGCTATTGTTCAAAAATTCGATATAATAAAAAATTATCCGTTGTATGTCTTCATTTGAAACAAAATTCCCTGCATGGCACTTCAATCTTTTAGGTATTTTGAATAATCTACGTCCTTCTTTAGCTTCTCCCGATTCCTTGCATTTTCACACATCCTAATGGCGGACCAAATTTTGGGATCTTTTTCGAAATGTTCCCGAATGAATTGAGACAGGACAAAGCTGTGGAAACTTCCTGCGCCGATGGCAATAAGAAAGTCGCTTTTGCGCATTAACATGACATTAGTGATGGATATGCTGCTTGGAGAGATTGCGTCAACTTTACCTGTTGCTTTGGGTGAATACAGAACTGCACCACTTATCTGAGCCAAGTATTCCTCGTGACCTGGGTCAGCGGCGCCACCACTGCCGTACTTGGTCATGTCTGTAGACAAGTATATCGACTTTACACCTCTCTTCTTTTTCAATGCGTCGACGATTTTCATCGCCAGTTGAAAACAGCGATTTACGGTGGATGGAAGTGCTCTGATATGGCCAGTTCGCATATGTATGGCAACATACGGTCTTTGAAGAAACATTTTGGTAAATTTGTCCACCTCTTTTAAGATTATATCACTTGGGTTGAGAGCATAAAGAAAGAGCTCGTCAGGACTTAGACCGCCAGGTTTCCTCAGTTTGGAAAGGCCATGGTCACCGTAATAGCCGATTTCGATACACTTCGCATTTTTAAGTAATGTGTTTCTTATTGTCGATACATTAAAATTAGCTGTGATGCATATCATCTTACGCTGCTCGAGGTTCACAGAAAAGCGTTGTAGAGCTTTCTTGTTCTCACTGCAGTCAATCCAACCTTTGCTATTCTTACTATATAGACGATCAGCGATTGACTTTGTGTAGCGAAGTAATTTTGACTTACCATTCTGATTGAAGGCTATCAGAACATAAATTTCTTTTTCATTTTCACACGCTTTGTCGTATTCATTGTCTAATACCACAGGCGGTAAATTATTTCGAGCAAATGCTTTGTTTAGATCGTGAATGTTGTAAATTGACTCAAACGTGTCCGGACCATTGCTTACTGCTGCCCTGTCCTTGAAATGCGGAGCGACGAGTTTAAAGTTCTCAAGTCCTGGAAAATTCACCATTCCGAAAAAGATTCGCATTTGTTTGGATAATTCTTCTCCGTAGATGTGGACTTTGAGATAGCGAGTCCATTTTTGTGCGTGTTTATTTTCACTACCCTTCATCACCTTCACTCTCTTGGCTACATCAAACGATTCATTTCTTACGTAATAATCAAACGCGAAACTTTCGCCGAACAGTTTGTATTTTCCGTTATTGTTGATGTTGACAGTTACTGCTTTGCCACCTTCGTATGTGGCAATTGTATCGAATACTTCGACAATTTGTTGGTCATCCAAGTTCGCTCTGGGCAACGGCGAAGGGAGAGCGTTGTTGCTTTTAACATCAGGGAAATTTGAGTGTATGTTATACCAAAAAAGAAGCAGACAAACAAACATAACAAATACAATCGTATGTTGTTTATGAATCTTCATTTTTACTTCTAACAACTAAATATATTTATCTTGAGTACATAATTAGCGGTATCTACTCAGGCGTAGAATTCTGTCCTCTAGCCCTTGTATTCGCTCTCACGAGATAATCGTTGAGGCAATTCGTTTTTTGCCTATAAGTATTTATATTGGTTAGAAAAATGAGTTTATATAGAGAAGTGCATCAAATAGCTACATTCAATTACAGACTTAAAAGTGGATTGTTCTGGAAACTTCCTTTACCAAGCGCTATGTAGCTTTCCTAGTACAACTGCGACTTCATGACTGATTATCTTTAAACACTTAAAAAGTCGATTACTTCAATCGGGAAAACTGGAACTTTAGAGAAAAACTTAATATAAAACTTCGGAATGCAGGAAGCGCTTTTCCCAATGTATACATATTTAATTTATTACAGAGGTAGTATAGACCTTATTTTCTTTAGTGTTATTGTCAGGAATTAATACTGTTCTTGTCAACAGGAGAATCATGTGTCACATGGAAAAACCGTACGAGGAGGCAGATTTGTTACTTTTGAAGTTGAACGGTTGCCCCTGAATGCGAAGTCTATTTTTTGACCAAAGAACTCCATGCTGTCTTACATGAAGTATATGTCTGTAAAGTTTTTAATTTTAAAGACAACTTTTGGAAATGTCGGTCGCTCCGTTTCCTTTCGTGTCATTTTCAAAAAAAATGTGCTGCATTTCACCGAGTCAAAACCATTTATGCCGTCACAGAGAAATAACTAAAGATATACGCCATGATGGCGAAGCTATATCGTAGAAAAAGTAATTTGAATTATTTAGAAGTAATACTTGAGTATTTTTGCTAAGTTTTTGTGTCAAACTAAACTTGTTCGTGACAATTTTACTTTGCTCATGTGCGTAGGCGAACGTAAGTTCGTCAATGGCGAAATGTGGCAACATATTTTTATGATAAAACCATTTGTTTTGACCGTAAACCTTGCCATAGTTGGACATTGTTGTACCAAAATGATGTAATTATGTAATTATATGTGTAATTACGTATGTATGTGTCTAGCAGTTATTTCCATTGGTTATTGTTGGTTGTTTAGACTGAGATTTGGCCATTCAGATTCAAGAAATAGTTGAAGACGAATGTATTTTATTGTTTAAGTAACTAGGGTATTTAACATTTTTATGGCTAGTTATGTCAACAATAAAGAGTTTAGAAAAACTCTGATTTCCTTCAAAGATTTCTTTTTTCTGTTCTACAAACAAGCATCCTATGAGAATATGTAAAATCTTTGTCAAAAATTTAAAAAATGAAGTATCAGAACACGTGATACTCAAGAGTATGAATTAGCTTTACTAAACTCTAGTCGTGCTCATTTAGAGATAGAGGTTGAGTTCTTTATAGCATTTAGTGATTTACTATGACTTCTAAGTTAACTGCCGTATTTTATATGGTCAGTCACAGAAATTGAATTACACAAAGTTAATCATTTCATATTATAAAATAAAAACAATAAAACACGTGCGGTGATTGCTCTAGAGCCGTGTTTGCATTGACCTCGGAGACGTTTGTGAGAACTCTCGAGCATGTCCACCCCTTGATCTTCGGTCTCGGGCTTGCACTGATGTGCTCTTGAGTTCTCCCAAAGGTCTCCTCGGTTTGCATAAGCCCGTGAAAACACAGTAAACATCTTTTATTTCTTAAATGTACTACTGTTGGTTTGTAGCAAGCATGGTATGCTAGGAAACACAAATAAAATTAGCATATTGCTTTATCCAACAACTATAAATAATTATGACCTAATAATATCCAATAACAGTTTTACAACCACCAGTACTTCAACGGACTCACTTCAACTGAATTTGAAAACTACTCTCTCTAGCTGTTATGAATTGTCACTGTTTTTATCTTTAACGGGTAGATGTACCAGCAAATTGATGATGCGGCCATGGGCAGTCCATTGGGCCCACTCTTTGCTGATATATTCATGTCCTTTCACGAACAATCCTGGCTGAATCAATGTCCTTCTTCATTCAAACCACTACTTTACCGACTCTACATTGACGACTGTTTCTTACTTTTTCATTCCTCCAGTCACGTCCCACTCTTTCTTGACTATCTGAATCAACAACACGCGAACATAACATTCATAGCTGAAGTCGAACAAAGCAGAAAACTATCACTCTCGCACAAATGGAAAATTCACCACTTCTGTTTACCGCTAGCCTACTTTCACTGGCTTCTTTACCAACTGCCACAGCTTATACAAACTTTAACTAGTCTCTTGTTTATTTCACCGCATCTTCAACCTTTGTTCTACTTTCGAAAATTTTCACACGCAACTCGACTTTACTAAAAAGTCGCTCACCAAAAACGGTTTTCCTTCACGCATATTGGACCAAATCACACGTCCCTTCCTTACCAACACCTTTGCCCCCAAACCACTTGTCTTAACTGCTCCCAAAAAGCCCATCTATCTTTGTCTTCATTTCACAGGCATGCACTCCCTTCAAATTTGCACACAATCAATAACCTTTGTGCTGCAGCCTTTTCACATATATCTATTAAATTGTTTTCCGCCCTTCCCAACGTATCTCTTCTTTCTTCTCCTCTAAGGACAAAATTCCGAAACTTCTGAGATCTGGTGTAGTCTATTTAAGTGTCGAAGCTGCAACGCCTCGTATGTGGGTCAAACCACACGTCATCTACACACCAGATTTTCGGAGCGCTTGGGAATATCCCCCCTTACAGGCAACCAAGTTTCTCGCCCTGCGTTGTCGAGCATTTTTGCTCACATTAACGCAACTGGACACACCTCCAACCTAGATGACTTTAAAATAATTTCCTCTCCTCATGATTCGTATGTACTCTCCATTCGGGAGAGGATCCTAATCAATAAACACAAGCCTTCACTTAAAATGCAAGGATGTTCCATTCCTCTTAACCTCTTTTATTATATGGCAAGTGTCACTTCCGGCAAAATGGCGCGCTTTGATTGGCTCAGAAACATTTTTGCCGATCCATTATTTTCCCTTAATCGACCACGGTCCAAAACGCGTAATTTTACAGTCAAATGTAAACAAACGTCGTAATGCAAACAGCAAGACGCAAAATAAACGAAACAAAAAACCATTTACGAATGTGATTCGAAGGAAAAACACTTGGAAAACAGTTTAACCATCCAGACGATACAATTTGAAACGATTTATTTTGTATGGACGAAAACTAGAAAAGTGAAAGCCAACCTGTTAAAGACAGCAAGGACGAGAAAGAAAGCAAGCTTCGTTTCAGGTCCAATAATGCCATATAATAATCCTTTTAATAACCTCGCTTTCTCGATCTTTACTGATAAATATTGGACCTGTGTCTTTTTGTATAAACCTCGCCCTACAGGCTCGGTCTGTACAAAAAGACCTCGGTCCGATATTTCTCCGTAAAGACCTCGCGCCTGGTTGTTAAGTTAACTATTACTTGTCCGAAGATGTCTTGAGTAAAGACGAAACGTCCCAATAAATTCAATTTCATATCCTTTTAACATTTTTTTGGTTCATCTCAATGGCTCTATTTAAAGCTTTATGTTGGGAATTAATTTTTATCATACGAATTCGATTTCCGCTCTGCACTTCTCTCGCTACTATTTTAAATAATGACCTTATCGAACACATTTGAATGTTAACCTTTCAAATCCTCTTCCTTGTGAACAAGACAAGTTTACTCAAAAGGAGAGAGTCTTACACTACAAGTCCCGGGCTTGTGACCGATATAGCAGAGTTAAAAGGTGAAAGGTTTATCATAAATTAATCAACTGAATATTCCTGCTCATTTTTGTTGGTAACCATGTTAAACAGTTCACATAGCCAAAGCTCGAATTCCATATTAAATATACAGTAACATATTTCGATGGCTGTAAGTGGGATGCTTTCACTGAAGGGCAATGGTGTACGTATTGTCTAACGTTAACATCGGATTATATTACTGTATACTCAATATATTAATCCTATTAATATACTATGTATATATTCTTACTGTATACTTAACAAGGAATTTCAGCTCTGTCCATATGAACTGTTTAACTGCTATACTGGTCATTAACCGGTGACTTTTATGTAGCGCAAGGCTCTCTACTTTTGAGTAGACATGTCTCATTCGCATGAAAGAGGGGAGGAAGTTTAACCACAGAATAGGCATCTAACAGAAGACTCACTCGGCTGAAATAGTGGCTTATTTTTTCGGCAAGTGGCTTATTTATTGCACGAGAATGCTATTTTACTAATAATTACCGCTTAAAGCAAAAGTTTGCCGAAATTTTTACAAAGAGTTATCATCTTGCGAAGACGATAAGGTTCCAAGCCTTTGTAGTGCAATACGATAAATTTGTAAAAAACATCTATATTTTCTATTGCGATCTAGCGGAAGTATCTTGCTGGAAGGCGTGTCTGCTTAGAATTTGCTTCAGAAAAAGTGGGGGGACACAAACATCAATGGTTCGACACGAGTGGACCTTCTGTTAAGATAGTCTATTCTGTGGTTTAACATTCAAATGTTGTTAGATAAGGTTCATTATTGTTTCTAGTTGTTGGATAAAGCATTATGCTATTCTTTTTGTGTCGTTTCATAACATTCCAACTATTTAACCTTTTATGCCATATATATAGTTGGCAAGATAGGAATATACACCCCAATTTGCAATAGATATTATATGGTTAGTATACTAAAGTCAAAAACATACCCTGGTATGGTATATGAAAGTCACCCATGGCCATATTACAGAAACCACAGTTATAAACATAATATATGACCATATATGAATGCAATAGTCCGTTTGCCATAAATATTGTATAAGACAACCCCAGCACATACAAAATTCCTAAAAGAATGCAGGGGGGAGAGGGTTGCTGATAAAATATCGGTTTTCACCTCAAAGAAACATTTTCTCTCCCCTCCCAATTTTCGGCTTCACAAATTGCTCTTGTCTTTGTAGGTTCAGAGAGAAAGACCCTGCGAAATCTTATCAATTACGTAAATATTACCGTTAATTGGACCACTCCTCGGTTAAAGGTACGGTTACGTAAGCTGGGGTTTTGCTGCATGTTGTAACTTTTGAAAAATTTAGTCGCGATGTATGTCGGACATGAGCTTGTGAAGCCGTGGATGTTCGCGTATCCGTACATCCGCAACTTTTTGAGTGTGGATGTGGTTTAAAGAAAGGACACGCACAAATTTAGCTTTTTGCTTCAGCGTTTATGATAAATTGAATGCTGGCTGAATTGATAAATGAATAATAAAATGAAAAAACGGATTTAAAATGAATAATATGAAACAGTGTCGTTCCTATTCTAAGTTTCTTGCGTTATCACATCGTGAACATGGAGCACCTACAAAAATATCGAAAGCTTTCAAAGCTCCTGTTATTGGGGCAAGGCGCGTAAAAGAAGTCACGTGCATATTGCAGGAAAGAGGGTACATAGTTCAGCGAAAATAAAATTTTTTCGTCATAACTATCTGAAAGACGGTTAAAGTGAAGTTTATATAATTTTATGTAAACAAAAATGACACGTGAAAACATTGAATTTTTTCCGATCAAATACATTACCAATTTTTAATTTCAAAGTAAATTTTATTGCGCTCAATAATTTGTCAAACTACGTTCGCTTATCGCGAAATTTATTTGTTAAAGAAACTTATCTAAAGTCGCTTTGGTAGTCTACGCTTGTCGAGTGAAGCAATTCCGACGGGTTTTGTACGTTGAAGTTCAGAGAAAACGGGTTGAGTTGCACAATACAAGTCAAAATATACAAAAAAGGTGGCGGCTCTGACCAGTTCTCCTTCATCGTTTCACGCGAATTTTCGTTTATGACGTCATATGATGACGATTGCTGTATACCTAAAATCGAGAACATTCATCAAAACAAGAAACTCTGTTACTAATTAATCTACGGAAGGCTACCTTGTATGACTAAAGGTAAATACTCCATTTCCATCAATTCCTATAAAAATGAAAATAAAAATGAATTGGTGGTCTACAGCTTGTTCCGATAGCGCGCTGTGGTGAAAACATGGCTGTCACATATAAACTGCACAGGTAACAAGATGAAAAAAATGAAATCGGATTTTAAACATGATATTTTTGCACATTGAGCCGCTCGCTACTATGATATATCTAGAAGTTGTCTACTGGCGGAAATTTTTCAAGTTGCATCCGTTTAAACAGGACAGATTACTCTTGTGGGGTTAACTCAAGCACTTGACTAAAGTCAAGCAGTTGAACATTAACACAAAACAGTTACACATTTCTCTAACGGCGCACAGTAATATTTGAAATCGAAACGTATAATCTAGTTTACATCAAAGTATGGAAAATATAGAAGAATAGTATCGCAGGAAAGATACGTGCGTGCTTGCAAATTATGAATGTTTTTTTTCGTGAAATCCCTTCTGAAATGTTTATTGTTGGCACAATTTCAAAAGAATGTCATTCATAGTGATCAACGAATCTAATTAAACAAAAAGAAAATACTGCGCATCTGACTTAATCCACATGTCAAAATCTACCCAACCCTAACCCTTGTTTTCAAGTTAACCCTCAAGTGGTACACAAACACTTATTAAACACAAAGATTTATTTACAGTTACCGCCTTAGGAATGGTAATTTTTAGCTGTTAAATAGAAAAATGCATCGCGCAATGACAAAAACTTAAGACTTCGACATTAGTGACTTTGCCTTCATTATCGTAGGCGTCATGTTCCAATAGAGAGTTTTAGTTTGCCGTTAACGACAAACGCTAAACCGCGAAATATCACGTGATCATGGCACGGAAATGATCACGTGATACGTTGCGGTTTTGCGTTTCAGTTTTAAGCGGGAAGAGACCCTTCTAGCATTAGGTGATTTGTTCCGCAAGCTTTTAGGTACTTTTAATACGACCAAGTGACGTTTATGGCTCAATGTATTTATTTTATGTGAGTATACATCATAAATAAGCCTTTTTCTTCGACAAACTTTTAACAAATCGTGAAATTTAGCTCATGACAGTGCGAATGGTAATATACAAATGCAAAACGCCAAACTAAAACTCTCTAATATAAAAATTTTGCGCGGTAGATATTTGTGCTAAGTGGGGACCATTTTGAAGCAACAGTACAAAAATACGCTACATATGAGTGGAATATCGATGGACGTGACACACACACAATCGGAATATCATTGTCTCCCATAAACATTATCATCAAATCTGATATTTAAAATACTCAAAGATTTAACTTCCGAACGTAATGGACCTCTTGCATTGTTTGAGTTTTGCTGGCGGGCAGATTTGTTTGAGTGCTTTTAGGCAACACTGGCAACAATGGTTAATGTCTGTTAGCATTGCCTGCAGCTAAACAAACGTAAACAAAGCAACGGGTCTATTCTTGAGTGTACATTATTTAAATAACTGGTCATCAGTTCATGGGCTTTGTTGGATATATAGCAGAAGCAAACATATCTTGGTCGAAAACTTTTCATAGTCGACACTTACTGTTCCAATATTCGATGCATCTGCCATTGAATTCAATCTAAATTTAAACAAGAAAGACCATAAGACCGTCATGCTTCCTTACTATTTTAGTCTTTATTATAAAAGACGAATAATTTCGATGGGCTATTCTAAATGAACGTATACGAAATACTATTTCCTTGCAACAAATTACAAAAACATAGATGTGTAGTTCTGAAAGGGCGAAACAGCGAGAAGCAGTGTAAAAACCAACTGATTACACTCAGTCTCATCATATGAAACGGTCTGTTGGCAATCTCATTCTTAGTATGGTTATTATTGTTTGGCCTCATGCAGAGAAAATGTATGTAGTTTCTTACAAGTTTATACAATCCTTGAATGATTACCTAGAGAATAGAGTTCTCAACCCGCGCAAATACGTATCTTAGGTTCGAGTTTTACTGATCACTTACAGTTTACATCCTTCTCGAAATTCGGTCTCGGGAATAGGCATATCGTTGCTGTCCTCAACTCTTTCCATTTCGGCGGGAAAAATCTCCAATGCAAGCAGGCAAATAAGATGAATTTTCGTTAGCGTAAGAAAAGCTAGAAGAACACTCCAGGCATCGTTCAGCACAAGTGAAATATATCCAAAGCAATTGACGACGAGTATATTCAAATTAATGTCGGCAACAGGCTGGAGTACATAAAGCGTGACGAGCATGCATGTAATTGCACTCCTCCTGCTACGGCTTAAATAAGTTTATTACTATTTCGTGCAATACAAACAAAACTGGATAATAAAGCTGAGTCAGCAATTACATCTACAATACATAATACCTTTATCATTCTCGGACATATACGTTTAAAGAAATGTACGTTAAGTTGACAAAAAGTTCGGAAATATAATGTAACAGTGAATAGCCCTTAAGTACCAGTGCTTTTGGGTACAAAAATAACACGCGACCGGGCATATGGATGCGGCATTTGATAGCTAGAACAAACCAAGAACTTCTTCGGTCTCCGTATTTAAATCGACATCGTAAAAGCAAGGTCTCGTCGGCAACCCGGGCATGGTGCTCATCTAAATAAATAAGGAATGGTTGGCAAGAATGAATGAAAGGTTATAGTTGATAGTGTTATCTTGGTAAAACGTACCGTGCCCACCAAAGGAAACAGAAAACCAGCGCCAACACTCGCACGCACATCACGGATAGGTAGTATGAAACCTTCAAAAAAAAAATGCAACACCGTTTTGGTGAGACAATTTACAATTCGAACTTTATTCATTTGCAAACAAATTCTTCCGTACGTACCTTTTGGGGCGCCCTTCAGTTCAGGATTGTGAGACAAGGAAAGATGTGTCTTCGCCATACAGATGGGGAGGTCGTTGAATCCTTGACGCCGAAACAGATTCACTCTTTTTTGAGCTTCTTCGGAAAACTCAACGCCGTCAGCGCCGTAAATACTCCGAGCGATCGTTTCAATCTTCTTTTCAATGGGAAGCTGAAAAAAATGAGTTTCATTACCAGCCAAGTCCCAGGGTCGTTCGCTCAAGAGTCGATATGAAATTTATCAAATTTACAGCGATCTGTAGATTGTCAACATAAAAATCACACGTGCAGAGGATCTGCTTTGAATTGTCTTTGTATTGGAATTCAAGGAATTAAAGACTCCTTACTTCAAACCATTGAAACTAAGGCAAATTTACGTGTGGCAGAGGTAAATATGATTATTATAACGTACATCCAGGTCATAGAAACTTGAAGTCAGTTGGCTGTTGCGTGGCTTGAATCACGGCCTCTGCTAGTTTCATAGCTCCAGAACCTGAGAAGAAAATTAAAGATATTAACAGCTATTCGCCCAATCAACTATCGACAGTCACAATGTAGCAACCTCCGTCAGCCCAGTGAGTTGATTCCACGGCATTAAAAGCGCCAGCCTCTTTGCAAAGTTGCACAAGTAAATCGACTTCTGCATCCGTATCTGATCTGATAAAGCAGAGCAATGAGTCTGGGAGAAAGAGACGCCACCCGCAAAGAGAGCAACTTACTTAAAACGGTTAACTGCCACCACGACAGGAACGCCAAAGAACAAGGCGTTCTCAATCTGCTTAGCAAGATTTGAAAATCCACTCCTGATCAAATCTAAATCCTAAAAAAACGAGAAAAGGATTGTTTGAACGAGGATAGGTTAGCAATCCGGAGATTGGTGATCAAAATTACAAAGATCAAATGAAATGTTCGAAGGCTCAAACCTCGTGAATGTATACTTCGGACAGAGGCCGACCTGCGACAACCTAGATACAGAAGCAAATGTACCAAATGTAAAAGCAAATGAACTACTTGCATCTACTGGTATCGTGATTGAGGCCCACATACCTTAGGACCACCGCCATGCATTTTTATGGCTCGAACGGTTGCAACAAGCACAACGCAGTTCGGAACAAGACCTAAACATGAAAAGATTTCCAGCACTTCCAGTCGAAGAATGTGGTACACGGAAAGACAATCGTCGGACATACCGCTATATCGACATTTTATATTGAAGAATTTTTCCATTCCAATGTCGGCACCAAAACCAGCTTCGGTGACTGGAATGAACAGTATCAAAATATTATCACACTACGATTTTCAAATTGCTGCACTTATTTTGTTTGAAAAGTTACAACAGATGCAACAGTCACTTTGACCAAATATAAATACACACAATGGCTGCAATTCCCACAAAGAGATATCTCCAATAACGGTGCTCCACAAAATATCGGACGAAACTCATCCGTGTATAAGCAATAAATTAATAAATCTATAGCTGAGTCTTTTTCGTGGTGACAAAACTAAATATTGCCCCCAAAAGCGTAATTGCCATAGTTGATGACCCGAAACCCAAGAAAATACAAGAAACCCGAAAAAAACCCGAGGAAAACCTTGAAGAGAAACCCAAGAGTTGTGAAAAGAACTGTTTTATGCATAGTGTGCATAGCGTCTTAAATCTCTGAGACAGTCCTTGTCACAACTTTTGGGTGGCTCTTGGGTTCAGGCCATTGAACATATATACTCACTATATGGATGATAAGGCTTAAATAAGCGAAAGAACACAATCATTAGTTAGAAAGATACAACACATGTAGTTGAAGGTGACAAAGGTTGCTTTCTTAACAACATTGATTTTAGTCGAAAGGCATTGTAGTGACCGAGTTGCGCGAAATTTCACAGATACAGTGAATATAGATTAAAACTTACAAACAAAGCCATCTTTTCCAACGAGCTTCAACGCTATTCTGTCGGCAATGATGGACGAATTACCATGGGCAATGTTGGCAAAAGGACCAGCGTGTACGAAAACAGGTGAACCCTACATAACGAGCACGTTTGCGTAAGTTTTACAGTGTTAACTGCCTTATCTTGCTGCTACACTCGTGATACAATCCAAAAATAAGTTCTAGCTTTCAAACCTCCAAAGTTTGCATCAAGTTTGGCTTAATGGTGTCCTTCATGAGAACAGTTACGGCACCTGTCACTCCCTAAACATTTGGAAAATCGAAATAAATCGCAAATAATTAAACAATGGATTGTGATGGGTAAAAACTCTATGGCTGATTAGATCATAGAAGTCACTTTTCCCTGACATATAAATAACATACACTACTCTGTGACTGATTACAGAATGACATGCACTTATCCATGGATGATCACATGAAAACATACACTTCTCTATTATTGACTACACGATAGCATATGTACACATCTCTATGGCTCACTACAGGATAGCATACACATCTCTATGGTTGACTACAGGATAACATACACTTCTCTATGACTGACTACACGATAGCATACATTTCTCTATGGCTGACTACAGTATAGCATACACTTCTCTATGACTGACTACACGATAGCATACATTTCTCTATGACTGACTACACGATAGCATACACTTCTCTATGGCTGACTACAATATAACATACATTTCTCTATGGTTGACTACAGGATAGCATACACTTCTCTATGGCTGACTACAGGATAGCATACATTTCTCTATAACTGACTACAGGATAGCATACACTTCTCTATGGATGACTACAGTATAACATACACTTCTCTATGACTGACTACAGGTTAGCATACACTTCTCTATGGCTGACTACAGGATAACATACACTTCTCTATGACTGACTACAGGATAACATACCCTTCTCTATGACTGACTACAGGATAGCATACACTTCTCTATGACTGACTACAGTATAGCATACACTTCTCTATGGCTGACTACAGGATAACATACACTTCTTTATGGCTGACTACAGGATAACATACACTTCTCTATGACTGACTACAGGATAACATACACTTCTCTATGACTGACTACAGTATAGCATACAATCTCTATGGCTGACTACAGGATAGCATACAATCTCTATGGCTGACTACAGGATAGCATACACTTCTCTATGGCTGACTACAGGATAATATACCCTTGTCTATGACTGACTACAGGAGAGCATACACTTCTCTATGGCTGACTACAGAATAGCAGACACTTCCATGTATCGCCATAGAGCACAGTCAAAGTGTTTTAACATGGCAGATGGAGTAATTATTGCGGCTCAAAATTGATATTACCAAATCATCAGCGGTTACAGCGTCACCATTTTTGTTACATGCAACGACCATCTTTCCAAAACTGAAACGTAAAGTCTTGGTGAATGACAAAATAAAAGTTAATTGTACGGTACACTGGAAAAATATTAAAGATACGTAATCTTGTTGCAAACACGACGACATAAAAAGTAATCAGATTTTAGTGGAGCACTTGCGCGCAAGAAAGTCCGGACAAAACCATCGGTATTTACCGTTCTTTCATATCCTCAAGATTGTTAGCAAGTGCCAAAATTGCCATAATTTCACTGGCAACAGATATATCAAATTGACACTAAAAAGATAAATTACTAGATGTAGCTTCACCAACCTAAATGATGTTGATGCAAACGACGTTGAAAATCAGCGATGCATTGAATCACAAACATTTCAACTTCGCTATAACATGTATTTCGTCAACTTACTACTCTCACGTGACCCTTTTCCGTGGGAGACTGGCCAATTGTAATTTGCCTCAAAAATCTGTCATTCGTGTCCACGACTACAGGGGATACGAAAGGCTATCAGAACAATATCCACAATTATCTGCTTTTATCAACGTCATAGCAATAAACCTCTTTGCCACGTGATGCTATCAGGATCAATGTCGAGTCTTACAAACATTCCAGATTCCTCTGGAGTGAGATCATCGGGTTCTGTCTTATCGATTCCAAGTTTCTAAATTTAAATCAGGGAGGGGAAACGAATATTTAGACGAGTTCAACAGCAGTTTGAAGCACAGAACGGCAAAAGCGCAGCCGCAGTAATTTCATTTTTCTTCCGTGAAAAACAATCAACGGAATTATTTCATAAAGAAATGAAACGTAATGAGGACTCAAGAATCAGGTTGGTTTTATGACCACATGGAGAATACATAAATAATAACAAAAACAGAAGGAGTAATGGTACCTTCAACCTCTTTAGCATTACATCGGTGAATTGTCTTTTCCCATCCGTAAGAGGAACGAGTCGGTTGAATAGAGCCTAAATCGAGACAAAATCTCCTTGTATAATGGACGATAAAACCTCACTAAATGTTTCAAATTACAAAAAAAGATACCTCGTTGGTTTGAGTGGATTCGTGAAAAATCCGTGCGTCAATTGCAGCAGCTAAAGAAGAAATGTTTTTTTTTGTCATTGAAAGATCTAAACACCGCACAACGAGAAAGTTCCCTATGTATTGTAAGTGATAAATGAACGAATCCATGTCGGCATCTCTAAAACGGTTATCAACGAATAATGTTGCTGAATCGTGAATGAAACTAATTATACCACTTTCCAATGTTAATTTTGAAATTAAGTATTTTTTTAATTCAAGAGACAATTCGTCGCTTTTTAATCAAAGCACGAGTGCCCCCATTCTCTACATGGTATTTAACAAGTTACGATAAGTCTAACGAGTGCTGTGTTTAAGTATATAGGATTCGCTCATATAGAATTTTGATACAAAATATCTCGGATGGAACTTTCTTTTTGTGTGGCATTAAGTTTCTCGTTGTATTTAAATATCGTTAGCACAACAATTGAACACACCAATGAGATTATTGGCTGCTGTGATGGCGTGTATATCTCCGGTAAGATGAAGATTGAACTAAAGTAGAAGACAAAGTATTTCGCTGATGATTATGAACTTCTCAACAATAGGTATAGTTTCGTTTGAAAATGGTCAAATCTCGTTCAGTCAGGTTGATAACTTCAACATTCGTTCAATGTTTGATGGCATACTACTGAACAAAGTTCTGGTTTGAGTTTTGAGTGTTTAGTATTGTAAAAAGTAGCCGTGTGATTGTGCATTCATAACGTGTTCAATATAAACTCCGTGGATCAATATAATTCACACAACCTCTTCCATGGGGATGACCTGCGAATATCCTCCACCCGCAGCTCCGCCTGCACGGAGAATGATGAAAAATGTTAAGATAAATGCATAAGAGTGATATGATGAAACTAGGGCTTCGATAATTTGAGAATCAAAACAAAAAACCTTTAATGCCGAATATTGGTCCTTGAGATGGCTGGCGTATGCAAGCGAACGTATTTTTCTTCAAGTGAGCGGACATTGCTTGGGAAATTCCGATCGTTGTTGTACTTTTCCCTTCTCCTAAAGGCGTCGGTGTTATCCTACGGCAACAACACAGAGTGTACAAGGTTTCGCTTAACGTGAAGGAAACCCAAAAGAAATGGCATCCGCCACACTATACAAATCAAAACACACACCCTGCCACGACGACATATTTTCCTCCGCTTTTGCTTTTCAAACGATCCAAAACTCTCAGAGAAACTTTACATTTCATCTTGCCATAAAACTCCAACTATAATTAAAAACATCAAGTGGAGTGGACACCAGGATGGCAGAGTGTGAAACACAGGACATCGAGAGGAAAAAATATGAAAACATGTGTGGTAATGCGATTACACCTCTTAAATATTTAGCTTAGTAATCCTTGTCAGACGATTGAGTCCGTTTTCTTTCTATACATTAACTTTGATCCCCACGCACGTTTAGTTTAAAGAGCATGGGCACTAACCTCGTGACTTTGAATACCAATTTCACTCGCCAACTTTTCAATGCTTTTTGGATACTGAGCTTTCGATATTTCAATGTCACTAAAAACGTTATCAAAACATTGACGGTATTGTACCAATAACGAAGAATGCTTCCATCACGTCAAACTTCAGAAATTGTATTCGAGCTAGTGCTAAGATTCGGATTATAAAGAAGGGAGTGAATAAATTGTACATTGATGTAGATCATCTAGACGAGTGCAGTCCTAATGACTTTTGGTGTTTTAGTTGTCTAACGTTTTCACAGTCGTGGCGGTAGTCTCTCTCACTTGCCCCTAAAGATGACTACCGCTAAGGTTGTCGAAACGTCAGTCTACACCAACACCAGGACTCCGCTAACCTGAACGATCTACATTTACAAACATGTAACTATACTCCCAATTTCAAACCATTCATACATACTTTTAGTCATCCTTCATAAACTGTATCCTATGTTAGTTTGACAGATCAAGTTAGACCATAAAATAGAACGCAATAAAAGAAAGCTGAATTGGGGTGTGGGGGACAAAACCATTTTAGTCGTTATCATAAGTGGGAAAAACTCCAACAGACACACCTATCTATCATATTGTGCGCAAAATTCCCACTAACAAACTAAGAACACTTCTCTTGAAATCATTCTTCTCGACTAACTTTTTTTCGTGAAATGAACAGGTTTGAAGTTTTAGCGAGCGGATCTTCCTTATCGGTTTGAAGATCCCTAGCGAACGGGAATTTATGAGACTTTTATCTCAGATAGCTGATTATTACGTACAGAGATTAAAATGCTACCAAAATCGCAAAACATACGATTATAAGCTATAGCATTGCTTACAAATATGTAGCTATAAAAATGGTGCTACTCTTGCGAACATCTATTTATATCAATAGCAATCTGACATAACTAGATAATCGTAATCATATGTACACTATACAATAAAAGTGTGTCAAACTTTTTATATATGAAATGCTTTCGTAATTGAGCACATCCATATACCCTACGCACGTTTATGACACTGATGTAAATTTACCTTGGAACAGGTCGCACTGTTTTGAGAGGCAAAAACTTTATTTCCCATAAACCAGTCTAGGATGAACAGAAAACAGTTACTAAAGCATTTCATTTCTCAACGTCGTACAATAACTAGAACTTTAAACATCTCGGTTTGAAAATATGACAGTCATAACTTTCTAGTAAACCGTCATGATATGTATGAAAGAATAATGTCCCGGTTTGTCACATTCTTCGTAGCTTTCTAAACATTTTGTAAAAAGGCAGCAGGGAATAACCCATCTTAAGTTTCGGTGTCAGGACCTTTTCCTTCATGATAATTTTTCTAGCACTTTCAACGGTATTCTGCATTAACATTGCCACCGTCATTGGACCCACGCCTGTAGAAGATGAATAACAGTAATAACTCATGAGAAATACGTCAGAAATCGCATAACTCGGTGTACATTGATGTTCTACGTAGACACTAATGGATGGTAAATGATTCAAATGGATACCTCCAGGAACAGGCGTGATCCAGCTCGCTCGTTTGGCTGCTTCTATGTAGTCAACATCTCCAATCAAACGATGTCCGCTTTTCTTACTTGAATCTTTGAATAGAAAAGTTCTCATTTACATTGCAATGGAAACACACAGAACGCTATACTTATCTATTACGATAAGTACACGATAATCATATTGATATTATACTGGAAAACCTGGAATAGCGTTGATGCCGCAGTCAATTACGATAGCACCTTCTTTCAGCCATTCCGCCTTTAACAGAAAGTAAGTGAAGCAAAATGGCAGGAATGGTAGATTATAAAGGCTGGATTCGAATTCTTTTCACAATAGCGTTCAATATATATTTACTTTAACAAAATGCGGCTTTCCTATAGCAACAACGACAATTTCGCCTTCCCTGACCTACGTAAGTAAAGAGGAATGCGAAGTTAAACTAGACAGAATTCGGGCCATCGAATTCAAATCGTGTTTACAAGTACGAAATATTGCTATGAAAACCGACTATATTTAGCGTTATGAATGAGATTGAGCACCATGAACATCCTGTCACCCTGACCATGATCGTAAACTTAGTAAATTATTTGTTCGTAAATCCTTACAACATCAGGCAAATCCTTGGTTCTTGAATGACAAACGGTAACGGTAGCATTGTTCCACGTTAGTACATTTGACATTGGTGCACCCTTACACATTAAGATAAAACACATATGTTATGAAACATAAAGTTTCGTGAAAAATTTTTCATCCATAAACGGTATGAACGGTTGATTTCACTGGTGGGAAACTGATTTGTGAACTTACAACAATTTTACTTCGTCCAAGAACTATCGCCTTCTTTCCCTGCACTTCAATACCTTAAGTTGAAATCAAGTTTCTTTATCAAAGTATGATGAGAGGAATGGTAACGAAAGTGGTTATTAGAGAGATTGTTTAGGAAACGCACCTGTTCTTTTGATGAGTTCGAAACATCCACGAGGTGTGCAAGGAATGATGCAGTCATTGATTTGCCCTCGAGCCAATCGACCTGCATTAACATCATTCAGGCTAAATGGAATATGATGCAATAATGGTTAGAGTCATCAACTTTATGGGCATGGTGAGTATTGCACGGAAACAATCAACAGGAACTAAGAGGTGTAATGTCAAGGAACTAAGTAAATATAGAAAGAAAATAATGAAAAAAGCGATGGGAAGGAAATAAGAAATGTATCACATGAAGAAACCATCATTCCAAAGCCATCATCAGAGAATCATAATATAAATCCTGACATGGTTTTATATGCACATGAAAAACATGTGACTTGAACGAGATTTGAACTCGCACCTTCGGGACAATAGTCCACCATTCTACCTGTTGAGCTACCAAGCCCACAAGGGTTGGAGACAAGTCAAATCTCTTTTAAACTGTGTATGGACAAGATATTCTCCTCACAATAGCAGTTTTTGGATGGTACTTTTATTCCAAAGCCATCATTGACTTGGTAGCTCAACAGGTAGAGCGGCTGACTAGTACCCCAAAGGTTAAAGGTGCAAGTTTAATACTGCTATGAGTTCAAGGCACACGTTTTTCATGTGTGTATAAAACTTTACAGGGATTCATATTATAAGAAACCATCAATAGCAACTATGTACAGGAAGATCAAGGGAATTAGGAAAATAATCATGATCAAGATAAGGAATCTAGGGCTTTAACATGAAAATAGATCATAGGGAGAAAAAAACGGCAAGTAACTGCTAGAAGTTCCTTCTAATTGTGGAGAGAATCAATCAAATGAAGATTTTCCAACTACTAACAACCATATGCCACCCTTCAAAGAAATTTCACAATAGTATTTTGTTGAAATACTTTCTAGCCAAATGTGTGTGTATTGAAGGCAATGTTTATGTTTTTCAATAACTCACCCATCCACATCTTTCTCTGGAGCAACAGCATTGGTACAAACAGATGGATCAATGGGTTCACTGGAATCTGGAGGAAGTTGAACAATGATTCCATGCACATTGGGATCATTATTTAGCTCATCAACTGTTTTTAAAACCTATGTAAATAAACAGAAAATCTCAATGGAAATTTCTTGTGATTACATATGATCATTCTAAGATGAAATCCGAATGAACCTCTTGTTCTGTAGTTATATTAGATAATTTCACATGTCTAGCAACCATACCAATCTAAATATTTAAGATAAAAATCATCAAACATAACTTTAAGTGTCGTTATTATGAAGGTTCGTCTCATGTCATACCTCGCTTGCAGCCTTAGACTTTGCTCTGATGTATGAGGTAGAATCTGCCCGATCACCAATCTATGAATTGTCAATAATGTTTCGTCAACATATTGTCGTGCTTCATAAAAATTTAAGACACTATTATGGTAGATGTTATGTTACCACACTGTCATGTTATATTGCCACATTATCATGTTACATTATTACACTATCATGTTGTATTGCCACAATTCCTGTCATATTCTTGTTTTACAATTCAGCCATTTTGGTGGTCTGATACAAAAGAATATTTTACCAGTGCTATTGTGGACACAAGTCTATGTGGGTGTGCAACATTGTTTAATTAATAAATCCCAAGAGAAGAGTTTCAAGCTAAGAATTGCCAAACTATCATGTTCTGTTGCCACATTAAATGAGTATCGTATTATACTGCCTCATTATCATTTTATGTTGACACATTATCATGTAATATTACCACATGATGTTATGTTTCTACACTGTCATGTTATCTTTGTAGACTGTCATGTTATGTTGACACAGTATCATGTTATTTTGATAAGTACACTCACAGTTTTTCTGATACACTTAATAGTACATTGATTAAAACATGATCTCCAGTTTAGCTAAGGTACATTAAACAACAAACCTGTACTATTGCTAGGCAAGGATTGAAATCTGGATATGATTCTCTTGTTTCGTCTACTATCAACTTTAATTTACCACGTATATCCCTATCGACAAAAAAGTTCCGTTAATACTTACAATACAAACCACGAAAGACAGACAGTAGAAAATTGTACTGTCTATCTTCTCCTCGTTCGCGGAACCATTTTAAATTAAGATGAGATGATTTAGCATACATCTTGAAACTTAAAACTTACTTCGCAATTTGGGATCCTTTCAAAATCTGCGCCATATTGTAGGAATAGACCAATTTTACCAAAAAAAAACTCTTGAATGTGTGATTGTATTTGTGAAGTGTCAACACGTGTGACTACTCCAGTGACTAAACAGTTCAGTCAATAATTGACATTGTGGTTTGTAATGTAAGATATTACTTATTACATCAAGTACTTGCCAAAAAGGAGTAAACAGAAAAGTTCCTAATTCCGTAATAAAGTATAGTTTCATATACTGTTGTTGTTGAAAGATTTACTGATACCTACATTTAATTAAGTAAACAAGTAGACTGATCTATTCAGATATTCATGATTAATTTTGTGCCTGCCATGTTCTTACAATGTTACATTTGCTGGAGGGGGGAGGGCAGCACCACATCTTATGCATAAACTTTATATTAATGCAAAATTAAAAATTTTTATTTGAGATATTTAGTTTTCTAAATATCATACATTGCTCCTTCACATGTGAAAATACTTGTCTCTGTAGTCATTGTACTTTTTTCACTAGCTGTGCCTTAGGTAATATCACCAAAAGTTGGATTTAAGTGCATTAAAGTAGTGTATTAAAACAATTAAACAATTAGTGGGAACTTTCATAGATATGTCCATTGCCTGTGATTCTCATCTTTACGTGAAGGTTTCTCTCCTGCATTCTCAAAGGTTGACTTGCCATCAAGGAATTTCTCTTCATCAGAGCCAGACTTCTTGGTAATTTTTGTTTTTGAAGATCTGCGAGAACTCTTCCTGAAACTGGGAAAGCGAGAAGGCCTCTTTTGGCCAGAAGATCTGCGAGAACTCTTCCTGAAACTGGGAAAGCGAGAAGGCCTCTTTTGGCCAGAATCCTTCTGCTGATGGTCAGATTTCTTGGTATTTGGAAATGGATCTGGAAGTGGATCTGGAAGTGGTTCTAAAAGTTTCTTTGCAGAAGACTCTGCTCCATTGTGACACTTCTCAATCACTTCAGGTAGTGTTCTATAAGGATTTGGGCCAGGTAAAGTCTTCATGTCAATGGGGTACATTTCCCCTGAAGACCTTCCATGAGCTGGTGGAGTGAACAAAAAGCCATTCAAATTTACACTTTGATTTCTTATAGTAGCTATGATCAATAAGAACCTCTCCAAGCCATACTGTGGCATATTATGCCATACGGTTCGTTTGTCACCTCCACTAGGCTCAGGAAGATTGAGTTGATGATGAGAATGCCATTCCCCAATGTTACACAAACCTTTTTTCGTGGTAAGATACTGACCAACACTGCCAAAATATTCAGCATCTTGATAGAAGGCAGTTGGCGTTCGTCTGCAGTTTTCCCCAGGCCCAATCGCAATTCGAAGGACCGCAGTTGTATCATCTTGCCATAAGCCAAATAAATCCCCTCCGGTTTCTAAGTTAAGATGTAGTAAAGTAGTATTTTTTAATAACTGCTTGTCTTCTTTATAAATCAATAGTTTGTAGCTTTTGCTCATTTTTAAGCAACTCCAATTTTCTAAAACTGTTCCTTGCAACGAAGTTCTCGATAAACTGCCGCGAATTTCAAGTGAAATCCAAGGTAATTCCAGAATAATATTATAAATAAAAGTGAAAGCTCGCGTAAATGCCTTTCATATTTCATGCTCGAAAGGATAAACTTCGGCAGAATTCCTTTGAATGCGAACATTTGAAAATTATGTTTCGCTTTGATTGTTTTGTCGTCACGACAATAAATCAGTAACGAAAGTGAAACGAACGTCGAAAATAGGGAGAGTCAAGGGTTCGGTTAGTTGTTGATGCAGCTACGCCATTAAAGACGTGGCCTACCGCCAAATAAAGTTCTTAAAATAAATTTGAACATTTTAGTTTACTTTAATATCTACACGGCTTCTCTTAAAATGCTATATCAGAATCTTGTAATTATTCCTATCTATTACAATGCAAATTGTAATAGATAGGATTAATTACAACCGCCCTGAAAGGAGGTGTCAGATTAGTGGTTTGGGCAGTTAAGCTAACATTATGAAGCTGTTTGTGTATGAAAATTAACATTGGGCGTGCAAAAATAATTTGAATGTGCAAACTGAAACTTTGAATGTGCAACCATATATTGAACGTGGTAATTGGCATGAAAGATTGCAAATTATTTTTGCACACCCAATGTCAATTTTGATGCACAAACAGCTTCATATAACCTCTCCCCTGGTTTGATAAGAAAGTGCGTGTGTCTTCCTGGGTTTTTGAGCAGAGTAAAGTAGTACCACAGAATAGATAAGTAGAAGTTTCACTCAGGTGTACATCGTGTGCCAAATTATCACCCAACTTCCGGTGTGGCCGCCATGTAAAAAGAAAGCCCCCAGAGTTGATTATGCTGAAGTTTTAATGGCAAAAAATGTAATACCACAACTAAAACTGTTGTAGCTGCTTGAATATTCGGAAGATTTCAATTTTACTTTTGATATTTTTTAAAGTGAAGGTGTGCAATTGATTTAAATGTTGTGAAAATACGAACGAACGAGTTTTAGCGCTGAATTTGGTCATTGTAAAGTGACGAGTAGCTGACTAAAAGGAGTTATTATTTGATCTACACAAGCACTCTCTTATAACTTTCATTTGTCGTTGTTGGAGATTTTCATATCTACAAGTGGTTAATATCATGAAGTCATTTCAGGCAGTTGAATCATTAGAATGTTGCCTGGTGTTCTATAATGTTTGAAATTGTGATAAATGTCTTTTAAAATATGCGGGACGGAATGCTCTTTGTGAAATTACGTTTTGTTAACAAAGGTTAAATATTTGTATTTGTACTTTACAAGTGTGTGGAAGATGAGAGAACCAATGAGGTCTCACTTGTGGAAAATATATCAACATTGATGCAGAATTGTATAATTCTGAAAAATATGCTTAAAAATATCATTATGAACTTGAAGATGGTTATTGAAAGCTAGCAATGGTGAAATAGTACGAACATTGGCGGCTTCGTAAAAATAGCTACAAATTATCCTGTGCGTTTAGTGAACCACGGGCAACATAAATTCATTGATCATTTGTAAATCATGTTTGTGGTGTATGCAGACCATCAAATGCGATATCTTACCATGGATTTCTAAAAACACTTTTTTGTATGGAAATTCACGGTAAGAGAAAGTAAAATAAAAGAGATCTATTTTACTTTCTCACCGTCTTGTTAGTAGAATAAAATAAAATCTAAGGATTTCTTTATATTGCATTAGACTTATACTTATGTGTACATTTTTTATGTTTCTTACACGAAGTATCCAGGACTTTTGTATTGTGACGTGACAAAAAATATGTGAAAAGTCCCAATTTTTGTTATGCATCATCGACCAGCAGCAAAAGTATGTTGGCCTCCATCTGTGCCTTCTCCGCTAGACATCCCAGTTCGAAGCCTGCCCGTCACCTTGGAAAATGCAACGCTTAACCATATCCACAAATATCAGTGTGCAAGTCTTAACGATAGTTGATGATTGTGAATGATAGAGAGAAGTGATGAAGAGAGTAAATGGAAAGTGGGAAGACGAGAGATAATGGTGGCATGTGAAGAAAATCATGTAATTTAAAATTCTTTCTAACTTTTTCTCCATAAATTTTCACGAAAAATTTGGACAGTGCACTTTGAACCTGCAGTCAAGTGCACCGAAGCCAAGGGTATTTCTTTTGAGCTAAATGTTTCCGATACAGATTTCTTTTGGAACTTCTATTTAATCGTTTTGTTTCAATGAATTTGAATAAAGAGAAATTACTGCTACGCAATTTTGCCAGACAGGTCTTGAACCCGTATACTCTTATGCTGACATCGAGTGTGTTTTTGCTGGCGCCACACCTTTCACATACTAAAGCGGTTTTAAAACTTGTATTAAGACTTTTTTTCCCGTGCATTTGAACAAAAATTCATTAATACTAACATATTGTATGTTTAACAAATGTTTTTCACCAAAACAATGCGATAAAACAACTATAAACGCAGTGGTTTTGTCTTTTTGAAGTTTTCAAGTCGAAACTTCGTATTACATGCCAATAATGCCTTCCAGAAGATGAAAGAAGACGAAAAAAGTAGGCAAAATGTCATCCATTGCCATGTGGTAAACCAGGGCAATGATGCGCATGTCCTTTGTCAATTTTTTTATTGAATGGCGTCCGGATTATTTGACTAAACAATTTATATTTTTACATCAACCTCTTACTGCAATGGCTTCTATCAAACCAAATTGTTTTTGCCAACTTTCGCCTTGCCATTGCTTACTTTTTTACTCTGGTTTCGAAGAAATGGTAAAAGCCTTATTTTTTCACCATACCATTCACCAAAGTACACGGTTTTTGCTGACTTTTGCTTTGGCCTTGCTTATTTTTTTTACTTTGTAAAAACTAGCATTTTAATATTGACATTTGCGGTGTTCTGAATCCGTATGATTGAACAATATTAAAATGAAACATTATGAATGTGTATTTTATAGTTCATATTCTACCTATGTTCAAAGGTGTCTTTTTCTATTATAACTTAAATTAACGCACGCTTCGACTATAGCAAATATACTGTATTATTTTCATCACCTTACGTCTAGAAAATAGAAAGAAATTCAAACCTTTGATCAACATTGTGATCATTTTAATTTACAAAGTGATGTAATTCATTTGTCATGCGGTAAATCACGTAAATATTACTCAAATTATAAAAGGACATTATAGACTGACACTTAAAAGACGCTTTAACTTCTGAATATACTTTTTATTGGAACTTCGTCGTTTTTCACAATTTCATTCACAGTTTTAGTGACGACCATTTGAATAAACGTCTGCAATGATGTGGTGATTGTTTAAAATGTCTACTTCAATCAAGTATCCAATGATGATTATTTCAAATGTCGTATGTGAAATAAGGACTTTTCTAAATAGAAATAACGACTGTTTGAATACATATGATTGCATTACGTTGATTACAATGATTCCATTCGAGTATGGAATGACAACTTTTAAAGATGTCGTATCTAATGGAATGAAGACTTTTACTCTTATGGAATGAGACTTTTTGAAATGTCGACTCTTTTTGTTCAGAGAAACTAGAAAAAATTACAGTGTAAAAAAGTTAGAATTTGCAATGTAAAAGTTTGAAAAAACCTTGTGCTTTTGTAGAAGCTTTCACAAGAAGTGGTTGGCTGTATGATGATGAAAATAATAACATAATGATAAAAGAAGAGCAAAAGGACTTTTAAATAAAATCCCGAGTAAAAGAAAAAGAGGGAAAGAAACAAAACTTTTCTCGCTCATGCTTATTTTGCTCGTTTGAGCCAGGCGTTAGTTATTCATTCTGTGAGTTCAAAACATTAAGATGTTGATGACTTCATGTTTATGGGGAATGTTTATTATAGTACAATTGAAGGATCAAACATTTGAGGCTGCGTTAATGTCACTAGAAATGGTTTTGTACGTTCTGTGAACAACGAGCATCATAAACTCATCGATCGTTTTTACATGATGTTTCTGATGTAAGCAGACCATCAGATATGACGGTCAATGAATGACATGCTGTACTATTTCCAAATACACATGTATATTGAAATTAATGGTTCGAGTGTAAAATTTTAGAGATCTAATTTATCTACTCTCTCTCTGTTTTGTGTGTAGAATAATGTAAAACAGAGGCATCTCTTTATATTGCAAGAAATACAACTTTAAATCACACAAGTAAACTAAATAACTTTTCTTATGCATCGTCGACAGGCTGCAAAAGTATGGTGGCTTCTCTACTTGATGTTTACCTGCTTCATGGAAAGAGTGTTCTCCCAAGTCCAATAATGTCCACGTGCTAGTTGCAAGAGCGTTTGAAAGATGGTTAAAGATGGTGAATGATGAAGAAAGGTGAGATATGTTAAGATATGTTAAGGCGAGAACATAAGTTGATATATCTTTATTTTTTCTTCATAATTTTTTTATGAAACAATTTTGATAACATAGAATGAACCTGCGCTCAATTGTGCTGCAGCCGTAAGTAATTTTCTGTAGCTGAATGTTCCCGTTGCAAAATGATTTTAGATCTTTATTAAACCTTGCATGCATTGCGAGATGCATCCGTTCTAAGAAAAAGCCGTTGCTGCTATGCAAAAATATCATATGAGCGTCTGAAAAGATGAGTTATGGGGAATGATGGAGAGATGTGAAATTCAATTTCCTTTTTGTATTAAAAATTTTGGCAGAATTACCTGTCATCTTAACTTTAACTGATCAAGCTGATCAAGGCTGTGCTCATCATGAAATAAAGGAGGGAGTTATGGTTGATTTCTGCTTTATGGTATTAAATACATATAGTTCAAAGCGATTACTGTAAAAGATTTTCACTGTTATGTAATCTTCAAATGACGTATAAAACGAAAATAATCATGAAATTTTCAGTTTATGGTTATAGCATCTATAGCAGTTCCTTTAATATATGGTTATGAGTATGTTTTAAATACCTCATACTTGTTGGCTTTATGCTGTCTTCTTTAACTTCGTACGGACAGGTTTTTAGCATGACGCTCGTAGTTAGTAAGTGTCAAAAGCTTAAAGAGAATAACATTTTTATGTATGTTGTTGTGCATGTAATTGTGTATGAATTCCATATGATTGTTTAACATAAATTATTCGAACTTGAACAAATTATCAGATATGTATTAAATCTAATCTTAAAAACAATAGGTAGTGTTACTAATCAAAAGAATTATGTTTCCCTTTATTAAATATACGCAAAATGGAAATGACAACTGACCATTGTTCTATGGTGTTATGCATTATTATAATAGGCAGAAAATAATAAGAAATATTTCAAAACTTAGATCCTCAGACATTACGTTATTGTTATTTATCTTATGAAAACTGTCATTTCGAAGGAAAACCCGTTTTAAAAATTCTTTATTATATTGGACCCGAGTCGCAAGACATTTGAAAATGCTGTCATGTCATAGAAGACTACTTTCTATTGTTTTTAGTACACTTTTTTGTCCACCTGTACACTGTTTTTGTCTTTCTTTTTATGTAAGTTTTTGTCCACCTTAGTGTCTATTTTTACGTCTACCTTTATGTCTACCGTTACGTCTACCTTTATGTCTACCTTTATGTCTACCTTAGATTCACCTTTATTTCATCTTTGTTTACCTTTATGTTCACCTTTGTTCACTCCTTTATGTTCAATTTTATATCTACATTTATACTTATCTTTATGTCTTTATTTCCTTTTATGTCCACCTTTATGTCTACCTTTATATCTACCATGTCCACCTTTATGTTCATCTTATGTTCATTGCTTGATGTTCACCTTTATGTCTACATTTATGTCTCACTGTTATGTTCACCTTTATGTTCATCTTTATGTTCACCTTATGTTTACCTTTATATTCACATTTATGTTCATCTTTATGTCTATCTTTATGTTCACCTTTATGTTCACCTTTATGTCTTCTACCTTTATGTTCACCTTTATGTTCATCTTTATGTTCACCTTATGTACATTTATGTCTGCTTTATGTCTATCTTTATGTTCACCTTTATGTCGACCTTTATGTTCCACCTTTATGTTCACCTTTTATGTTCATTGCTTATAGTTCACCTTTATGTCTACATCTTTATGTCTACTCCTTTATGTTCACTGTTATGTCACCTTTTGTCTATCTTTATGTCTACCTTTTATGTTCCCACTTTATGTCTGATTATGTCTACATCTTTATGTCTATCTTTATGTTCACCTTTATGTTCTTATTTATGTTTCACCTTTATGTTCACCTTATGTCTATCTTTATGTCTATCTTTATGTCTACCTTTATGTTTACCTTTTATGTCTATACCTTTATGTCTATCTTTATGTTCACCTTTTATGTCTACATTTTATGTTCACTTCTTTATGTATCTTTATGTTCACCTTTATGTCTACCTTTATGTCTAATTCTTTGTCTAATTTTATGTTCCATTGTTTATGTCTACCTTTATGTCTTACATTAATGCATCTTTATGTCTACCTTTATGTTCACTCTCGTTTATGTTCACCTTTATGTCTATCTTTATGTTCACCTTTATGTTCACTCCTTTATGTCTACATTATTTATCTTTATGTTCACCTTTACCACCTTTGTCCACCTTTATGTTCACATTTTCATCTTATGTTCACCTTTATGTTCACCTTTAAGTTCCACCTTTATGTTCACCTTTATGTCCACCTTTATGTTCATCTCTTTATGTTCACCTTTATGTTCACCTTTATGTCCACCTTTATGTTCACCTTTATGTCCACCTTTATGTCATACCTTTATGTTCACCTTATGTCCACCTTTATGTTCACCTTATGTCTGTCCTTTATGTTCACCTTTATGTTCACCTTTATGTCTACCTTTATGTCTACTTTATGTTCACCTTTATGTCTACTTCTTTATGTTCACCTTTTATGTCTACTTATGTCCACCTTTATGTTCCACCTTTTATGTTCACCTTTTATGTTCACCTTTATGTCTACCTTTATGTCTCACCTTTATGTTCTACCTTTATGTCCACCTTTATGTCTATCTTATGTTCATCTTTTGTTGTCTTCCTTATATTTTACCTTTATGTCTACTTATATGTCTATCTTTACGTCTACCTTTATGTCTACCTTTATGTCTCCTTTTATGTCTACCTTTATGTTTACCTTTTGTCTACCTTTGTTTCTACCTTTATGGCTACCTTTATGTACAACTACTGTCCACCTTTGTGTCTACTTTATTATTTACGTTTGTGGCTAACTTTATGTCTACCTTTTTAACTAACTTTTTGTCTTTTTTTTTGTATACCGTTGTGTCTATCTTACTTTTACTTTTTTGTCGTTTGTATCTCTTTTTGAGTCGAAGTTTGTGCCAAACTTTGTGTCAACCTTTTGTCTTCGTTTTTGTTTTCATTTGTCCTTCCTTTTGTCCACCTTTACAGACGTCTACTATTTTGTCAGCCTTTTTGGTCTACCTTTGCGTTAACCTTGTGTGTAGATTTGTGTCTACCTTTATATCTATCTTTATGTTTACCTTTGTGTCTACCTTTATGTCTACCTTTATGTCTACCTTTATGTCTACCTTTATGTCTACCTTTATGTCTACCTTAATGTCCACCTTTATGTCTACCTTTATGTCTACCTTTTTGTCTACCTTTATGTCTACCTTAATGTCCACCTTTATGTCTACCTTTATGTCTACCTTTTTGTCTACCTTTATGTCCACATTTATGTCTACCTTTATGTCTACCTTTATGTTTACCTTTATGTCTACCTTCATGTCTACCTTTATGTCTACCTTTATGTCTACCTTTATGTCTACCTTCATGTCTACCTTTATGTCTACCTTTATGTCTAAGTAAATGTCTATCTTTATGCCCGTATTTAGACGTATAGCTTTTTGTCTAATTTTTTCCCCTACTTTTGTATCTATCTTTGTCTTCGTGACGATGTGAAAATGTCTCCAACAAAAATTTTGAAATTTCATACTTTTACAAGGCTGCAAATACCCTTACCTTTCGGTCACTGAGAACACGTGTGCGACCACGTGTTTATCAACACGTTGAATGTATCTGCAATCCAATGAGACGTCTTTCGGTAATGAACAGAAAATTTACGATAGTCGTCGTTTTCTCCAGTTAAAGCACCATTTTTCCATTTTTTGTCACAATCACAAATTTTTTAAATACGTTATACTTGTTGCCTTTGTGTCGTCTTGTTCCTCAACTTTATACAAACAAGAAGTGTTTACCATGATGCCTCGTAATTTATAAAATCTAAAATTCAATGTGAATATCTTTATACATGTTTTTATGCATGTCATTATTTATTTCTTCAACGTGATTGTTTTAACGTTCATTGTTCGTACTTGAACATGCAATCACCGGATATCTATCAAATAAAATCCTAAAAACAGTATGTAGTGCTGCTAATCAAAAGATGTATGCTCTCCATTCATTAAAGATACTTACACTGTAAATGCAGTTAACCTCCAATGAAATGACTATTTTTTAAATTTACAGGGCCAGAGATGTGGTATGAAAAAGATTTCAATATTCACTTGGCAAAGTCATCGGAAAATTTTTAAAATTTTTAGATTCTCCTGATGGCTGGAAAGGGTGTATTATAGTTACTTATCACAATCTTTAGAAGTCCCTTTGTTCTATACAGTTAATAAATTTTGTATAGAAGCTTAATACCTACATGAATATTCACAAGGTTAAATAGTTGGAATGTTATCATTCTTTATGTTTACATGAATGTTATCATCTTTTCCTTCGCCCATTTTTTATCTTTATAATCCCTGTTTGACCACGGCGTCGAACAAACGTTAATCGAAGGAAAAATTATTCATATATTACGCTCTTCCAGGCTGATTTCTTTTGAAAGAGACTGAGGAAGATATTTTGTCTAAAGAAATCAGCGAAGCATAGCTGATACCAATCATCGTTGATCAAAATTGCATTTTAAGACATTAAAACTCTAGCTTCAAAAAATTGACGACAACCTACATTAACTTAAACGATTATTGAATCGTTTTAGAAGAAATCGTATAAAAATAGAGAAATGACCTCTCTCATTTTAGAATATAGCTGATTTTGGCACCGCCCTGCCACTGTGTTTGTACATACAAGCAACGGTGTGTGAAACGATAATTGCAATTAAGATATCGAAGTGCGTCGGTTAATGTTACAGAAAATCACATATTTCTTATCTTTGACGACACACTTTGACTGCATGAACCCTACGAAAACGTTATTCAACCTATCATGGGCATTTACTATGCATTTTTCTTAATATTTGTTATGTATTATTCGACAAAGCTAACTGTTCACAATGGAACAGAAAGATCTTTGCGCTCCTCGAGGGTCGTGCTTTGAAAATTAGCCATGCCCCAGTGATGCAGAAACAGCAGTGATATATGCTTATCTCGATGGGGAATTTACATACGTTCATAGTCGTAGCACTCGACTCCTTAGATATCGAAAATCCGTAATGAGACTGTAACAGTGATATTCCTGTCGACATTGACGGATTGGAAGTTCACAAATAAACAGTACACGGCATTGGGAGATTGGGAAAGTGTAATACGATACCAAAAACATGATGGAATGCGAAAGGATGCCATACTCAATGACAATGTCTCGCCATGTCATTCCCTCATCTAGTAAGATCTTCGCAATTTTACTGTTATGGGGGACGATTCTTGGCGTTAATACACTGCAGAATACATCCACAGAGGCTCTACAATCGACTGTTTCGAAGAATAGCACAGGTATGATTTAAACACCTCGTAATACAAGCACAAGCGTGGGGTAATAAACGAGACGCTCAGATATATAAAAATAAAGCACTTCGTGATCAACGAATCGAAAAATAACACTGTTTGAATTGAATGTCAACGTTCGCAGATCAAATTAAAGCAGGCATTATCGCCGCTAGCACGTTAATGAAGTATGTTGCCAACGGTTTCTCTACATTTACATGAAAATTTGTACAGCTACTTGATGAAGTGCTTGTTATATACGAATTGTTAGCGTCGTCTTGCACATGTTCATTTAACTGAGAACATTCTTTGACAGTTTTAGGCTTTATCGACTTATGTTATGTTACATTAAATTTTCGATGCATCCAAATCATGGCCACTTTAACACGGTTTCTGACGACTAGGATACGCGTAGTTTGGCTTAAGCATATATGTTTATAGTCATCGTACGACAGTAACGTTTGTGTTAATTTCTATTCAGCTCGCCCGCCAACAGTATCGTGTGATTACTATGGATCGTCTTGTGAAAATTGCTCTCACAACAAGCACTGTGCTTGGTGTTTCTCGGAGAAATCCTGCAAACCTGTGAAATTGCGAGAAAGACGGAAGACGTGCAAAGATGACGACTGGTATTACGGGGATTGCGATAAGCCGATAAAAGAAGAGATTTTGATCTATGTCCTACTCTGTTCTGCAGTATTTCTTCTGCTTGTTGTTATTTTGCTGGTAATGTACATTTTCTTATGCAAGGTGAAACGTAATAACGATTATGAACCAGTAAACACAGACGAAAAGAAGAAGAAACGAAAGCGGACGCCGTTAATGTCGAAGAAGATCAAACCGTCAGGATCTAGAACAGAAGAGCTTAAAAAGAAGTATCAGCTTGATCGTTGATGCTTCTCTTCGTGAAGGAAATCAGCTGAACCATTTCCAGTTAAATCTTTGAGTGACAAGAAATCATAAAACATCCTGCAGCTTTGATTGTCGTAGCATTTTATACAATTTCATGATGGAAATGGTCTACAGCGTGTGACTTAACGCTATTTTTAACGTTATGCTACAAGATGATCATATGAAATAACCTGTTTATTAAATGTAAATTGTTTGCGAAGAATTCCATGTTGTCTTGGGCGTCCGGGGGGGGAGGATAGGCAGTTCCGAATGATAATCTCAGGAAGGTTGTATTTCAAATCAATTGTCCAAGTAAAGTGACACCCTTTCTTTCGTGCCATAAGCCATTGATTTGGAAATGGTACAGTTGCTTGAGCGCATATACAACACCGGAAATTTTTGATTTCCAGAAGTTGGAAATCACCATATACCCCATTTTGAGGACACTTTTAATCAAGAAGAAATATAGTAAAAAAAACAGCAAAAATAATCAGTAAAAGACTTTTTGCACTAAGTTTTTGAAACCATCAATGTTGTAAAGTTTTCATATCCATGACATTAGCTTCACCAGCAAAATAGACTCCTCCCAATTTCTGGCAAGAGTTTCCCAAGCACACCTATCTTTTTGTTTGGTCAACATAACGACAACTAAAAGCAACGCATCGTTACCTGCTGAAACTTCCGTGTAATAATAAATTAGAAACTCACATTCGTGACTTGCTGCTATTTTCACAAAGTGGAACTAATGAACATATTGGCACGCAATGAACATCCTAGCTACTTCGAAAATTTTCAAGTCTACACGCCATATTTAGTTATCTATACAAAGACTTTCCCGATATCCTTGGCAATTTTGACGCAATTTTGCAAAGTTTTTGATTTCTTCCGGGGGGAGGGAGCTTCTCCAGCTCGTACGCTTGTCATGTTGTATTCATATTCGACGGCATAAGTATCATGGTGTCACGGTCTGTACAGTCCCCCAGTCTGAGTTGTCCCTTTGATTATGTGCGCATGCACCGTAACTGGGGACTACTGAGCACATTGGTTGCTGGCCTCACCCGTCCCCCAGTGTCAGATGTCACTATTTATGTATATAGTCTTTATCTTTATTTCGTGGCTTTACACATTGTTGTTAGTTGTTGCAAGGCAATTTTAAATTGTTTTATATTTTATTATTTTACTACGATAATTAAATAATTCACGATAAATATTTTCACTCTATATAAATCCACATAGTATTTTTCGTTTGGCGACGAACCACCTATTTGCTGATTTTTTGTCAAACCATCTTGATGATTTCCATTCTTCAAGTAGTGAATGATTCGCTCCCATTAGTGTTACAGTGAAGAAGCGACAGCCAGTAAGAACGAAGACTACTCAGACCACGAGAAAACATTGTGAGGCAGCACCGCTGAGTTGCACATGCGCGTTGTAAAAAAGGAAAGTTCCAGAGACTGGGAGACCATTGAGACTGCTACACCCTTTTGACTATACAGGCAGTCAAAAACATCTAGCAACTCATCGGAAACACAGTTTAATGCTTCATTTAATGAGGTAACAACGGGGCAAAGTGCCAAAGCATTTGAAGTTACACAGTGGCAGAACACATATTAAGAAGTGGATCTTTCTCTTGCTTTAGTTACAGCTTTGCATCGGTAAGTCATGCTGTTCCGTTCAGTAAATTAATCTTTGCTGCGGATGATAGTCATCACTATTAAACATAGCCACATACGGTATTCGCTTTTGCTTTTGCATTCGGCTCATTTGAAGCTCAACGTTTGAAACATGCAGGTCAAACTATGCAATGAAAATCGAATATATTTCTCATACATAAAACGAGATCTTTGTCTTTCTTACCATGATGAATGATTGTGGTTCAGTATCTGGCCTGGGTGTTAAGTTTGTTCTTCTTATCATGATGAATGATTGTAGTTCAGTATCTGGCCTGTCTGATAAATTTGTTCTTCTTATCAAGAAGGATGATTGTAGTTCAGTATCTGGCCTAGGTTATAGGTTTGTTCTTCTTATCATGATGAATGATTGTGGTACAGTATCAGGGCTGTGTGATAAGTTTGTTCTTCCTATCAAGATGGATGATATAAACTACAGCTTTTCTTACTTAATTTTGCTGGGAACAAAATGTAGACCATGTTTTTCCTACTAAAACATTCCCCTTTGTTTAACAACATAAATATTTGATGCAGATGTCTTCGTCATACTTCAGTGGCACCCGACCTCGAAATGTTCCTTTTATCCCATTGTGTATCCGTGTTTCCGCACCTTCCAAAGGCTTCTTTACTCGAGTGCAAACGCTTGTTATTTTCAGAAGTCCGTGAAGACGACATTGTCGTCGTTCTCGAAAGACTAGCTCGAAAAGAACTAGGTCTTTCCCATCCAACGAGCTCCGAATTCGAGCAACACAACGCTCTAAAACAATATCCCTTCGCCACCTTCAGATCTTGATAGAATTGACGCGTAATGATGTAATACAAAAATGGATTTGTTATTGCATTGATCGGATAGATGAAGAGCAATAGGATATTTGATGTTCTAATATCGACTAGTGGATTACCGTAAATGGCGAGAAGTGAAAAGACAGCAATGGGAGTCCAACAAGAGAAGTTTATCAGCACGATAACTGTCATTTTTTTCGCGATATGGAAATTCGAAGAACCCGCTTGTGCGCGATTAATATTTGCGTATATTCTCGCATATGCAAAAACAATGCCGAACATAGAAACGCTGTTGAAAATCAGAAGGAAAGTCACATAACTTTTGGAAAGTAGACTGCTGACGTCAAACGGTAAACAATACGAGACCTCGGTGTACGAACTTACACCGGTCAGCGGAAGGTGGCAAAGACGAGCGAGGCTAGGAGACTTATTGCCAGAAATGCCGTCGTCTGTTTAATTGTCAACCATTTTTGGGATCGCAGAGGAAAAGATATGGTATAATATCGTTCCATGGTTAATATATCCAGCGTTAGTACGGATAATTCCGTGGAGAACACGGCCAAAAAACCGCTCATTTTGCATGTAAAGCTATGTCGCCATTTGAGTGAGTAGTGACCGTATTCTCCAGTAGTGTGGACGTCGACAGAAGCCAGTATAAGATAATAAACACCGAGGCAAAGACTCGAGAGGGTAAGACTGCACATCAATAGCTTGCGATTGCTGACCTTACGACGACTCAATAACATCACTAGTAAAGCGACAAGGTTTCCTATGGTAGCAAAGATTGCGATAAACCACCTGCCTACTTGAATCACTTGAGGATGAAGAAAATCATCACATGGCTTCAGCGATTCCTCCTCCACTTGACATTCAAAAACGCGTTGCCATAGTGAAATTCTCACGTCAGGAAATACCGAGGGCGACAAGGATTCAACGAAAACAAAAACAAGGAATTTTCACAACCAAAAAAAATGGAATCATCATATGTATAGCTGAAACAGGACTTCATCAACGAAAGAATTCTCTTCCTCTTTGCTAGCCTTACATGCGATGAGGATTTCATACGACTGAGTAGGTTCTTTATGGATCGTAGAAGTAACGATAAAGTAGACTTATACGTTTCATTCAAAATGGATTTGTTAACCTTCTCTTTCTTTCGCGTGCCCTTCGCAAAACGACTATTTCTATCAACGAAACCATCACTGATGTACTTGCAGTGAAAGCGATATGATTGTAAGAATTTTCTTACACGAAGAACTTTAGTAGCGTGAAGGAGCCACAGGCTGTGAATGTCGTGAACACTCAAATGTACCGAATCCTGAAATCCTCGAATAGGATTTGAACGAATATTCGTCCCACACAGATCTCTAATGAATAAAACCAACGAAGATTAGCAGAGTTTTGTAGGAAGAATAGTAATGAACAATTGAGCATGATGTAATGTAGTACGATGTACATGTATTAGTAAGTATGGATGATGATGTAGTATGATGTACATGTAGTAGTAAATATGGATGATGATGTAGTATGATGTACATGTAGTAGTAAATGTGGATGATGATGTAGTATGATGTACATATCGTAGTAAATATTGATGATGATGTAGTATGATGTACATGTAGTAGTAAATATTGATGATGACGTAGTATGATGTACATAAAGTAATAAATGTGGATAATGATGTAGTATGATGTATATATAGTACTAAATATTGGACTGAATAATTTAGCAATTAGTGGAAAAGGTTAACAATGATATCAACAATTATTCTGACCGAAGTCTGAATTATTGTAGATTTATGCGAAAGCCGAATTCATAAATGTTTTCTTATACAATTTTAAACTAGTTTGTACGTAAGCCATAAAGTTCTCTGTGTTTCGACATAAAAGAATTTTTGGAGTTGACTGTTGTCCTTTTACCCTAAACACTCGATGAAAACTCTCCTTAATGACAGTTTAGCCCTTTTCGTGTTTTTTTTACAATAAAACAGTTCGTAGAACTCTTGTAAATCTCTAGCAAAACTTAGCAATGCAATTTTTTGTGTTCACAGTTGCCGCATTAAATGGCACTTAATTTTCAATATTTTGTAGGAGGCAAAATATGAAGAATTATCTGTAGGCCCTTGGCCAATCACAATCGAGATAGCACAGTCATTGTATATAAAATAAAGGCTAATACTGACATTAGGTTAGAAGGTTTCTCGCGATATGCAATAATATTCATTGCGAGAAATTTTGTAAAAAATTTCCAGAGGGTAGAACAGCAGGTCATTTTGCAGCCCTAATGCTGGGAAGCATTGTAAGTGGATAAGCAAGCAAGCATGGATGACATGTGACACAGCAAGACAGATAAAGGCAGAACTAAAAACTTACAATGCACGCAGTTGCACACCATCAAATGCTCCGTCTTCTATAAACTCCAACGATGAATTTCGCATCAACCTGGAAAACAACGAAAGACGATTTAATATTGCGTAAGGTAATTTTCTCATATAAAGTGATACGTCTGACTTACAAAAACTTCAGGTTTCTCGTGTATTGGAATACTCCACTGTGTAATTGTTTGATTCGCGAGCCTTCAAGATGCCTACAAGAGAAGATATCTCCACAGATGTAAACATATCTAAGTAACATTGAACTCACATGAATGCAGAAATACTCCGACGTTATCAGAAAGTTGTAGTCAACTTAAACTAACTTCAAAATAAACTTAACCATGTTTCATGTTTTTCTTGTCAAGACAGTCCCCCCCCTGCATCTTAGTTGTCAAGACAACCCCCCTGCATATTAGTTGTCAAGACAACCCCCTGCATATTTGTTGTCAAAACAACCCCTGCATAGAAGTTGTCAAGACAGTCCCCCTGCATATTAGTTGTCAAGACACTCCCCCTGCATATTTGTTGTCAAAACAACCCCCCTGAATATTAGTTGTCAGGACAACCCTCCTCCTGTATATTTGTTGTCTGGTCGTATTTCATACGTTATCAACAGGAAAGATTTTTCATGTCCAAATTTTGCCAGAGTAACAACAAGAGATACGGAAATATTAATAAGCACTCACAGGCTTTTCAATGTCGGACAAAATATCAAGCTCTTCGCTTTCAGCTCCTCAATGTTGGTCCAGTCTAGATATCTTTAAAGCAAAATACACATATAACATATTGCAAGTGTGTTTGAATCCGCCATACGTCGGCAGGCGGTGCTTGGAAACACGTTACGTAAATAAATGCAAAAATACAACATTTTCAAAGCAAAATATTGATATTTCTGAAAACGACATCTTGTTACATCATTGTCCAACAGCATTGCTCTGTTTGCCTCTTTCCGCTAACGAAAGCCTCAAAGGGGTTTTAAGATATTACAAACTTGTCACATGCGAGTTAAAAAAGAAGGGGCAAACAGCCTTTCACAAATGGCTTGCCATAGGCTGACAGGCAACTCAGAACAGAAGCACGTGACAGCAACCACGTGACAACACGCACGTGACGTATGTATTTAAATAATTTGTAAAGATGGGTAGAAAGGGAAATTAGCCATAAAAATATACGAATTCAAAAACAAATGGGGGGACATAAAAAAATCTGGTCGCAAATTTAAAGCGAGAATCAGGTAGTTAAGTTGGCTAGTTGATTTCGCGAAGTGCTCGAACGCAGGATGTGTTTTGAATGTCAGCTGCTCATTAGCAGTTCACACAGCGAAATGTAAAGCACTTTTTCATGAGAAGCCATAGCTAAAAATATTGACAATAAGTGATTGATTATTTGTATATTGCAGCTGAAAATCATCATGAAGTTCATTTGACTTACAAATGCCGTATAGACGAACGAGTGGTAAAGTTCGGAAACGTTTTGATGAGGGTCTTGCTAAGATCTCTAAAAAGAAAGATGAAATTTTGCCACTCATGGGAAAGTTATACATGACATCCGTAAACTAAATACTTACAGTATATTTAGTGATGTGAGATTTTCAAACGCTCCTGATTCAATCGTCTGAATTGGATTATCTTTGAGAATGCTAGATTGAGAAGGATTATCCTTATAAATACCAGATAGTGATGGTTAAATTTGAGTTAAATATATGAGTATATGAGAGAAATAATAAAAAACTAAGTTCAATAGCTCAGTTGCAGCAATATTTAACTAATCGAATTTCAATGCAATTTTTTTCGTAGCAACATTGAAAGTACGTTAAAGCTAAACAATTTCCAGACAACAATAGGCCAGATGCATGGAATATCTAAAAGCCTCATTCAGTTACTTTTCTAGCTGGCCGATTAAAAGTTTTTTAACGAAAGACAAAGTTAAGTTTTACTGGGGGGAGATTGGCCCTTTAATCGAACGATTTTCGACTGTAAATCATAACTTTCTGGCTTGTAATAAACTTTATGAAACGATTGGAAAATCACTATCCCAAGTAAATAAAGACTATCTTGCAACCAGCAGATGATCTTTAAAATAGATAATTACAGCTCACGAAGAAACATCAGTCTTGAAAGGCCATCTTTTGAGATGTACGTAAGCAAGTTTCCAGTCAAATCCCTAGGAAAAAATATACAACTTTAGCAACTTCATTAACCGAGCATTGATCTATTACTATACACGATACACACAGCTGCACCAAGTTTGGAAGACCACTAACAACTCTGGGCTCCAAATAAGAAATGGAATTGTTTCTTAACGATCTGAAACGACAGGGAACAAATTATATGTCGCTGAGAAATGAAGCATTTTTGAGAAGTTTGCTGTCTAAGGATAAATTATGTATACAAATACATACAAATGTGTCACTCTGTCGGAAATATTTCGTGGGAATGATTTCAAATGTCGACCATCGCAGCGAACGAAATAGACGGATGACAAGTTCGAGCCCAGATCTCCTTTTACATCACAAAAACATTTTCCCGGACATTCGTTTTCTAGAAACATGCGCCCAAGTGCGCAAGAGATTGTAAGAAAGAAGAGAAGCAACCTCCTAAAAGAAAAAGAAACAGTTTGATACAAGTTTCGACAAGTTGCGCATTAAGATCTATGAAAGCGCACTTGAATTAAAACGGAGAGAACTTTACCACATGATTTCTGTTCTTGTTCTTTTTCTTGTCAATTACTTGACGAGTCTGTACACAAGTAATACTGAAGAACGTACTGGCGCAGTCAACAACGATTTAATATCTTTCATAAATTCTCTCCCACAACACGTTTCAATCGTTTTCACATTACATCTGGAATGATTTACTCGTAATCTGTTCGAAAAACATTCAAAGCACAACGTGAAAATTAAAAAAATTTACGATGAAATGCTAATGATGGCGATTTCAATTTCAAATCGGCATCCTCTTACTTTGGAATTACTCTGATTGCTGGTAAATTCTATCTAATAATTGTGCATAACTTTCTTCAAAATAACATCGAACGATAGTCTTTGAAACGCACTTCTCAACGTAAGCTTCTCTTTCGCCACCGACACAATCACCCAAATTACACGACGCCGCATTCAAAAAACTGAATTGTAAAGACTAAAGAAAAACGTAAGGTTGTAAATCAACGAACAGATTGTTATGATAAATACAAAACACATCAAGAATTAGGAACATGTTTTAATTGAAGTGTAAAAACACAATTAATATTAATTACAAAACATTCGATTTTCCATCTTACGCCCCATCGTCATTTTTTATGCCTTTATTCCTGTATTGTTCAAGTGCATCCTCTGTGAATTGCGATATTTTTTGTGTTGGATTGTGTCCATGTTTCATGTTTCGTTGTTCTGTGGTACCTTGCTGCTATCTACCAGCCATTTAGAAAACAGAATGGACAGACGGTGTAATTTGCAATGCAGGTTCTCGGTATTACGGCCAACATTTTGCTTTTGGCTGCAAAATTACCCCAAGTGTAACAAATGTATTAAATGTACTATATTTTATATTGCTCACATTGAAAAGTTATAAATATATAAAGACTACAGTATGGGAACATTGTGCAGTTGGAAAGCAACTGCCCCCGTACACTGAAGAAGATAATTTACCGTTGGTAACATACTGTAGTTCTATGCCTGGATTTTGCGAGTTGCAATGGAGAAGGTGCAATGCATAACGCGTAATGTTTTTTTGTGCAATGTATAATATGTCTGCTTTCTAATGCGTTTTTGCAAGTCAAGAAAAGCAATAAAGCTTTAAGTAGCAGTATCGGGTCAAGCTACACGTCTCTATCGCTGATCAACATTCTAGAAAATTCCTTCAGTTTTTGCCCCTATGCAATTCTTTCTCAAGTTTGCAGCAATGCTTGCTTGCTGCGATATAGGTCTTTCGTTTGCTTTCTCATTCAAAATGTTAAGGCAATATATTTACTCCTAAGTAAGACCATAGCAAACATTTTCTTCTCTCGAACTACTCTTCTCGGCTGATTCGAGAACGCCTTTATTTAGCTACGCAAGAAATGTCATAAAATCACTGAGCTGAGGAGGCGTTTGTATGAAAGCAATCAGTCCAATTAAGCATAATATATAATTTCCTCGTAAAATGAGTGGAGACCAGCTTTGCCATTTTATTGTTAATTATTTATATCAACAATGCGACACCAAGTTTATTTTAAAGTTATCGAGAAATTCGCACAAAATTGCCTCTATGAAAGCTTCCATAAGATTTATCATGCTCTTCAAAAATAACGCTAAATCAGCATTTTCATCACTTTATCCTATCCCTGTGTACCACCCGTGTTCCCTAACCTACCCTTTTTTGCATCGATCGATTAAGAATAAAGAATCCAGCGGAGGACGTTATTAAACGAATTTCTTTCTCAAAACTAGAAACAATTTAATGTCAATCTCTGCAGCCGTTGAGTGCTTCAGCATTTTCCATTCAAATATAACTTTTGAAACGAAACCATATAAGTAGCTATACACCATTGTGGGAGATCGCCATACTAGACGAAAGCACGGTCAAAGACATTCAAGTACGAATAGTCGATCGACAAGGCCGTCCCAGTGGCGTTGATAGGCTGGAGGGGGAGTTATCCATATATTCAGTTGTCTCGACTGATCACTTATAAAAACAAATTCACTTTCAAACGAAATGGGTCTGGCCACAACTGAACATATGAACTATGTTCGTTCTGGGGAAGGCCCCATTGGTTGGACGCTTTGCATTTTTTCAAAACGCACCAACATTTCGCTTACTTTTAATAACTTTCGAAAGTACAATCAGTCAAAAAGTTTTTTAAAATACGGGAAATATTACAAAATGAAGTTTAAATAAATTTCCATAATGACGAAAATCACAAATGTTTGAGGCCAAAGTTGGGGGGAACATGGTAGAAAAACTCCTTCATGAAAATATGTACATCGTTTTATACAACAATAATCAAAGAAAAAGAATCGAGACGGGATCTTATCTCAGTTGTTGAGTTGACACAGCATCGCCACGCCACGCATGATCCAATGAGATTGCGGCTGGTCAGAAGGAATGCGGATGTTCATGACAAAATTTGTCGAATGTCCAGTCGTCGATAAGGTACCACGACGTTCGCTGGTTTTATACACAGGACATAGATAATGCAACCTCTCCAACACGTCCTCCTTCTTGCAAGGAATCAACCACATCTGGTAAAATGATAGAAAGTGAATGAATTGTGAAATCTCAAAACAAAGATCATGACCATTTCGGAAATGCTTTCTGTTAAGATTATTGAAAGAAAGGAAAACTACGATGAACAGTTTCAAAGGTTGTTAATGATAAAGACAAAGCTAGGATAAACAGTTTCAACAGTTAAGCATTCTTGTTGTTGAGGTTGTTAATGATAAAGACGAAAGCTAGGATAAAGAGTTTCAACAGTTAACCAATTTTGGTTTTGGGGTTGTTCGTGATAAAGAGGAAAGTTAGAATAAACAGTTTCAGTCGTTAACCATTCTTGGTGTTGAGGTTGCTAGTGACAAAGAGGAAAGCTTGGATAAACAGTTAACCCATCTCAACAGTTAACCCATCTCAGCATTAAGGTTGTTAGAGATAAAAAGGAAAGCTAGGTTAAATAATAAATAATAAATGCAACATACCACAGGCATCTTGTCATGTAATACTTTAGGAATGGATTCTCCAATAACTTTGTTTTCTCGGTCCCATTTTGCTCCCTCCATAAAAAGACCGTTCACATAGACACCTTAGTAAATAAACCAACGAAAGAACAGTTAGTGGAAAGAATGTATTCATAGCTAACTCTGTGTACACAGAATCCCCTCAGGGGGGAGGCACCATGTAGAAAGTTCATCCTTTAGAAAGTCCCCCTTTTAGAAAGTCCACCCTTTAGAAAGATCACCTTTTAGAAAGTCTAACCTTTAGAAAGTTCATCCTTTAGAAAGTCCACCCTTTAGAAAGTCCACCATTTAGAAAGTCCACTTTTTAGAAAGTCTAACCTTTAGAAAGTTCATCCTTTAGAAAGTCCACCCTTTAGAAAGTCCACCCTTTAGAAAGTCCACCCTTTAGAAAGTCCACCTTTTAGAAAGTCTAACCTTTAGAAAGTTCATCCTTTAGAAAGTCCACCCTTTAGAAAGTCTACCCTTTAGAAAGTCCACCTTTTAGAAAGTCTAACCTTTAGAAAGTTCATCCTTTAGAAAGTCCACCCTTTAGAAAGTCCATCCTTTAGAAAGACCACTCTTTAGAAAGTCTACCCTTTAGAAAGTGCACCTTTTAGAAAGTCTAACCTTTAGAAAGTTCATCCTTTAGAAAGTCCACCCTTTAGAAAGTCCACCCTTTAGAAAGTCCACCTTTTAGAAAGTCTAACCTTTAGAAAGTTCATCCTTTAGAAAGTCCACCCTTTAGAAAGTTCATCCTTTAGAAAGTCCACCCTTTAGAAAGTCCACCCTTTAGAAAGTCCACCTTTTAGAAAGTCTAACCTTTAGAAAGTTCATCCTTTAGAAAGTCCACCCTTTAGAAAGTTCATCCTTTAGAAAGTCCACCCTTTAGAAAGTCCACCCTTTAGAAAGTCCACCTTTTAGAAAGTGTAACCTTTAGAAAGGTCATCCTTTAGAAAGTCCACCCTTTAGAAAGTCTACTCTTTAGAAACGTCACCCTTTTAGAAAGACCACCCTTTAGAAAATCCACCCTTTAGAAAATCACCCTTTTAGAAAGTCCACCCTTTAGAAAGACCACCCTTTAGAAAGTTCACCTTTTACAAAGTGTAACCTTTACAAAGTCCACCCTGTATAAATTACATCCTTTAGAAAGTACAACCCTGTAAAAAATACACACTGTAGAAGGTAGGTGTGACTCTTACCGTCTTCTGGAGGAACGGGGTAATCTCCATCTTCCAGAACTTTAAAATCAAATGTCAGAAGGTCAATGGGAATTGTGTATTTTCTTGCAAAATTTTGCTTGGAACCTGCACAAAACAATCGATGAATGTATTAGTCACATGCACATTGAACTTTTGCTCAAAACGTGCTCGAGAGTTCTCACAAACGTCTCAGAGGTTTGCATTAGCCAATACAAACACGAAAAACATTTTTTATTTCTTTCATGAAATAATAATAACGCAAAACAAATTTAAAACAAACGCTTTAATTTTGCCTTTAACATGTACTCATAATTGATTTGCAAATTCTCTTCGATTGATTGATGGATTTGATTGGTTTAGCTCAAATCGGTTTGCACAGGCTAATGAAAACACTGCAATAGACGAATAAGCGTAAGGGTTATTTGCTGTTATTTTATAAAAGTTAATCAAGGATACGAAACACTGTCTAAACAACAACAGCATTACAGGAATGAATTTATAGAAGATGAGCAGGAAAGGGTGCCGATTTTACTACGAGATCCCAATGTAGCAAACAATTAAGCAAAAGCAATTGCGAATAGTGTTTCATGGAGCGCATTCTCAAAAATCTACCAATCATAAAAAAGTAACAATATTTAACAAAAAAAACACAAACTCTGACATGGGCACGCTACAAAACCATCGTAGATCTATCTCTGCAACATTTGGTATAAAGCTGAAACGTCGCGTTGAACATTTCATCTTCAAGCGAACAGTCGTGCAATGAAGCTTCGCGGATAGCTCTTTAAATTTATCGTTTCAAGAGCGAATTGTACTTCACAAACCACAATCGTACAACTTATCACACGTAAATGTATAGTTAATGCAACGATGTACACTCGATTTCAAAGTCAGTCAAGTTTTGGGTGTCTGCAGCCTAAAGAAATTTTCAGTTCCACAATACCTCTAAATATAGATCGGCAATAATTTTTGAAACAATGAAAAATAAATTTCACCGCCGACAAAAATATAATTTCTAGTTTCTACAAGTAACTTCAACTGCATTTTAGTGCGGCAATCGATGACAAGTAAAAACTACAAAACGTAAGAGCGATCGATCAAAAGTGGCTAAAAAAGTCATGAAATCATTTTCAGAGCAGGTCTCGAAAGTTTTCTCAACCTAAATTTGCAAATATTGTTTTTAGGTGGGAATTGCCAATGCCTGGTCTATGAAGGTATCACCTGAAGACAAGATTGAAGGAAGAAGATGTTTTCAACAAGCGTTAAAACAAACAAAAACTCACCCGTGAGAAAGGCTTGAGTGAAGAAAAATCCTGAAATCCAGAAGACGGAAGGAGCTTCCGTCTCGTACCAGTCCTAAAAATACGCGCGATTTAAGTCCAACAGTTTAAATGGGTGCACAATATATGTATAATTATACCTCCAAAAACTTGAGCCTCGCGATAAGATCGCTGATATAACTGCCCAGCGGTTTCAAAGAGGGATATGATCGTTTCATCCATAAACTTGGGATACGTCCTTTTAAGATACTGTCAACAACTTCCTCCAGTTCGCTCGACATCACCACTAGACCCTGGGAACGAACGGAGAATTGAGATGGAAGAATTTTCAACAAGACTAAAGGCATTAGACTACGATCGGATGGAGAGAAAAGTGAAAGACAAGAAAAATCGTCACCTTTATTGCTTTCTGTAGATTTCTTAAACTATTTCGAACAATCTCCGAGAGGCGATTGAAGCGAACCATTTCTTGCACCAAAACCGTATTCATGCTCTATAAGAAAGCAACAAGACTTTAAAAATGGACGTTTTCTCCATGTTACAAAAGACAGAAAGTTCCCAATGAACTTCCCAAAAACCAGAACGTCACATATCATCCATACCTGCGTGTAGGTGGTCGGATATTTACGAAGGGCAGCTTCGGTATCGAACCCTGGGGGCATCTTACTCAAGATATCCGTAGCTACGGACTGTAAAATCTCGTCGTCCGACTTACCACCACCCGAGGATGTTCTCGACTAAAGAAGACAAAACGAATAAATGTCATCTTTCACGAATACATAGAGAGAACAAAAAAGGTAGCGCCCTCCCCTCCCCCCCCTTTATGTAAAATTATCGTTATGCGTTAGAGAAATGTTATAGAAATGAAGGCTTGCTGTTGAAGAGTAAATGAAACAAAAATTGAATGTTGAAAATCGTCAACTCATCAAACAATTAAAGGAACAATAAAATTTAAGAAAAAGCAGCCAGAACGCCGACGTTATGCTGTTGGTAATCTGTTAAGTTTTCAATCAAAATCGTGCTGAAGAAACGGGTGCCTTCTAAGGAAAAATACAGGCGTTTTCATGAACATATCCTTCTACTGTCAGTCAAAATACAATTAAAACGTTTTTTATTTGTTTACAGTGTCTTTGTAAAAGAGCTTTGTAACAAGCACAAACCTAAAGTTGCGTATATAATTCAGCAAGTTTTCGAGAGAGCTCTAGCTACCACATAGAGTGATTTTTTCATTATTTTAGCAATAAAATGTTACGTATGAGCTTTCCGCTACTTTCTTGTCTAAGGATTAATCGCAGACTAAAATATATCAGCTTTTTTTTATCTCATCATGTACACCCTTCGATGTTTTTAAGTAAAGACGTGATTTTCCTAGAGGGAGTACTTTTAGTCCACCTCTCCCCGCTGTAGCTTGTGATCATTGATTTCTACTTCAAGATTGAACATGAGAAAAGAGCACACACCTGGGTAAGAAGGATATTTGTGAACACACCTGGGTAAGAAGGATGTTTGTGAACAATTGTTGAGTTTCTTGTTGATCTTTTGATATATCAGCATTGGCATGCATTCCAAATGCTTCTGGATGAGTTATCTGCGGAAGATCTCGCGTGTATTCCAAATAAGATTCGTACTAAAACAAAAGAAATTTCAACTTAATCAAATGTGGCAAAAAAGGAGATGAAAAATGACTTTTAGCGCTACGTTAGTTAACACCAATACTTGATGCCACATTGATGAAGCGCGATACGAAAACCGAATGTATGCGTTTGCATGGCCAACCTTCGATAGACATTGATAAAGGCTAAATATTTTATTGAACGGTCAGGCATTCTATGGAATGGGACAGGGATGTTATGGAAGGAACAGGTATGCTATGGAATAGACAAGGATGCTTTAGAAAATACAGGGATGCTATGGAATAGGACAGGGATGTTATGGAAGGAACAGGTATGCTATGGAATAGACAAGGATGCTATAGAAAAGACAGGGATGCTATGGAATAGGACAGGGATGTTATGGAAGGGCCAGGGATGCTATGGAATGGACAAGGATGCTATGGAAAAGACAGGGATGCTATGGAATTGGACAGGGATGTTATGGAAGGGACAGGGATGCTATGGAATAGACAAGGATGCTATGGAATTGGAGAGGGATGCTATGGAATACAACAAGTATGCCATTGAATGGGACAAGCACTCTCTGGAATAGCCTGTCATTCTATTGAATGGGGGTGGCATTCTACAAAAATGAGGAAAAGTTACTGCTGAAGTCGTGTTTGCAATTCAACAGCCAATGATAACACAGCAATTTGATGCGAGTCACGTAGACGATCTCGTTACATACGAATTATTAATGAAATAATAAAATTCTTACACTTCCTTCCTTTGGTGAGTAGTATTTACCACTGGGTGAAAACGCATAACTTTCATCAAGAATTTGAGGACAGTAAAACTTATCGAGAATTGTTAGTAATGTTCTCCTATCTCTGTCGTCTGTCACCCGACCGCCATAGTTACATTCTCCAGTGAGGTAAGCTAAGGCTGCATACTGTACATCCTATGTATAAAAAGATATAAAATCGTCTATTTATTGAAGGTAAACATACAGTAATGTTAATTTTAGTTGTTGATGTGGATACACTGAACTACAGGTAAAACGTTAGGTAACTTATGATTAAGATGCTAGATCAGAGTATATAAGGACAAAACTGTAAACAACAGATAACTCATGATTAATGCTAGGCCAGAGTATATAAGACAAAAGTTTAAACAGCAGACAACTTATCATTATGATACTAGATTAGAGTATATAAGTACAAAAGCTTAAACAACAGACAACTTATCATTAGGATACTAGATTAGAGTATATAAGTACAAAAGCTTAAACAACAGACAACTTATCATTAGGATACTAGATTAGAGTACATAAGGACAAAAGTTTAAACAACAGACAACTTATGATTAAGATACTAGATCTGAGAATATAAAGGCAAATATTTTGAAACAAAAGACTGAAGTATACAAGAACAAAAATTTCAAAAATCAGGACTAAACTGAGTCATAAAACCAACTAGCACAATGAAATAAAACAAATAAATGTACCTTATAATCATCTAAAAACATATGTAACTGTCGCACACTAATTCTTAAATCAGTCTCGTTGAACTCGTAAGGAATGTTCCATCCAAGAGGACCAAACGTTCGTCGCTCTTGAACGAGGGCGTGAAAGAAGCACAGACCGAACAGAAGCTTCTTAAACGGGCCCTATATATGATGGAAATCACCACATTGAATGATGATCGGGGTTCGTAGCTACAATACTTAAGTGCAATGAAGTTAAGCACTTGCCAAGGACTTTGACGACATACTTTGAAAAATTTAAGAAGGAGGACCTTGAATTGCACACAAAACACAACTAAAGTACGAAATCATTAAAAGCTTTATCGAAATCAAAACAAAAGAACCGTTTTCAAAAGAATCGAGAGCAAATGTTGTATTTGAGTAAGAAATCATTAAAAGCATAATATAAATTAAAACCAAAGAACTTCAAAAGAATCGAGAGCAAATATTGCGTTTTCATATGAGTTGAAAGTTCCCATGTAGCTAGGTTACTTCAAAGTTCTGACGACATTAACCTATTAGCAAACGAGTTACTTTGTCGTGCAATAAAGATTAAGATACAATTTTAACTCATTGAAAGAAAAATCGTAGGATGAGAAGTTTACAAAAATTCGATCAAAAAAAAATTGAATTCAAGCACTTTCAAGCACATGTTATTAAATTCAAGTACTTCTAAGGCTTTAAATTTTTCACTTTGACTTCAAGGAGATTCGAGGACACTCAAGGACATTCGAGGACATTCAAGGACATTCGAGGACATTCAAGGACATTCAAGGACATTCGAGGACATTCAAGGACATTCGAGGACATTCAAGGACATTCGAGGATATTCAAAGACATTCGAGGATATTCAAAGACATTCGAGAACATTCAAGGACATTCGAGGACATTCAAAGACATTCAAGGACATTCGAGGACATTCAAAGACATTCGAGGACATTCAAGGACATTCGAGGACATTCAAGGACATTCGAGAACATTCAAGGACATTCGAGGACATTCGAGGACATTCAAAGACATTCGAGGACATTCAAGGACATTCGAGGACATTCAAGGACATTCGAGAACATTCAAGGACATTCGAGGACATTCAAGGACATTCGAGAACATTCAAGGACATTCGAGGACATTCAAGGACATTCGAGGACATTCAAGGACATTCAAGGACATTCGAGGACATTCAAGGACATTCAAGGACATTCAAGGAAATTCATGTTTTGCACGAAGCCAAGATGATGTCCCAAAGAATGTGAAAGGTGTAAACAAAAAACACTCACCGGGTTTTTACAAGTAGTGAAAAACTCAGGATCAGAAATGGGATCACTAAGATAAGAGCGGTTGATGTTGGCTCGAAGACCTTTAGGAGGTTCATTCGTCATCTTCACGCCATTTTGAAGGACAGAGACGGGAAAATTTGGACTGGGATAACTCGTCAACCATAGCCTGAAGTCCGGGTGCGTCGTGTCGGGGTTGAACTCCTGTAAAACGTATATAAAATGGTGAGGATGTGTTATAATGAGCCGTCATCAATTGAGCGCGAAGTCTTTACGGAGAAATATCAAACCGAAGTGTTCTTGTAAAGACAGAGAGATATTCTCAGTAAAGACCAAGCAAGCGAGGTGAATAAAAGGTTTATTATATGGCATCATTTGATCTGAATGAAGCTTTCTTTCTTTTCGGATTCTCTCTGTTTTGCAAGATTTGGTTTTTACTTGTCTAGTTTTCGTCAGTAAAACATAAATCATCAAAAGTGTTGGCTGGAAAATTGAACTCTCTTTTCGAGTAATTTTTCTTCGGACTCGTATTCGCTTTTTGCTTTTTCCAAAACTTTCGCTGTTTGCTTTGGGAACTTTGTTCACATTTTCTCGAAAATTACGCGTGCTGGACGGCCGACAAAAATGCTTCTGAGCCATTAAAAGCACGCCATTTCACCGTAAGTGACGTTTGCCATATGATAAACGAGAGAGATGTTTTTTTTATATGTTTTCATTCACAAACCTCGCAGACTTTTTCTAAGGTCGGCATCCATGATGTGGCAAGATGACAATTTTGTAAAACCACCCATGTTCCTTCTTTTGTCCCTTTGTCGATCATGCGCATTGCAATGGGACCCTGACCTTGACCCAACGACAACGAGCTCAACTTTGAGCCGCTAAAGCCCTAAATGAACGGAAACATATTCGCAAGTTCAAGAAGAACACAGTGCGGTCAATCTTCCTGCATTAAAATTTCTTCGACTGAAAAGATGAGAAAAACCGAAGAAAACTTAAGAAAACACTGTTGCAGGTACACTATTTTTGGCAAACAGTTCGTCATAAAAGCTAAAGTCAAGAAACACCACAAAACATAATTGAGAAAAACACCAAGACATGGAAGTTTTCTAAATGAAATAAAAAGCATTTTTCATTCTGCAATGTGAAAATGACTGATAAACATTTGAAAATCGCAAATCCCAGGAGTTCTAAAAAAAAAACGTTTCCCAGTATGTCCATGGTTGAAGATCGTGTTTTAACGTTTTACGGTATTTCCAAGTTTACCAGTGATTTAAGATTACATTTCTAAGTTCCCAGTGGTTCAAGATCGTGTTTTAATCGCGTTTCCAGTTTACAAGTGATTTAAAATCGCCTTTCTAAGTTCCCAATAGTTCAAGATTGTGTTTTAAGATTTAATCGTGTTTCTAAGTTTAACAGTGATTTAAAATCGCGTTTCTAAGTTTAACAGTGATTTAAGTTCGCGTTTCTAAGTTTAACAGTGATTTAAGATCGCGTTTCTAAGTTTAACAGTGATTTAAGATCGTGTTTCTAAGTTTAACAGTGATTTAAGATCGCGTTTCTAAGTTTAACAGTGATTTAAGATTTCGTTTCTAAGTTCCCGATGGTTTAAGATCGTGTTTTAACGTTTTACGGTATTTCCAAGTTTACCAGCAATTTAAGATTACATTTCTAAGTTCCCAGTGGTTCAGGATCGTGTTTTAATCGCGTTTTCAGTTTACAAGTGATTTAAAATCGCCTTTCTAAGTTCCCAATAGTTCAAGATTATGTTTAAAAGATTTAATCGTGTTTCTAAGTTTAACAGTGATTTAAGATCGTGTTTCTAAAATTAACAGTGATTTAAAATCGCGTTTCTAAATTTAACAGTGATTTAAGAACGCGTTTCTAAGTTTAACATTGATTTAAGATCGTGTTTCTAAGTTTAACAGTGATTTAAGATCGCGTTTCTAAGTTTAACAGTGATTTAAGATTTCGTTTCTAAGTTCCCAATGGTTGAAGATCGTGATTTAATCGTGTTTCCATGTTTACCCATGATTTAAGATGGACCATTCTCAGTTAGACTCTTACCTGATCATCAGCAAATTTCAGTAAAGCAGCTGTAGGATCGGAGCCAGGAGAAAGAATGAAGATCAGTGGAGTTGTACATGAAGAGTCGGTAAATGCTTTAGCCAAATCAAAAGGTGGAGGCTCAATGTATCGTTTGTCTAACTTCATCTTCACAAATTGTTGAACTGCAGGAGTCACCTACCGTGAAAATTCATAGTGTACAGAGGTAATAGATGCATCATGGGAAGGATTTTTTGTAAATTATTTTTACCTTATCTGGTCGTAAACATCGTAGGACTATAAGTTTGTGAAAAACATCCAGTTTATCGTTCCATTTATCCGGTAGAGGTTCGCTTTGAGGTTCCTAAAATGAGAAATATTTCCGATTTCTAAACTTCCACAGATGAAATGACAAATTTAAGTTCATAGTGTAGTGTAAAAGATCTTTTATCTCATTTTCCAACAATGGATTTGCCATATTAAAAGCTGAATGACTCTTTCCTCTTCCCTTTATTTCAAACTCTACACCTCTTACTTCCCATTTTGCACCCTTACGTCTACTCCAGCCCTTACTCATCAGTCTACATTCTTTACTTCTCACCTCAAAACACTCATTTTCTACTCTATCACCTTACTTTTCATTCTACGCCCAATACTTCAACTCTGCACCCCTACCTTGTTTGTCTACACCCATTGCTTTTAAATCTACACTCCTTGCATTTCATTTCAACGCCTTAGGCCCTTACTTCCTACTCTGCACCCCATACCTTCATTGTACACGCCTGACTTCTCAATCTAAGCCCATCATATTCCACTCTATCCCCTTTACTTCCCACTCTACTTCTCATACTTCACCTCTGCACCACTAACTTTTCCCATTAAACACCTTACTTTTACTCTACATTCCTTTGGAGAATTACAACAGTTACACACATGATATTGGACACCCTGTAGTACATTCCTTTGGAGAATTACAACAGTTACAAACATGATATTGAACACCCCGTAGTACATTCCTTTGGAGAATTACAACAGTTACACACATGATACTGGACACTCCGTAGTACATTCCTTTGGAGAATTACAACAGTCACACACATGATATTGGACACCCCGTAGTACATTCCTTTGGAGAATTACAACAGTTGCACACATGATATTGGACACCCTGTAGTACATTCCTTTGGAGAATTACAACAGTTACACACATGATACTGGACACTCCGTAGTACATTCCTTTGGAGAATTACAACAGTTACACACATGATATTGGACACCCCGTAGTACATTCCTTTGGAGAATTACAACAGTTGCACACATGATATTGGACACCCGTAGTACATCCCTTTGGAGAATTACAACAGTTACAAACATGATATTGGACACCCCGTAGTACATTCCTTTGGAGAATTACAACAGTTACACACATGATACTGGACACTCCGTAGTACATTCCTTTGGAGAATTACAACAGTTACACACATGATATTGGACACCCCGTAGTACATTCCTTTGGAGAATTACAACAGTTGCACACATGATATTGGACACCCGTAGTACATCCCTTTGGAGAATTACAACAGTTACAAACATGATATTGGACACCCTGTAGTACATTCCTTTGGAGAATTACAACAGTTACACACATGATACTGGACACTCCGTAGTACATTCCTTTGGAGAATTACAACAGTTACACACATGATACTGGACACCCCGTAGTACAAGCACAAAATAAGAAGCGATAGAAACGCATTCGTGAAAACGTGAAAGATAAATGAAATAACTTTTCGAGCAACTGTTCATTTGCCAACATTTTTGACTTTCATGAAAATACTCACGTTACTGTCGTATATTTTTTTCCATCCATCAACTTGACTCTTAAACGTTGTGTGAAAACCTTTAAACCTACAGAATATTAAGTCACATTAAAGAAATCTTCAATTTGTGATATAAAAACAAACATCGACGATCTAAAGTCCAGTGGCGTACTTCTCTAAATCATCCAAGCGGCACATCTCGTCCCAGGACCTCGCTGGTAGCCACGAGCATGGATTCGCATGAGGATTATCAAGGCCCACGCCGCCGGTAAGCAGGAACTTCCACTCCTCGTCTTCAATTTCATTTTTTCCTTTGAGGAGATTTACGCAAAGCAGGAGGGAGAAAAGAAGCTGGAGTTTAAAACAAGAAAACGAATACTTTTGTATATAATGTCGCCAAGAATAAGAAACATACTCCGAATAAAAGGTCCGGGTTCAACATAATATTTGAGAAAACAAACAAGACGGTTTTTTACATACAGTTGTATTTCTAACTTCCATATTTACGTAAAAGCACAATTGAAATAATACATTGAATATAGAAAACAAACTTTTTTATTACAGACATGTTTCGGCAAACTTATACCATCATCAGTGCAAATGAATTTGTTACAGAATGTGATACTTAAATATATATTTAAGGATCACATGTTTATCTCTATTTACATATTTAAGTATCACATTCTGTAACACATTCATTTGCACTGATGATGGCATAAGTTTGCCGAAACATGTCTGTAATAAAAAAATTTGTTTTATATATTCAGTTTATTATTTCTAATTTATTGCAAATTCATCGTCAAAAATGTAAAAGAAAATAAAAACGAACCTTATCCTTTTCAAATAATGATCGACATATGTTACAATAGAGAGAATACGTGAAATGTTCTCGTAAGATGTTCAATCTGTAAAGAAATTCAATCTGAATCACTCCAACTTATTAACAATAAAGTCAAACCTACCGATTAAATGCATCTATATATATACGCCAGTTTACATCAGTTATATGAACAGCATCGTCAATCACCTAACTGTCATCTCTATTCCAATTAACATTCTGTCTTTAACAACAGGTCTGCCCTTGCAACATTCTCTCTTTAACAACATGTCTGCCCTTGCAACATTCTGTCTTTAACAACATGTCTGCCCTTGCAACATTCTGTCTTTAACAACATGTCTGCCCCTTGCAACATTCTGTCTTTAACAACATGTCTGCCCTTGCAACATTCTGTCTTTAACAACATGTCTGCCCCTTGCAACATTCTGTCTTTAACAACATGTCTGCCACTTGCAACATTCTGCTTTAATTACATGTCTACCCTTTGCAACATTCTGTCTTTAACAACATGTCTGCCCCTTGTAACATTCTGTCTTTAACAACATGTCTGCCCCTTGTAACATTCTGTCTTTAATTGCATGTCTACCCTTTGCAACATTCTGTCTTTAACAACACGTCTGCCTTGTAACATTCTGTCTTTAATTGCATGTCTACCCTTTGCAACATTCAGTCTTTAGCAACATGTCTTACGTTTAAAACATTTTGTCTTTAACAACATGTCTACCCCTTGCAATATTGTGTCATTAAAAACATCCTAACCTCTAGTAATATTCTGTCTATAATAATTTCATTGCTCCTTGCAACATTCTGTCTTAACAACATCTCTAATACTTGTAACATTTTGTATTTATCCTTAGCCACATGATGTCATAAAAAACATTTTATCTCTTGCAATATCATGTCTTTAACAAAACTCTACTGGTAGCAGCACTCTTTTCCAGATCAAACTTCCTGCCTGAACAAACCTCAACCCTTTCCGAATATTTGCCACTCAAATACACATCAGCCTCTAGCAACATCTTCATTTCAACATTCCTTTAAGCAAAAAATCTCTCCCCCTAGCGATGTGTCCTTCTACAATATTATTTGAAAGACTAGTTTTAAAGATTTTAAACCTTTTTTCAACTTCATCGTTCTTCTCCGAGTTATCAATGGACATGATGAATAAATTAATGAACCAAGTCAGCGAGTACTGGTACATGGGCTCGATGTTTGCAAGATCAGCGATGGAGAAAAACAATATTGAGGAATGGACAGCGATCGGTGCGTAACCCATACGTGTTTTGTCAATTTTCTTCTCAGTTTCGTCAGCAATCGCCTTGGAAACAGAACAAAATGACATCACACTGCTTCATTTGTGCACTATGGTGCAATAGCACTTATCATGTTTCCGCGAAAAACCTGTTTTTCGGAGATTTCATTTGCCAGCACTTTGGAAGATGAAAGAACATTGATAGCAGTCTCGTCTTCAAGAATGTTTCCCTCCGACGACAAAATAGAAAGAATTTTATCTTCTATTTCTTTCAGTTGTCTATAAACAAAGCCGTGAGAAAGGCAATCTGCATGGAATTATTTTAAAACATGCAAGATATGTTATGCAGGGTGTATCAACAAAGATAAAACTGGGCTTTTGCAGAAAGTTCTCTGAAATAAGACGAACGTTGAATAAGCAAAATCCTTCAATGATTTTTAGTGCTTAAAGGTTCTCTAACACAGCTTGAACTTGCGTTGGCCAGCACGTGCACCAAATTGCTTGAAATTTCGATAGCTCGTACAACAAAGTCCATATTTTGACTCAGGGTTATTAAATTGTTTTTCCGAGGATAATTTTTCGAACGCAAAATCTGTTTTGAAGGACTTTTAACAACAGTTCTTCCTCTGGTAAAAAATCTAGCATTTTCAAAAAATTTATAGGCTGCCGTGCCAGGCAGCCTTAAAATACTTAGAATCAGTAAAAGTTTTTCAACTTTTTTTTGATAAATCCTGTATAATGTGGTATCTACCCAGTAGTGATGCACCAGGCATGTATAATGTATTCACATTACTTTGCTATATTAATTTTAATCAAGTGTGTCACTGGTCAAGCAGACCTCAGGAACATCAATTTTTTCATAGTTGTACGCTTATAAACTTCAAAGGCATGTAATTTCAGGATAAAGTTACTCTAAGGCGCAATAAATATCCCAAATTTTGTAAGGTTTGGATAATTGTCTATACTTGGAGCCAGGAATAACTGCAAAATTACAGTGTAAATGTCACACAAGTAACGGAAAAATTGCACGGAAAGATCAATTATCGTAGCATTCAGTGGCGCAAGCAACCCGCATGTATCGTCGTGCTTGGCAAATTTCAAATCACCAACATTGCTTATTTCGCAGGAAATCTATTGTCTCCACAGTGCGTGAACACCAAAACATTCACACAGCACGAGCAAGCTTACGGGCTGGCTACGTCACTGATACCACTGCAGTATGCTTCACATGTATGATTTGTCACTGACCTCTTGTTTTCGGCACTTTGGATTATCAACGCATTCTTTTCTTCTTCGAGCTCGGGTCTCTCGCGAGCAACAACGATGCCAAGTAGCTGATCCTCTAAGCCTTCTGGAGTTATCATGAAATTCAGCAAAGTCACCTGGAAGAAACGAACGATTTCAGTCGTAGCTCAAAGGAAGAAAAAACCTAACGAAAAAAACGAGAGCATCTTTCATCTCACTTTTACAGATGTTTCTGGGAGATAATGAGGATTACGAAGTTTTGTAGTGACGTAAAATCTAAACGAAAAAATCATATTTCCAGAACTATTCACGAACACAATCTTTCTACGGAAGAAAATTCAATAATAGAAGCATACAGGGGAAGGACAAAACACTTGGCGTGTTTTTAATCACCTGAAATCTTTGGAATACTCAATTACACTGTCTCCAAGCTTAATACAAATGCTACCGCCTTGTTTGAATGTCTGTTTCAACAACAGCGGTTCGAGGACTGGGTCGAGTTCTTCACCAATGTTTTCCAAAAGTACCTGGTTTAAAAGACGTTGCCAGTTTACGAGCAAACTCGGGCGTTGATCGGGTTCAACGAAAAAAACTTACAGGAGTTCCAAACTGGATACAGTTCTCCAAAGTACGAACATAATCTTGGTCGGTCAGCTTGATCACGTGAAGATTATTTTTCTTCTCCATGTTCTTGATCCATTTGTTCGCCTGACCTTGAGGATCGATACAAAGTGGCCAGCGGTTTGCATTACTGGACAACAGAAGAAAGCGTCGTCAATAATCACGTTAGAATCACATGGAATAGGGACCGATCTTCAAGGGGAGGGGGTCGTCCAGATTAAGACCAAGGTTTACTACGACGACGTTCAACGAGGAATGAAATGTTGATCGCACTCATGTGCAAACCGTTGAACTAAAATTAACGGAACGCTACCTGAAGCAAATAATTGAAGCCAAATCTTACACTCAGACACGCGTGTGTAGTGTTTCGAGATTCTCTCGCGGTGCAGATATTGATTGAACTACACACGCGTGTCTGGGTGTAAGATTCGGCTTCAAGAATTTATAAGGGTTTTCTATTACAGGTAGCGTTCCATGTATTTTAGTTCAATTTGAATTCCAGCTTTTTTATCATGGCGGTCAAATAATGAAAATAGTATGTTTTTCAATTTTGAGTGTCGAAAATTCTGCAAAATCATACATTCAAACTGTAAAAGACAATCCAAAAGTTTTTAAAGTAGCCTGAACTATTTGATTCGTACAAATACAAAAACATGATAGAGGCACTTTATAAAGACTGATGATTTTAATAAGGCAACAATTACCTTATCACAATACCATTCTCGACAGAGAAAGAATCAGTGGGCAAACCCCAGATATTCCAATCGCGTATCTTCACTGGATCACCAAAGGTCCCAGTGACGGAGAAGTCACTCGAGCAAGGAATTCCGTTTCCAATACACTGAGCTTGCCATTGTTTGATTTGTTCCTATAGTGACACAGGATATTTTTGACAAAAATGTCCGTATCAAAACATCCGAGATGTATATCGATAGCATAACACACACGGTGCGAAAAACAACACAATCCCTTGTTCTTATAAATTCGAGTCAAATCAGTTTGTAAAACGCTGGCAAATCTCGACGCCATTATACTTTTCAGTGTTTTCAGTTTTCACAGAAACAGTTACGTCACAAACAGATAATTGTTCATGCTTCGTATGTGGCAAGATATTGAGAGTTATGTGTAGGCTCTTCACCAACGATTGCGTAGGTGAATGGTTTGAGCCCCGGAGTATCGTTATACGCTTGTAGATGTAGATCATCCAGGTTAATCGAGCCCACAGTTGATGTTGTAGAAAATCCTTCTGAGGACTCTACTAACCTAGATGATCTACATCTACAAACATGTAATATGATTTCTCAATCCATATTCAACAAGGTACGCCAGAGGACATATATTAACATATATTAACATATATTAACATATAATTGACAAATCATTACGGCAATGATTTGCCAATGACTATGAAGTTACTTGCTTTGTGTTTAACACAAACGAAATAAACACTGGATCTCAACGGCTAGCTAGGCATTGGAAGGGTCAAAACTTTAAACGTATATCGCAACCTTTAATTATTAAGCTGCATAAGAAATTTTCTCTTTTCTTAAATTGTAGGAAATTTCTTGTTGTTATACTATGCGCTGTATATATTTAGAAGGTCTGAAAATTATGGAAATATTCATATAGATTTGTCAGATCGTAGAATTTGAAACTTATTAAAATCATGTAAACATCCCATTGGAAAGATTAACGTGGAAAGATTTTTACCTGTCGAAACGAGGGATGTAAATGCGCCAAGATAGGCTACAACACCAGACGAAATAAGGACATCACCAACCAAATTTTAAACAATATCCCAAGCTGCTCAGCGGCATTCGTCCAACTAAGGACATAAGACAACACGTTCGTTATACGAGCACGTCACGCGCAGTTCACGCGGGCTATATTTTACCGTGTTTTTCACCAAGACCGCTGATCAATTTTCAGCGCGCTCAAGTTTCTTGAGCACATATCGACCTGAGGGAAGGTAAACCACATCATTCATCGAAACAGTTTCTTGAAATCTCGAAAAGAACATCATTACGACCTGTTGTTCTAGTTCTCCTTTTCTTTTCACGTTTGCTTCAAATTTCTCCTGCAATCTTGCGAGTTTAGCCTGAACTTCACGAAGCGCAGACCGCTTCTTCTCCAAACCCTGGTAGAGTAAAAGACGACGAACGTTTACAGCCTTTCTCGTGATGACCTCATTGAGATTAACACGTCGCGAAAATCGAATAATAAAGGTCTCCGGATGCGAAGAATCTTCAGTTTTTTAACGTCACCCATGTGATAAAATTCAACATCAAACCGAACAAGAATTTGCTTAAACCACTTAGGATTTTGATAAATCGATGTACAGTTTGGTCGAAGCGATATAAGATTGGGCGAAACTGATTCATAATTTGGTCAAGCCGATTTGAGATTTGGTCAAAGCGATTTGAGATATGGTCAAGCCGATTTGACATTTGGTCAAGCCGATTTGAAATTGTGTCAAGCCGATTCGAGATTTGGTCAAAGTGATTCCGGAACTTTTCAAGCAACGATGAAAATTCTTCCTTACGAAGACCCTGCATGTTTATCCAAATGTGTCCTTGTGTAATAAAAACTGATGCCCAAACAACACAGTCGATTTGAAAGTAACTCTGAATTGACTTGATGAATTGAAATACATGCACACAATCTTTGTTTGCCCTCATATCCTACCTCCATAGCCACAGCTAACTCAGCCTCAGCAGCAGCCAAAGCTTCCTTCTTTGGAGCTACCACTCGGGCAACCCTAAATAAAAACAGAAAATCAACTCCATGTGAAACGAAAAATCCTCCTGTATCCTGTACCTCACAACACGTTCGAGAAATGAGAACATTTGAGAACTCTCCATCTCTCATTCCCTCGTCCACACCTTTCTTGTCAAACTTTATCCCCACTTCTTCCTCATAGTACCTCTACTCATAAGAACAGCCCTTCTTTCCCGCGTTTAACTTATAATAGACAGTGAATCACGGTGAATTGAATGTAATTAAAAAATAAAAGATGTTTATTGTGTTTGCAAAGGCATATGCAATCTGAGGAGACCTTTGGTAGAACTCGAGAGCAGATCTAGATGAAGCACTGATGTACAGTGATGCACTGTGATGTATCCTCGTGTAAAATGATGTACAGTGATGTATCCTTATGTAAACTGATGCGCACCTGCTTTAGAGTCCTCACAAACATCTCAAAGGTTTGAATAAGCCAGCGCTAACAAAACAACATTTTTGACTTTTTCTATTAAATACCAACAATGCAAAACAAACAACTTAAAAACGAACGCTTAAATTTTCTCTGCAACATGTATTCATGGTTCATTTTCAATACTCTCTTTGATTGATTTGATTGATTTGATTGATTGAGCTCAGATCGAACGGAGCTCACATGCAATCAGCGCATGCGTTGCACTGTTTTTATTTTATAATGAACATTGAATAACAAGTAAATACTTCATTTACTTATCATATTGATCCATCGCAATGACCCATTTACACAAGCCTTCGGCAGCAGTGGACGCAGTCTTGATCTTATCGGGATCGAATTCCGGATTCGAGGTGTACTTCTGACGGATGGTTTTCACAATGCTTGGTGCAATGTTATCCTATGGAATGTTTTCGGTTTGAAATCTCTCAGAAAGAGTAAGCAAAGATAACATCATTAGTAGAAAATGAGATCACCTTATCATAAGTGTGTAGACTTTTCAGGAAGTTCATGTCACCAAGAATCTTCTTGGAAGGTCCCCAGAAGTCTTCGATCTTTTTGCCTGAAGTGAAAGTTCTATTGATGAAATTAAAGTTCTATTCATGAAGTAATTATAAAACGCCAACATTCAACAAGGTTTTCGCAGAGACGCTTGTCTGAAATGACAAAAAAGAAAACGAACCAGAGCCAGATGGATCAGGTATTCTATCCGGTTTGATTCCCTTCAGTACACAAATGGCTTCCATGACTATTTTCACTCCATTTGGAGGAGATTTCATCGTCTTCACAACAGTGATATCTTGATTTGTGAGAGTGTTAAGTGCAGCTAAAGCACTCTCTAGGATCGGCAATGCTTCACCCAGTTCATGATCACATTCGTCTTTAATGGCTTGAGCAGCCCCCGCTTGCTCATTGGCTACGGCCTCGTCAGCTTTTACAACCTGGAAAGGAAAGGTATATCTTCTCAATAACCTAACGCATAACAAAGAAATGACGGCGACTCTCTCCCATCACCCACAGTTTGGCCTTACACAACGTTCAGATTTGTCTACTTCTTCAGACTCATTCTTTACGACAGTCAGTTTTTAATCACGGGATTGACAGTTCTATAAACCTTTTCAGTTTCGGCAACTTCAGCCGATTCTTTCTTGATAACAATCATCATTTCGTCGACCTCTTTACCAGCAACTACGAGCTGTGGTTGCAATTCTTCCAATTCCCGTTGCATCACCGATACCTACAGATACAAAGACAGCGCCATGGAAGGTATCATTCAACAATAGGAAGTGAACGATAAATTAGAGAACAACAAACCTCCGAAGCGGCATTCTTCAACCTTTGTAAACCATTTTCGTATCGATTCTTTGCCTGGATTACTTCACTGCAACAATGCAAAACTTTGAATGCTTTGAATTTTGAACAAACAAAATGTACAAAGAAAAAGATGTCGATTGCTGACACAGGCATACAGTAGGAGATTCTTTGGATGAACGCAAAGTCGGAAGTAAGTAAGAATTCTTCGGTTAATTTCATAACAAAATTGCGCCATGCACAGCTCCTTACTGTCATCAGATGGATTGGAATAAATATCATCAAAAGCGATGGCAATCATTCGAATCTTCCCGAAATAAACACATAAATTGCCACAAAAGTGAAGTACGTTTATTGACAAACTCGGCCCAGGCTCCTTGCGTATATCAAATACGTCATGCACTCATTTACAATCTGATGTACAGTGATGCATTGTGACGTATTCTTATGTATACTGATGTATACTGATGTACACTGATGTACAGTGATGTATTCTAATGTACACTGATGTACGGCAAGACTAAATAAAGCTGGTAAATCAATCGTGCTTCCATTTTTACTCACCCCTGTTTCTTTTGAAGGAGAACTTTAAACGTGTTGATGAGTTCAAGATATGACGTCGGTGTCACGTAATTATGACGTTTCAGTTCGCTAAGAAACCTCGTTGATAGAACACGTGTTCCCGTGTGAAATTCCTGGCACATCTTGACACAGCCCCCTCGTATCGCAGAGGACATTTCGGTCTCGGCGAGAAACCGCTGGGCAACGACTTGTAAAGCATCCGCCGGCCATGACTGAATAAAAAAAACATAGAATGAAGCAAAACGTCTTTTAATATTCACTTTTTTACACGTCATTTTAACACTCACTTGAAACCAGTCGATAGTACAGCAATTCACAAGAGAAGGAAACTTTCGTAATCTTGTGCGGAAAGCATCGCCAATTGGACTCATTGCTAGAACAATGTGCAGCTGATTTCGTACTCTTTCGATGAAGAAATTGAACAGGGCAACAGGGGAACCATCTGTCTGTTTAGATTTTTCTCGTTGTCTTAAAAAAACGTCGAGTGAGGAGAGTTATAGTGAGCTCAAATACAAGAAACATGATCATAAACACAACATTAAAATAATATTACCTATCAAACACACGCATTTTTTCGCAAATCTCTTGTTTCTCGTCCAGTGCAAAAAGGTTTGGTACCTCGCCTGCATTCAGAAGGTTATTTATGTCTTCGAGGAATGACTCCTCTTTAATCTAAAAAGTAAACAGCTCCGTAATACAAGCATAATACAAACTAAACCTTTAAAAAGACTTCACTGATAGAAAACAGGGCTATGAGAAAAGGTTACACAGAGAGCATAATACAAAATTAACCTTTAATATAGTTTCACTAATAGAAAACTGTGCGAGGAGAAAACGTAACACAAAGAGCATAAACCTTTAAGAAAGTTTCACTGATAGAAAACTGTGCGAGGAGAAAACGTAACACAAAGAGCATAAACCTTTAAGATAGTTTCACTGATAGAAAACTGTGCGAGGAGAAAACGTAACACAAAGAGCATAAACCTTTAAGAAAGTTTCACTGATAGAAAACTGTGCGAGGAGAAAACGTAACACAAAGAGCATAAACCTTTAAGATAGTTTCACTGATAGAAACCTGTGCGGGGAGAAAAGGTAACACAAAGAGCATAAACCTTTAAGAAAGTTTCACTGATAGAAAACTGTGCGAGGAGAAAACGTAACACAAAGAGCATAAACCTTTAAGAAAGTTTCACTGATAGAAACCTGTGCGGGGAGAAAAGGTAACACAAAGAGCATAAACCTTTAAGATAGTTTCACTGATAGAATCCTGTGCGAGGAGAAAACGTAACACAAAGAGCATAAACCTTTAAGAAAGTTTCACTGATAGAAAACTGTGCGAGGAGAAAACGTAACACAAAGAGCATAAACCTTTAAGAAAGTTTCACTGATAGAAAACTGTGCGAGGAGAAAACGTAACACAAAGAGCATAAACCTTTAAGATAGTTTCACTGATAGAAACCTGTGCGGGGAGAAAAGGTAACACAAAGAGCATAAACCTTTAAGAAAGTTTCACTGATAGAAAACTGCGCGAGGAGAAAACGTAACACAAAGAGCATAAACCTTTAAGAAAGTTTCACTGATAGAAAACTGTGCGAGGAGAAAACGTGACACAAAGAGCATAAACCTTTAAGATAGTTTCACTGATAGAATCCTGTGCGAGGAGAAAACGTAACACAAAGAGCATAAACCTTTAAGAAAGTTTCACTGATAGAAAACTGTGCGAGGAGAAAACGTTACACAAAGAGCATAAACCTTTAAGAAAGTTTCACTGATAGAAAACTGTGCGAGGAGAAAACGTAACACAAAGAGCATAAACCTTTAAGATAGTTTCACTGATAGAATCCTGTGCGAGGAGAAAACGTAACACAAAGAGCATAAACCTTAAGAAAGTTTCACTGATAGAAAACTGTGCGAGGAGAAAACGTAACACAAAGAGCATAAACCTTAAGAAAGTTTCACTGATAGAAAACTGTGCGAGGAGAAAACGTAACACAAAGAGCATAAACCTTTAAGAAAGTTTCACTGATAGAAACTGTGCGGGGAGAAAAGGTAACACAAAGAGCATAAACCTTTAAGATAGTTTCACTGATAGAATCCTGTGCGAGGAGAAAACGTAACACAAAGAGCATAAACCTTTAAGAAAGTTTCACTGATAGAAAACTGTGCGAGGAGAAAACGTAACACAAAGAGCATAAACCTTTAAGAAAGTTTCACTGATAGAAAACTGTGCGAGGAGAAAACGTAACACAAAGAGCATAAACCTTTAAGATAGTTTCACTGATAGAAACCTGTGGGGAGAAAAGGTAACACAAAGAGCATAAACCTTTAAGAAAGTTTCACTGATAGAAAACTGCGCGAGGAGAAAACGTAACACAAAGAGCATAAACCTTTAAGAAAGTTTCACTGATAGAAAACTGTGCGAGGAGAAAACGTGACACAAAGAGCATAAACCTTTAAGATAGTTTCACTGATAGAATCCTGTGCGAGGAGAAAACGTAACACAAAGAGCATAAACCTTTAAGAAAGTTTCACTGATAGAAAACTGTGCGAGGAGAAAACGTTACACAAAGAGCATAAACCTTTAAGAAAGTTTCACTGATAGAAAACTGTGCGAGGAGAAAACGTAACACAAAGAGCATAAACCTTTAAGATAGTTTCACTGATAGAATCCTGCGAGGAGAAAACGTAACACAAAGAGCATAAACCTTTAAGAAAGTTTCACTGATAGAAAACTGTGCGAGGAGAAAACGTAACACAAAGAGCATAAACCTTTAAGAAAGTTTCACTGATAGAAAACTGTGCGAGGAGAAAACGTAACACAAAGAGCATAAACCTTTAAGAAAGTTTCACTGATAGAAAACTGTGCGAGGAGAAAACGTAACACAAAGAGCATAAACCTTTAAGATAGTTTCACTGATAGAATCCTGTGCGAGGAGAAAACGTAACACAAAGAGCATAAACCTTTAAGAAAGTTTCACTGATAGAAAACTGTGCGAGGAGAAAACGTAACACAAAGAGCATAAACCTTTAAGAAAGTTTCACTGATAGAAAACTGTGCGAGGAGAAAACGTAACACAAAGAGCATAAACCTTTAAGAAAGTTTCACTGATAGAAAACTGTGCGAGGAGAAAACGTAACACAAAGAGCATTAACCTTTAAGAAAGTTTCACTGATAGAAAACTGTGCGAGGAGAAAACGTTACACAAAGAGCATAAACCTTTAAGAAAGTTTCACTGATAGAAAACTGTGCGAGAAAACGTAACACAAAGAGCATAAACCTTAAGAAAGTTTCACTGATAGAAACCTGTGCGAGGAGAAAACGTAACACAAAGAGCATAAACCTTTAAGAAAGTTTCACTGATAGAAACCTGTGCGAGGAGAAAACGTAACACAAAGAGCATAAACCTTTAAGAAAGTTTCACTGATAGAAAACTGTGCGAGGAGAAAACGTAACACAAAGAGCATAAACCTTTAAGAAAGTTTCACTGATAGAAACCTGTGCGAGGAGAAAACGTAACACAAAGAGCATAAACCTTTAAGAAAGTTTCACTGATAGAAAACTGTGCGAGGAGAAAACGTAACACAAAGAGCATAAACCTTTAAGAAAGTTTCACTGATAGAAAACTGTGCGAGGAGAAAACGTAACACAAAGAGCATAAACCTTTAAGAAAGTTTCACTGATAGAAAACTGTGCGAGGAGAAAACGTAACACAAAGAGCATAAACCTTTAAGAAAGTTTCACTAATAGAAAACTGTGCGAGGAGAGAAGGTTAGACGGAGAGCATAATAATAGTTTCACTGTTAGAAAACTGTGCAACGAGTGAAGGTTGTAGAGAGCATAATAAAACTAATCCTCTTCTAAATTCACTGATAAAAAACTGCAATAAACTGTATTGCTACTAATCAAACGCAAGCGGCAGAAAAAAATTCCCAGCACAAAAAAGGTAACAAAAAAAAAAGGTTTAACATCAAAATGCAAAGTAACTAACCTGAGTATCGGTAAAGAGGAAGACGCCGGGTTGTTCACCTTCCGCAGTCTTTCTTAATATAACTTTCAAATCTTCGCGCCATTCAGCCGACGTGTAACCTTTACCAATCTCGACCTGATGATCAAAAGATAAATAAGTTATTATTGTGATACATAAGAGGACATGCAATGTTGCAATAGCGTCATTTTGAAGGCCTTCCGAGAAAACATGACAGAGCATGCGCATACTTTTACAAGGTACAAACATACCAGTTGAAAAAACATGGGTTTATAAGTTGCAGAACAGATTGTACAGGGTGACACCATGAGTTCCAAACTTACAATGCAACAGCTTATGGTACAACTTATGCATTACCACATTGGGTTGGATAAGCGTAAACTCTCCCCACGTCCCTCTTCCTACATTGTAGTTTTCAATACTATATAGGTACAGAAACAGGGGGGGCATGCTGGAACATTTTAGAGGCCTAAGGGCAGGTTTAGAACCAAAACAAACTTGATACAACTCTTCTTCGGAAGTTGCTTTCATCAACTGTAGCGCATTTAATAATTTTTAAATTTTTCAAGTGCCTTGTAATGGCAGGGGGCCCACAACGAGTTTTCGTTGTCTCGTCACGAGCCAGTATACCCCTGATACGAAATCTGTGAGAATATGAACGTTAATACAGTATAGAAATATAGTCGTAGTTAATGGATGCGGCCTGGCAGTTTATTCCACGTAAAACAACAGGAAGAAATAAGATACGGCTGCCGTCGATAAGCTTAGCATATTCCATAAGTCATGAAGCGACTATCAGTTCGCTGATTATTTAGAGCAGCTGAGCTATAGTTGTACCTGGAACAGCTCGTAGTCGGCCATGTGAGCGGCAAGCCTTGTTAAGCTCTGACGACCAGAGCCCCCGACGCCAACCAAGAGAGCATGACCACGTGGTTGCTTCAACACTCGCGATATGCGCGACACGTGTTCAATAGCAAACCTTAAAGAAAAAATAGACGACAGAGTATTACAAGAGACGGAATGAAAAGACATAATGAAAGGCTTCACATACAAGATGCGGATGAATGTTACGGTAAGAATTTCAATTCAGTGCCCTCTCCAATAATATATAAAGTTTAGCCACTCTCTCCCACACACACACCAAACGATTTGCCGCTGACATACCGTTACAAGTACTTTATGTAGTTTTATGTAAAATACTTGCTATATTATGTTAATGTAACACGTTGATACATACAGTTTGACATAAATATATATTACAGTTGTAAACGGACTTTTTTTTATCATATTTAGAATGTATAATTGTTGCCCTCGACCACCTATGTTGCAGGGTTGTGCTGCTCAAAAATTACTCCTTTCCTTTGCCAATGCAGTACAATACAAGGTCAGATATAGAAGCTGAAAGTGAACGATTGAAAGAGGTACGTGCAATATATGCAAAATGAAAGACGAAAACTCATATGCTTTGTTACATAAAATTATACTCCTCGTGGTTGGTTTGGTCGTTGGTAATGACAGAAAAAAAATGCCAAATAATGAGTCTTTTAAAACGAAACGAAACAAAACAATTTTCTTTGCCATTATATTTGGTGTAACCTCCTGCAACTGGATATTTTATAAGAACAATGACGATGTAAGTTTCTTGTTGTAAAAATGCAACGTTTTGCCTGGTTTGAAACATAGAAGTAAGAAATTTGTCACGTATGCACTTTAAAATAAAGATAGTATTCGTTGATGGAACAAAAACATGTTTAAAATTATTTATGTTTTAGCTTCTTCAAGAATGAAACCGCGAGAGAATATTTCAGCTGCTATTTTACATAATAATGCAGTGGAACCTCTACTTAAAGACACCTTCCTTAAGCTCGTCGTCCCAAGGGTGTTTCCTTACGGTAGGTTTGACTGTAGTTACAAATGGAGATGAGCTCACCTAAACAATACAAGATTCATGGGTTTCTTGCTCATGTTATTGAACTCTTCCAGATAGCCTTCCACGACCTTCCTCAATTGGCCGAGATCAGCAACCTCCACGTACGGTTTACTGTCATTCTTCGGATCAGAAAAATCACAACAGATCAAGCTTCGCAGGTTGTCTTCGGTTATAATTTCGGCGCTAACGTCCAGGTGTTGAAACACACGGTTGAAATCGACTTTGAGACTCCGTTGCATCTCTTCTTTCGTGAACTCAAAGAGCCACGAACGATCTGCATCATCCACGAGCCGATCATAGTAAACGCGGAAGACCTGAAGAAAATACACACGTGAACATCACGTGGGCTGCATGGAAATCAACACGGCAAACAAACAAAGACTTTTACAGAAGAGAAATTGAGAACAAAAGAAGGGGCACACTTGAACATCGCGCGAGGTGCATGGATATTAACAGGGCAAAAAGGAAAACGACTTTTCTCGAAAGGATATTGAGGAAAGAGATGCGAAAAGAAGCACCGAAAAAGGATGTTTGCAAAACTAGAAATTCGAGCTTTTAAAAGTGGGTCAATAATTTTGTATTGAAAACGGTCAATTAACTCGTTTTCAAATGCTCAAATATCGACAAAAAAGCGTCAGTGGTCAATCGGAGTCAATTGAGCACACTGCATGATGATAAACAATACTGAAAACGTCGAAAGCCGGCAAGAAACTGCATAAGAGTGAAACACTCAATAGACATATATAAAAAAGGAAACATTATCTTCTAGCACTGCAATGATGTTGATTACCTCGTGTACCCAAAGACGCTTCAACGTGTTATGGTCTAACGTGTGTTCAGGTGTTGACAACAAAACTCCCTAGATACAGAAAAAACTTCATTCACTTCATCTTCATGAGATAAAGCAATCACACCGGGTGAATGCAATGCTAAAGTATGGAAGCGAGCACTTTTCAAAGACTTTCAAGGACATTGACACAAGACCTTAAAATGCACACAAAGCACAGTAACAGTAAATCATTAAAAACTTTATCAAAATTAAAACAAAAGATTTTTCTACAAAAACAAAATGAGGACAAAAGAACTAATGAATCGAGAGCAAATGTTGCGTTTTCTTACGACTTGAAAGCCGCAGCGTCGGCGAGTCACTTGAAAGAAATGACATTAACCCAAGTAATCAACTAACGATCACAATCATACCAATGTATCATTCCTTTATATCTGGACAACTCGAGCAATCGATTATAAAAGTAATCAACTAACAATCACAATCATACCAATATATCCTTCCTTTTCTACCTGGACAACTCGAGCAACCGGTTACACAAGTAATCAACTAACGATCACAATCATACCAATATATCCTTCCTTTTCTACCTGGACAACTCGAGCAACCGGTTATACAAGTAATCAACTAACGTTCACAATCATACCAATATATCCTTCCGTTTATACCTGGACAACTCGAGCAACCGATTACACAAGTAATCAACTAACGATCACAATCATACCAATATATCCTTCCGTTTATACCTGGACAACTCGAGCAACCGATTACACATGTAATCAACTAACGTTCACAATCATACCAATATATCCTTCCGTTTATACCTGGACAACTCGAGCAACCGATTACACATGTAATCAACTAACGTTCACAATCATACCAATATATCCTTCCGTTTATACCTGGAAAACTCGAGCAACCGATTATACAAATAATCAACTAACAATCACAATCATACCAATATATCCTTCCGTTTATACCTGGACAACTGGAGCAACTGATTACACATGTAATCAACTAACGTTCACAATCATACCAATATATCCTTCCGTTTATACCTGGACAACTCGAGCAACCGATTACACATGTAATCAACTAACGATCACAATCATACCAATACATCCTTCCGTTTATACCTGGACAACTCGAGCAACCGGTTATACAAATAATCAACTAACGTTCACAATCATACCAATACATCCTTCCGTTTATACCTGTACAACTCGAGCAACCGGTTATACAAGTAATCAACTAACGTTCACAATCATACCAATACATCCTTCCCTTTATACCTGGAAAACTCGAGCAACCGATTACACATGTAATCAACTAACGATCACAATCATACCAATACATCCTTCCGTTTATACCTGGACAACTCGAGCAACCGGTTACACAAGTAATCAACTAACGATCACAATCATACCAATATATCCTTCCGTTTATACCTGGACAACTCGAGCAACCGATTACACAAGTAATCAACTAACGATCACAATCATACCAATATATCCTTCCGTTTATACCTGGACAACTCGAGCAAAATCTCTTAAATTAAAAAGGTAATGTGATTTCGCTGGTGTCGGCAAAAGGTTCGCCATAGCGTTCTTGTAAACTGATAACGTTGCGTTGATCAACGATTCGCCAATTGGAAGGAAGTCTTTACTGAATCCACTAAAATTGTGATAAAAACAATTTGAGGTTCTGTTACTGTTGCTTTAATCAATTTCATAACATACTTTGTTGTTAGGTGCCAGTCCATCACGCGGCCAAATATTTTCAACATGGTGACGTCATCGAACATCGTTATGGTGATCGTGTTGAAATGGCGTAGAAATCGAGGCGTTACCGGGTTTCGACCACCGCCAGGAGGTCCCATGGCCGCAATGATTTGAATGTCGACCAGATGTATTGGTGACGTGTCCTTGAGATCATACCTTATGTAAGATTGCATATATCAAAGTTATAATAGGATCGTTTAGCTCATAGAAAGTATAGGCATACATAGTAGAATGAAGAACAATATGTTCAACAACATAGGTACGAGAACTTAAGGTAATCGTTCATCAAATAATGCATGCTAGGTCTAATGATTCGTGCTAAGTCAAATGATGTATGCTAGGTCTAATGATTCGTGCTAGGTCTAATGATGCATGCTAAGTCAAATGATGAATGCTAGGTCTAATGATTCATGCTAGGTCTAATGATGCATGCAAACTCAAATGATGAATGCTAGGTCAAATGATGAATGCTAGGTCTAATGATGCATGCTAAGTCAAATGATGAATGCTAAGTCAAATGATGTATGCTAGGTCTAATGATTCGTGCTAGGTCTAATGATGCATGCTAAGTCAAATGATGAATGCTAGGTCTAATGATTCATGCTAGGTCTAATGATGCATGCTAACTCAAATGATGAATGCTAGGTCAAATGATGAATGCTAAGTCTAATGATGAATGCTAGGTCTAATGATGCATGCTAAGTCAAATGATGAATGCTAAGTCAAATGATGAATGCTAAGTCAAATGATGAATGCTAAGTCAAATGATGAATGCTAAGTCAAATGATGAATGCTAGGTCTAATGATGAATGCTAAGTCAAATGATGAATGCTAGGTCAAATGATGAATGCTAGGTCTAATGATGAATGCTAAGTCAAATGATGAATGCTAGGTCTAATGATGCATGCTAGGTCTAATGATGCATGCTAAGTCAAATGATGAATGCTAAGTCAAATGATGAATGCTAGGTCTAATGATGAATGCTAAGTCAAATGATGAATGCTAGGTCAAATGATGAATGCTAAGTCAAATGATGAATGCTAGGTCTAATGATGCATGCTAAGTCAAATGATGAATGCTAAGTCAAATGATGAATGCTAGGTCTAATGATGCATGCTAAGTCAAATGATGAATGCTAGGTCAAATGATGAATGCTAGGTCTAATGATGAATGCTAGGTCTAATGATGCATGCTAAGTCAAATGATGAATGCTAGGTCTAATGATGAATGCTAGGTCAAATGATGAATGCTAGGTCTAATGATGCATGCTAGGTCAAATGATGAATGCAAGGTCTAATGATGTATTCAAGGTCTATAAGTTAGATAACCTACCAGTTCCAATGATCCAGCCATTGCCGGATTAATTCAATAGGAGGTTGAGCACCATAAACTTCACGAGCCGGCATGTTGAGATCGTCAATAAAGATCACCTAAGAAGATATATATATATAATGGGATTTTGTGATAGAAACTATCGCAAACAAAATCGCACGGATAGAGTGCTCAATGCCACGGCAGAGCGGTATAATTGAAAATAAAATGAACCACGAATTACTTCATCGAAATTTATTCCCTATTATATATGTACATAAATATTAATTATTTAAAACAATCGTATGCTTGATAGCCACACGCAAAGGATTTTGCTATTCTTAGGCTGAGACGTGAAGTGCAACCAACAAGCTAAAGGCAGTCGATGCTGAAAGCAACACGGCAATGATGTTTTAATACGTAGTTTGAGTTACGTCACACAACGCTAACATGCCAAGTTATGCAACCATTACATCCGCCGTTAACTTAGCTTAAATCAAAGCAAACAACACAAACCAAATACAATAACTTACGGTCTTTTTGCCCAGCGGAGGTCCGAACACCCCTTTTCTCCTTTTGTCCAACTTTGACATGATGATGTCCTGGGTTTGTTTCGCAGTCGTTTGAGCCGAGAAATTGATGAGCAGCGGTTTGTACTTCTCTTTCGAAAGGTTGTTCAATAAAAAGTTCTAGAGGACAAAGGGTACAAGGCGTTATAAAATGAAAGTCGAATAATCATATGCCATTGAATTAATCTACACAGTTCATGACAGTCTAAAGAGACTCGAGCAGCGTGCACTATCGTTGACGATTGCAGTGATTTCTACTGTAAAAAATAATCATTGAAAATTTGCAGGAAAATTGAAATATGTCATAAAGAACTATTCAAATCTTTTCATTGATTTTCGTGGATTGTACGATTTAATGCGAAGATCAAGTGGAGACACACATTAAGCTGTTTAAAACAGTCGTAGGCATAAAAAAGGATTTCAGCATCAGCACTTACGGTAATGTATACAGACTTTCCAGTTCCAGTAGGTCCAACAAAAAGACAGGGTTTCTCGTGAGAGACAAGTTGATTCATGAGAAACGTATAACGAACAGTGTCCACAGTCGGTACGATGATTTCATTAAACATCATTTCCTGGGAGAAAATGTTTCTTTACTGCAAGAGACCTCAAGAAGACAGTACGTATTGTAGAATGCGGGGTTTCGAAATTTTGCACGACGAAGGTAGAGAGTTCACATAACATACGTTTGTCTTGCAGTGTGAGCAAAAATGCTCCTATGGAAAGTGTAACTGAGGCAGCAGCGAAATATCAATAACTGTGAGGATGGGGGTTAGATATTCATGTGATGTGCCATATTTTATATAATTTAGAATCGATTTCTTTAGAAACTAATGAAAGAGGGTACATGGATGTCTTCAGCTAACTCTTACAAATTATGTTGCAAATCTTCTTTCTTACATAGCAAAATTAAACCTAATACATACCCTAACACCATAATTTTTATTAAACACCACTACGTACCTTGGGAATTGGAGGCGCATCTTTGATCTCGTCTGTCCAAAGTTCCCACCTTCCCATACCCTTAAAAGAAAAGTTTGAAGCAAAATCTGTAGATATTAATCTTTTATGAGAGATAAAAAAGGGGGAATTATTTTTTGCCTTGGGATCATCCTAAGATCACGCAATAACACACGATATCTTTACCTCCTTCATGAAGCGATAATCATAAACAGTTCCTTTGTGAGGGAACGGACACAAAAACGGTCGCGGAGGCGGTTCGACCATTGCAATGATATTATAATTAGCCTGGGTGTCAATTGACAGTGGACCCTGGTTAAAACAAAACAAAAAATAATTGTAGTTAGTTTGGGAGTACGTTCTGCTTCATTACCGTGCAGTTTGATTAGCGTCTACGAGATGTAAGAGTCTCTCTCAACCACCGAAACATCAAAGACTTTAGACGTAAAAGAGTTCTCTTCATAATCATCAACAAAATCCTAAACATGACTAGGGTTTATTGAATAGAAGGTTCTCTCACAACTAACAAAGTATCATGAACAAATTTTAAACATGTTGGCATGGGAAAGGGAATTTTTCTTCATAACCACCAATTAATGACTTTTGATGAATTTTGACTATATGAGGTTCAATGGATTGTTCTTAACCGCCGAACTATCATAAAGACTTGGGTATGGGAGAACGTTTTCACCCATAGCTCTTAATAAAACCAGATATGAGGTTTCCTTGACGTAAAGGAATGAGAACAACGGAGGACGATAAAAATCAGGGAAGACAATGACAAGTAAAGGTCACGAAGGGAAGGAAGATAAAGAGAAGAGGATGACGATAAAGACAAGAGGATGACGTTAAAGAGAAGAGGATGACAATAAAGAGAAGAGGATGACGATAAAGACAAAAGGAGGAAGATAAAAAAAAAAGGATGACAATATAGACAAGAGAAGGACGATAAAGAGAAGAGGATGACGCTAAAGACAAGAAAAGGACAATAACGAGAAGAGAATGATGATAAAAAGCAAGAAAAGACGCTAAAGAGAAATGAAGAAATTGTAAAAAGACGCAATGAAGGGGAACGTTCTCTTTCAAAACAAATCATGACGTGAATCTTGATGCGTTTCACTCCTCAAAGATTCAGAAGAAATGCTTTTCTTATCAGATGTTACAGTTGATAAAATCAAACCATCTACACAGATATAGTTCAAGCTGACATTGGTCATAATGAATAAACGTAACTCAACTCACGTCAATTATCTCGCGAAATAGAGAGTCAAACGCTTTTCGTCCTTCAAAGGGAATAGTAGCTCCCAGGGACCACACGGCCGCAAAAAGATAGATACACTACAATAAAAAAGATTGTGATATATCAACAATAAAATTGACTTCAAAAACATTCGAGAAAAGTTGCTAATACCTCTAGCCAAGATGCCACCTCGCGTTCGTTCAATTTCTTAAATTCCTCTTCACTTTTGAATTCATCCATCATCGTCTCCATCAAAGTCATATGAGCGTAGACAAGATTAGCATCGTTTGTAGGAGACATTTCCTAAATCGCAATAAAAATTAAGCTCATATTAAAGACGAGTAGCTTTTCAAGTCCTGTCATATTAACTGGAAAATATTCAAGTCCAGTCATATTAAATGGAATATTTTCAAGTCCTGTTATATTAACTGGAATATTTTCAAGTCCTGTCATATTAACTGGAATATTTTCAAGTCATTCATATTAAATGGAATATTTTCAAGTCCTGTTATATTAACTGGAATATTTTCAAGTCCTGTCATATTAACTGGAGCATTTTCAAGTCATTCATATTAGCAGGAAAATATTCAAGTCCTGTCATATTGACTGGGAAATAAAATATATTTTCCAAATAAGAAGACGACAAAATTTGATCATCACTTGCAATGCAATTTATCTTGTTTTTTCAAGCGGCAACGGTTTCATGACTCTGTAAAATGCACGCACACAACCTGTACTTTTTGCACACTTTTTAAGAAAATTTGAAAATAAGAAAGTTCGAAACAAGAAAATCCTGAAAGCAGAGAGTCCGCGCCAACGCTGCCGAAGCTCGCGATGACAAAAAGATCGCGGCAACTTTTGTAAACAGACCTGACCTTAAATCCACCTTTTCTGATGAATTGCAAAAGAGCCGTTTCCATTCTGTCGAAGAGATCCCTTATCAATTCTTTGCTGTCTTCCTTCAAAGTCTTTGGCAAGGTGTTCAACCAGGAAAGCAGTAATGGCCTCCAGCCTAACATTTCAGGTTCCATGTAGATCATACCACACCGACTCACCTTAAAGGCGAAAGTAAATTTACGGTGTTACCTTAGTCAGCACAATATTTACAGGACAATTCTTTGAAATGGGGCCGGCATGGAACATTTTAAATACTACTCTTTATGAGGTGCTATATCATGTCTATTTATAATAGGATCATCAGATATGGTATATAATGTATTTTTTATTACATCAAAATTCACTGAATTCGGTACTTGTTGAAAAGGACTAACGAAATTTTCGTGGGTCACAAACGGGAAGCAAGATATTTGCCTTTGTAGCTCAGAGAAAGATGATGAAAAAATATCGCAGTATAAGTTTTCAGATAAAGTCATCCTAAGACGAAATAAATATCCTATAGTTTAGAAGGTCTTGACTATTGTCTTCCCGCTAGAAGCCAAATTAACCACAGAATTACGGTGTGAATATCGCACATGGGAGGGGAAAATTGCCGAAAATGATTAAGAATTTTAACAGATCGACATAACAACAAGTCGTAGACGACGGTGTTGACATTTAAACTAAATTTACTCGAGGGGCTGTTTAAACGAGCTTGGCTAGCCATGATTTGGTGTGGAACGAAATGATGCTTCGCTAGTAAAAAGTATAACATAAAAAGACGCAACTAATCCACTGGTAATTTTAGGATTAAAGTTACTTGAATATTGTCTTATATGTTGTGTATACTTGTATATGTACCTAGAGTGAGAATATTGTCTTATATGTTGTGTATACTTGTATATGTATCTAGAGTGAGAATATTGTCTTATATGTTGTGTATACTTGTATATGTATCTAGAGTGAATATTGTCTTATATGTTGTGTATACTTGTATATGTATCTAGAGTGAATATTGTCTTATATGTTGTGTATGCTTGTATATGTATCTAGAGTGAGAATATTGTCTTATATGTTGTGTATACTTGTATATGTACCTAGAGTGAATATTGTCTTATATGTTGTGTATACTTGTATATGTACCTAGAGTGAATATTGTCTTATATGTTGTGTATACTTGTATATGTATCTAGAGTGAATATTGTCTTATATGTTGTGTATACTTGTATATGTACCTAGAGTGAGAATATTGTCTTATATGTTGTGTATACTTGTATATGTACCTAGAGTGAATATTGTCTTATATGTTGTGTATACTTGTATATGTACCTAGAGTGAATAATTTCTTATATGTTGCATATACTTGTATATGTACCTAGAGTGAGAATATTGTCTTATATGTTGTGTATACTTGTATATGTATCTAGAGTGAGAATATAGCGTAAATGTGCGAGTGAAGTATAGTCATTTGATAAATATACATTGGATCATTTTGTTTTGTCAAAATCATTGATGTACTCTTTACTTTTAGATATACTTTTGGTAATTGATGATATCAAGAATTCTCTCTAGAAAACCTCTTGTAGTGGATGATGTTAGGATTTAGATTTACATCGACTTACGATGGTTGACAAGATCCAGTTTTACATCGGATTAACTTACGGCGGCTGGTGTGATTCAGATCATATTAAATCATTACAGCGGGTAGTGTTGACATTTAAAATAGATTGATTTAAGAGGTAGACGTGATCAAGATTTAGATGAGACTGACTTTCGTATGACTGGTGTGATTCATATCATATTAAATCATTACATCGGGTGGTGTTGACATTTAAAATAGATTGATTTAAGAGGTAGACGTGATCAAGATTTAGATGAGATTGACTTTCGTATGACTGATGTGATTTAGATTATATTAAATCATTACAGCGGGTGGTGTTGACATTCAAAATAGATTGATTTAAGAGGTACAAGTGATCAAGATTTAGATAAGATTGACTTACAGTGGCGGGCGATGCAACTTCAAGGTCCATTGGCTCAAACATGAGATTCGTGGTCGATGCCAATTGGATGATCTCACCGCTATTCAAGCAAAGCTACAAAATCAAACACAATCTAATGTTTAAATAACAAACACCACATAAGTGAACGATAAAGCAGCGCAGCAGCAGTTTTTCTGGTATAAATTGGCGATATTTGGTTGGTCGACTTTGTCAGAATATAAAGCGTTAATTATTTATTCTATGTGGCTCCTAACAAGGACCGTACCTAGAACGTTAACTGGGATGAGAGTGTGTTAAATATTCATATGTTCATGGCTCTTAACCAGAACCGTAGCTAGAACGTTAACTGGGATGAGAGTGTGTTAAATATTCATATGTTCATGGCTCCTAACCAGGACTGTAGCTAGAACGTTCACTGGGATGAGAGTGTGTTAAATATTCATATGTTCATGGCTCCTAACAAGGACCGTAGCTAGAACGTTCACTGGATGAGAGTGTGTTAAATATTCATATGTTCATGGCTCCTAACCAGGACCGTAGCTAAAACGTTAACTGGGATGAGTGTGTTAAATATTCATATGTTCATGGCTCCTAATCAGACCGTAGCTTAAACGTTAACTGGGATGAGATGTTAAATATTCATATGTTCATGGCTCCTAACCAGAACCGTAGCTAGAACGTTCACTGGGATGAGAGTGTGTTAAATATTCATATGTTCATGGCTCCTAACCAGGACTGTAGCTAGAACGTTCACTGGGATGAGAGTGTGTTAAATATTCATATGTTCATGGCTCCTAACCAGAACCGTAGCTAGAACGTTCACTGGGATGAGAGTGTGTTAAATATTCATATGTTCATGGCTCCTAACCAGAACCGTATCTAGAACGTTAACTGGGATGAGAGTATGTTAAATATTCATATGTTCATGGCTCCTAACCAGAACCGTAGCTAGAACGTTAACTGGGATGAGAGTGTGTTAAATATTCATATGTTCATGGCTCCTAATCAGGACCGTAGCTTAAACGTTAACTGGGATGAGAGTGTGTTAAATATTCATATGTTCATGGCTCCTAACCAGAACCGTATCTAGAACGTTAACTGGGATGAGAGTGTGTTAAATATTCATATGTTCATGGCTCCTAACCAGGACCGTAGCTAGAACGTTAACTGGGATGAGAGTGTGTTAAATATTCATATGTTCATGGCTCCTAACCAGAACCGTAGCTAGAACGTTAACTGGGATGAGAGTGTGTTAAATATTCATATGTTCATGGCTTCTAACAAGGACCGTAGCTAGAACTTTAACTGGGATGGGAGTGTGTTAAATATTCATATGTTCATGGCTTCTAACAAGGACCGTAGCTAGAACTTTAACTGGGATGGGAGTGTGTTAAATATTCATATGTTCAGTTGAGTTTCTTTGACAGCCAATTCACTTTCTAAAGAGCAATGTCGGGCACAACTACGTATATAAATATTCAACCCTCCCTGTCCACAAAGTTCCAGCTGCGTTCCCAGTTAGAAGCCCCATAGAATGAATGAATATTCAACCCCTCCCCTGTCCACAAAGTTCCAGCTGCGGCCCTAGTTAGGAGCCAATAGAATGAATGAATATTCAACCTCTCCCCTGTCCACAAAGTTCCAGCTGCGGCCCTAGTTAGAAGCACCATAGAATGAATGAATATTTCCCTGCCCACAAAGTTCCAGCTGCAGCCCTAGTTAGAAGCCCCATAGAAAGAATGCTTAATGTTTTATATCCTGACAAAGTCGGCAATCTAAACATCGTTAATATCAATTTACACACGAAAAAAAGTTTCGTAGCTCTCGACCTGAAAAAGCAACAGAGTAGTGACTAGATACAAATAAGTATATATCAAGGTATATAAACGGAAAGTACTAGCGACACCCTAGATTACCTTCTTATTATCGTCCAGCACTGTATTCATGTTCTCAATCCAGACGGCATCAACAGGACCATCAAATATTAACCATTTACGGTCTGGATTCTAAAAAGATCAAAAATCATAAATGACGTCATTATCTGTATAGTAAAGGGATTAGAGTGACATAGTTCGTACAGGAGATGATGAAAATGCTCTATAATTGACAGCTAACACTCCATCGGACCACTCATGGGAAACAGGATCAAACTGTCCATACAATTGACCCATCGTGATGGACTTCGGGTTAATAACAACGATCTGGACTTTGTTTTCATCCATGAGATTCTGAAAAGATGTGCAAGTTAGAAAATTGAATGATCGAAACGATATGAGCTTAATTACTATAACAATGTATTTTTCTTCATCTCTGGCGCATGTCAGACGAGAATTCATAAATTCAATCAAGTCAAACTATAGATCTCCTAGACATAAAATCTCCCAAATAAAAAAACGTCCAACAACAATACATTCCTTACATCGCATCACAAGCATCTAAAGACATAAACCCTCCCCCCCTCCCTTTCATTACATCCATCATTAAGCGAAAGAAAGCGTGGCAATTTTCCTAAGCGTGAAAAATGAACAAAGACTGGGATAGTATTTAAAGACACTTCGAAGAAAGAGCCTTCGCGATTACCTTTTGTCAAAAATAGTTTTTTAAAAGGCTTCAACATACCTTTTCAGCAATATCGGTGAGAGATTTTGCAAGTACTCTATAGGCCATTGTCTTGCCACCAAAAGGTTCGCCGACAATCATAAACCCATGACGAACAATCATCATTTCATAAATCTAAATCCCCATCCATACATTAAAACCTCATCCATAGATACGGATTTATATATGAAGGTATAAAAAACCAGAAAATAGGTACATATAGGTATAAATACGTATAAATAGGTACATATAGGTATATATAGGTACACATTTGGTACATATAGATATATATACGTATCCATACATTAAAATACCCAACAATGCATTAAAATTCCTGTCATTAAATAAAAATGTCCATCCATATAATATGAAATACAAAAGCCGACATTCAAATCCTCATCCTAAATTAACTTCATCTAAAATAGCCATTCCTACGTTATTATATGGATCAATACATTAACCCTCTAGCACCCACAGGGACACATGTGGAACAATGACGAAGTCAAATGGAATAGTCTCGATGTCAAAAAAAACTAGAATCATTTAGCTACATCCAAAATGCAACTAAACAAGCAGCTTTTTACAAAACCAAGCACGCCAGTATAGGAAAGGTTGAATTTTACGAGATTTTTGCCAAGGACAACATTACCTGAAGTATTTTAGTCAGGAAAACATCGGTGACTTGAAGATTCATTTGAGCACAGTTCTCCTCGATTGCAGAGGTGAGTATTGTATAGTCAGGCTTGGGAAGTTTAATACCAGGGAAAAGATCAGATGTGATACCCTGAGAACAAAAACATAAATGGCTTTTTTTTGTGTTGAAAACAAGTAAACGCTTGATTGTCGACTTCCACTTAAGAATGCTATAACCTTAGCAGTGAAAAACAAGTAGTAGATGGATACGCATGTACATAAAGCAAGTAGTAGATGGATACGCATGTACATAAAACAAGTAGTAGATGGATACGCATGTACATAAAACAAGTAGTAGATGGATACGCATGTACATAAAACAAGTAGTAGATGGATACGCATGTACATAAAACAAGTAGTAGATGGATACGCATGTACATAAAACAAGTTGTAGATGGATACGCATGTACACAAAACCTTTTTCCCACTTAGTTTGACAAAACTATTTTGTATAAAACAATAACAACAATAAAACGCGCGCTCTGATTGGTCAATAGCTGTGTTTGCATTAGCCATTGCAAACCTATATGAGCTCAAACTCAATCAATCAATCAGAGAATTTGCAAATCAATCATGAATACCTTCATGAAAATTTCAGAAAAATTAAAACCTGCTTTTAACTTTGTCTGTTTGCATTACTTTACAAAAGAAATAAAAGATATTTTTCGTATTTGCACTGGCTATCAGGAAGCTTTCTTAGGGCAACATTGATCCTGCAGCATAAAAACTGTAAAAACATCCCATCATACCCATCGTTACTCCCCATCGTAACACAACCATAACAATCCATACTAATTCCCACCGATCCATCTTGAAGCAGACAAGTGAAGATTCACAGTACCTACCTCAAATAACGGCAAATCATGAGACAAAAACTTCGGCAAGTTCACATCGTTGATTGACCGCAGCATGAGAATTTCCTCGTTCTCATCTGGGTACTTCAACTGATAAGTGAAACAAAGATTATCGAGAGTGGGAGACTGAAGAGAGAAATATAAGGAATATATACTTGTACCTTGAGATTTCCGGCAGCAGTCAAAACGGACTTCACAGCTCTCATGCCGTAATCATAGTGATGTTGCGAGGAAAGTTGTTCCGAGCACAAAGTGTACGTCGTGACAATTTTTACGGCAAGCGGTCTCGCCTTTATTAAAACACATTGAAAGGTGAAAAACACAATAACTATGTTTCATTACAGAGAGCATAATATTTGGTGGCTTACATTGACAAAACCGTAAGAGTATAGGGAAATTTCAGCAATGAGGGCATAATCAGGAACCATCATCGCAACACTTCGGAATAAAGCCTGTAAAGTAACAATAAAGAAAAATATATCGATATGTATTTTATAATATAGAAGTATAGGTAACAATATAGAAGTATAGGTAACAATATAGAAGTATAGGTAACAATATAGAAGTATAGGTAACAATATAGAAGTATAGGTAACAATATAGAAGTATAGGTAACAATATAGAAGTATAGGTAACAATATAGAAGTATAGGTAACAATATAGAAGTATAGGTAACAATATATAAGTATAGGTAACAATATAGAAGTATAGGTAACAATATAGAAGTATAGGTAACAATATAGAAGTATAGGTAACAATATAGAAGTATAGGTAACAATATAGAAGTATAGGTAACAATATAGAAGTATAGGTAACAATATAGAAGTATAGGTAACAATATAGAAGTATAGGTAACAATATAGAAGTATAGGTAACAATATAGAAAATAAATATAGGAATATAGAAGTATAGGAAAGTAAGGAATATAGTAATAATATATAATAGGTAACAATATAGTATAAATAAATAATAGTAGTAACAATATAAATAGGTAACAATATAGAAGTATAGGTAACAATATAGAAGTATAGGTAACAATATAGAAGTATAGGTAACAATATAGAAGTATAGGTAACAATATAGAAGTATAGGTAACAATATAGAAGTATAGGTAACAATATAGAAGTATAGGTAACAATATAGAAGTATAGGTAACAATATAGAAGTATAGGTAACAATATAGAAGAAGAGGTAACAATGCAGAAGTATAGGTAACAATATAGAAGAAGAGGTAACAATGTAGCAGTAGAGGTACCAATATAGAAGAAGAGGTAACAAAACTAGACAGAACTGCACACAAAAAACTATTTGACACGTACCTTTAAGTTATCAGGAAGTTCAGATCTTCCAGCATAACCAGGATTCATAGTGATAAAGACAGCGCAAGATGGATCCAACTTGATCTCAGTTCCTTCGAACAACAGCGTGTCATTGCCAGAGTTGATACCTACAAACAACATGAAATGTGTATGAACATAAATTTGCTCATGTGATACAATCGACACAACTATAACGGTTATAGCTAGTTAAAACATGAGTAAAATGAATACATACAATTGTTCAGCGGCCAAATAGCTAGCTACAAATGTTCGACTATTATCTTACCCATCTGAATTGTGAGTATCTGTTGAGCAACGACAGATAAAACTTCAAGATCGATGCGGTTGAATTCATCAAAACAAGACCAAGCTCCACATGATGCCAAACCCTGGAACAAGGCGAACAAATTTATTCAATATTTTCACCAAACCCCACAATGCTATGCGCTGTTATAAAACATTCGATTTCCCAAGCGCTCCTCGACAATTTATGATAGTTGAAAATCAATTGACATTGAGACCGTTGATTTCCAAGTATTTTTCAATTGAAAGTATCGTGGTACCAAAAATCACCCCCAACACACATCAAGAGTGACACGCATGCGCGCTTGGAAATAAGAAAGTCTGTGGAGTCACCACAAACATCACACGTCGTCTTCGGCGAGCGTGCGTTGAGCTAGATAGTTTGATCACCACCATCACCGCTATGATCAACTTTTATTCATTTTCTTAGCCTTATCCCTTGTAGAAGAGAGGTAAATTTAAATCATCTGCGCTGGCTTTCAACTCTACCAAGGTTTGCACAATGTAAGAGTAATGAAATTAAGACATTTCTCAAGGATTTTCACGTGAAGTTTTTAGAAAATCTAAGGAAGAATAAAACCTTGAATTTCATGCAAAACATCACAAACGCTAGAAATTATCGAACACGTTTCTGAAAATAAAAACAAAAAACTTGTTTAACGAATCGTGAACGAATAGTGCTTGTCCATGGGACGCGAAGCCCGCCATGTTGGTTGGTTGCTTCAAAGGTTCCACACAAAGATTAAAATTTCATCTCTACTTCAGGAAAAGAAACTAATGTTCACAACAATTTGTTCAAAAATTAAAATTCAAGATTCTTAAGAACTTCTTTATAAATTCAAGGACTTTCAAGGACATTCAAGGTTTGTACAAATCCTGTTACACAAAGGTAAAAAAATACGTTGTCGTCACAAGTCAGAGACAGAATATGCATGTGTATATCGATGAATATCGTGGAGAAGGCGAGGTTGAAAAACTGATTTTTAGGTTCTGTACAGTAGCAAAAACAAAAAAAAAATTTGAGCACATTGTTCAAGAGATACCTAGGTATTCAGGCCTCGAGCTCTACAAGAGAGCGATGCTTTAGAAAAGAAAGATTTTTGAGGACACAAGCACTTGTACAATCAACGCTGAATAATGCTTTCATGAAACCTTCTCAAATTAAAGGTTCCTGTCATCAATGAACAGAACATACCTTAAAGAACTTTCCCAATGCGATATAATCCAAGCCATCGGAACAGTTAAACACGACGCATTGTTTCGCGACAGCCTTGGCCAGATCCTTCGTGGTTTCGGTTTTACCAGTACCCGCAGGACCCTCCGGAGCCCCACCCAGATGCAGCTGCAACGCTCCAAACAGGGTACGGTAACACCTGTCGGTCAGCGGCGTGATGACAAGACGTCCAGAGTTACCAAGATATTCGTAACCATAATGAAGCTGAGCACTGATCATACGAGTGGTCATATTGCCTTCCTACATGTGAAATGTAAGATGTGATCACGTGGTAACGTTCGATAATTTAGATCAAAAATATCTACATCATTCCGTGAAGAGGACGCTACGAATAAATCAATTAGTAATCGACCAATCCACGACCAGATTTAGCCAACACTTTTTGACCAACTTGAGTAAAGTTTTGGTGGGTTCAATCGAAGAGTCGAAAATATTCGGTGGGAGAAACATTTTTAGGGGGGAAATCTTAGAAAATTCACTAAATTGATGTTTCTGTCCACAAACATCTCTTACCTCAATGTAGTCTCTCAGTTTTGCTAGCCAGTTAAAGTCATGTCTTACTTTGCTATGGCATGATCAAACTTTTATGACATCTCTTACCTCAATGTAGTATCGAAGTTGTGCTAGCCAGTTGAAGTCATTTTCATTCTCAACACCTGAAAGAGAGCAAGAAAAAAGTTTGAAACACGCTCTACTCGACCAGTAATGATGCAAATATCCTAAATGCATTAAACGGACTTCTCATCTTCTTAATGTTTTATTTTAATTGTATACCATCTTTTGCCAGCTGCGCCAACACGTCTCTGGCGTGCACATCCAGTACAACCAAAGCGCCCAGTGTTGCTCTATTTTGCTTTGAGAGTTTGCCACGAACGAGTGCGACAATGTCGTCGATCTGACTATTGTTTAATTCAAGGTAGTCATTTAACGCCTAGAGAATGAGAGAGAGAGAGAGAGAGAGAGAGAGAGAGAGAGAGAGAGAAAGTTCCATCGCTTGACCACGCATTGTAAACAACCCAGAGAATAATCATTAACGCTTCGAGTCAGTTTATAGAAAGATTGGCAATACTATCGGTGGGAGATGGTAACGTGTTAGTTAGAGTTGAAAATTAGTTTTGGAAAAGTGTATGAATCAGCAATTGTTTTTGGCATCTTTATTATTTTACATCGGCTGTACAAAATTAGGTGTTAACTATACGGCAAGAATAGGATTTCCTACCTTGGATCCCCCGAGAATGGCTTTATGTATTTCCGCGGTCCAATAGTACTGGCTCACGCAAAGTACGGCCTGCCCCATCCATTCTCGAACCCAGACTACTCGCTCTGTTTTGTTGTAAGCCTCGATGGATTCCATGATGACCTGGGAAGATCAAAAGTTAGAGTGTTTAGATACCTACATCTAGAGATCAAATACGGCATTCAATCTTTTATTTTAATGGTCAAACTCAGGCTAGAGATATCTAAGCTAGAACATCCAATATCTCCAACCTTTTGACGCTAGCCAACATATCTTCTTGTAATTCAAGAAGCCATTTTTCCACTTGTCCTCTGGCTTTTGCAGTCGAGATAACGTCCTTGAGTTCGACGATTTCACCTTCGGAGCTCTTCAAGTGGGTTATATCAAGTATGTCGGTAAATTGCAGGCTAGCAATACCCTCGAAACACTTCTTTAAATGAGGCTGAACCCTGCAGGGAGATAGACATTACATTAGGGAAAGAAAGTGTATGGAACAGGTGAGTTTAGGGTAAGTAATAAGATGACTTGATCATAGATAGCAGCGCTACATGCGACTGGCAGAATTTTCAAGCAACCAAATTTTTTGAGCAATTGAGTTTGCTCGAAAAATAGTAAAGAATTGGCGTAGTTAGTATGCTCGACAACTTCAGACCAAGTAAGGATAGATACAAATAATTTTTGGCCGCCTATATAAAAACAAACATACAAAACCATGTGGCATACATCCATACCTTGTGGGATCTTTGGTCTCGGACAAGATCTCAAGCAACTCGTCGTTGGATAGAAAGAAGAAGCGAGGAAAGTACAAGCGCTTTTTTTCCAAATATTCGTTCAAACCCTGAACAATAAAACGGAATAGATGAATCAATACTTGTCGGGAAAAATGGCGTCCCGTAAATTTTTGCTCGGATGCCTTTCTCGCGAAGAAAGCGTCCCGATTTATTCGTTTTTTATACCTTCAAAATGAGCTCCAAGAGTTCGTTGGATTTCTTTAGTTTCTCGAGCATATTTTCTATGTTTGTCACAGCCAACACGTGTGTATCCTAAAACATTCCATCGAATTTCTTAAGGTTGAATCGGTTGCAATTTTCATAGGATAATCATCCTATGTTGCAGTTCCATGATCACAAAATCCCGATAAATGAAAAACAGAGTGGAAACACGCACAGTGTAAACAAGGCAATCAATAAAGTCCAGCAACATAAAGACAGATTGGAATCACACAAACAACGTAAACAGGGCAATAAAAAATAGTCAATCGATAAAAAACTGAGTGGAAACACACACAATGTAAACAAGGCAATCAATAAAGTCCAGCAACATAAAGACAGATTGGAATCACACAAACAACGTAAACAGGGCAATGAAAAATAGTCCCTCAATAAAAGACAGATTGGAAACACACACAATGTAATAAAGGCAATCAATAAGGTTCCTCAATAAAAAACAGCGTGGAAACACACACACACATACCTGCAGAGCTTGTTTCATCAACTCCCTCCAATGTTTGTCAACCGTTGTAAAACGTCTGAAACGGAAGAGAGGACATTAGAAGAAAAGTGAGGAAATACAACGAATCACGAAATACTCGAGAAATGATGGTTTGACCAAAATCTCTGATACCACATCAACCTACCGTCCTTCCTCAGGCATTTGAGCCATTATATCAGGGGAACTAAATATCGGTTCTAAATAAAGCCAGGTCGCCTGAACTTTCAGCCACTCGTCCAAGATTTCTTGAAGAAGCACCAACTTCGCTTCCCACTCCCTGTAATCAAATATTCGTATCAATGCAAAGAACATGATCACTTTTATGCTTCGTAATGTCACTGTTTAAAGAATGAGTGTGAAGGTAATGCTTTGCGCGCTCAGCCAGCAGAGATAGCTATTTTTAGGGCATCCAAAAACGACAGTATATTGGGTTGTTAATGCCTGAATATGTCTAAAGGCGTAGCAAAATCGTTAATTAGGAAAAAAGGAGGGGGCACAAATTCATGTTTTAATTGTAGAAAACAATCGATTTTAACTTAATATACATATATGAATATGAATATGTATATAAATATATATAAATATAAATAAATATAAATAAATATATATAATAAATATAAATAAATAAATAAATAAATATATATATATAAATAAATAAATATATATATATATAAATATAAATATATATATGAATATGCCCTCTACCTCCCGGCATTTAACGAGTTGGCTACGTCACTCAATGTGTCCATTTCTACTACCAAGTCTGGTCCATCAACGCCAAAGTGCGGTAAATCAAGAAATTAAGATATAACAAGAGCTAAGTTCAAAAAAAGTAGAAAAACAATCTCAAAACTCTGTATCAGATATAGGTAGGTCAATACAAGCGCGCAATGCATTATCTTGAAACTCATTCCTTCAAATCGTACTTTATCTCTGTCTCGAAGGGTTTTATAAACGGCGATCCTCGCATAGTTTGTGTCTTTACAATCTGATCGTCCAATAATGTCTGTATTTCATCAATCGCTGATAGAATGTGTGTCCCAGTCTCCCGATATGGAATGAAGTTAAACATCATCTATAAATGGCACATTGATGGATTATGTACTGAGGATAAAAAGATGAATAGTTTTTGTGTGTTAGTGAAAATTTTTGTGAGTTAGTGAAGATATTCTTCCCATCTATGAAGAAAATATTGTGCATCACTTGGTGTTTTGGTGTTGGATTTAACTATATGCTAAAGACGAGAACACTAGTGAACTTTTGTTTTACTCTGTTTTACTAAAATACAAATTTTTGGATATGGTAGGATCTTCTCGGAAAATTCGAACCGCGAGTGTAGGTCTTATACAAAAACAAACAAAAGGATTTCCCATGTTATATAAAGAGCCCCAAACTCAAGATCAATTCGTCTTATTTTCAACTACTACAGTCTCCAAGTCACGCGCTTCCCACTGAAGTGAACAACCACAACATGAAGTACTCTGTACTCCACGCAGGATTGAACGCTGACGTTCCCGCCGCACTTCCTACTGAAGTGAACAACCACAACATGAAGTACTGTGTACTCCACGCAGGATTGAACGCTGACGTTCCCGCCGCGCTTCCTACTGAAGTGAACAACCACAACATGAAGTACTCTGTACTCCACGCAGGAATGAGCGCTGACGTTCCCGCCGCGTATTTAAATGCCTAAGCAGCCACCAGGACATGTACATAATTCTAATTGGATATGTGTATTAGATCCATAGGATGATTATGAAGTTGATGTTTGACTTACATCGCATATTAAAGATTTGTGCATAAGAGATATAGAGCATATTAACAAAGTGTAATGATTTGACTTTCCTACATCACACACAATAACAATAAAAGACACATAGCATATTAATTACGTGAAATCATTGGACTTACATCATCCCATTCATTGGTCATCTTTTCCATTGCTTTCTCCAACGAGAATTCTTTACTTGCCGCTTCGCTTATTCCCTCGAATTTCGACAAATGAGGTTCGATTTTCATGTCGACCATTTTGGCGAGATTCATGTCTTCGCCGCCATAGATGCTGAAGCCCATAATGTCGCTCATTTGTTCCCAATGACGATCACGGAGACCCGGATTGAACATCACCTGAACCAATGGCAGATGCCCTTTAAACTCCTCCACTTTGTCTTTCATCTGAAACAGTTTCATCCACATCAACATAAAGAAAACCCAACTCGGTAAAGCAGACAGATTGTTCAGACAAGGAGGGGGGCGATGCAAACGGCAAAGTTGTGAGAGCCCAATAAAGGATTGTCACATGCAAATTTTTGTTTTAGGACAATGCAAAACCACACGTTTTTAGAAAAGCAGCTTTCTGTTAGATGTTTTAACAAGTGTATTCGACTCAATGTTACATACTTAGTTGCTCGAACGTTGTCGTTTAAAATATTCACAGCGCTTTGTTCCTGTTTACAAGAAGCAACTAGTAATACGGCTGTTTGATATTGGATTCATTGTGCACCTCCCCCCCTATTTCTCATAAAATTTCTCATAATTGGTCATGTGAACAATCGGGAGGGGGGACATAAACCTCATTTCCCTCCAAGGTGACAGCACAAGCCCAAAGGTACAAGACACCAACTCGTATATTGAGTTTGGCCATTTCTACAAGGGAATATTATTTACACAAAGCAAGATAAAAAGAATTCTGACTAGAGCTCTATAAGTACACGATGGTAATCTTAAGCCTGGTTTCCACTATTGGTTTAACGCGACAAACGCGACAACGATTAACTTTAATCGGGATAATCCCATATGAGAACGTGGTAATAATCGCAATAAACGGCGACTAACAATCGCGATAAAATATCAAAAATTTTTGATAATTATTCGCGTTAATCACCAAAATGACGTCATCTTGAATGAAAATTTAGGAATTTAAGATGGCGAATCTAAAAACGTTGTTTTCTTTTCTTCGATGCCTTTCTACGGCGTCTCCGTCGCCTCCATAAAACATAAGCTACTGCAATTACTACCAGATCGTGTTTTTTACAGACGCCATTTCACAAAATAATCGCCATCCGACATAATGTAAGCAACACGTCTAATCGCGCAACCATTGCGAATAAAAGTTATCGTTATCGCTTTTATCGTGATAAACCAATAGTGAAACCAGTCTTCAAATGCTCAACATAACCGTAAATAAGCGCTAACACCAAGCTCCACGCACGCAGTGTTGAAAAGTTTTAAAGAAAATAATAATACTATCCACACTAACCCTGACAGCTATGAATTGCGCTTTGGGTACGTCGTTGAACTGTTTCTCTAGCTTGTACAGTCCGCGCCAAAAGTTCCCTGTCTCTTGATCAACTACATCTGGATCATATGATCCCCAAGGACCTTCCATCCATTCCCTAAACACATGAATTAATCGCTAACCGCCTAATATACTTTGTTGTTTTTCATCATTTCAAATTTACGTACTGATAAAAATATCATTTGGAATACTTCAAAAGTTTGAATATTTGAAACAAGGCAGGAAACTTCGCTTGAATGCTAACAAAATCACCGTCAAATACCTGTGCTTGTTCAGGAAATCGACTGTCGTTTCATACAGTTTGTGGAATGGCGTTAGTGTGTTCTGCAGTTGTTGTCTTTGAGGGTATGTTGTCAATTCCCAACCAAAAGCCTCTTCTTCATCGTTAAACGATTGCATCTGAAGAAATGAACTTAGTTGAAAATGCGAGCTGTTGAAATGATAAATTCTTATACATCATCTGCTAAAAGGAACAGTCCTACAACATTATCTGTTGAAAGGTGCAGTCCTACAACACTATGTTTTAAAAGGAACAGTCTTACACAACATCAGTTGTTAAAAGGAACAGTCTTACACAACATCAGTTGTTAAAAGGAACAGTCTTACACAACATCAATTGTTAAAAGGAACAGTCTTACACAACATCAATAGTTAAAAGGAACAGTCTTACACAACATCAATTGTTAAAAGGAACAGTCTTACACAACATCAGTTGTTAAAAGGAACAGTCTTACACAACATCAATTGTTAAAAGGAACAGTCTTACACAACATCAATTGTTAAAAGGAACAGTCTTACACAACATCAATTGTTTAAAGGAACAGTCTTACACAACATCAATTGTTTAAAGGAACAGTCTTACACAACATCAATTGCTAAAAGGAACAGTCTTACACAACATCAATTGTTAAAAGGAACAGTCTTACACAACATCAATTGTTAAAAGGAACAGTCTTACACAACATCAATTGTTAAAAGGAAGAGTCTTACACAACATCAATTGTTTAAAGGAACAGTGTTACACAACATCAATTGTTAAAAGGAACAGTCTTAAACAAAATAATTTTTAAAAGGAAGAGGTCCACAACGTCATCAAGTAAAAGGGGGAAGCCCTAAAGATCGTCTGTAAGAAGGATAGTCTCGCAGTATTATCTTTAAGAAGAGAAAGTCCTTCAACATCATGTGTCAGAAGAACAGTATGCAAGATAATTTGTTAGAAGTAATAGTTCTACAACACAACCCGTTGAAAAAAAACAGTCCAAAAACAACATAAGTAAAAAAGAATATGCCTAAAAAACTCACTTTTTCAGCAGCAGTTTCCAATCGAGCATGCAAAGCCTGAGCCTTTTTGAAATATCTTCCAACTTCAGCGAGTTCACCAAACGTCTAACAAAAAGAAAGACGACATATCAAATGTCGATCGATCATCCATTCGAAGCTGTCGCTCACTTTGCTACCTGAAATTCTTCCAATTGCTTACTGTAACCTTCCAACTCTTCCACGAATCTTTCACGTCTCATCTGAAATATCGCGAGATTACAAAATCACGATGCACTCATTTGAAACAAACTCCACCTAATCGAAGCAGTTGCGCAGCCAGCGCGATAATTGGGGTACAGTATTCATATGAGTTGCGTTTGAAGTCTCACTTTAATCTTTGAATAATTTTTTTATAGGGGTTAAAACATGCATACAAGAGTCTCCCCACACACTTTAACGATCTGGAAGCGCCACTGCATTGAAGGCAAGTTACGGTGTACAGTACCTTTAAGCTATTTTCATACTGTATTCGATTTGCATTAGTTATTTTTGTGTTCTTCAAACACTTCGCTCATTCGGAAATGCCATTGGAATACGTTGTTGTTCATTCGCATATCTCCGGGAGAAAACGATGCGTAATCCACCTGAAGATTTAAAAACATAAAAAAAGGGAAACGATAACAGTTGAATACCGTATTTCCTTTATTTGGCCACCTGAGATTTTACTTGTTTTATTTACCTTTCGAGCGAGGGATTACTAGGGGAGGGAGGGTTGAATAAATTTCCATTTCATTTGTATTACCCAGAGAAACTCAGTTCAGCTGTGCTACTGATTTGTTTTGCTAAAAATTTGGTGGTTAAAATGTTTCTTAGAAGGGTGAGCAACTTATTTAGTGGGTGAAATCTCATATTTGGAGGGTGGCACCTCCTGCACTCTCACCAAGAAAACCCGTCCACGTGTTTTAACGCCGAGACACACTATCGCTGTATCTAGGTCGTTACCACTCAGCGACTTGTTTGACAGGTTACCAACAATGGTTACCAAGCCTTGTCGCTAGGTCGTTACCACTCAGCGACATAACGACATAGCGATGTAAAAATGATGTAAAGACACACTGTTGCTGTCGCTAGGTCGTTACCACTCAGCGACATAACGACATAGCGATGTAAAAATGATGTAAAGACACACTATCGCTGTCGCTAGGTCGTTACCACTCAGCGACATAACGACATAGCGATGTAAAAATGATGTAAAGACACACTATCGCTGTCGCTAGGTCGTTACCACTCAACGACATAACGAAATAGCGATGTAAAAATGATTTAAAGATACACTGTCGCTGTAGCTAGGTCGTTACCACTCAGCGACATAACGACATAGCGATGTAAAAATGATGTAAAGACACACTATCGCTGTCGCTAGGTCGTTACCACTCAGCGACATAACGACATAGCGATGTAAAATGATGTAAAGACACTATCGCTGTCGCTAGGTCGTTACCACTCAGCGAGATAACGACATAGCGATGTAAAAATGATGTAAAGACACACTATCGCTGTCGCTAGGTCGTTACCACTCAACGACATAACGAAATAGCGATGTAAAAATGATTTAAAGATACACTGTCGCTGTAGCTAGGTCGTTACCACTCAGCGACATAACGACATAGCGATGTAAAAATGATGTAAAGACACACTATCGCTGTCGCTAGGTCGTTACCACTCAGCGACATAACGACATAGCGATGTAAAAATGATGTAAAGACACACTATCGCTGTCGCTAGGTCGTTACCACTCAGCGAGATAACGACATAGCGATGTAAAAATGATGTAAAGACTGTCGCTGCTAAGGCGAGCGAAGAGATCAAATTTCGATGGCATTTATGACAGGAAATATGGTTTTCGCGGTTTTCTCAAACATGGCGGCTAACGAAGCATTGCGCGCTACTTTGTTAGCCATCATTTTAAACGAATTAGAAGAAGATGAGACTAAAAACTATTTATTACAGCTTCTTCGAAAGACACCATTTTGAATTTTGTCTCAGCGACACAGCGATTTCACGTTCTCCAGCGAATTTACTGGCGGTGTTGAAACCACACAGCGACAAGGCTTGGTAACCACTGTTGGTAACCAGGCAAACATGTCGTTGAGCAACGACCTAACGACAGCAATAGTGTTTCTTGGCCTTTAGAGAGGTAACATTAGAAATAACAGCTGTGTACTACCTACCAAAAACACCAAGCGATTTTTCGCTTCGCTCAACTTTTCTTCCAGTTCAAATATCGTCTCGTTCTCAACTTTCTCGACGAATTTCTACAAAATAAATAAACGCAGGTTAAAATTGAGCACAAAACCCAATGAAGTGTCAAAATATTTCTATACGTACGAAACAATAATCAACGAAAGGTGTGATGTTCTTGACTGTTACTTTGTAGTCATTGTAAGTCCTTGTTTGCGATGGGTAGATTTAATTTTTATCAAACCTTTTGGAAATAGCTTAAGATTTGTTAAAAGGCTCCCGAAGCAACATCATGTGGACGTCCAATGCAGATCGTCCATGTTAGTGGAGTCCTTAGAAGGAATGTTGATGTTGGTATTGACTGACGTTTCGACAACCACAGCAGCAGTCTATCACCTGACACTGAAGATGACTACCGCTACGGTTCTCGAAACGTCAGTCAACATCAACATCGACAGTCCTTCTTACGACTTTACTGACCTGGACGATCTACATCTATAAATATGTAACATTATGTTGAAACCATATATAACTTCTGTTACGAGCCAGGCTCGCAATAGTATCCCATTGTCTCCAAGCACTAGCTATATTGTAGAGTCAAATCAGTGTGACAATGTATATGTACTTTTTTTTATCAAAATCGGTCGGATGAGCTTAAACACTCCCCCCCGTGTTCTGAAGTTTGCAACCACATAAAGCAGGTGGGAGAGTCTAAGCTCATGAGAAAAAATTTAGTGATATGATCGAAAAGGTGAAACTGGAAAACAAGCGCAAATCAGAAGATATGAACACTAGGTGTTTTTTTCAAAGATGCACACAACTGACCATGAGTTCCATCATATGCTCCGTGTTTGCAGGCGAAGTCAAAGCTTTTTCAGCAATTTTTCGTACTCTTCACAAAGCCTAAACAAACAAAGCAATGAGCATTTTGTGTTGTTTTTTTCCGAAACAAAAGAACCATGGATGTTTTTCATGAACAATTCATTCTCTCAAGAATCCAATTGGAGTGGAGGTCAATTTGTTGCTTTGCTTCCCTTGCCTGATGGAAACTCACATAGACCCACCCACCCTGTTGGTAACGATATAGTTGAGTTTGTAATTAACCGACTTAAATATTGCTATGAACAGCGTGTTTGTCATGGTGAATGACAATTGAGTTGTTCTTAAAAGAAATGTTGAAAACCAAAACGAGGATAACTATAAAATTATCGTGTCTTCATAATAAAAGTAAATTTTTGTTTTCATTCAAGCAGACGTGACAACTGATGAGAAAGCATTTTGCCATTTAATTTTTTAGTTTTCTTTATTTTGGTTTTGACAAATTTTTTTAAAACTGCTCAATTATCATTCACCATGACGCTGTTCAGCGCCATATCTAAGTTTGTAATTAATACACCGTGCATTCTGTGTTTAGATAGATATACGAAATTATCAAAGGTTTCGGTTTTAAGAGCGAGGCATCCCCCAACGGCAAAGTGTATGAAGTACACACTTTCCAAAGACTAGCCAAGTTTAACAATGGGTTCAAACATGGCCACATATCTCTTATCGCCTGTGCCCACGGTACAGAAACAAAAGAGCCAGCAGCGTTACCTTTTGTTCATCAACTGATGATCTTTAATCATTCTCTGTAGTAATTTACTTCTTAAGCCATCAGCTCGTTTGCTGAGACCGCGGACCAATTCATCGCAGTGCAACTCAAACATGCCGACTTGAATTATCTAAATGAATACACTCGTAAACATTGCATTATAAAATGACCGACACAAAACGAAGAAAACACCACTCGGTCAGAGAAAAAAAAAACCAAACGATATTTACCTTTTGAGAGTTGTACGTTATGTCATCTATCAACTTGGCGTAATATTCCACCTTCTGAAGAAAGAAGGACAGAAAAAATTATGCATTTTTACCCTCTGAAGATGGAAGGGCGAAGATGGATTCAGAGAAAGGGTGGGGAGGGATACGCAACCCTCCTAGCCTTGATTTAACTGGAAGGGGAGGTGTGGGAAGGGTGTGGAGGGATGCAAGACATTTCCTAGCTTTGGTTTGACTGGAATGGGAGGCAAAGGATGGGTGCCAATTTTCCGACATAATACTAACATACCAAACAACCAAGCAAAAGAATTTGCCATTAGTGTTTAATGGAGCACACTTTCAAAAATCTTCCCGTCATAATAAAATGGTAACGGCAACAGGTAGCCACCGAAATCAAATTCAAATTAGAGCACATCCCCCCCCTTACACACACACAAACAACGCACATCACCCACCCCCCCCCACCCCAAACCATCTTGGATTGACACATTCGGAAAAGTAGAATCAATTTATACATTTCCAGGAACTACAGACGGAAGAGAAAAATAAATGAGGAAACTGATGTTTTCCACTAAACAACCAGTAACAAGTACTTGCAATATTAAATGTGATAACAGCTGAAATGCTTGCTTGTTGAGACACTTCAACTTATTTCTCTAACAAAAAAGATGACCTAATAAGCTGCAAGCATATTTGATCTAGTCAATTTATCCGACATATCTATTAATTTTCCTAGGCTGTATCATGCCTGTATGGTTGGGTTTTTTCGCAGACAGTCGAAAAACAATTTTTCGTTGGCCCTGAACTGCGCTAATTTCATTCTTATTCATTCAAATGAATTGCACAAAAACTCCGATTGGACAAAATTGCAAAATGTCATGGGAGAAATCAAACTTTATACTTTTCTTAATTGTGCACGAGTTCTTTCAATAACCACAGTTTGCAGTTACTTTCGGACACTCGCCGCAGACAACAAAGCTACCTAGGATCTATACATCTGACACTCGTGTGCGATCATTGTGTGTCAGATGTAATCTGCAGCTGCATAAGCAGAAAGTAACGACAGATTAAACAGCAGGAGTAAGCAACTGCCCGGCTATTTTCTTTCTACAATAATTCTCTAAATTCTTTTCTAGACAAGAAAGTCGAATGTTTATAATGTTTTATGAAAACTTTATGACGTCGTTCAATGACGTCATAAAACATTAGCAACACTAGAAACATTAGATGACGTTGAATGACGTCATAAAACATTAGAAAGACTAGAAACATTAGACGACGTTAATTGACGTCATAAAACATTAGAAACACTAGAAACATTAGACGACGTTAAATGACGTCATAAAATGTTAGAAAGACTAGAAACATTAGATGACGTTAAATGACGTCATAAAACATTAGAAAGACTAGAAACATTAGACGACGTTAAATGACGTCATAAAATGTTAGAAAGACTAGAAACATTAGACGACGTTAAATGACGTCATAAAATGTTAGAAAGACTAGAAACATTAGATGACGTTAAATGACGTCATAAAACATTAGAAACACTAGAAACATTAGATGACGTTAAATGACGTCATAAAACATTAGAAAGACTAGAAACATTTGGACGACGTTAAATGACGTCATAAAATGTTAGAAATATTACACGATGTCTATGTTTTATGGAAACCGACCAAACACTTTTTTTCCAAAGTTCATTCCTGTGCTCGAGCGAACTTGTGCCGTGTTTTATCCAATGAACGTTTTGCGTGCATTCTCACAAACTAAATAGAAAATACATCATGCAAACCTCAACGAATCTTTCGAACTCATGTCCCTCCAGAAGAAATTGCTCCACTTCTGCGTCAGCTTTTCTCGTGATTAAGTCGGAGTACTTTTCATACTTCTTTAAATGTTCCTGGGGTCCGACCATTTCACGATTCACCACATCACGTACCTAAAGTACGTTATCATAATGTTAGGGCATTGAACAAACATACATGGAACGCTACCAGTAATAGAAAAGCCTAATAATTTTTTGAAAACAAATCTAACCCTCAGACACGCGTGTGTAGTGTTTCGAGATTCCCTCACGGGGTGAAAATTGATTGAACTACACACGCGTGTCTGAGTGTAAGATTTGGGTTCAAAAAATTATCAGGCTTTTCTATTACAGGTAGCGTTCCATGTATTTTAGTTCAATGTGTCAGGGACAGTTGAACTGACACATTTTTGCCGAATCCAGTACACTTTTGACAGATGTTTTGTTGTTCACTGACATCGCAAATCTTACTCTACCAAAACAACCGAAGAAACCTCCTCTCCCGGCCACCTGTAGAAAATGAAATTTGATACGTAATAATATATAAAAATGACTCGATAAAAATACCTTAGATTTTACATCTTCGAGAATTTCTTCCAATATAATCGGTTTTAACGACGCCTTCTTGTGACCAAGCTATATAGTATTGTAAAGTAGAGACAAAGCAATTTTGAGACTCAAAAAGGAAATTTAAAGGATGCGATGATATTGAAGTTGCAAATAATGACAAAGAAGTGGATGAAGAGCTTTGCTTAGCAGATGACATCGAGTTTATGTTACTGGTTATGGCAGATGACATCAAGTTTATGTTACTTGTTATGGCAGATGACATCGAGTTTATGTTACTGGTTATGGCAGATGACATCGAGTTTATGTTACTGGTTATGGCAGATGACATCGAGTTTATGTTACTGGTTATGGCAGATGACATCGAGTTTATGTTACTGGTTATGGCAGATGACATCAAGTAAATGTTACTGGTTATGGCAGATGACATCGAGTTTATGTAACTGGTTATGGCAGATGACATAGAGTTTATGTAACTGGTTATGGCAGACGACATAGAGTTTATGTTACTGGTTATGGCAGATGACATCGAGTTTATGTTACTGGTTATGGCAGATGACATCAAGTAAATGTTACTGGTTATGGCAGATGACATCGAGTTTATGTAACTGGTTATGGCAGATGACATCGAGTTTATGTAACTGGTTATGGCAGACGACATAGAGTTTATGTTACTGGTTATGGCAGATGACATCGAGTTTATGTTACTGGTTATGGCAGATGACATCGAGTTTATGTTACTGGTAGATGTTAACAATAACAAGTGAAATTATACTTTAAAGTGTTGAAGTTTATAATTTATAGTTCATTAAAAGGAATCACGATGCAATTTTAGTCTTGCCGAAAGTTGTTTTTTTTTGTCATGCGTCAACCCAGGTCTATAGATGTGACAAAATCATATTTTTTCGTCACTTCAAAAACTGCATGTCACCGGCTTCGGGTTATCAGATTACCATAGTGACGGTTACAACTTGTTTTGCACTCATTGGTGAGGAAAAAACAATCGATTTCCGCCATGTTGGATGACATTATCGAAATCATCCAACATGGCGGTCATGACGTACATGCACACCAAGAATTTTTCTTGAAAATCCAATACGCTGGTAATTCGATATTATAGAAATCTGATGTGTACGTAATCTGATGCAAAAATCCTTTTACTTCATCGCGTTGAAGTTTTAATCCCAGGTCATCATCAATGGCGACCAAACTTACCCCATCAGAGTAGAGTTTTGTTTCAACACGAGGTACAATCGTGACGGCCTTTAACATCACATCGTAGACATTGATAAGAACAATCTCGAAGTCTCGGAAGTTGGGCTCAAACTTGATGACGTCACCATCGAGCACGAGTCTCATTACAAATCCCGGATGTTCCAAAACTCTGGTGGACTCCTGTGAATAGGTTTCGCGAAGATAAGCAGGAACATGAAGCATAATATGGAAGAGAAATGGAGTTGATAAATAATGATAATTTTGACATAAAACCGAAATGTTACAGTTTAAATTGTCTTGTTTTACAACTTGAATTTAAGTTTACAAGGTTTCCTATTTCCGAATATGTTTTATTCTATACATAAGCATAAGCATAAGTGCCCTCGCTTGCAATAAAATGCCATAAGCACAAGCATTAGCACATATAAGTTTAAGAAGAACGGAGAATTTGGATCATCTTGTGCTAGTGCCTATGCTTGAATCGCAAGTTAGGACCAGGGTTAAAGGACACTGTTTTTCACACTCTTCAAAAGTCGAGTCAAATTCATAAAAGATTACGTTAACCAGTAATATTAAAGTACCTTCGGTGGACAAAATAGACTTGTGTAATCATGTATGGAGAGTAATGCAAGACTCTGGAGTTGATTCGTCATCAGAACCGATGCTGTTGAAAAGAAAGCCTCTAGGCGACGCGAGTTTTGATTACTGGGAACTAGTTTGCGCTTATTTCCTTGATAATAGATGTTTTGGACTTCCGGGAACCATCTAAAGAATGCACCAAACGCTTTTTAAACAAGCATTTTAAATACAATGAACTCAAGTTGAAAAGCTGTTTAGAACAGGGAAAGTTTACAATTGTCTTAATGATCTTAAAGGAGCGAATTAAATTTGTCTCAACTATTGGCGTGGCCAGCCAACAAGTTTAGCCGCGCTATGCATATTTTCTTCAGTTTACTCACTGCAAAAATAACAGAATTTTAAAGAAACAAACATTGCCAATCATCCAAAGTTTATATACCACGAAACCACGACCTAACTTGAAGGATTGCTACTAGCACGCGGGCTGGTTACTAACTTGAGGGCTTGCTACTTGAGGGCTGGCTACTAGCATGCAGCTGCTTACTAACTCGAGGGCTTGCTACTAACTTGAGAACAGGCTACTAGCATGCGGGCTGGTTACTAACTTAAGGGCTTGCTACTAACTAGCGGGCTTACTACTAACTCGAGGGCTGGCTATTAGCATGCGGGCTGGTTACTAACTCGAGGGCTGGCTACAAACTAGCGGTCTAATTACTCTACTGTACTCAACTTACTTTTTTGTTAACGTTTCCCTTGCAATTTCAATGTGCTTCATCACAATATTTTGAAACACAGCAAGCTCCAGAGCTTCAGATCGACTTTTAATGTCTTCAATGTCCACCAGTCTGAACGTTCTACCATAAACAGAATACGTCATTAACGTGCGTACTACATAATGGACTGCATCCTGTCATCGGGTACATTACATTATGCACCACGTACGTCATGCACCTCGTTACGTCATGGAGCACTACGTTGTAAAGTAATTGCGTCATGAAATAAATTAAAGATGGACAATAAATGAATCTTTATGAAAAGTGACAAGGCATAATGTTGTCACAGTTTCCATTACTTTGATATGCGCTGCAAGTGGCAAGTTGAAATTTCATTGTTTGAAAGTTGAGATGCAATAAAAACTATATTTATGTTGGACTATACTCTGACATGTACCTGCAACTAACAATAGTTAAAAATGTTTCATTGGACGTTGAACATGCTACACCGTGTAACATAGACTTAATATGTGTTGGTTGCAAAAAAGATACATAACGCGATGTATTCTGACTTTCAACTTGTATACCAAATCATTGCAATGCAAGATGCCAGAAAAGGTGGCACAATATATGTATATATGTTATTTACCGGCTGGTGGGCTCGGGCGGGACCGAGTGACTCTTTTAAAACCAGTGAAAATATTTTTTAAGTACGGACCAACCTAAGGTAAATAACATATTTATTTTTTTTTATTTTTATTATAAAGAAATTCGCGTTGTAAAATGGCCAACGCAATTTGATGTAGAGACTAAAATTGATTGATTTCTTCAAACTTCGCTTCGTCTGGATAGTAAAATTCACTCTTGCTGTGATGACTTTCATCTGAATACACTTTGCCTACGCGTTAAACAATTTATATTGCTTTTAAATCAATTTTAAAAATTTACAATTCACTACGCAAACAAATACATTGTGAAAAATATCACTTATACCCACGGGCCATATATCGTAAAAAGCTGCACGCTGAGTCGGCCAATCAAATTTCTGGAAATCGAAAAATATCGCTTCGCATGCATAAATAAAAATATATAACATGGTATTTGCTGTGTGCTAGTGGGGAATGAATGAAAGTTGCAGTGTGAAACACTGCCTTCGCCTAGTAAACTATACCATAGTAATGCAAGTTGAAATAATCATACAAGTACTACAACACAGAAGAAAGCTGGACTGTGAAACACTGCCTACGACTAGTAAACTATACCATAGTAATGCAAGTTGAAATAAAAATACAAGTACTACAACACAGAAAAAAGTTGGACTGTGAAACACTGCCTACGACTAGTAAACTATACCATAGTAATGCAAGTTGAAATAAAAATACAAGTACTACAACACAGAAGAAAGTTGGACTGTGAAACATTGCCTTCGCCTAGTAAACTATACTACAGTATTGCTAGCTGAACCGAGAAACATTACGTTAAAAGATCGCTCACCCAAAAGATTTGTGCCAGAGATCTAAAACGCCAGCCATGGTTGGATTTGTGACGAAGAGGTTTTCCTCTATTGCAACACATGCTGATCTGTAAGATTTATTCCATGGTTTTGGGACTTGAGAAAGTCTAAACATAAGCATAAACATGCAGTGAGGAAGATTATTAAAAATCCTGATTTTTAACCCTATGAACGCAATTCAGCTTATTGGCGGCAATGTTTATACGAATTAAAACTTCTATCTATCAAATTAATTCTAGTACTCGAAAACCTTGATGTTTTGTTTGTAGTACTGACTTAGCAGTATCACATAACATCAGATAACATCACATCACATCACATCACATCACATAACCTAACATCATATCACATCACACAACATCACATCACATCACATCACATCACATCACCTAACATCATATCACATCATATCACATCACATCACATCACATCACATCACATCACATCACATCACATCACATCACATCACATCACATCACATCACATCACATCACATCATATCACATCACATCAAACACATCACATCACATAATACATCATATCACATCACATCACATCACATCACATCACATCACATCACATCACATCACATCACATCACATCACATCACATCACATCACATCACATCACATCACATCACATCACATCACATCACATCACATCACATCACATCACATCACATCACATCACATCACATCACATCACATCACATCACATCACATCAAAACACATCACATCACATAACCTAACTTCATATCACATCACATCACATCACATCAAAACACATCACATCACATAACCTAACTTCATATCACATCACATCACATCAAATCAAATCACATATTCTAAACCATTCTATTCCAAAATTGCGTCATTTTTATATCTCAGTATCTGAGTATCCCACCACACTGTATATATATATACAAACGCCCACCTTAAACATTTAAATTTCTAGTCTGACGATGTTTTGTGTAAAGACGAAACGTTACTGTCACGATAAACTATAATTTCTCACAAAATAGCTATAATTAGAATTTTAAGTTGTGCAATTTTTTCTCTAGTCAAGTCAACTCAGTTCATACAAACAGCTGCCGTCCATTACAATCATGTGAAAACATCTCAATTTCGATGGTAAACTGCACTTGAATATTGTGTAGCGTGTAGTTGAAACATATCTTTCGTTTATGCTTTCGTTTATATTTCAGTGCAATGACGCAAATCGAGCTTTAGTAAGGTTGCGTTTACACTATACCTGATTCACCCATCACGATATCTTCATCTACTTTAAAAGGGCAACTTTTCCGAGTAAAAGCTTATTAAGTTGATAGATTTAGTCTATTTGATTGTGTTTCTGACGTTGAACAATTTCACTGTCTTTTAATACAAACGAAATTTAACCTTCGATAATAGCGTGCCCAAGTGCGTACAACTTCGTTCGAATGCAAAAGCTCATGGAAAAATCAGAGCAGGTGTATTTGTAAATAGTTTATCAAAAGAATAAAAACCAAGACAGGTGACATGTTTATCGATAACTATAAACAACAAAGTACTTGACATGATTCGGGTGGAAGGCTTTGATTCAAATCTAAACTAAATGATTCTTCAAAATATAGATGTATAGAATAAGCGACTAGAACCAAGGCCGTAACGACAGGGGAGATGGTGTAGGGGGGGGGAGATGTGCAACAACCCCAATGTTATAATACTGCAGCTTTGACACTGCATGACACACTCGTCAAGGGGAGATGTGCAACAACCCCAATGTTATAATACTGCAGCTTTGACATTGTATGATACACTCGTCAAGGGGAGATGCAACAACCCCAATGTTATAATACTGCAGCTTTGACGGTGTACGATACACTCGTCAAGGGGGGAGGGGGAGATGTGCAACAACCCAATGTTATAATACTGCAGCTTTGACATTGTACGATACACTCGTCAAGGAGGGGGAGATGTGCAACAACCCCAATGTTGTAATACTGCAGCTTTGACGTTGTATGATACACTCATCAAGGGGAGATGTGCCACAACCCCAATGTTATAATACTGCAGCTTTGACGTTGTATGATACACTCGTCAAGGGGAGATGCAACAACCTCAATGTTATAATACTGCAGCTTTGACATTGTACGATACACTCGTCAAGCAAAACGTTTGTTTATTAAGTCAATCCTTCTGTTCCTAACACATCATTGTTGAAATAATTCCTTTCAAAACGTTATAGCTCAGCATGATTATGCCCCGAGTTTTTTGTTGGGCCACGCTCTGTTTTGTTTTTTTCAGAGAAAAAGTATCCTACACCCACCCCACCTCTTGAATAGCACGTGCGGCCTACATTGCTATTAAACCGATAAAGGACAGTATCTCGTTGGGAGGAACTTCTTGTTTACTTCATTTGAATGAAGTAGTCGAAAGCAAAGAGCTTCTTGCAATAGTTGGGCAAACTCTCCGGGTTCAGATAATCATCTGTTGTTCCTGTATTTTAAAGTGAATGCAAAAACAATGCCGGAAAAAACACATTGGGCCGTTTTGCATGCATAATGTCCACGCATACACGTAAAAACTGTAAGAAAATCAGATATACTTGGTATTCAAACTGTTCCTGACACGTGCTGCACACACGCAATACACTCATTGAGTCGTGTCGAAAAATGCGATAAATAATAAACACGTGTTTCGATATTAAAATTAATGTCGCACATTGCGAAGATTAACAATTCGTGATTATCATACGAATAAGCCTTCAACATCACGTATAAACCATAGATATTGGTTTATGAGTTTTTTACCGCTTTGTCCATTGGTATAGAAAGTATTCGGAAAAATAGACACCGGATGCACAAATATGCACAGGAGATCGTCGGCGGTCGGAGTTTCTACGAAGTCTTGAGATGTTTTGACTACAAGACCAATATCGGATTATCGTGTAGTCAACATTAATTTTTCATCATTTTAAGATGATTCATATCTGTTTTTGAAATACAAAATGACAGCCCGCTGGTCGGTAATTTAAGAGCTTCGCATTCCACGATAGATCATGCATGACCCGTCGAACAAACGTCAACGTAACTAAAGAATTTGCAAAAGACAGAGACTGTCAAACTGCCCAGACAAGTAATTTGTAAAGGAAACGATCAAAATATTCGCAAAGCAATTAAATTCTTTTCAAACAAGGCGGCAAAAGAGCAGAGTAGCTGCGTGAAGCAATCACAAGAGATATGGACAACCAAAGTGATGTGATCCACTGCGATGGTCTGTACATTACTTATTACTCAAAATATCCGGCCAAAGGCCCGGAGTTTGTGATCAACGTTTTCATTATCGCAGCCAATGTTCTCTTAAGCATATTGGGAAGTGTCGCCAATATGGCAATAATGATATCATATTATCGAAACAAACGACTTCGCTCGGAACACACGATGTTGTTATGCATCCTTGCAACAATTGACTTTACGATTACCGCAGTCCTTCAGCCCCTATTTGTCGTAAAACGATTCTCCGTTATTCTAGGAACATTCGACCACTGTAAACTGTCGAATATGATCAGTCTATTTTCACTTGTATGTATTAACATCTCCATGCTTCTACTGATATTTTTATGTTGAGAGATTCATCGCTTTGCGTTTTTCATATCGCTACAAACTTATTGTGACCAGGTCGCGTATAGCTATCGCAGTCTTTGGGGCTTGGTTACTAGTGTTAGGAATGGTTTTTCTACAGATATTCCGCGATAAGCCCACTCCATTGTATCTGTTGTATGCGATATTGACCGTTATAACGGTTTTTGTATGCCTGTCGCTCGGTTTATGGACGGAAAATTTACTACGTCGTCATCGCAAGACAATCAAACGAACCCAAACCGCTTCACTTTCACAGGCCCAGATCAAAGCACGAAAGAAGACGAAGCGACTAACAAGAACGGCACAACTTATCAGTGCAACGCTTTTGGCGTGTTACATTCCCAGCGCTATCGCTGCAACTTATGAAGTCTTGTATGATGAAAAGAACCTTTGGTACTATGAAATTGTGCGTCCGTGCGTGATCACCTTGTTTTACATCAATTCGGCACTTGATCCTTGTGTGTTATTATGGAGAAATCATGACATGAGAAAGACCGCCACTCATCTTTTTGACAATACGCGTTGGTTAAGCTCAACAACCTTTCATTAAATCATCTCTGCAACTCAATTCACGCAACGCAACTCGAAACTACCAAAGGGAGCGTCAATTATCACTTTAAAACGTGTGGTCCCGAGAATACGGTTCGCGTTAGCTACTGTATGTGTAAGAATAACGTCCAAACTTACTCTTTCTTGTAGTCAGGTGTAGTATTGATTTCTTTATCGTCCTCTTGCTCGCGTGGATCTTTGAGAACGAAGTCAACTGTATAATGAAACAAATTACTTTCGTGAAACTGTGATTAAGAGAGGATTGCATGAGGTAACGAATAAATGATGTAGAATTGCATATAACGAACCTATAGCTTTCTTCACACTTAGTAAATAATCTTCACGCATTTCATCGGAGAGATTTTCAATACTAAGATCACGACCATCCTGTAATTAAATGGAAAACACCTGAATCTTCTTCATCAATAAAACATGGCTGGCTGTTAAACACTTTAACTAGTCTAAATTGATTAAATTGAGCATTAATTACATGTTGCGGTACTTAACAAAAAAATTGTTCTTCAATGCCTTTTTCTAAATGTAATCATTTCTTAAAGTTTTTTATATTCACCTTCAATGACTGTGGTACAAGTTTTAAGACATGAAACAGCCATAGATCCTCCATGGGGGCGACATGCTCGGTATCAATGCCATGATGAATATAATAATAGTATCTCTGAAACAAAACAACAGCACATGAATTGATTTGAGCATTGTTCTAGTAAAGACTGGAATAGGCACAAACTAATATATCTTTTTCTGTGGCTGTTGGTGATCCAGTACGAGACAATGGAGGAAGCTCACTATCAGTAGACGGTACTTGCTTAGTCCGTTCGTTTTGCCTACAATAACAAAAGTATACCATATAAAACAGATGGAACTCTAATGCCCTTTTATAAAGGTTTAAAGAATTTTGGCACTTGCATTATAATATTGACCAATGAACTTCTGAACGCTTCTCTATCCTTCTTGTGCGAAGATTGAAGTGTTGAGCCTGATTGTTTTTTGGAGGTAGTTGAATTGATTGAGGATAATACAGCATTGACATTCGTCAGTCCTCCATTACTCCGTCTTGCACCAGAGTCTGCAAAAGTCATGAGTAAAATGTTGCTTGCTGGCAGTGAAGAGGTTCAAACACAACCAACCTGGCCGGCCATCCTCAGTCTTGCTCTGATTGAGGTGAAAAACTGGTCTGTTCTCATGCCATAGTGGCTTTTGTCTAGTCTAGGTAAGTATTATAAATATTGTTGGCATAATGCTGTTTCAAAAGTTTTTGGTGAAAAAAATGTTAAGTAAATTTGAACAAAAAGTACTTTTGAACCATGCAAGTGCATATTTTACAAAGTTCACACGTTCATAATTCATAAATAGGGATTTAGTTTTGTCGAAGACGGATGTTTTTGTGGAAATAAATTCAGTAGTTTAGTTGTACTCATAAACAATATTGCTGATGAAATTATGCACAGAATGCCAACACTTACCTCAGGTAGCTGAGGGAGAAACCTGACAGGAACTTTAGGATTCTTTCCTTTGCCCCTCTGAAATAAAAAAAAAGGAACACGAAATTTACGTCTGTCTTTTAATAGTTCATTGGCTTTCATTTCACGATAATTTTTCTGAATTGTCAGTTTCAAATCAACTTACCGACTGTAATGCAGGCGTGGGAGATTCCATATTCAAAACGCTGTAGCTTTAAACACGTTAAAATATTTACATCTTTAAGGTTTCACTTTCAAAAACTTTAAATTACATATCGCTCTTTTAGCGCCATGTTTAATCAATAAATGTTGTACGACAATTACAACGTTGCTTAGCAACAGCATTTAGTCGAAAACATGTCAATGTGTTTTCCGCATTGGTTTTACGGCAAGTTATCTGGTTATAAAAAGTCAAAATTCAATAAAAGATAATTTTTTTAATAAAGTACATTCGTCTGAAAACATTTTTTAAGTGTTGAATCGAGAAAATACAACGTTTCTATTGCTCACTATTCTAGTTGACCTTTTCTACGCTACATCCAGTTAGGCATAGACAGAGAGATCAAACCAAAACTAGTCTCAGTCTTCGTCGATGCACTACAGGAGCTCGGTCATTAGTCATCGCACCAGCGGAAAAGCGAGAGAACGGTAGTAAAGAAAACATATTCGTAGTTTTACAATTGTATTGAAAAATGGTCTATTTTGAGTAACTTAGTGGTCTCATGTGGATGTGCGATACATTTTTACACGGAGGCGTTTTGTATTCAAATCTTGCGAAGGACAATAGCGGTCAAAAACAATAACTTTTACTTGACGACTCTATATCTCAGCTAGCGTGACAAGTGCCTTAAATACAGAAGTTAGAAAGGAAGCCATTTGGCGTTCACCTTATAACGTTAATGTCTAACAGGTATGCTTTGACCACATTTTCTGTATTATATATTCACCACATCTGTAAATTGCCATTTTGTCTTCTGACATAATCTGAGCATTTCAAGCGTATCGACTTAAACAGAGGTAGGGAAGCGGCGAATATCGATTTGTCTTTTGACGATAGTGGACAAATTTCCACCATGTGTTCTGCAGACATTTTCGTTGGCATAAATATGTTTATTGCGGCTTCATCCCGTCGAAGTAAAGTCTAAGTAACTTTATGTTATTACGTTAACAATGCAGGTGGATATGTTGGGGATTCCGTTTATCATATTTTTGCAGGTTATTTGTTTGTGTTGATAAATTTATAGATGTAAATTGTGCATACTTCCATATTTTACATCCTTTTTAATCTGCATGCTCGTTCGTATGTTCGATACCAAAACAACTGGTAATTTACTGTACTTAAACATTAAACAAAGCGAAAGCCGTTGTCGTACTGGTATAAATGCACACACAAATATCAATGGCAGAACTGAGCAATGTAATGTAGTTTTTTTATGTCGAACTAAATAGCCTAACTGCAAACACAAAAGGCATTCTTCTGTTGAATGAACGTAAATATTTTAATTTGCGACATTTCAATGGAGCAAGTTGCGACATAATTAATTCTTTCTGTTTTTTTGTACTTTCATTGTAAAACGCAAATGAAAATTGTACCAAATTTATGGCTATGATTGAACCTTTACTTCCTGGTGGGATTTTTATTATGTTATCATGTATGTGTTATAATTTAGCTATTATACAGTTTCTCTAAAGGTCAAGGTTAAGATTGGGTAGTTTTTATCAATGTGTATATGTCATGTAACCTTTCCAAAATTTAGTAATGACATGTTACTAACTCACAGCCATTTTTATGACAAAAAATAAGTTTGGAAAAGTTATTTAAAAATTTGTGAACTGGGAAAGCTTTCCTTTTCCATATTTATTCATTATTATTTTATTTTATAATTGCTTAATGGGAGAAGAACTTGTTACCATTCTCAATGGGACGCTTTCATTTTATCAACTTTTAGTTCATTTTATGTCGACCTCACCAGTATGGCTGAACAGGAGGGTGGAAATTTATGTCAAATCACCAACCATGCCAAAGCCGGATCTACTTCCTGGAGAACTGATGGTGTGCGAGGTACCAAATGTGTTACGTTTTAATGCAATGGGTGAAAAAAAGAAAGGTATGTCCGGAGTGCTATGTGCAACCAATTTCCGTGTTTCATTTGTCACGGCTGGAACTGGTAGCAGTCGTAGGCAATCCATATTTCATTCAAATCAAGACCTAACCGAAGGTGGCGAAGGACTCTCCAGTCAGCCACAATCCCAAGATGCAGTTCTCATTCCTCAAGCTTGCATCTTGCAAATCTGCAGCATGAATGGCGAGAAAGTGAAAAAAATCAACCCAGGACATGTTTTCAAATCGAAATTAGAGACATTAGTCATTCACTGTAAAGACTTTCGAATCATTTCGTTCGGTTTTAAGTTTTGTTCAAAAGAACAACAAAGGAAGATTGTCAATGCCATTTTGCATTATTCCTATCCATCTTCATTGTCACGGCTTTTTGCATTCGACTACCATCATTATCCACATTTCAATGGTAATCACTCAGTTCATGAGTTGTTTCCAACCTATCGTAAACAGTCACACTGGGAAGATGAACTGGAACGTTTGAATTCGAAGGGAAGATGGCGTGTGACATGGGCAAATATTGATTTTGCTATTTCCGATACGCTTGGCCAGTACATGGTTTGTCCCAAGGATTTGAATGAGGAAACAATAGTCAATGCTTCAAAACATTACATAAATGGTCGATTGCCCTTTTGGTGCTGGAATCATCCTACCACTGGAGTACCATTACTTTGTAGTTTAGGACTGTAAGTTATTTGAATTTTATTATGATTTATCTTAATGTTCATTTCAAAGAAATCTCCTTTTCTTAAGGCAAGAAATTGATATGATGGACAAATACGAGAGTAGAATATTCGACCATGTCAAGTCGACGTATCCTAAAGGCAAGGAGACCCCAATCACCATCTTCGATGTCACTCGGAATTGCCCGTCACCCCGAGACTTGGAGATAAGCTACGAGAAAGTCCGAGAGCTGTGCATGAGCAAAAACGAGCATGAGTTTTGGGAGACCGACTCGCGCTGGATGACTAATATCGATGGATCTCGGTAAGTCAACGTACTCAAATCACACCTGTTATCCCACACAGTGGCGGATTACTGCGTAAGCTGAAGCCTATAGGCCGGGACTTTCGAGAGGCCCGCTGTATCTAGAGATAACTAGTTTTTAGCTTTTGCCATTCTGGACTAGTTAAATGTTCTAAATTTAGACCATTCATGCAGTTAAAAACCATACGATCTACTGTTCAAATGCTCGATGCTCAGAACTCATGAAGTAGTGGGTTTTCGAAGTTTGAACTTTAAATTCATTACTTATTATCGATGAGCTATGAGTTACTAAAACAAGCTGAGAAATGCAAAGGCAAAGGAGCGTAAGGAACGCAAATGTCATCAAGAGACTGAACCTAGTGAGAGGAATACTTTGTCTTAGGCGCCGTAGTTAGCAATCCGCCACTGATCTCACATGATTCATTATACTTGCATTCATTAGATGGCTTCATCACATTCGATCCTCCCTTATCGCTGCCTATGCTGTCTCGAAGATGGTACACGAGGAAGCAAAACCTGTCGTCGTACGCGAAGTCTCCGGGCGCGATCTATCTCTGGTAGTGTCCTCCCTTTCTCAGCTCATAATGGACCCGTATTACCGCACAATCCAGGGTTTCAGAGACTCGTCCAGAAGATGTGGGTGATATTTGGACATCCGTTTGCCAAGCGCGTTTCTCACATCAAAGTCATAAAGAAGGAGGAAAAGGACGAGAATGCCGAGTCGCCAGTGTTTCTACATTTCCTGGACTGTGTACAACAGTTGCTGACGCAGTTTCCGTCTGCTTTTGAGTTCTCGGAAACTTATCTTCTCGGAATGTTGGACTGCGTGTACTCTTGTATGTTTGAAACATTTCTCTTCGACAGCGAGAAGGACCGAAGCGTCATATGTAAACAAGAAGATCGCCCCAACCATCTGGCAAGTTTCTGGGATTACATCATGGATAATTTGCCGTCGACCGAGTTTTCCTTATTCTTGAATCCACTATACGAGTTCCAGCGGTCTTATTTGATTAGTGACGACGAGAAATTGAAGAAAGTCGAACCGTATTTGGTCGGTTGCACCGACACGCCATGCCTTAAGTTCTGGTCGTCTTGCTTTCTCCGTTGGTTGCCTGTTGCAAAGGAGACCGTCAGTCGGGGACAATCTCCTTCGAAACATCTTCAGCAGATGATCCTGTTGAACAAGTTGAAAACTTCCAAAAGACGTCAGGCGGTTCTTGAAGCAGAGTTGAAAAGCTTCGACATGGAGAAGAGCATTTCTCCTCAGGATCTAAGTAACATCACTTCAATGCACGGCGACTATAAAGCGACGATCCTAAATACCCATACAGGACCCTTTTCATTCTCGGAGTTCTCGCTCAATCCCTTAATGGAGCGGAAGAATGGAAGCGCGTCGGCTGCTGAAGGCAATGAATTTGCCACGCAAGTTTAGTTCGAAATTCATCCCGTAGCGCTAACGCAATAGATGAAATGATGCATCGTTGATTTATGCAAAAATTATCACACACACACACATAAGTAAATGGCGTTACGTCAACATGAGCCTTGATCGGGTTGTTCGTTGTCGTGGATGATCTGGTCACATGACTAGGAAGATCCTCGACGCTAGTTGATATTGAAATTTAATTGTACTCGTAGAGTATTTTCATGGCAATTTACAAAGTGGACATCGTGACATCACAAAAATAGCTAATGATTAAAAACAAGAGGATTAATATAGAAAACTTGCGTTGTGGTGTTTTTGAACAACCCAGTCATAGACTATAACTAAAGTATTTTTTCACAATTCATTACCCAACTAGTCCACCTTGTACCGTTCGTATCGTTAATATATAGTTATGCATTATTTTGTTCGACCACTCACCCAAGCACGGCGCATGTGCAGTAGGCATGGTTTCGTTGCCAAACTTCTTCCGAATGTGGTAATATATTGAATCATATAAATGTTACATAGAAATGATGTTGCAGCACTGCAAGTACGAACACATCATTGTACGAAAAAAATAATTAAAGTTTAAATGAATTGGATTACGTAAAGTAAAAACTCTAACGGCTAACGTTATTTAGGACTACTCGTGTCCGTTCATTTTCCCAACATGAAGTAACTCATCCGCCGCGCTAAGAATTTTGGGAAGATTTTGAATGATTGCTGGAAACGCGTCAAGCCTCTCTTTGATGCTTTCAACGCTGTAAAAATCGAGAAAAAACTATTAAAAACTTTTCAAACTTGCCCAAACTCTTCACTAAACATCGCTCAACATTTTCATTGTTCCACACTCACCAAAACGTAAACATTTAGTGCGTTTGAACAACACACTCAACAATTATTAGTAGTATATGCACTGTGCAACGTAATTTGTCGGGAAAATGGAGTCGTAAGAGATACAAGTTGAATTTTAGCTGGTCACTGAACCGTGTATGTAGCTGTATAGATATATACGCAGTTGCTAGACGTCGAGGAATATTTTATTCCATGATCTTTTGTGTTATCATTTTAAAGCTCAACACGTTGAGAGCGTTTGCACACGTCACTTAACATCACTCAACAAACGCCTGACAATGTTGAGCGCATGTTCAGTCAACATTTCGAGAGCGTTAGCTCCTAGCTTGAACTCTAAAACGGTAGACTAGTGAGTGAAATCAATCACGTGAACTTTCAGGATTTTTACTTCCGTTGCCTTCATCAAATAAACGTACCTTACGCAAGTGCCGATGACTCGTTGGGTTGTGAACGGTATTTTCCCATCAATCACGAGAGAGCGCAGATCAAATGTAACGACAAACTTCAAGAACTTTTCGTAACTCGAAAATTCAGCCTTCAAACTAAAACACGATGAATTTCTCAACAATTCGTTTAACTGGCACAAGTTCATCATTAGATACGGAAAACTAATAGCGCATTCAGCCTGAGTGCCCCGGCACGGGCACCAATGTGAACACGACATTTTGATGGTGCCCAAGTCAAAATGGCCGAGTCTGGGCACCACGAAAAAGGCAGTACCCAAGTACGGTGCTCGGGTAGGAGCACCAATGTGAACACAACATTTTGATGGTGCCCGAGTCAAAATGCCCCGGTTTGGGCACCACGAAAACGGCAGTACCCACGTACGGTGCCCCGGCACGGGCACCAATGTGAACACGACATTTTGATGGTGCCCGAGTCAAAATGCCCGGGTCTGGACACCACGAAAAAGGCAGTACCCAAGTACGGTGCTCGGGTAGGAGCACCAATGTGAACACAACATTTTGATGGTGCTCGAGTCAAAATGCCCGGGTTTGGGCACCACGAAAACGGCAGTACCCACGTACGGTGCCCCGGCACGGGCACCAATGTGAACACGACATTTTGATGGTGCCCGAGTCAAAATGCCCGGGTTTGGGCACCACGAAAAAGGCAGTACCCAAGTACGGTGCCCCGGCACGGGCACCAATGTGAACACAACATTTTGATGGTGCGCGAGTCAAAATGCCCGGGTCTGGGCACCAATGTGAACGACGACACCTGAGTAACGTGTACAGAGAGGCACGTATTCAGCACATGGTTTCAAAACTTGTTAACAATGAAAAACATGAAATTATAAATAGACGAAGCTAGTGGGTACTACGTAGTGTGAACGGCCTGCAGATTTATGACCGAACCAGGGTATCGTACTCCGGCACTCAGTCTGAACGCGCTATAATTGGAGTCGTAGAGTCTAGGATTGTACTAGGTAATATTCTCGAGAAACTGTGAAATAGAGGTTTGGGCTTTCATTTTCTGCGATCCTCCTCAGGGCAAACAGTTCTTAGCTAACAAACCAACCGATTCAAACATTGTAACAAACAACTAAGTTATTGCATATTGAATAATTTGAACGCTGGAGTATCGTTACATGTTCGAACATGTAGATCGTCCAGGTGAGTATGAAGTTCATTAAAAATAACTGTTGGTGTTGACTGACGTTTCGACAGCCTTAGCGAAAGAGACAGTCAGCGGTAGCCATCTTCTTAGTCATGTGACAGCCAACGTCAACACCAACAGTCAGGTGGACGGTGTAGGTCAGAGTAATCCTGGTCGTTAAGGTATTGTATATAATGCTTGATAATTCCCACCAGTCGTTGAAATTGTTCATTATTCAAAATATAATGAACTCGACAATTCCTACGGTTTATTAAAAACGTGAACCTTTTTGGGTTCAAACGTTCGAATGAGGCAAATTCCCAACTGATGCTTATTCAACCGCACAGATTCCCCCATGGGAAGAGCAGACCATGCTATACTTACATCTTCTCTTCAGTTACAATGATGTGATTAATTGTAAATTTTTTGATTGCTTTCACCAACATCCTCGCTCGAACACTTGCGTATCACAGGAGCTGAAATTGCTCATTAGAATTCGTAGTATGGGGCTAAAGCGTTTAACTTAAGAGGACAGCTATCTTACCTTTTCCTCCGATTCAAAGAAAGAAGACGGTAGGCAAATTGCTCTTTGATCAAAGAAATGGCGAGTGTTTTCATGGGTGCACTGGTGCCTAAAATGCAACATATGAACCAGTGCGCATGGTTATTGCGTTTTTTACAAAGGAGATGCATTTGCTCAGCTTAAGTAAGAAGTCTAGAAATGAGTTATCATATCTAGCCCACTTACAATAATCTAGGCTTTGTATTCCCTTCTCAGATACACCCTATAATCCCATCGAGTTCAAATATCACCCCGTGATCTCATCTGTTTCAACACTATCCCAAGAATTCTCTATCATCAGCCCAGTGAACTGTAAATATCAACTGGAACGTTAACAATGCCGCCATCTTCCTTCATCTCCGAAAACGAAGCTTGTTTTCCTGAGTTTTTAGAAATTTGATGATATTATTCAGAAAATCAACAACGATACACATAAAATACAGTAGCACAATTTGTCATGAAAAGTTTTAGCACACAAGATTTGTCAGGAAAACCTAAAAACTCAGATACTTATACATCTTAACTGGCTTCAAAATGTCGTATAGAGCTAGCATTAGAGTTAGCGTTCCAGTCTATAATACAGTTCATTGCGTTAGCCAAGGTCAAGATCATATTATAATTAATATAAAAAACCTTGTAAGTCGGTTGCAAGGTCAATATCCTTCACAGAAAACTCGTCGTCTTCAAACTTTATATTTAAGCGAAGACTTCCGTCAAGAAATGTAAAATTCAACTCTGTTTCACTACACGTCTCTAGCTTCCATTCTTGAATGCTACAATCAAGAGCGACACTTATCACGTGTCATCGACTAACGATATTACTGGCTGTTACAACAAATGACTGTAGAAATTTCCAGGTCCGAATAATCAATAACCTTACCCTGTTTGCGCTGGAAGAAGGTTTTCGATTTCTTGAACGCGTTCCAGGCGCCTTTTCTAAAAACGCCATCACTCATTTTTGGCAATCGTGAAACGAACACGGTAGAAATGAAAATTCCCACCTCAATAGTTTCCATTTCACAAACAATCCTTTCTAGTTCGCTAATTTCCAGTCTTCGCTCAGATATCGCCAAAGACTTCGATTCTTTCTCACTGTAGACGTGTTAAGACATGAGGATGATAAAATCATTATAAAACTGTACCATAAACAAGATGTTAGTTTTCAAATGTTTATTCTTTTGGCCGTTTTTACACTAGAAAACGGTTAAGACGTAAAAGTCAAGGTAAAGGACGTCTTTTAGGCCAACACTATAGCTAAGGTCATATTTTCTCGTTTTTACATGATATATTTAGAACAACCACGGGCAGTTTGACCAGAGATACAATTTTTTACCAGATTAGCCGTACGAGCTTAAACACACCCCCCTGTTCTGAATTCTGCAAGTACGTAAAACAGGTGGGAGAGTTCAAAAGCTCATCATACCAAATCTAGCAAAAAAATTTGCACGTATATTGCCCACAGTGCTCTCAGGGAGTAAGCACAGAATACAGCAGAGCCCCTCAATTGAATAGTTTCGTGCCATGCATACTATTATGGCAGCCAGTCAATTGCTTTTTTGTCCGATAGAAAAGACGAAATGGCTAACGGCAGGCAGTAATCTAATTAAATACACAGCAGCAGTTGCACCCGAAGTGGACCTATTGTATATTTCTTATACTGTGGCGTAAACATACCTAGACGTCTTAACCGTTTCTAAAGTAAAAACGACATTTCTTTTGACAGAAGTACGTAGAGCGAATCAACAATTTTACGTTTGTATATTCTCGAAAATGAGAATAGAAACTCACTCTCATCAGGTTAACTTTCATATTTTCTGGGGATTTTTACCATGCTGAATGTTTTCCAAATCATTGGCCAAATTTTTGTGAAGTATTCTATTTGTCCGACGGAAGCAGGGTTAGCAACAGACTACATCATAGATCAGGGGTGGGCAACTTCTCCAGTCGGCGGGCCAGATTTAGGAAAATGAAGTTATTGGTGGGCTGGATTATTACATGAATAATATTCAATATCTTAATCACAGATATAGTCGGCGGGCCAGTCGAAATTCCTTCAGGGGCCGGCCTGGCCCGCGTGCCGTATGTTGCCCACCCCTGTCATAGATCAACCTACATCCATACGCCTCGTGCGGGTCCATGAGCAATATTGAAGAAAAGCTTGCCCCTGTATACGTTACATTTGTTTGAGCTATCGCATAAATTATGCCGCTTTATTCAAAATTTATTCATTTTGTAATTTTAATTGGTAAATATCTCAAAAGAAATGCCATAGCAAAATGAGTCATTTACATCTTGGTAGTGTATCTTTCGTATATTTTGCTTGCATTTTTTGTTGTAAAGTTCTCTCTGCCAAAACGATAAAAATTTTATAAAACATGATATCAGAACAAAGTTGGAAGCCGTTCTTTCGAGCTTGAATAATGCAGAATAGCTGAATAAACAGCTCGAACGGATGTGACGTATGCGGGATAGAGCTTTTCTTCGAAATTAAAGAGACCCATACAAGAAATATGGGTCTACCGCGCAGGTTAACAACAGACCGTGAAAGATCTGGAATAACCAACGTCGTATACATGTACTCATCCTTGCCTCAATAATCTCTGTCGTTCTTCTTCTTTACATGTCAACTCTATGAACGCGAGAAGAATTTAATGTCGTCAGCAAAAAAACAGGTAAAACCAGTAAAATTAAAGATCACGTATTGTTACCAGATTCAAGTGTTTCCATAGTAGTTTTCAATGCGTCGATTTCTTGAACATATTCTGTCCATTCCTGAACAATAAATCAATCGTTATTCATCTGTCAACCACAATACTTGACAGTCAAGAAGACAGAACCTTTTCCTCTCTTTCTAGACTACTTTCTAGTTCTTGTATTTCTTTGTCACACTCCGCTTCAACTAAGTTCATCAACACAAAATCAACGAAGGTAGTAATACTGAACGACAGATGTGGTTTAATGATAGGTTTAAGAAGTGACTTGTTACGAGAACAGGTTGAAGATGCATGCTATAAGTTGTATGAAGTACGGTTTATTCCATCACACACCTTTGTTTAAATATCTAAAATCTTCGTCGCCTTCTTCACAAATTTTTTTTAAACGATCGAGATCGGATGAAAGGTTCTTTTTTTGTTCCTGTCAAAGAACAGAAATTGCAGGTGAATTAATTTAATTTATGGTTCATAGATCATTTATTATTGATGGTGGTGGTAGTTGGGATGATGATGGTGGTGGTAGTTGGGATGATGGTGGTGGTAGTTGGGATGATGGTGGTGGTAGTTCGGTTGATGGTGGTGGTTGTTGGGAAGATGGTGTTGGTAGTTGGGGTGATGGTGGTTGTGATTGTGTACGTAGTGGATGTGAAGATGGTGGTGATGATGGTTGTAGCGGTGGTGATGGTGGTGATTGTGTAAGTAGTGGCGGTGAAGATGGTGGTGATGGCGGTGATTGTGTAAGTAGTGGCGGTTAAAATGGTGGTGATTGCTGTGATGGTTGTTGTGATGGTAGCAGAGATTGTGAAGGCTGTGGCAGTGATGGTGGTGCTTATTGTAGCGGTGGTGATGGTAGTATAAATTGTGAACGTTGTGGTAGTGAAGACGGTGGTGTTTATTGTAGCGGTGGTGATTACAGTGATTGTTAAGGTTGTGGCCTTAAGGATGGTGGTGGTTGTAGGGGTGGTGATGGTGGTGTTTGTAGTGACGGTGATAGTGGTAAGTAGCGGAGATGGTTATATTTATGACGGTGATAGTGGTAAGTAGAGGAGATGGTTATATTTATGACGGTGATAGTGGTAAGTAGAGGAGATGGTTATATTTATGACGGTGATAGTGGAGAGTAGAGGAGATGGTTATATTTATGACGGTGATAGTGGTAAGTAGAGGAGATGGTTATATTTATGACGGTGATAGTGGTAAGTAGAGGAGATGGACATTTATGACGGTGATAGTGGAGTGAGGAGATGGTTATATTTATGACGTGATAGTGGTGGTAGAGGGATGATATTTATGACGGTGATAGTGGTGGTAGTGGATGGATGAAGGATAGGTAGTGGATAAGGATGGAATGGAGATGGAAGGATGGATGGATGGTGAGGAATGGTGATAGTAGGGGTAGAGATGGTTATATTTTATGACGGTGATAAAGTGATGAATAGCGAGATGGTTATATTTATGACGGTGATAGTGGTAAGTAGAGGAGATGGTTATATTTATGACGGTGATAGTGGTAAGTAGCGGAGATGGTTATATTTATGACGGTGATAGTGGTGGCATGGAGATGGTTTATTTATGACGGGATAGTGGTAAGTAGAGGAGATGGTTTTATGACGGTGATAGTGGTGGGTAGAGGAGATGGAATGAGTGGATGGTGGATAAAGGATGAATGGGGTGGAGAGATGGAGTGGATGGAGAGGAGGATGAAGATGGATGGTGGTGGTGGAGATGGTAAGATGAAGGATGGAGATGAAGGATGGTGATAGTGGATGGATGGTGGAGGAGAGGATGGAGATGTGGAAGGGATGGTGGAGAGATGGAAGTTTATGACGGTGATAGTGGTAAGTAGAGGAGATGGTTATATTTATGACGGTATATTTATGACGGTAGTAGTTGTGATTATGGCAATGGCAATGTAGTGGTTAGAACGGTGTAGAGACGCTTTTCTATTGAAAAATATTTCATTTAATTAAGAGTGATTAAATGGAAAGAAAAGTCGGTGAAATAGGTCCTTGAATTACAGGTCAGCATTTCAATTATCATATATAAAAGACCATCTCCCCAACACCAACAACTAAACCATACTCAATCTTTTCCTAAACGAATGCTTAAATTATTCATGGAATAGAGACCTCTAAAGAAATAAGAATTTTCTCTCGCATCTCTTTTTTCCTTCCATACCATAACCGCTTTCCTCGCATTTCTCCAATCCTCTTCAACTGTTTCAATTTCACTACAATTACATCCTGTGAAAAGAAATAAGAATACAGACGGTTCGATCGTTATGAATAAACAACTGTACACAACTGTAGAACAATGCAAGAACCGCGTGTTTTTTGGAGGGATTATTGCGAAAAATATAACCTCCTTTTTCGTTCCCAAAACATTTCTCAGTTTTGAAAACGCCGGCGGATTGTTCGCGTCCAATTCTGCCTCTTTTTCAGCAAAACGTTTCTTGTTCCTGAAAAAACAATCATTAATAAGTCTGTACAGGGGGGAACCCCCTAAGCATGAATCCGAGCTTACCAAAACCTATCATGTTAAATCTTCATTATCTGGAATTTTGTGACTCGAATTTCGTAAATATATATGACGTAGAATAAAGTGGCTTCGTGTACTCACTGTCTCCCAATAAGAAGTGGTCTAACTACTATACTCACTGTCTCACAATAAGAAGTGGCCTAACTACTATACTCACTGACTCCCAATAAGAAGTGGCCTAACTACTATACTCAATGACTCCCAATAAGAAGTGGCCTAACTACTATACTCACTGTCTCGGAATAAGAAGTGGCCTAACTACTATACTCACTGTCTCCCAATAAGAAGTGGCCTAACTACTATACTCACAATAAGAAGTGGCCTAACTACTATACTTACTAACTCACAACAAGAGGTGGCCTAACTACTATACTCACTGTCATACAATAAGAAGTGGACTAACTACTATACTCACTGTCTCCCAATAAGAAGTGGCCTAACTACTATACTCACTGACTCACAACAAGAGGTGGCCTAACTACTATACTCACTGTCATACAATAAGAAGTGGACTAACTACTATACTCACTGTCTCACAATAAGAAGTGGCCTAACTACTATACTCACTGACTCCCAATAAGAAGTGGCCTAACTACTATACTCACAATAAGAAGTGGCCTAACTACTATACTTACTAACTCACAACAAGAAGTGGCCTAACTACTATACTCACTGACTAACAACAAGAGGTAGCCTAATTACTATACTCACTGACTCACAATAAGAAGTGGCCTAACTACTATACTCACTGTCTCCCAATAAGAAGTGGCCTAACTACTATACTCACTGACTCCCCATAAGAAGTGGCCTAACTACTATACTACAATAAGAAGTGGCCTAACTACTATACTTACTAACTCACAACAAGAAGTGGCCTAACTACTATACTCACTGACTAACAACAAGAGGTAGCCTAATTACTATACTCACTGACTCACAATAAGAAGTGGCCTAACTACTATACTCACTGACTCCCAATAAGAAGTGGCCTAACTACTATTCTCACTGACTCCCAATAAGAAGTGGCCTAACTACTATACTCACTGACTCACAACAAGAAGTGGCCTAATTACTTTACTCACTGACTCACAACAAGAAGTGGCCTAATTACTATACTCACTGACTCACAACAAGAAGTGGCCTAATTACTATACTCACTGACTCCCAATAAAAGTGGCCTAACTACTATACTCACTGTCTTACAACAAAAAGTGGCCTAACTACTATACTTACTGTACCACCATAAAAAGTGGCCTAACTACTATACTCACTGACTTACAACAAAAAGTGGCCTAACTACTATACTAACTGTGTCCCAATAAGAAGTGGCCTAACTACAATACTCACTGACTCCCAATAAGAAGTGGCCTAACTACTATACTCACTGACTCCCAATAAGAAGTGGCCTAACTACTATACTCACTGACTCCCAATAAGAAGTGGCCTAACTACTATACTCACTGACTCCCAATAAAAGTGGCCTAACTACTATACTCACTGACTCACAACAAGAAGTGGCCTAACTACTATACTTACTGTACCACAATAAAAGTGGCCTAACTACTATACTCACTGACTTAAAACAAAAAGTGGCCTAACTACTATACTAACTGTCTCCCAATAAGAAGTGGCCTAACTACTATACTCACTGACTCCCAATAAGAAGTAGTCTAACTACTATACTCACTGACTCCCAATAAAAAGTGGCCTAACTACTATACTAACTGTGTCCCAATAAGAAGTGGCCTAACCATACTCACTGACTCCCAATAAGAAGTGCCCTAACTACTATACTCACTGACTCCCAATAAGAAGTGGCCTAACTATTATACCACTGACTCCCAAAAAAGTGGCCAACTACTATACTCACTGACTCACAACAAGAAGTGGCCTAACTACTATACTTACTGTACCACAATAAATAGTGGCCTAACTACTATACTCACTGACTTAAAACAAAAAGTGGCCTAACTACTATACCAACTGTCTCCCAATAAGAAGTGGTGTAGGATCGAGATGCATAGAGCTTAGGTTATGCTAATTATTATGCTAATTATTATGAAAAACAAAAGGGACCCGTATAAAAGCATGGTTTTTGGGGTCTTTTGAGATTGAGCACAATTCATGTATAGTGGTGTATTTTTTGTACATGGATGTTTATATTTAGTGGCCAAATTACGAGGTAACGATGATTACGGCTCTAGGCCTCCTTGTCGGTTATGTTAATATCTATACTCTGTCGTTTAGAACCGTACGTTTGACGCATTGCATTGAAATAAAGATTTATCTGTATACCGGTCGTCGTTTTAATAGTAGTTTATGTACGAGTATCTTGCTGGTCACATAAGCCTGGAATTGTTGAAGCTTATATAGTTCTCGTAATTGTTGTTTAATCGATCAGCAATGACTCAGAAACGAAAGGGTCAAGGTAAAAAGTCGAAAATTAAAGGCTTATCAAAACGCGTACTTCAGCCGTCTGGCGAACAGTTAAGTCCTCCAGGTCAAGTGAGTCGAGCTAAATCTGGAGAGAATTCGCTTAACAATACGAATCAAGACATGATTGAATCCGCTGAAGATGACGGTAGCGAGCGAGCTGAAAGCGGACCGAACGTCGTCGTACAAAACAAGCAAGTTGTCGTTTCTGACGAGGCTTCGACGAGTTTGGGTTCGCCGGAGCGAGTAGCAGACGAACAGGAACAGGAGCTTGAACTTGGTCTAAGTCAGGTCGCTTCATTTTTGAAGGATAATTCGGTTTTATCGCCTCTTGCTCCTGTATTCCAGTCCAATTCTAATATCGGTAAACAAGCAGCTTCTCACGTGAACGTCACGCGGACTGCTCGTGCGTGGGAAAAGCCGACGCAAACAACAAATTTTGAAGACAACGGGGCTGGAGTAACGAGCGCGCTTGATTCAAAATGGGCAGAACGGTTTCGTGAACTTGAAGAATTGGAAATTAATAGAAGAGAAGAGCTGAACAAGCAGATGAGGGAGGCAAGGCTTAAACTAGAGAAAGAAATGCATCAGGCGAGAATTGAGCATGAGATGGCTATGAAGAAACGGGAAATACAACGACGTCGAGATGAGCTTCGGAAGCTTGAAGAAGAAGTTTTTGGTAATGATATTGAACATCAACTGTCGGACAGGGAAAGTAGTAGTAACGCTCGTGAACCAGATAAAAACCCAGTCCAGCAACCTTCAACCCCAATCGACAGAAGCAGTTTAAGTCAGCGCTTGGCGATACCTCCTACCGGAAATTGTGTACCCCAAGAAAGTATAATAACCAGTGGAACTGGATGTCAAACTCAGCAAAGCTTGCAACGAGACAATTCGTCGCAGTTACAATATCTATTAGAGAAGCAGCAGATTACGATGGACGAAGTAGTGAAGGGATTAAGAATGCCTCAAAGGGAATACATGAGTTTTGATGGCGAACCTCGCAACTTTCCGTTGTTCATGAAGAATTTTGAAGTGAATGTCGAGAGTAAAGAAAGTAATGATGCAGATCGACTGAATTACCTTATTCAGTATTGTAAAGGAACAGCAAGACAAGCGATAGAGCATTGCATCATTATGCCTCCGGATCAAGGATACAAGCGTGCTAAGGAAATCCTGAGAAAAAACTTTGGTCGAAATCACATCGTAACCCAAGCATTCCTTGAGAAAGTCTTGAATGGACCGCCAATTAGAGTAAACGAAGCCGAGAAATTGTCGCAGCTAGCAAGAGATATGGAAACGTGTCTCCTTGGTTCTATTCAGTTAGGAAATCGGGCAAGTATCAATTCGATGGACACTCTGGGAAGGGTAGTTAGCCGCCTTCCAATGCATCTCAAGTCAAAATGGGCTGATAAAGCAAGCCATATGTACGACAATCACATCACACCAGATTTCTCTCATTTAACTGAATTCATACAATCCCGCGCAGCCGTGGCTAGTACGTACTTTGGTCAAATGATTACCTCGAAAAATGAAACCCGAAAGGATGGAACTGACAGATTGAAGAAGAAATCCTTCTTGTTTAGTGGGAATAGCACAAACTTAGCAACTCACAGCCAGAGAATATTTGACAGTAGTGAATCAAAGGGAAGAAATTTATCCTGCGTACTATGCAAAGGCACACACCATCTTGAACGCTGTCACAAGTTCAGGGCTCAAAATCTTCAGCAACGACAAGACCTAGTAAAGACGCACAAAGTTTGTCATGCTTGCTTGAGCCCAGGACATTTCGTGAAAGACTGCAGAGGTGCCCGCATATGCGGTGTTGAAGGTTGTCAGAGAAGGCACCATCCTTTGTTACACTCATCCGAAATAAAGGCTAAGGATTCTAAATCAAGTGAAAGGAGTAATCCAAATCCTGAACCATCTGAAAGCGACAGCCAATCCAAAGCACTCCCAACGTCTGGAGTTGGCGCGACAAATTCATCATATAGCAGTTGTCGTATAGGTTTGCAAGTTATTCCAGTTAAGGTCAGCGCACCCTATGGTAGTCGTGTGATAGAAACTTATGCGTTCTTAGACAGTGGCTCCAACACAACCATGTGCTTAACCAGTTTAGCTGAAGATCTTGGAGCCGATTGCTCACCCATCGAATTCACGTTAGCGACTGTTTCAGGCAGCCACAAAAGTAAGGGTCAACAGTTATCTCTCGATGTGGTTGGAGTATCCACGGGCAAAGGTGTCAGACTAGATAAAGTTTGGACGACCAACACTCTTCCTGTTGCTCTAGAAAGTATTCCCACGAACACTGATGTAAAGGGTGGTCTCACCTTAAAGGCGTTAATCTAACCGATTTAGTGGATAAGAAAGTCACTATCCTTATTGGAAGTGACGTTCCCGAAGCTCTTTGCCCCCTTGAAGTGCGTTCTGGGAAAAGAAATCAACCCTACGCAATACGGACAATCCTCGGTTGGACGGTGATGGGACCTCTGAAGGAAAACCTTATCAAGAAGCTCAGATGAACTTCATTCATGTTGATCAAGCTCTTGGGTGTATGGAAAGGGAAGATGGTATGAGTTCCATTCGTCAGCAATTGCAAAATCTCTACAATTCAGAGTTTAGCGAGTCGGCTGCTGACGTTAAAGAATGTCTGTCGGTCGAGGATCGTCGCGCAAAGGCAATAATGGATAGAACTGTCAAGCTAGAAAATCATCAATATGAAATTGGTCTTCCTTGGAAATACGATGACCCACTCTCCCGTACAATAAGTCTATGGCTGAAAGGAGACTTGCTTATTTGAAGAAACGACTTGAGAGGGACCCCATACTTCACGCAAATTATAAGGCAACGATGAAGGAATACATCTCAAAAGGGCACGCTAAAGTAGTTCAAGTGGATAAACAAAATACACAGGACGAGTCACTCAAAAAACTGGTTTGGTATCTGCCTCATCACCCTGTGACACACCCGCAAAAACCAGAAAAGACAAGAATCGTTTTTGACTGTGCTGCGAAGTTCCACAACGCATCCCTAAATAATCAGCTTCTTCAAGGACCAGATTATACCAATTCATTAGTTGGTGTATTGTTGCGGTTCAGGCAGGAAAAGATAGCGGTAATGGCAGATATTGAGAAGATGTTCCATCAGGTGAAGGTTAAGCCAGAAGACTGTAATGCACTGAGATTTCTATGGTGGCCAGAGGGAGATCTATCCAAAGAACCAGTAGAGCATCAAATGACTGTTCATTTATTCGGAGCAACCTCTTCCCCAAGTTGTTGTTCTTACGCGTTAAAAGAACAGCTTCAGATAATCGGGAAGAATTCAGCAAACAAGTTGTCGACACAGTTGATCGTAACTTTTATGTAGATGACTGTCTCAAGTCTTTACCAGAAAGGAAAGAAGCAATGAAGTTGGTAGACGAACTACCAGTTTTGCTGTCTCGCGGTGGATTCCATCTCACAAAGTGGGTGTCAAATGATCGAGAAGTCTTATCTCACGTACCTAACAAAGAAAGAGCGCCATGCGTCAGCCTTCAGTTGGAGAAGTTGCCGATGGAGAAAGCATTGGGCGTTCAGTGGAATACGGAAAGGGACACGTTGGGATTCCGGGGAAGCAAATTGAAAGCAGAGTCAAGAAGAGGGATTCTATCGTTCATAGCTTCGGTCTACGATCCCCTTGGTCTAGTCGCTCCTGTCGTTTTACCAGCCAAACGCATAATGCAAAACCTGTGTCGAGTAAATCACGGCTGGGACGAAGATCTCCCAATCGAGACAAGCGAAATATGGCATGACTGGCAAAGCGAATTCCATTCCCTTGTGAAATTAGAAATACCTCGATGCTATAAACCGCACGAATTTAACAAGACAAGGAATGCGGAACTCCACTATTTTGCTGACGCATCGACTGAAGGATATGGGGTAGCAACGTACCTTCGGCTGGAAGATACCCAAGGAAGGATTCATTGTACCTTAGTTATGGGCAAATCAAGAGTTGCACCTCTTAAAACAGTCACGGTACCCAGATTGGAACTAACCGCTGCAACATTGGCCGTGAAGCTGAATAAACAAATTTGTGATGAGTTGGATCTGTCAATAAGTCAAATTGTTTTCTGGAGCGATTCAATGATAGTGCTGCGTTACATTAAGAGCGAGAACAAAAGGTTTCAAACCTTTGTAGCGAATCGATTACAAGTTATTCACGATGCTTCTACTCCGAATCAATGGAGACATGTGCCAACCAAGCTCAACCCAGCCGACCTTGCATCAAGAGGTATAAGTCTTGGTCGCGCAACAGGCCAAGACCAACGGGACTTGCAGTTTTGGTTGAACGGACCCGATTTCCTTTGGAAAGATCCCAAATTATGGCCAACGCAGCTAGATGACATACCAGACGTAGAAGACACAGATGTGGAAGTAAAGAAACCTAAAGCAAGAGTTGGTGCCGTCATCAACTCAAAGGATGCACCCTGATTCGCTAATACAACTTATCCATCGAACATCCGAATGGTACAGATTGCAGAAGTCGGTTGCATGGCTGCTAAGATTCAAACAGTACATCTTAAGCCGTTATCCAAACGGTCCAGGATTAGAAGTACAACGTGGTCCTCTAAAGGTAAAAGAGATTGAATCGGCAACCCAGGAAATAATTAAACTTACCCAACGAAGTTCATCTATCAACGAGAAAACTATGAGAGAGAGATACGCTAAACTATGTCCAGTCATCGCCGGAGGAATTGTGAGAGTTGGTGGACGTTTGGATAAATCATCGCTGCCGGAAGAATCTAAACATCCCGCAATTCTTGATTCCAGTCATCACGTTACAAAGCTCATTGTCCGGTATTACCATGCAAAGGAAGGTCACGCTGGAACCAGTCAAACTCTAGCAGCAATACGGCAACGCTTCTGGATAATAAAGGGACCTAGCACTGTGAAGAGTATAGTCAATAATTGTGTTCCGTGTCGTCGCCGAAACCAGTCTCCAGGGAAGCAGATAATGGCCCCACTGCCAAAGCTCGTGTGAAATCTGGTGAGTACCCGTTTTCATCTGTGGGAGTCGATTATTTTGGACCTCTTAAAGTCAAATATAAAAGAGGAACTGAAAAACGATATGGCTGTGTATTCACTTGCTTAGCCATAAGGGCCATACATTGAGATTGCACATGACCTATCGACAGATTCCTTCATTCAAGCCGTATGTAGGTTCGTCAGTCGACGCGGACCGCCGAATGAGTTGTTCAGTGACAACGGGACGAATTTTAGAGGAGCGGAATCTGAAGTTAAGCAAATGTTGCAAAATTGGAATCAAGCTAGAATATTAGATCGTCTAAGAGAAAAGGGAATTCAATGGCATTTCTCTGCTCCGAAAGCAAGCCATAGCGGGGGAGTTTGGGAGCGCATGATCAGAACAATCAGGAAGCAAATGCGTGTTATAATAGGAGACCGAGTTGTTGATGATGAAACACTCCTTACAGTAATGTGCGAAGTCGAGAAAATAGTGAATGATCGGCCTCTTGTACGGCAGTGTGATGACCCTCGAGATTTATCAACTCTTACACCAAACACTCTACTCCTGCGTTATCGAAACATAAGCACAAGTGCAAGTTCTTCACCTACGGCAAATAACCCCCGAGAAATATGGAAACGAGCGCAGAAGTTAGCTGACCAATTTTGGGCAAGGTGGTTAAAAGAATACCTGCCAAGTTTGCAAGAACGACAGAAATGGCTACACCCAAAACGAAACTTAATCAAAGGTGATGTCGTTTTGATGGTGATGGAAGATACTCCCAGAGGTGAATGGCCTCTAGCGATAGTTGAAGAAACATTTCCCGATAGCAACGGACATGTTCGGCAAGTAGAGATCCGCACGGCGAATCAAAGTCGTTATCGTCGAGATGTCAGGAAGTTGTGCCTATTGGAGACTGCGAAGTAAAGCGAGAAATTCTTCAGAAAACGAACGTTATTGTTGTTGTCACTTAACTGTTATTATTATTTTGTTTACGTTAAACGACGGTATCTATTGGTTTATGTTTGGTTATTCGACAAGATTGGTGGACACATTGTTTAAAACTTGCGCAAGTTAACATTGAAAACATTTGTATTGTAGCTCTCGATCCTTTTTGAATTATTGAACGACGTATAGTAGGTCGTTCGGGGCTGGTATGTAGGATCGAGATGCATAGAGCTTAGGTTATGCTAATTATTATGCTAATTATTATGAAAACAAAAGGGACCCGTATAAAAGCATGGTTCTTGGGGTCTTTTGAGATTGAGCACAATTCATGTATAGTGGTGTATTTTTTGTACATGGATGTTTATATTTAGTGGCCAAATTACGAGGTAACGATGATTACGGCTCTAGGCCTCCTTGTCGGTTATGTTAATATCTATACTCTGTCGTTTAGAACCGTACGTTTGACGCATTGCATTGAAATAAAGATTTATCTGTATACCGGTCGTCGTTTTAATAGTAGTTTATGTACGAGTATCTTGCTGGTCACATAAGCCTGGAATTGTTGAAGCTTATAAGTGGCCTAACTACTATACTCACTGACTCCCAATAAGAAGTAGTCTAACTACTATACTCACTGACTCCCAATAAAATGTGGCCTAACTACTATACTTACTGTCTCCCAATAAGAAGTGGCCTAACTACTATACTCACTGTCTTACAACAAAAAGTGCCCTAATTACTATACTCACTGTCTCACAACAAAAAGATGCCTAACTACTATACGACAAGACTGACACACAACAAGAAAATGCCCAACTAATGTATCCACAGACTAGCAATAAACAATGGTCAAACTAACATACTCACAAATCGATTTCTTTTTTAAGTTGTTCAGCAAGTTCTTCCATTATCTCAAGTTTAGCATCTGACAAACATTTGGAGTAGATTTTATCTTTTAGTTCTTTCGGTTTTTGGCACTAAAGAAGAAACATTTTAAGAACTAATTAACCAGCTGGAAACATTGCCTAGTTTTCGTTACAGTGAATTTGTAAATAATTTTTCATTACTAAGCAGGCGACAAAACGGACCCGAATGGAAGGAATGGAATGGATGGAATGGAATGGAAAGATGGATGAATGGAATGGAATGGAATGGAATGGAATGAATGGAATGGAATGGAATGGAATGGACTGGAATGGAGGAATGAAGATTGAATGGAATGGAATGAAAGATTGAGGAATGGAATGGAATGGAATGAATGGAATGGAAGGAATGGAAGATCGAGGAATGGAATGGAATGGAATGGAATGGAATGGAATGAAAGAATGGAATGGAATGGAATGGAATGGAATGGAATGGAATGAAGGAATGGAATGGAATGGAATGGAATGGAATGGAATGGAATGGAATGGACAATGGAATGGAATGGAATGGAATGGAATGGAATGGAATGGAATGGAATGGAAGGAATGGAATGGAATGAAAGAATGGAATGGAAGAATGGAAGAACGGAAGAAAGAATGGAATGGAATGGAATGAATGGAATGGAATGGAATGGAATGAAGAATGGAATGGGAATGGAATGGAATGGAATGGAATGGAATGAATGGAGGAATGGAATGGAATGGAATGGAATGGAATGAAGGAATGGAATGGAATGGAGGAATGAATGGAAAGGAATGGAATGGAATGGAATGGAATGAAAGAACGAAAAGAATGGCAAATGAAAAAGAAAGAATGGCAAATGAAAAGAAAGAATGGCAAATGAAAAAGAAAGAATGGCAAATGAAAAAGAAAGAATGGCCAATGAAAAGAATGGCAAATGAAAAAAGAAAGAATGGCCAATAATACAAATGGTACATTAATAAAAATTTGCGACATAACAATACATGACATTACTCCTATGTTATAAAACAAACCTTAATCATCGGTATATCGCTTCTTCTGGTAGTCAAAGGCAGAAAATCGATGCCAGCATCAGACATGAACATACTAAACGTGTATGGTTGCTAGACAAAATTGCCAATTTCATAATTTCAAGATTTTTGTCAAAAAAAAAACAAATCCACCAACGGTTGCAGTATAGTTCTAGACACGATACCTTAGTCGCACTAAGCATATGTTGTTATTTATCTCGGTTGATTTTTCCTCGACTTTTTCAGATGGCGAAACATCATCAGGCTCAATCAACGATAAACCCTGATGATGTTTCACAGAAGTAACATCTTCCGACGGCGCGACGGAACTTTCCGGGAAGTTGGGAGTTTTTTGAGAACATTTCTCAGACGAGTTCATTTTTTTTTGAAATACCAATGGTTTCACAACTAATCCAGGAAGACTTCTCTTCAATAGTGACGTTGGCATTTTAATCTGAAACAAAGGGAAAATAAGCCATTCCACATAAATTCTTATCCAATGGAATCGACAAAAAGCGTCTATGTCATAGTAAAAATGTAAATGGTGTCATTTTCAACTGATTTTGAAGAAATGATCCACAAAATTGATTCAACGTAACCCAAAAATATACTTGGTTACCTCACGTCAGTTGTACATAAACAAATAAAAGGCTGGGAACAATGAGGCAAGACATACATGCAAATTTCTTTACTACATCATTAGACTGCCTCACCGTCTTTACATGATTTCAAACTCAGAACGGGGGGGGGGAATGTTTCAGCTCATTCCACCAGATCTGGTAAAAAAAACTTGCATACATAGTCACACTGATGGGAAAAATCTTTCAATAGAAATTCACGTGTAAACTCATGACCGCTGACAACCAGTTTTGCATCAGCCAACCATGAAAACCGCTGACAGCCAGTTTGCATCAGCCAACCAGTTTGCATCAGCCAATCATGAAATGGGAAACTACTATCAAACATCTTTCTCGCAATTCAATATGATCGAATCCAGTTAATATTCAACAGATAATTCAAAGTTGTTACATAGCAGTATATTGCACAAGATCCATCGAAGCAAATGCGGTATACATCTGGGGCCGGTGGCAGAAAGGCCGAATAGCGCTATTCACTGCATAGGAATTTTTTGAACTTTCAAAAAAATTACTCATAACAGAAAAATATAGCTACGATTTGAGCTGTTAAATCACTGAAACAAAATATTCTTTCAAAGATCACAAAATTTCGTTTTCGTATGAAAAATATAAACACTTGGAGGCGGTTGCACAAAGCCGAGATAGCGTTATCCATTGGATAGCAAAAATTTTCTAATTTTTAAAAAAGGTGTTTGTACTTTTCTTACGACAAAGAAGTTTCGTAATCCTCGAAACAATATTTTATTTCAGTGATTGCTCAGATCGAATCTTATATTTTTTGCTTTTTAAAAGGTTTTATAAAAGTTTAAAAAATCGAAATCCATTGGATAATGCTATCCAAGGCTCCGTGCGACCTGCATCAGTCATCAACAAAATTACTAAATTCCATACGTCAAAAGTTGTTCGTCGTTACGTACCTGAAATTGTTGAAGATTTAGAGATGCATTCCAGTTAGTTGTTCTCGCTACGGTCTCGACGATATTTTTCTTCATTCTTTCAGCCATTCCCGTGTCACCTGAGCCTGCTGTCTTCTCTTTTCCACACTGTCGTGGAGAAATTTTCGAATCCACACTTAGACATCGACCAAACTCCATTTCATCTTCATTTCGCGATTGCTTATACAAGAAAAACACGAAAAAACGAGTCATTTTTTCAACAATAGTAGAAAAATATCAATGGATTCGCCTGTGAGGGAACCGGGGATATCGTACTCCCCCCCGGTTATTCAAAAGATCAATTATGACATTATATAAAATGTGATAAGACTTAAGGGGGGTTCGAAGTCGAGTTCGAAGCTCACAGCAATCTAAAGTATCGCTTGATAAAGAAGTACCTTGTGTGGACTTCTTAGGATAGAAGGGTTTCTCTGTGGTTTTAAACTATCGTAACAAGTTGTCATGTCCATTTCCACAGGAGCATTCGTTGTTGATGTTACATCGCAGTGCTCATTTTGAGGGTGACATCTGGTAAACTCTAAATCTTCACTGCATTTCACGCTTTCTTCACGAACGCGGGATGGGTCGACATTGTCGCTTTCATGACGATCATTACTGAACTTTACGTCGACGTCGTTCTCAAATGCGCGCTAAAATATGGAAAATAAAGAGTGTCGTCATGGTAACACTTTTGTCGAATCACCGTTAACAATTATTGGATTCGCCGAGGCGTGTAACGTTGACCGTGGTCTGAATAATTCTTGACATCATGCCAGAACCGAATTCCATAATTTTTTTCTTATGCAATTAAAAATGAAGAAGCTTTCAAACTACTTCGTACGGAAGCCGTAAAGTCTCTCGATCTTCGACATAAAATAATTTTAGCGGTTTTCTTTCGTTTTTTTCCGTAATTACTGGTTGAAACTCTCTTGAATGACAGTGTAGCCCTTTCAGTGTTTCTTCTTCGTTCTTATGTACACAATAATTAGACTGAAAACAGTTTCTAAGGGGCTGTTTACATGAGCCCTACAAAGCGAGATCTCGCGTGCTTGTAAAATTCCATATAAAATCACTTTTCGTTTGCGCATAAGAGAAGGGCTAGCCCTAGCAGCAGAGATCTCGCTATAGTTTATCCGAGATCTCGCCATGTAGGGCTGAAAATTTAACACATTCGCATGCGATAAGGCATCACTTTTCAGCAATGGCGACAAGAAAAGACATCTACGGGAGCATACAAACTAAGAAAGCGTAAAAAATCAAAAGGCGACCACTATATTGGTTTGTTTTCACTTATTTTGTATTTTAGCGCCGAAATTCGCAGTTTAAACCGAACTCTTGATGTAGGGTCAGAATTTGCATGTAAAAGAGAGGTAAAATACAGGCATACAGAGATGGATAATCCTTTCCGTAGGGCTCATGTAAAACACGTGCAAATCGTGAGCAAGGTTCCGTCATGATAATACTTTTTCTATTTTCAATTGTCACATTTAATTTTCCGTTTTCTGTAGGCTCTTCTCCAACCACAACCGAGATTGCATCGTCATTGTATAAGAATTGAATTTAAGATCCGTCAGAACTAGTTAACGGACAAGAACAATTTAATATATCTTAAATTTCTTACTCGTGAAATTTCGATGTTTTCCTGTTCAGTATTCAGCCAATCCTGAGTCATCTCCATATTCACTGTAATGTCCTCATCCACAACGTAAAACTTGTCATTGTCAACAAGGAGTCCCGAGTTGCAGCTCGTCAATTCTGCATCATCCTCTTTCGATGCGGGAGACTTAAAAAGACGAAAAATTAAATGTACGTAAGAAATATGTCCTCCAAATGCAACAACCAATAACACTAGAATGCTGTCTGGTGATATCGCAGGAGCTTGAACCTCAAGTCACAGATTATAATATTTTAGAGGTATTCACTTTTTTGTGGTGGAGGGCTATTCACATTTGGGGAGAGGAGTTTTCACATTTTTTAGGGGGAGGGATATTCCCTTTTCTAGGGGAGGGTATTCACTTTTTTGGGGGAGGGTGTGCACTTTTTTGGGGGGGTGGTATTCACATTTGGGGAGGAGAAGTACTCACATTTTTCGGGCGAGTGGTATTCACTTTTCGAAACATACACATTTGTTTAACAACAATCTGATGTTTCTGTTCAAAGTGCGCATATGATTGCACCTAAAAATAACGCGAACGACAAAATTAACACTTACAATCGCCTTTTCCTTCTCATCATAAAATACACCTTTCTTTAACGGGACTGGAGATGTTTGTTGACTTGTATTCCACTGTTCCTGACATGTCGTCATCTCCATATCGTTTTCACCGCTGCCACCGCAAGGTGGAGTATTTTGAAGGTCGCGGCCATGACAGCGTGTCAACTCCACATTGTCGTTCCCAGGTAGTGGTTCACACAATTCTTCTATCTTGTGTAACTTTCCATTCTCGAAAGCTGCAAGTTTTGCTACTGCTTCGAGCTCGCGTAAGAAAGATGAAGAATCTCTTTTTAACTCTTTTGCCTGTAAAATGAGCACGCTCTGTAACAAGTGACCGAGGTTGGATTTAGGCGAGTGGCGCGGTGGGGTGCACACTCCTTCCAACCTTGCCCCCCCCAGGGAGTGAAAGAGGGGAGGCCAATTTCATCAAAACATACTAATATACCAAACCTTGAGGTAAATCAATTGTTATTTGGGTTCAATAGAGCATACTTTCTAAAATCTCCCGGTCGTAATTAAAAAGGTAACAGAATTTAACATAAAAACTCTGACATGGTACGGCAAACAAGAAGTCATATAAATCTAACCCAACCTAGAGCGCCCCTCCCCCCCTACCCAAAGAATGAGATAACTTGGGACAAGATAAAACACCTAACGTTATGATGGGAATAATCAGCAGCTTTAAAATGAAACAGCTTACGTTCATACAACATTCAACAAGCATCGGTAAAAAAGCACCTCGCATTAGGATGGGATAGAAAGCATTAGGATGGGATAGAAAGCATTAGGATGGGATAGAAAGCAATAGGATGGGATAGTAAGCATTACGATGGGATAGTAAGCATTAGGATGGGATAGTAAGCATTAGGATGGGATAGTAAGCATTAAGATGGGATAGAACAGGTAAAGATAGGATAAATATGACATTTATTGGGCAACTCACTATCGTGTTATTTGTGCAAGTGTCATCTTGACGAGATTCCTGATCTCTATCCATAAGTTTAGATTCCGTTCCTCTACTCAAAGATAAATTGTCATCATTTTTTTGACAATGTCTTTTGGAGCATGTTTCAAGGTTTCTTAAGAAAGAGCTGCTATCTACTTTGTAGCACTCATCCGGATCTTTGCAACTTCTTCTATTTAGTTTTTCCATGAACGAACTCGCATCGATTTTTGGAAGGTCCTTCCGCGTCTTTCTTTTGTAGTGCTCACAATCGGCATTTCTTTTTTTAAGACCTTTCTCTTCGCTAAACAATGGCCCTTTAATATATCTTTGAACCTACAAATTTAAAGAATAAATTACGTAACATGAACTTCAAACTCTAGTGCAACTCCAGTTGAAAATTTCCCCATCTGGTTCTACACCTTCCCCATGTTCTACACCTTCCCATGTTCTACACCTCCATGTTCTACACCTCCCCATGTTCTACACCTTCCATGTTCTACACCATCCCCATGTTCTACACCTTCCCATGTTCTACACTTTCCCATGTTCTACACCTTCCCATGTTCAACACCTTCCATGTTCTACACCTTCGCCATGTTCTACACCTTCCCATGTTCTACACCTCCCATGTTCAACACCTTCCATGTTCTACACCTTCCACCCTTCCATGTTCTACACCTTCCATGTTCAACACCTCCCATGTTCTTCACCTTCCATGTTCTACACCTTCCCCACTTCCACCTTCCATTACCTTCCATCTGTCTTCCCTTCCATGTTCCATTTCCTTCCATGTTCTCCTTCCATGTTCTCCATCTTCCATGCCACACCTTCCATGTTCTATGACCTTCCCATGTTCTACACCTTCCCCATGTTCACCTCCCATGTTCTACACCTTCCCATTTTCTACACCTTCCCATGTTCTACACCTCCCATGTTCTACACCTTCCCATGTTCTTCACCTTCCCCATGTTCTACACCTTCCCATGTTCACACCTCCCCATGTTCTACTCTCATTTCTACACCTTCCCATGTTCTACACCTTCCCCATGTTCTACACCTTCCTGCATGTTCTATAACTTGCCTCATCTGGCAGTAAACTTTCCTCGTGTTGTACAACTATCCACTTACATGAAATGACAGGTCAGTCGTTTTCCATCCGTCACAAGTCTTCGTCATCTCCAACCATGATCTGTCATATTCCTGTATCTCACTGGTTTGCCCCTCAGAGACATTGTACGATTCGTGTTCCATCCTTGTCAAACCCCATGACAGTCTTGAGTGACAGGACGAGTCATTAACTTGTGTTAAATCCATTTCACAGCTTTCTGCAGATGACTGTATTCAATAAAAAAAATAGCATCTTCACTTTTCATACATGAATTTTATGCAGAAAGAAGAGAACAGTATTCGCGTCTAAGGCCTAGTCTTCTTACAATCGTCAAGATTGCTCTGTTAACATTGTTACAAAATAATCAAGGTGATCTTTCATTAACCACTTGTTTGTTCTTTCATAACAAAGTACTAGCATATTGCAAAGGTTTTTTTTGTCAAGATCTGACAATTTCAATGATCCATAACGCAAAAACAAAGTTGATTGTAGTCCAAGCAAAGATCATGGTGCTTCCAGCAAAGGCCATAATAGTCCATAAATCTTAGCAAAAATCACAGTAGTTCTTGGCAATGATCATAGTATACCTAGCAAAGACCAAAATAGTCCTATAATCCTAGCAAAGACCATAGTAGTCCTAGCAAAGACCACAGTAGTCCTAGCGTAGATCATAGTGGTCTTAGCAAAGATCATAGCAGTTCCAGCAAAGACAATAATAGTCCAATAGTCCCAGCAATAACTACAGTAGTCTAATAATCATAACAAAGATCATATCGTTCTTAGCAATGATCATAGTATAAGTAGCAAAGACCAAAATAGTCCTATTATCCTAGCTAAAATCATAGTAGTCGTAGCAAATACCATAGTAGTCATAGCAAAGATCATAGTAGTCTTAGCAAATACCATAGTAGTCCCAGCTAAAATCATAGTAGTCATAGCACATACCATAGTAGTCTTAGCAAAGATCATAGTAGTCTTAGCAAAGGTCATAGTAGTCCTAGCAAATACCATAGTAGTCTTAGCAAAGATCATAGTAGTCATAGCAAAGACCATAGTAGTCTAGCTAAAATCATAGTAGTCATAGCACATACCATAGTAGTCTTAGCAAAGGTCATAGTAGTCCTAGCAAAGGTCATAGTAGTCCTAGCAAATACCATAGTAGTCTTAGCAAAGATCATAGTAGTCATAGCAAAGATCATAGTAGTCCCAGCAAATACCATAGTAGTCCTAGCTAAGATCATAGTAGTCCTAGCTAAGATCATAGTAGTCTTAGCAAAGATCATAGTGGACTTAGCAAAGATCATAGTAGTCTTAAATTTCCCCATCTGGTTCTATACCTTCCCCATGTTTTATAATTTCCCTCATCTGGTAGTAAACTTTCCTCGTGTTGTACAACCATCCACTTACATGAAATGACAGGTCAGTCGTTTTCCATCCGTCACAAGTCTTCGTCATCTCCAACCCATGATCTCCATATACTTGTGCGTCACTGGTTTGGGGGAATTGAGCAGAGACATTGTACGATTCGTCGTGTTCCCATCCCTCGTAACTCTTTGTCATTTCCATCTCAGCTGGACTGCCCCTCAAGACGTAGGATTGTTGGTCTTGAGCTTGACAGGACGAGTCATTAGTTTGTGTTAAATCCATTTCACAGCTTTCTGCAGATGACTGTATTCAATAAAAAAAATAGCATCTTCACTTTTCATACATGAATTTTATGCAAAAAGAAGAGAACAGTATTCGCGTCTAAAGCTTAGTTTGCCTACAATCGTAAAGATCATAGTGGACTTAGCATAGATCACAGTAGTCCAAGCAAATACCATAGTAGACCTAAAAAAGACCATAGTAGTCCTAGAAAAGATCATAGTAGTTCCAGCTAATACCATAATAGACCTAGCAAAGATCATAGTAGTCCTAGCAAAGACAATAGCAGTCCTAGCTATAATCATAGTAGTCCTAGCTAAGATCATAGTAGTCCTAGCAAAGACAATAGCAGTCCTAGAAAAGACCATAGTTGTCCTAGCAAAGATCATTGTAGTCCCAGCAAATACCATAATAGTCCTAGCAAATACCATAATAGACCTAGCAAAGATCATAGTAGTCCTAGAAAAGACCATAGTAGTCCTAGCAAAGATCATTGTACTCCCAGCAAATACCATAATAGTCCTAGCAAATACCATAATAGACCTAGCAAAGATCATAGTAGTCCCAGCAAATACCATAGTAGTCCTAAAAACCTTCAGCTTACCTGAAAGAATCTTTCATGATTTCTGCTGCCACTTAACGTGAAAAAAGATTATGAAAATAAAGAAACAAATAGAAAAAGTTTCAGCAAAAAATATGTCATCCTACCTCAACTCAAATTGTTATTACCAATCATGAAGAATGGAAAACTATGAAGAAACAATAAAGACATCATCAAAGTGTTTATCTTCTTGCCATACTACAAATCAAACCATTTTCATCTGTTTCCTTTGACTTTGATGCCTCAATAGGAATCTCCCTGAAAATTTTGACCATAAATTGAATGTAATTGTACATGGCTGTTGAAAGATACTTATAACATTGATGAAACAAATGTTTTGATGTTGTTGCCTAGCAATGTTGAAACTAATTCATAAGTTTGTCGATTAATTTGTCTTTCAGGAAGCATGCACAATTTGAATCATGGTCAACTCGGCCCCAATCTCAATACTAAACCTAAATCTGATCCCAAACTTAACACTAAACCTAAACCTAAGCCTAACCATAAACCTGACCCTAATCCTAACCCTAAACCTAACCATAACACTAACCTAACCATTGCAACTAAAATTATGCTGTGGTACACTGACGGGTGTTTCGCAGCCAATGCTCAGATCTTAAAATAGGCTGAATTGGTTGGGCAAAGTTGGTGGGTAGCCTAAGTCGGTGAGTGGGCTGTGTTAGTGAGTTGGCCGATTTGGTGAGTGGGCCATGATGGTGACAAGGCATAGTTAGTGAGTGGGGTTGTATTAGTGAGTGGGCAAAGTTGGTGAGTGAGCTGTGTTAGAGAGTGGGCAAAGTTGGTGAGTGGGCTGTATTAGTAAGTGGGCAAAGTTGGTCAGTGGGCTGTGTTAGTGAGTGGGTGCTTTAGTAACAAGTTTTGTAAAACACTACTTAATTTGTATGCAATGAAATTAGGAAAACAAATCACCAATTTCATATACAAATAAACATGAAATAAAAATTTCTTACTTCACTTGAAGTATACGAGCAAAGCTGACACGACGAGATGAGCTTCTTCTTGCCTTTCTTGAACAGACTTCTTCTTCATGCTTATGTAAAATAAAGCATAACCATAACAACATCAAAACATTGATACACAGTTGATAAACACGACAAGTTTCTTTAAAAATAAATAAACTGCGACATTTCATGACGCCCATCTTCGGGCTGACAGTTATATAAAAGCATCTTCATAAAAAAAAGCTCACTTCTACTGAAGATAAAAGTGTATTTGCAAAACAATAAAAATCTTTTTGAAGAGTGAACATTATCTTTCTAACCAACTATCAACCAACTTCCCCTCTATCACAATGATGACAATATGAACACAACGCAACACCGTTTTATGCAATTTCACTTACTTCACCATTTGGATCAACATCTTCCAATACCTTACACGGGGACTTGGGAGCTTTTAGTATCTATTAGGGGATAACGTTTCATGAGACAAAAACGACTTCACAAGGCTATGAAAGCATTGTACTGATTGTACAATTCGAAAAATGCAGAAGTTTAAACAAGACATTTCTTACAGATGATCGCCGTTTCTCTTTCCTTACACAAGGTATGCTGGAATAGAAAGGACAAATTCTCAAATGAAAAAAATTACAAGAAATTCAAAGAATTTATAACAGTTTTGGCTACCTGTTTTGGAATCTATTCTCATCGTTGACATTTGAAATCGCCGCCATTTTAACGAATTTGAAAGTACAAAACAACGCGCATGACGTATTAGCATTTTCCGCTGACCGTAATGTTATCAGATTTTGGGCGCAGATCCCCAATACAGATCTTAGAGCCTTAAAAATAGAGACATAAGAAAAATGTCATCAAATTTGGTGACAAACGAACCACAGAATGGTGAACAAAAGCATGAAACTTCGACTACGTGGCATGGTATATCAGAAATTCATCGTGCAGCTTTAGGAAGCCCTAACGATGTGCGGGCACTGCTATTAAAGGGCGCAGATGTGACTGCACGAAATAACTTCGGAGAAACACCGCTTCACTACGCATGCCAATCGGGAAATTGGGGCGGTGTGTTTCAATTGTTGTTGTTTGGTGCAAACTTGTATGATGTAGACAAGGGAGGTAGATGGTGTGTGCACCACGCTGCAAGAAGCGGTTGTTTGTAAGTGATCATCACTTTAGGAGTGGGCTATTACCACCATGGCAGGGTATAGCCACATTTAACCACAGTCCAAATGCAATCTCTCTCATTTCCAATATCACTTAAACTGTATCTTCACAGGTTAACATTCCAGTACTTGGAATTCCTTGGTATGAACAAATGGCAAAGGGACCTGAAGTATGTACAAGATAATAGTGTGGCAAGCCAGCAAATTTTAGTTCTGCTATGTAAATTTCAGATCATTAGCATTGTTCATTTATTTTGTAACCTACTGTTTCCACTCTGAGCAAACACACAAAAGTTTGCATCGCAGGACTAGATAATCGAGCTGGCTCAGCAACTGGTTTATGGAAGATCATTACTATTACAAGATGAAGATCAAGACTATTACAAATGTATTTTATGTTATGAAATTTGTTTTCCATGTAGAGGACGCACCGTACTGCATATTGCTGTTGAACATGGTCACATTGAACTGATCAAACACCTTTTGAAGCAAAAGGTGATTGGCTTTTCTTTTCTTGAAATAATCACTGAGAATCACTAAATGTGGGGCAGGTATGCACAACATAACTTATTTTCCTTGTGATTATTTACACCAGGACATTGACTGGCATGTTAAAGACCAAAAGATGAGGACACCAATGCACGAAGCAGTTCTTCGAGGCAACAGGTAGAAATGTTGATTCCAGGATGTCATCTTATATTTAGCCTTTATTCTACCCTTATTACTAACACCTTGTGAAATATTACATGTCACCGAACATCCTTCTATGATAATATTATACATCATAGTCATGTCACCAAATATCCTTCTGTGACATGATACATGATAGCAATGTTCTCAAACATCCTATTATGACACCATCGTACATTATGCAAAATCCTCTGTACAGTATAATATCCCCCAATGACACTATACATAGTACATATTATCACCTTATCATCATATATCATAATATAGTACAGTGTAACCATGTTCCAAAACATCCCATTATGACTCCATCGTACCATATGCAACATCCCCTGTACAGTATAATATCCCCCAATGACACTATACATAGTACATATTATCACCTTGTCATCATATATCATATTATAGTACAGTGTAACCATGTTCCAAAACATCCCATTATGACACCATAGTACATCATAGCAATGTTACCAAACATCCCCCAAAAGGAACATGTCTCACTAATTTGCAACATTCATATCCTGTAAACTAGAGATGTCTGCTGGATACTAGAGAGTTCCAGTGAAAAAAGTTTATTGATCGATGAAGATTCTGAAGGCCAAACACCCGTAGATTATGCTATAAAAGGAAAACGCAGTTTAGCGTAAGTTGAGTTTTCTTCTGAGAATCCACAGGGGGGATTGCAAGTTAATTTGAATCACGTGTTCTTCCCACAGATTGCTGAAAGCGTTCAGACGTTGGCAAAGGATGCGGCACGCCAATGGAAAAGTCGACGTCCCACGAATCACGCGAATTGTCCCTTTCCTTACTCCAAGTTGTGTAACTCTACTTATCGCCTTCAACATATTCTACTTTGAATCAAGGATGCTAATCTTTTTTCTCAACGCTTCCTTATTTTTGTTCGCCTATGTGTATGCTTTGCATCCGCATCGGTTGTGGCACATATCGCGTGCGCCTAATACCGGACTTCTTGGCTGGTTTATTGGTTCCGTCACTTTGAGCCTGTTGATTTATTTTACCATTCTTTTACCCAGTATCCTTTGCAGTCGTAAACAAGCACTCCGACTGCGTGTTTTGAAATGGTGTAAATCTCGTGTAAATCGCGTGTGAATACCTTAACCACGTGAAGAAATCTGGCCGGATTATTTGCACACGATTTTCTCTTTGCTTATGCTTCCTCTCTTTGTGTTTTCGTTGAGGTGATCATTTAAAATTGTGAAATTCATCGGGGGGGTGTAATCGTGGTGTTGCTTCACGTTGCCGTTTTCATTTCAGGAGAGTTTACAAAGATCCAGGTGTGAGTAGCGATACTAGGTACGATGAAGATGGAAATCCCATGGTAACTATACTGTACAACCAACTATGCACTATGGTAACAATTTTGAGTCCCCATGTGTAAGTCCGTTCAGAATTTGTAACCAGGGCAATCCTTTTGCATACCCCCAACACCCTACCAACTGAACTATCGTTCAAGGACTGGCATAAGTTATTGAAAGTGGCAGTCACGCTTCGGCCATGTAGCTACGAGAAAACGCCCTTCTCATTTTACTTAAAAACAGGCTACACTCATTTCAGGGAATAATTGACGTCGTAAGTGCGAAGATCAAAGGTAATGATTACTGCACAAGATGCAAGGTAAGCACCGAGGTTGATGGTTTGGTAAAAGCATACATAACATCACGTGATTGAGGTGTATCAGAGGCTTCGCGGACAAAAAAGTACCTACTCTCTCTCTCTCTCTCTCTCTCTCTTCAAAAAAAGAATTTGTTTTTAGTTCATAGCTTGTCAGTCTTAGTGAAAAATTTCCAGAAATGAGGGTTCACTATTGAAGCCTGATTAACCTAAAAAAATCCCGTAGCTATCTCGATAATTATGGTTGGGGGAGACAATATTTTATTCATGTTCTGTCGTATGTTCTTTCAAAATCAATCGTCTCCTGCGGATTAAGACATTCACTTATGAATATTATCCATTCTAGTTATGCGTCTGAATGAAAATGTAAAGTTGACAATCCTCGACTTAAACATTAAAAAAAGATAATTTGAAAAAAAAGCTGGCATACTGTTGACATCATTTTAATTTTGTTCTGCAACGTTATCCATCAAAATTGTGTTGAAGAAACGGATGTCTTCTAGCGCTTCTATAATCGTTCAAATAGTCAAAATTTTGTTTATGAAATTTTTTTTAAATTCTTTGTTGACACTCCCTTTGATTTTGTAACTGCCAGCTTTGTAACGAGCACAAACATAAAGTAGCGCATATATGCATCACGAAGACAGAATTTTGTTTTGTTTTAGCAATAAAATGTTTTGTATATGCTGTCGAGTCTAAAGATTATGCGCAGACTAAAATAAATCAGTTTTTCAATTTGGTCACGTACATCCATTGATGTTTTGAGTGAACACGTAGTTTTTATAAGAGATTACTTTTTTCTGTCTCTCCATTCAATCCTTTCATTCTACCATTTTATGTAGATTGTATACCCGTCAAGAACGAAGCATTGTCGTCTGTGCAATTGTTGTTATAAAGGCTTGGATCATCATTGTTTGTTCCTAATGACCTGTGTCGCCATTAATAATCACGGAGCTTTTATGGCGTTGTTATTTTGTACCTTCTTTGGGCAGCTCTCGTTTGTTCGAGGAGGCCTCATGCGTATGTTTTTATCGCTTTCGACATGCGCATGAAAGGCTTCGTAATTTATCACAAGATCTTCTTCCATTTTTTTCAGATTTCTGGTCTTTAAGTCAGTACAATGCGAGAAAGTCTTACTTGGTACGCTGTGGGATTCATAGGAGTATCGCTGCTCTACTTTTTTCATCCGAATCTCCTCTTCATTACTTCTAGGAACTTTTAGGAAGCGAGCCATTAATTTCCGTGTATTTTTTCATCAATCTTTTGGGATTATGGTGGATGACTACGGTAAAATTGTGTGCCAACCAAGATGCATTGCGCGCTTTTGTTTATGTTCATATCGCTACTTTTTGAGCTTTCGCCACATTGAGTTTAATTTCGTCCCTACATCTTCTAATTTAAATAGAAAGTTGGCAAGAAAAAATCGATTAAAAACTCTATTTTACATTAATCATTATTGTTTTTCCTAATTGCATGGACTGAAAAACAAAAATCCGCCATTTTTTCGACCCACAAAATGGCCATCACGTTGTGATAAACGCGCAATGCATCTTGGTTGACAAACCTTTTTAAAGAGTAATACAACAGAACACAAAACAGTAGATACTCTGCATGTCATCGCTGAACATTTTATTCCAAACTGTTTTCTCTTATTATCAGTGTAACTTTTGATGACATGCATTACTTGTCGAAATCACTGATCTTGTCGAAACATACTTTAGTAGAGGGCATGCTGGCTTGTGCTTTATCTTTACTAAGGTGTTCAAACCATTGCCAAATCCAATACCAAACGCAATTTTATAAATAATTTTACCTTGTGTTTTTAAAGGAGTCTTGGGGTCATGCTTAGCGCGCTTGTTTGGCCATTTTAATGGATCCAAAAAATTTTTATCTTGTGTTTTTAAAGGAGTCTTGGGGTCATGCTTAGCGCGCTTGTTTGGCCATTTTAAGGGACCCAAAAATGGTGGTTTGCTAATAAGTAGGGTCTTAATAAAACTTGAAAATCGATGGCTCATTGAAACGTTTTACCTCGAAAATTTAGATGAAATAGAAAATTACAAAAAATGTTTTACTTAATGCTCCCTGAAATGAACACACAACACGAAACTTAATGCATGTTGGTTACAAGTGAAAGCACTAAGCGCGCAAAGCATGCTCCCGTGACTCATTCTTTGTTAACTTTTTCACACATTACAGTGCTTACTTATCGTTGAGTTCCTTTTCACATTGTTCCTCTTTTGGTATTTTAATTCAGCTTATCTTATTCCAAATCAAGATCATTTCCGAAGGAGGAACGACCGTTTTTCTTCCGAATGGTGAGATTCGCAAAAGGTATTCCTTCAACTCGCACTTTTCCTGGTTGTTTTATTCAATTTGTAAAAAAATTGAACTTAGAAGTTGAAATTCACTTTGTCAACAAATTTTATTTGTTCAAACAGCAGTTAAAATTACTTGTCGTTTTATAGGATCGACTGTCTTCATGCTGCTGGTACAGTGGGAGAACTAACTCTAGCCAAAAGATTTCATCATCTAAAGCAGTTCATCAAGTATTACTACTTTCCCAACGACGAAGAGCGTTTTTCAAGATTGCTAGACGTCTAGTAAAAATATGTCATCACTTTGAAGCTTTATAAGAACGTTTATTCTTTTACATAGCAATGGAAATCATACAAACGCTTTGTGTAATGTTTTTGTAAATTGCATTCATTTAAAGCGCCTATATCGCCCTCTGGGAAATAATCTATTTATATAGAGTTGACGATTTTGAGAACATTTGCAAGATATTTTATAAGACGAAAAGTTGATCTTTCTTGACTTTTTGGAAGTCGAAGTTGGCTTTTTTCGTGTTTGACCGTGAGTTACCGTGACTGGGTCTCTTTCACTGGACAGGATGTACATTTGTAGCAAAGTCAAGAAGTTTATTTTTTATTAAACTTTAGTTATGTTGTGCAGTTTGTTATTCAATCACACGGTAATTCTAATTGCTAAGTTTTTCTAATTTTTAGCCCTCCAGGATTTACCCCGTTTGGAAGATCATGCATTTGCATATCTCCCAACCAATTATCTATCATCCCAGATTGTCCTAAATGTTTAGAGTTGTTTTTATTTTCATATAACCAAGAGTTTCGTCTAAGGATTCTTCTGGTTTTAAAAGTTCTTCTCAAATCTGTTACATTTAGTTTTTATGAACGTTAGATACGCTTTCTTTGCGTTGTTTGATGGTCTTCACGAAGTCGTTCACTATTGTGCAATGCGCCAATACCCAAACAATATTTCAAAGTACACAAGGGTTACCTTGACCATTAGATAAGAATAGAAACTAAGATTTTGTTGTTACTGAAAACGCTTGCATATGGTGAACAGTTCTGGAAATTCGTCACGAATGTCAAGTGAGAACAATGTGTTGCTAAGCGATAAAATCAGTGCATTGCTCATTCACTTGACGGGGGGCGATAATAGACTCGTTGACTTGATCCAAGTGATGGATAAAGGGCAGCACTGAAGAGAACTATTGAATGAAAAAAAGGTCTCATTCCAGTCACGGACAAACATGTTATTTAAATTAAAGTACGAACATTACTCAAATACTGATCTGTAAAAATTCTGACTGAGATTTAGTTTACTTTTTGTTTAATATGTAGTTATGAATTTTACCTAGCAATATCTAATATTAAGGTACATCCACTATATACTACGCATCCTGCTGTTTTAATTTAGTGAAGAAGACAAACAGTATTTTAAGGCCTCAGTAGCTTCCGCAAACTTTGCAATTTAAATGATATTTTAAAATTGCTTCAGCAATTAAAATGATATATTTAAATTGCTTTAGATAAATTGCCGCAGACTAATTGATTCAGATGAATTGCTTCAGAGTAATCGCTACGCCAACGCAGTAAGGATGACGAATTGCAAAACTATTCTTATAGATGAATGATAGTCTTGAACAAAAAAATAGTTTAATTACAACGACTTGGTAAATCAAATCAAACGATTTGTTTCTTTTGAAAATGATTGATTGGCTTTCGCATCGTGAATAACACAATTTAGAAGATGTTAAGTCTGTTACTTAGAATTTGATGTCGCAATTTTGTTGAGCTCCTCCTACACTATGATCTGCATTTTGATTCTTTAAATTTAACTATTGAGTTTATTTCAGAAAAAAACTAATTTATGAACAATCTACGAACTCTAGCTTTTTATGTGTCACAAAAATCACCACTGTGATGAATATTGCATTCTTTTAGTCATAGCAGTTAAAATATCGTCTCAGAGTTAGTTTCCCGTTAAAGTTTCTTTGTTTAAAGCAAGTTATGTGCTTTGTCTGACTCACGTTTCGCAGTAATAAGTGTAATTACTGCGAAACTAAGTATAAATAGATGTAAATATACAATTCTAACTCATATACAATAGAATTACCACAGTGGTTTATTGTATTTGTTGGTTGTGAAATAAATAAAAAGTTAAAACGAAGAGTGTTGAAGAGTTGTGGACCAGCAGAGAAGTAAATTTCTCGATACCAATTACACTTTCACCAATAATCTAAATCGTATCGGACATTTCATTTGGTACGTCATTCAAATATTTGGGAAAATAAACATAAGACATTAAATGATCAACATTAGACGTGGAAGTCACTCAACTCATGTACTTGATGAACAAACGTAAAGTTTTCAAGTTTTATGAACACATACTTTGTTTCTTCTAAAAATGACGTATGCTCCAATTCGTATAATAAGAAAGTCTGACTTCAGACAGGAAGGTCCATGTCGAATAAGTTGGAATTCAGGAGAATCTACCATCGAACAACCTTATAATCTTTTCACGGATGATAAAGACTTTACTGGAAGATCGAGAGTCATTCATGTCGGTAACGTCGACGACATTGAATTGATAAGGAATGATGTTATGGGCAAACCTTTGATATTGATGGTAACTTGCATAGCGTTCACGTCATGTGCTAATACTCAGGAAAAACCTATAATCGATGATTTTGTCTTTATAATTGATACCTGTAATGATGACGTGAGAAAAGTTCTAAATGAAACATTCGATAAAGCTAGACAACTCATGCAAGAAAATAAAAAGTTCTCTGTCTGGCTTGATCAAGACGAGGCAATAAAGAATTGGTACAAGCATATATTTCCTACCCCATATCATCGTATAGAGGGTGCAGGGATTCACATTGTGCATTTTGCGACACCACAAAGAGATGATGAGGTAATGGATTGCACCTGTCTCTCCTTAACAGGATATATGTGCCTTTCTTGTATTTGTTTCTTGATAATGCCTTGTTGTATATGTGAAATGTTGGATACAACCATTTATTACATCGATCGTAAATACATCCAAAAAGTCGTCGATGTAAAAATATCGGGATTTGAAATTGAAGTGCATAACTTGTTTGAATTGTACTTTCCAGTAACTTTGCAGCCCAACAATGTTAGATGATTTCTGGACTGACATGAGAGAACAGAATATTCTCTGTCTGGCTTGATCTAGATTAGCACGTATAACATCTTTCCAAAATTAAATTACCCTGATTATACACTGGTGCGAGTGAGGGCGCTGGAATTTACAAAACCATATTGCATGAACATTAATACGTGATGGTGCAAATGCAATGGAATGGAGTTCAGCCAGTTTGACAAGATGTGTGTGTTTTCTTTAATTATTTTAACCCTTGTCAATATAGGATGTAGGATATATTTTCTCATTTCATTTCAGGTATAATTTATTAACTATTTTGCTTCAAGAGCTTAATTAAGTATTACTATTATTTTTTCACAATGTTATTATAATACTTTATAATCTTAATTTCGCAATTTTTAAAAAATATTCAATGCATGTAATTGACACGTTATTCGGGGTTTCTTAAATGGCGATGTGTAGAATTTAATAAACTATCAAACTATTAAAAAATTAAACTGCTTTGTCGGTCATAAATACATCCGAAAAGACATAGTGATGTTATAAAATATGGAGAATCGTTCGATTCTATCAGGTGGTCAAAGCTGAAAAACACAAATCAGCTGAGGTGTTGCGAATGATGCTCCATCAGCACTAAGATAAATTTAGAGGATATGAAACCATTTATGTACAGATCATACCAAGCTAGACTGAAGATGTCCCTCCATCTATTATCTATATCTAAATGTCATACCGAACTAAAAGATGTCATTTCCTTCCAGTGTCGTAGCCAGACTGCGAATTTTTTTCTGCTATGTTAATTCTTCTGTGTTCACTCACTGTAAAAACAACAGATTTCTAAAGAAATGAATAATGTTAATGACCTAAAATTTACATAGCAGGACATGATCTTGCGGGCTGACTACACCACTGTTTCTTTCATCTGCATTGCTGTCTAGATGCAATGTCGTACTGGAAAAGACATCCGATCAATCTGGAACATGTATAATTATTTTACTCACTGATAGCTTTATAACCCTTTTTAAAGTATTTCTTTGACATATGTAGTTGACATTTTCTTGCTAAAATATCTTTTGCTCAAAGACCAAAGCCACTATATTCACGTCAATTACTTTTCAGTGCCTCGTGTAAATACAACGATAGAATGCGTTCTTTCTATACGTTCTGTGTTGTTTTAGATGATCGTGAAAATATCATGAATACATGAATATCAGCCTAACTCGACTATCAATTTTCCTCCATCCTAGCTTATCTCCTATGCTAATGAATGACCCAGCAATAAAATGCAACAAATATTCCATTACTCCCGAATCTACCGGTAAATGATCCAATAAACGCTCTCTGTGAAATGAACATCTCGTATTTAGTAACCCCTCTTTGCTTGTGAAGAGTAAGTGCTTACTGGAAGTCTCTTTCTAATAAACGCACATGCCGTTTCTAAAAGACATCACGTAGACATAACTATTGTCAATGAGTCGATTAGGCTTAGAAAGCTTTTTATTTTTGTTTGTTCATACTAAAGTTGTTGAAATGATACAAACGCCTAGTCTCTCTTTGACGTCTTATCCCTAATGGCAGCTGAAATTCATTAGATGCACCAGGCGTTTATTAGATTATTTACTGTATGAATATAATTTGGTTATTTATTACGTCGCGGTAGCCATGTTAATTCAATTTAATTACTTAGAATTTGCCGTTTGCAATTCAAATTTCAACCAACATGGCGATAAGCTCTTCTTCTTTTGAATTCTTGGGGAATAGTTTTAAGTCAGCCATATCAACACGTCTGCTCTGACGTCATATGAAAACATCGTATAGATATTGTGCAACCAATCACAATGCGCTTTGCTATTGTTCAAACTCAAATGACATGCAATTGTATAATAAGCGATGACGCCAATACAAAATTTTCACACCCTAACACTCGACTTCACGTTGACTTCGACGCAACTACTAGCGTGAGCCATGACTATTATACTCATCCAAAAACACAGATTCAGAGAAGAATTACCAGCTGGTATAACCTGGAATCCAACAACAAGAAAACTAACCGTCGATGATAGCTATACTGTGTTAACGAATGATAAAATGGTATTGGAAGAACGGCAAACAACAAACAATGGACAAAGGAACGCTCTTCAAGTGAACAGCGCTGATGACATTGAAGAAATAAGATCTTTGATTCTGAGCAAGCCTGTAATAACGACAGTAAAGTATGACTCAGTGAAATGTCTGGTGATTGTCAATACGTCAAAACTCGAAATAAACCAGGCGGTTCAAGAAGCTTGCATTATGGCCGAAAAGTATTCGGCGGAAAACAAAAATTTTTTCATAACAATTAATCTTGATAAAACGATCAGTACATGGTACCATTTTAGAATGATGAATTTCTGCAATAACCAGAGCACGTGTCATGGGGCAAACTTTTATATTGCCCACAATGCCACAGAAAGATGCTATTTTGCTCGAGAATACATCGACTGCGACCGGACGCAAGGATTATGTTGCTGGTGGTGGTGTCTTCCTACCTGCCTTCTAATTGGTTGTCCCTACATAATATATCGTCATTGTGTAAAAGGAATCACCGATGTTAAAATTGCCCCAGATATGAGAGTCTTCTTGGGCAGTGCTGGTGACTTCGAAGATCTTTTACGGTGCTATCGAGTACCTTCGTGGAAGTGTCTAACAAACTACCGCGAATCTAGTTCGACTACACAGCCATCGCGATGACCCCATTCTGTAACCACATATCTATAAAAAAAATTATTGTTTCTTTAAAAATCAAGAGTGTGCTGCTAGGATGAAGATGGTAGATTTAAAGTAATTTTCCTAAAAAATAACGTAGCTATTCACTTCCAGCTCCAACATTTATTGTGATTTAATAAGTATAGAAGGCGTAAGTTAAAAGATAGCAAAACTCAATTCCGTAAATATAGTGTTTATTCTGTAGTGCTTGCATGCCAACAAAGACTTCGTATCCTTGAATGTAAGATTAACAACTTCATAAAATTAAGAACGTAAATCTGATCATGTTTGTTTTGATTAAACCTGAAAAACGTTCATGTTTTGTATGGTTTGGCTGTCTGTAATTCGATTTTTAAGTCGTAGAAAATTGTTTCAATCGTTAATTTAGAACAGAAATGGGCCAGACAAATAAATGATTTCTTCTTCTGCATCTCTCTCCAGTTTTTGAAAGTGGATGACAATTTTCCATGCTTTGGTTTTTGTCGTTTTAATGCCTATCGTTGGTCTTTCTTTTCTTCATTTCGTTTCACGTTGTTCCCATGCATTTATTCTTGAGTTTCCAAATTTGCAATGTTTCGTTTGCACGATAGTTTATTTGTGTGTTGTGATTCTATTGGCCGCATTTAGCCTTTACTAAGCAAGTTTTTGATCCTTTGAGTTGTGTATGGTTTTCTTCGTGTTCCAGTAGGGCGGCAACGTATGGAAAGAAAGGGCTATGTTTGGAATTCTTTTGCCGAATCTTGTGTCGTTATGACTAAAACAGGCTGAGATTCAACGTAGAATTTTTAGTAAAAAATGACATCGACATTGCCGCCACTGCAAGGAAGGAGCATATTCGTAAATCCTGAGACAGAAACCATCAAAAAATCTCCCTAAATAGTTGTTACAAACTCATTTATGTTTTGATAATATAATGATAGTGGACTGTCGATTGGGCTCTGAAATGGACAAAAAAACCATGTCTTGTTTTCGTTTTTTCACACGAAAGTGATTTAACAATCCCTCCCTGGATCTTATTGAAAGCGTCAGGCGCTTATTAGATTATTTACTGTATGCTAGTTTAATGTTTGAGCATCAACCAGTAGCTTATAGTTAGGTAACGTCAATTCAACTAACATGTCAAATACGTCTTTGTCAATTGACTCCCTGCGGAATGATTTTAAGCCAGCAATACCAGCACGGTTGTTTTCTTGTCATATGAAACACGACATTGTTGTTCGTGTTGACGCTGTGCAACCAATCTCCCGAGAGTTTTAGAACAATAGAAAATGGATGACGTTTGTGTTGTAAAAAGGAAATTTCTTTACCAAAGTCATCCATGATTGCGGCCATCATGTAACTTGCCCACTATGCAAAGAGCTATTGATATTCTTACGTGTTTTTGACGTAACAATAATTGTAATGCGTTTTGCTTTGTTTAAACTTCAAATGACATGCAAATTGTATAATAATGACATCAATACAAAATAACTTAAAATTTTCACATCTAACACTCGACTCTACCTTGACTTCGACGCAATTACTAAGGTGAGCCATGACTATTATTCTCATCCAAAAATGCAATTTCGAACTACAATTACCAGCTGGCATAAGTTGGAATCCAGCTAAAAGAAAAATAACTGTCGATGATAGCTATACTGTGTTAACGAATGATGAAATGGTTTTGGGAGAACAGAAAACAAACGATGGACAAAGGAACGCTCTTCTGGTGAATAACAATGAAGACCTTGAAGCAACAAGATCTTTGATTCTTAGCAAGCCTTTAGTAATGACGGTCAAGTGTCCTGCTGAAGATGCATACTATGTGACATGTCTTGTGATTGTTGATACGTCCAGTGCCCAAGTAAAAAGTGTCTTTGACAAAGCATTCGACCTTGCCAGACAGTTGTTGGTGGAAAACAGAAAGTTTGTCGTAACATTTAATCTTAATAAAACGATCAGTAGATGGTACCATGAAACCATGTTTACTTTGTTCAATAACGAGAGCACGTGTTATGGGGCAAATTTTTATATTGCTCACAATGCCACAGAACAATGCATTTTGGCTCAAGAATACATGGACTGTTACCGGACACAAGGTTTATGTTGTTGGTGTTGGTGCTTTCCCTGCTGCTTGGTAATTGGCTGTCCCTACATGATATACCGCAATCTTGTAAGAAAGATCAAAGACGTTAAAGTTTCTCCAAACTTTAACGTCTCCTTGGGCAGTTTTGATGACTTCGAAAAACTTCCGTTCTATCAAGGAGCAAAAGAGTACATTCAGCATATTTTCTGAAACGACTTTTAACGAACCTGTTTCGCTAGAAGTGCAATCGCGATGACCCCATTCTCTATCCACATATATCTATAAATAAAAAAAATTATTGTTTGTTTAATAGTCATGCAAAAGTGAGCGGCTAGGATTAAGATTGTAAATTCAAAGTAACTTTCATAATAAACTAACGTATTTGCTTGCGGTTCCCACATTTATTATGATTTAAAAAATATAGAAGGTGTAAGTAAGAATTGACAATACTCAAATCTAATGCCTGCATGTCAACAAAAGACTTCGCATATTTGAATGTAAAACTAACTTCATAAAATTTAGAACGTAAATCTGATCATGTTTGTTTTGATTAAACCTGAAAAAAGTTCATGTTTTATATGCTTTGATTGTCTGTAATTCGATTTTAAAGTCGTACAAAACTGTTTCTACGCATTATTTTAGCGGAACAGAAATGGGCCAGACTGAAAAACAATTTTTCGTTTGCATCTCTCTCCAGTTTTTCACAGTCAATACTTTTCACCTTTTGATGGTTGGTGGTTGACAGTTTTCTTTGATTTGGTTTTTGTCGTTTTATTGCCTATAGCTGGTCTTTCATTTCTTCATTTCGTTTCACGTTATCCCATGCATTTATTCCTTGAGTTTTCAAAATTGCCATGTTCCGTTTGCACGATAATTAATTAATTCTTTGTTGTGATTCTATTGGCCGCATTAAGCCTTTACTTCCCTGGATTTTTGGTCCTTTGAGTTAGGAGGGTTTTTGGTGTTGCCATACGGCAAAGGAAGAAAGGATCACTTTGAAAGTTTTTTGCCGAATCTTGTGTCGGTGTGTCTAAAACAGGCTAAGATTCAGCGAAGTATTTTTTAAAGCGAATAACGTCGATACGGCCGCCTCTGCCAGGAGGGAGCATAGTCTTAAATTCTGAAATACAAACAATCAAAAGAAATCTGCACAGCGAAGCTGTTGCAAAATGTGCTGCATGGGCTGAGCTTTACACTGCCCTCTCTTTTTACGTTAATGAGTTTGAAATAACGCCCTGTCTCTAATAGATGCTACAAACTCATTAATGTTTTGATAATATTATGATAGTGGGCTGTCGATTGGGCTCTAAAATGGACTTAGGAACCATGTCTTATTTTCGTTTTTTCACACTGAGGCCTGTTTCATACGTCACCTTTTACATAAGCCGAACGCATTTAAAACTAAAGATAATGAGGCATTATATATCTTATTTTCTTTTATCTTTAATGGTTCGGCTCATGTAAAATGCAACGTTTGAAACAGGCCTAAAGTAATGTAAATGATACAAACGTCTCGTGTCCATTTAAAGATACAACCCTGGAACTTATTAAAGGCGTCAGGCGTTTATTAGATTATTTACTGTATAATAATTTAATTATAAGGTTAAATAGTTGGAATGTTATTAAAAAAAGAATGATAGCATAATGCTTTATCCAACAACTACCAACAATAACGACGTTTTCTAACGACATTTGAAAATTTGAGACAGGGACTTGTAACGTATAAGGCTCTTTGCTTTCGAGTAGACTTGTCTCGTTTACAAGGAAGAGGAGTGGAAGGTTGATTTCTCAAATGTTGTTAGGTAAGGTCGTTACTCGTTAGTTGTTGGTTAAAGCATTATGCTATCATTCTTTTTGCTAACTTAATGTTTGCGCATCAACCTTGAAAGTAACTTAAATATAGTTAGATGAACTTACGGAAGCCATGTTGTTTTCATTGAACGAAGGCTTTTTCTCGTTTACAAATTTCAACCAACATGGCGAATACATCTTTGTTCATTGAAATCTTGGGGGAGGATATTAATCAACCATACCAGCACGATTGCTTTCATGTCATATTAAAACACATTATTGTTGTTCGTATAAACGCTGTGCATCCAGTCTCCCGAGAGTTTTAGAACAATAGCATATTGATGACGTTTGTATTTTAAAAAAGAAATTTTTTTTGTAAAAAACATCCATGATGGCTGACATCATATTATTTGCCCATAAAGAAAAGAGCTATTGATATTCCTTACGTGTCATCGACGTAACAGTAATTGTAATGCGCTTTGCTTTGTTCGATCTTCAAATTACATGCAAATTATACAATAATGATGACACCAATACCAAACCAGTTTACCAAAGTCGCTAACAGTTTTGAGCAGCAACTTGAGTTAAAAGTTTCATACGTTCACACTCGATTCCACGTTGACTTCAACGAACAACAAATGATAATCATGAGTATTATTATCATCGGAAAATCCACTTTCCAACGACAATTACCAACAGGTATAAGTTGGAATCCGGAAACCAAAAAATAACCGTCAATAATAGCTATACTTTGTTAACGAATGATGAAATGATTTTGGAAGAACAGCAAGCAACAAACAATGGACAAAGGAAGGCTCTTCAAGTGAACAACGTTGATGACGTTGAAGAAATAAGATCTTTGATTCTGAGCAAGCCTGTAATAACTACAGTAAAGTGTCCAGCTGGAGATGTAGACGATGAGAAATTCATTGTGATTATCAATACTTCCAGTGCCAAAGTACAACATGCGGTTCGTGAAGCTTGCAATCTTGCCAGACAGTTGTTGGTGAAAAACAGAAAATTTGTCATCACGTTTAATTTTAATAAATCCATCAGTTTATGGTATTATAATTCTATGAGTACTGCGTTATGTTATAACGAGAGCATGCGTTATGGTGCAAATTTTTATATTGCTCACAATGCCACAGAAGGATGCGTTTTGGCTCAAGAATACATCGACTGCGACCGGACACAAGGATTATGTTGTTGGTGTTGGTGTTTTCCCTGCTGCTTGGTAATTGGCTGTCCCTACATGCTATACCGCAATCTTGTAAGAAAGATCAAAGACTTTGAAATTTCTGCAAACTTTAAGGTTGTCGACAGTCAAATTGATGACAGTGAAGAAATATTTAGCAATTGCATCGCAAGACTCTTTCAGTATCAAGATCCACTTGAGGACCTAAATTATCGTAGAAATATATCATCGACCTTATACCAACCTATGTCGGAAGAGTCGTCATCGATGTGCGAAACAATTGTTTAACCGCACCTCCTTAAAAACACATGAATTTGCTTTAACAGCCAAAGCAAACTACTAGCGTAAATTTTGATTTTTCGTTGTAACTCAGCCCAAATAGGGCAAAAGATTTAAACAAACTTTCATGACAAACGTATTTAGACAACTTAATCACTTGAAGTGTCCGCATGCATTTATTATAGTTTATAAAGGATAGAAAATGAAGAAATGTTGTTCTAAAAACTAACAAAAGTCCATTCTCAATATAGTGTTTCGATAGTGCCTTCATACCAACTAGAGTTTACAGGCTTTATAATATTTAGATAGCAGATTTGATCATGATTTGCGACAAAAGTGTATACCTTATCGTTTGATTGTCTATCATAACAATCAAAATTCAGAAGTATTATACTTTTAAAATTTTAATATTTAAGGTAAAAAGCATCAAAAATCAGTAATTCTGAATAAGTCGTCTTTATCTTACACAAAGACGTATACGTCACTTGAATATCACGGGCTATGCCGACACTTACATCATGGTAATACAAAATTCACCAATCAGAAAGCAGTTGAATAACGTTTCAGATCATGCTGACGATAACGCATCAGTGCTAATGGTTTTTGCATTTAAACTCTTTCATGTTCTTAAATAAATCGTGAAGTGGCGATAGTTTTCATTTTTCTTTAGTTCCATTGTTTTTCGTTTTACGAACTCTACAAGGTGTTGTTTTCAAACTTCTTAAATAGCACTGTATAATGCTCGTTCAACGATACTGACATTCCTTCATCCTTACTGACGTATCAATCATCTTTGTTTAAAATTTTAATTACATAAAAATATGGTTTACACACGCCAATCTCGTTGACTGCAGCTGATTTCCCTAGGGGTGTGTGAAAATAACGAGAAATTACAGTATAATGAATACTAGCTAGTTTAAATATACATGCAAGACATAAGCAATAAAATCTACTATAATCAAGACATTAGCTACATTAGAGACATTACACACACAATAACACATGACTATTGTGATAATAGAATGATAGTGGATAGTCGATTGGGCTCAGAAACATTTTTGTTTTCGTTTGTTCATACTAAAGTGATAGAGAAATACACAAACGCTTCGTATCTTTTTGACTCCTCTCCTTCCATGGAACAACTAGTATTTATTAAACACGCTAGTCGTTTAATAAATCATTTACTGTATGCTGAGTCAATGTTGAGCATCAACCTTTAAAGTAATCAATAGTTTGCTAACTTGTTACGTCACGGCAGCCATGTTGGTTAAATTCAAAAAAAGATTTTTCTCGTTTACAATTCAAATTTCAACCAGCATGGCGAAATGTTGCCTCCTTTGACTCCTTGAGGAATGGTTTTACTCCAGCCATACCGACACCGTTGCTTTGACGTCATTTAAAAACAAGGCATTGTTGTTCGTATAGACGCTGTGAAACCAATGTGCTATATATCCCGAGAGGGTCAGAAAAGTGGAGAATGGATGAAATTGGCATTATAAAAAAGGAACTTCTTTTGTCAAAATCATCCATGATCGTGGCCATGAAAAGTGCTATTGAGTCCTTTCGTGTTATTGACGTAATAACAATTGTAATGTGCTTTGCTTTTGTTAAAAATTCAAATGACATGCAAATAGTATATAATAAGTGATGCACATTACCAAGAAATGATTCGTTCTGAGCACCAACTGTAGTTTAACATTTTAACTTCACACTCGACTCCACGTTGTCAAGCGCCAGTCATGACTATAGTTGTCCTCAATCTATACAGATACAAATTTCAAGAACCTCTACCAGCTGGTATAAACTGGAATAAAAATTATACAAAACTAGTCGTTGATGATAGGTACACTTTGTTAACAGATGATCGAGAAATTGCGAGGGAACGTCCAAGAAGAAACGATGAAAACAGGAATGTTCTTCGAGTAAACAACCTTCGAGATCTTGAATCAACAAAAGATTTACTTTTGAGCAAGCCTTTACTAACGATAGTTAAGTGTCCTATTGCAGACGTAGACGAAATGAAATATCTTGTGATAGTCCTTACGTCTAGCCCCGAAGTAAAAAGTGGATTTGTAAAATGCTCGCTAAGGCCAAATTGTTGTTGTTGGAAAACAAAAGGTTCTTCTTCACGTTCAATCTTGATGCGTCAATCAGTACTTGGTTCTATAGTGACATGACTGACGCGTTATGGTATAACAAGAAAAAGTGTGATGGTGCAAATTTTTATCTTACTCACGATGCCGAGGAAAAATGCATTTTTGCTCAAGAACACATCTACTGCTACCAGTGTAAAGCAGTATTGTGTTGGTTTCTGTGTTGTCCTTTATGCCTGGTAATTGGCTGTCCCTACGTAATATACCGAAATATTTTGAGAGGAATTAAAGACATTAAATATTTTGCACCATCGACGGTCATCGTGGGTGAAGTTGACGATAGTCGAGAAGGATTTACCAATTGCTCCTCAAGGCTCTTTCATTACGGTATTGAAATAGAAGAACATAGGAATCCTCAAATGCCCTTGTTCGAACGTGTCACTGAAGAGTCATCGCTATGAACCCTTTCAGTTACTTATACCAATACTTAAAACTTTTGATTTTCCTTTTGTTGCCCATCCCGAATATAGAACAGCAGATTTAAGCAAAGTTACGGAACTAGTATAAAGACAAATAACGTATTTATTTGCAGTGCCAAAATTTATTATGAAGTATTATACATTTAAAATTTTAATATTTAAGGGATAAAAAGCATCAAAAATCAGTAATACTCAATAAGTCGTCTTCATCTTACACAAAGACGTATACGTCACTCGAATATCACGGGCTATCCCGAAACTTACATCATGGTAATACAAACTTAACCAATCAGAACGCAGTAGAATAACGTCTCAGATCATGCTGACGATAACGCATCAATGCTAATGGTTTTTGCATTTAAACTCTTTCATGTTCTTAAATAAATCGTGAAGTGGCGATTGTTTTGATTTTTCGTTAGTTCCATTGTTTTTCGTTTTACGGACTTTACAAGGTGTTGTTTTCAAACTTCTTAAATAGCACTGTATAATGCTCGTTCAAGGATACTGACATTCCTTCATCTTTACTGACGTATCAATCATCTTTGTTTAAAACTTTAATTACATAAAAATATGATTTACACACGCCAATCTCGTTGACTGCAGCTGATTTCCAAAGGGGTGTGTAAAAATAACGAGAAATTACAGTATAATGAATACTAGATAGTGTAAATATACATGCAAGACATAAGCAATAAAATCTACTATAATCAAGACATTAGCTACATTAGAGACATTACACACACAATAACACATGACTATTGTGATAATAGAATGATAGTGGATAGTCGATTTGGCTCAGAAACATTTTTGTTTTCGTTTGTTCATACTAAAGTGATAGAGAAATATACAAACGCTTCGTATCTCTTTGACTCCTCTCCTTCCCTGGAACCACTAGTATTTATTAAACACGCCAGTCGTTTAATAAATCATTTATTGCATGCTGAGTCAATATTGAAAATCAACCTTTAAAGTAACCAATAGTGTGCTAACTAGTTATGTCACAGCAGCCATGTTGGTTAAATTCAAAAAAAGATTTTTCTCGTTTACAATTCAAATTTCAACCAGCATGGCGAAAATTTGTCTCCTTTGACTCCTTGAGGAATGGTTTTAAGCCAGCCATACCGACACCGTTGCTTTGACGTCATTTAAAAACAAGGCATTGTTGTGAGTATAGACGCTGTGAAACCAATGTGCTATATATCCCGAGAGGGTCAGAAAAGTGGAGAATGGATGAAATTGGCATTATAAAAAAGGAACTTCTTTTGTCAAAATCATCCATGATCGTGGCCATGAAAAGTGCTATTGAGTCCTTTCGTGTTATTGACGTAATAACAATTGTAATGTGCTTTGCTTTTGTTAAAAATTCAAATGACATGCAAATAGTATATAATAAGTGATGCACATCACCAAGAAATGATTCGTTCTGAGCACCAACTGTAGTTTAACATTTTAACTTCACACTCGATTCCACGTTGTCAAGCGCCAGTCATGACTATAGTTGTCCTCAATCTATACAGATACAAATTTCAAGAACCTCTACCAGCTGGTATAAACTGGAATAAAAATTATACAAAACTAGTCGTTGATGATAGGTACACTTTGTTAACAGATGATCGTCAAATTACGAGGGAACGGCCAAGAACAGACGATAAAAACAGGAATGTTCTTCGAGTGAATAACCTTCGAGATCTTGAATCAACAAAAGATTTACTTCTGAGCAAGCCTTTATTAACGACAGTTAAGTGTCCACTTCCAGACGTAAGCAAAGTGAAATATCTTGTGATAGTCCTTACGTCTAGCCCCGAAGTAAAAAGTGTGGTTCGTAAAATGTTCAATATGGCCAAATCGTTGTTGTTGGAAAACAAAAGGTTCGTCATCACGTTTAATCTTGATGCGACAATCAGTAGTTGGTACTTTAATAGCATGGCTGATGTGTTTTGTTATACCGAGAGCATGTGTAAAGGTGCAAATTTTTATCTTACTCACGAGGCCAGGGAAAAATGCATCTTTGCTCAAGAATACATCGACTGCTACATGAATAAAGCAGTATTGTGTTGGTTTCTGTGTTGCCCTTTATGCCTGGTAATTGGCTGTCCCTACGTAATATACCGACATATTTTGAGAGGAATTGAAGACATCAAATATTCAGCTTCATTGACGGTCATCGTGGGTGAAGTTGACGATAGTCGAGAAGAATTTACCAATTGCTCCTCAAGGCTCTTTCACTCCAACTTTGAAGAAGATCCAAATCAAGGAATAGAAGAACATAGGATTCCTCTGGAGATCTTCGTCGAGTCTGTTAGCGAAGAGTCATCGCTATGAACCCTTTCAGTTACTTATACCAATACTTAAAACTTTTGATTTTCCTTTTGTTGCCCATCCCGAATATAGAACAGCAGATTTAAGCAAAGTTACGGAACTAGTATAAAGACAAATATCGTATTTATTTGCAGTGCCAACATTTATTATGATTTATAAATCATAGAAAAATAAATAGTATTTATGTGCGTAAGAAATAGCAAAACTCAATTCTAAATACAGTGTAATTTTTCTTTTGTTCAATTAATTTTGTAACGTGTCTTTGAACTCATTAGAACAATAGAGCTTTTTTGTCAACCATACGGACATTTTTACATGTATTGGCGTATATCAATCATATTAACGCCCTTTGCTTTTGTTTTTTTTTTACTTGATGCGTTCAATTGGCTTGGTCATTGCTGTAATGCATGTCTCTCAACATGTTTAATGGTTCTTTTGTTTGGAGACTTTTGCCAAAATGAATGCTTCATCATTGATGTCTTTACCATGATGTTGAGTGGAAATGCCTTTCTGGGTGTATCGAAAAGGAATACAAATTTTTAACATCAACCTATTGATAAATTTCACTCCCCATGATAACTAGGCGGCATTACTGCGCATGTGCCTTTTCTGTTAAAGGTTATGTTGAATATAATTCCCAGGAGCGGAAAAGCTTTTGTGCTTGAAACAAAGATATGTATATAATACATGCATGTAGGGGAAAATACTTTATGCACTCATGATAGACATTTAAATTAATACAATACGTCAAATCTTAAGGTCGTCTTTTTCAATAACAAATTTGCAATGGAATGGAATAATTCCCGTTTCAAACGTTGTGCAACTTTGCACATACCGAATGCATTTAAGACAAAGGCAATTGAGATTTAAAACTCAACATTCTAGATCTTTAATTTTATTTGCACTTTTATTTGAATTTTTATACTTAAGAGATGAACTATTCTTGACTTGCAATTCAGCCATGTTGGTGGTCTGATACAAAAGAATATTTTATCAGTGTTATTGTTGGCACCAGCCGACGTGGGCGAGCAACATTGCTTGGTAAATCTCAAGAGAATGGTTGCAATTCAAGAATTGAGCCTGGTTTTCACTAACAACATTACCACCTGTAATAAAACTAAGCAAAACATGTTCTTCAGACATTGGAAGAAACAAGGCAAAAGGAACTTTGTTTTCAATTTGATTTTGTTACACCTTACTTGTATACGTCAAGTTACTGGGCTTCTGCTTATGTCAATGCACGTTTGTGTAAGACGCTTTATTGTAGTCTTGTGCATTTTCTATTTTCTTTGCTCTCCTTATACATTTGTTGCATGTAAAGGCCAGGCTTTGGCCAAACGAAAATACAAAAGAATGAAATGAAGCGCTTCACACAATCGTCGACACAAACATATAAACACAAGCATGGAAACTTGATAAAAATGAAAATAAAATCCCTTTTGTTTTGCTTTTTCCATCCCCCGGATACATGCTTTGCTTTGTTGTGCTTATTTCGTTAGTGAAAACAAGGCTTATAAAACAATCTTCGACTTAAGTTGCTGCAGAGCCTTTGTTAAAACGGTTTGCTTGAAAACGATTTAACACGTCACCTGAACTCATCACACATTGGTATTTATAGCTTTGGCGAAGCAAAGGAACTTAGTTTTTATATGTACTAACATCATCTTCAAAGACATTTAAAGCATTAGGCATTTAAGAATGGCGTCTTATCCTGTTTCTATAATGAAAGAATATGACTTTTTGTTGTTCTTTCGATCAATAAATTGCGGTAGGAAGCTGGAGGTGCTACGCGAGAATGCGCATTACATTTTTGTTGGTGAGAACATCAAATACCGCGGTTATCGAAGATATTTTTATGTTCCAAATGTTGAAGAAGTTGAAGTATTAAGACATAAAATCACGAGCAAGCTCTTGATTACGACAGCGACATGTTCCGCAGAAAATATCGACGGGAAAATAGTCAGCGAAATGTTTTTTGTTGTCGTGGACACCTCTGATTCGCATGTAAGAAAAGCACTCGACGAAACATTTGATAAAGCTAAGCAACTCATAGAAAATGGAGAGAAATTCACGGTCCAGTTCGATCTAGATCAGTCGATCGCAGCTTGGTATGACCAATGTTTGAATTACGACAATCCTTCTTGTGAAAAAATTTCCACGTCAGTTGGTGCTGGGTTTTATCTTCTACATGAAAACCCACCACATCCCATACCCCGCAGACAGAAAAATATGAGTGACGTTGAACTTTTCTTTGGTTTGGCCTGTTTTCCATGTTATCTCTGCTACTTGTATATAAGACATCTTATCGATCAACTAACTTACTCACCGAACGGCTTGTTGGATGACTCTTCGATTGTGAAAATACCAACCAACTTCAAAGTGAAAGATCAATACCCAAGTTTTGTACGAAGAATGGAATATATTGACTTCAGCATGTTTCACGCCTGATTCTTTAAGCTGCGTTTCAACCACGCAACATTAGTTTTTTCGTTATTATATAATGCCTCAAAGCAATTCTCTACAATGTAATGGCTTTTGTCTCGTTTTATTCTATCATAATTAAAATTTCTCGTGAATTTGAACTTAATCGTAAGGAGAAGGACAAATTACGAACGTGAAAATTTTCACAAGTTTCTATATGCTCGGAGAAATTTTATAACCTTAGATTAAGCAAGGCGTTATTTCAGTTTGAAAAATTACCAGCTCTGGGAGATTCTTTATACAATTCTTCATGATGCTGTTGTATGTTTATTACAATTATGCTATAGCTTCTTCTTTGGTGATTATTACTTTTTATATTGTTTAGCATTAGAATAATCTTTAAAAAATGCTCTGATGTATAAACAAATCTGTAGTCAAATATCTTAGACCGAAATATTTTGTATGGAGACGATCAAAATATTCCAGTTTAATAAAGAACCAGCTTTCTGTTTATGTTGCATGACAAATTTTTATGACGACGTACATGTATTGAAAATGTTTAAATTAAATTCTTTTATTCTAAGCACAAACATGGCCACTTTTATCTTATCGACCTGTCAATGCCTCTGGAGGAATAGGAATACGCTCTAAAGGGTGTGTCAAAAGAAAACCTTTATAAATAAAACTGCATTGTGAAATGCCAATGTCTGGTCAGTACGGCATGCAAATCTAAATGTTGTAGCTATTACAATGCATGTTTTGTGGTTATGAGTTAGGTCCCGGGAGCAGAAAAACTTGACAAAGATATGTATATATGTATACGTAATAAAAGTGGAATGCACCATTTCCTCAAGAATTCAAACGACAAGAGATTTTTGTCATGATGATTGAAATTTGAATTGCAAACAAGGGAAACTTTTGTTCAATTCGACCACAAGATGGCGACCGTGACATAACATGCAAACTACTTGTTTGTAAATGTAGATCGTCCAGGTTGGTATAGTCCTGAGAAGGACTGTTTTTGTTGTTGTTGACTGACGTTTCGACAACCTTAGCGGTAGTCATCTTAAGAGTCAAAATGAAGAATTGAAAATGAATGAATGATCATCTTTACAGTCAAAATGAAGAATTGAAAATGTATGAATGATTTTGACTCTGAAGATGACTACCGCTAAGGTTGTCGAAACGTCAGTCAACAACAACAAAAACAGTCCTTCTCAGGACTATACCAACCTGGACGATCTACATTTACAAACATGTAACGATACACCCGGGTTCAAACCATTTACTTTATGCAAACTACTTGCTACAAAAAATTTCAATGGCTGTTCAAAAAATTACTCTTTTGTGATTTGACAATACATTTCCACGTGCTAGAAGTACTATCAAAATAGCATACAAGGTGAATTAGCTCAATCAAAGCCTCGACGTAAGTTGCTGTAAAAGTCATTGAAATTCTAATGTATAATAACATGCTTACAAATGATGGTATTAGCAGTATTTAGACATGTCTTGTTTACATTTAATTTCTGAAGGTCTTCATTGTATATTCACTTTTCAGTGTTTAAAATGATCATTACAACAGTCGCTTTGACGTCATATGACGACACATTATGGATGGTATTTATGGCGTTGTCGAAGCAAATAAAACTGTGCCTACAAGTATTACAGATGTCCGCTTCATAGGGATTAGAAAGCACTCGACTTTAAAAATGATCATCGCTCCTGTTTCAATCATGTACGAATACGATTTCACGATTTTCTATCGAACAATAAATGGCGGCAGGAAGCCGAAATTGCTACCTGAAAACGAGTATTTTATATTTGTCGGTGAAAGTAACAGATATCGTGGATATTCGAGATATTTTCATGTGGAAAATGTTGAAGAAATAGAAACATTAAGAAATAAAATCACGAGCAAATTTTTGATTACGACAGCAACTTGCTCCGCCAAAGATCTTAATGGTCAGGTGGTGAGCGAAGTGGTTTTTGTCGTCGTCGACACCAGCGATCCGTTTGTAAGTAAAATGCTGCATGAGACATTCGACAAAGCTAAACATCTGATGGAAAATGGTGAAAATTTCACGGTCCAGTTCGATCTAGATCAGTCGATTGCATCTTGGTATCTACACTACGGAGATCTTGGCAAGAATCCCAAGTCGGTTGGCGCTGGTTTTTTTCTTGTTCACGGAACACTTTCACGTCCCGTTCCCAACAAACATCTGAGTTTTGAGGAAGCGAAAAAAATTCTCTTGTGGGCGACATTTTTCCCTTGTTATTTCATTTACTTATTAATAAGATTTCTTTACGATTACTTAAATTGCACACCAAACGACATGATAGAAAACACTCCGACATTGAAAATACCAACAAACTTCAAAGTAAAGCATCAATACCCAATTCACGTGCAAATAATTTGGCGTCGACTTAAATACGAATTCGCATGATAGGATACTTCAAACTGCATGTCAATCATGCAAGATTAGATTTTTCGTAATATTATATAATGACTTAAAAAAAAGTGAAATAACGCTCTGATGCATAGCTAATTATATTAATTTTTTGAATAATTTAGACCTCAATTTTTTGCGTGTCCTACTCTTTGAGTTCTATAATAACTGGAGCGGCTATCTCAAGCGCGGCCTTAGATATCTGATGACGCCGAAAAATGGCGGATTTCGTCCGTTGCCGCTGAGATTTACCGAAATTGACCGCTTTTCCGAAAATTTCATAATTCCCACCCTCCTGAAGAAAGAGTGAGGAAAATGTATGTGGGTTTTTGAGATTCGGCAAGCAATTTTTTGATGAAAATCACGATAAAAACCTGCAATTCGTAACAGCGAGTCAACTGTGCTTTCCAGTTATCGGCTCCTACGAGGAAAGCCATTAACTATAAACTATGTACGAAAGAACTCTTTGTTGGCTGCATTTGAGCGTTTTAAACGTCGTGTCTAATGTACATGTGGACGATGTGGACGATGTGGTCTCTTTTCAAGGTAAGGAGAAAGTCTTAAAGCCATGTCCAGCCGACAATTTAAAAAAGATAGTAAAAAACAAATTCTGAAGAAACAAGACATCTTGAGATTTAAAAATGTGAATGAAAACAAAACGCGAAGTGAACTGTAAATTTTCGATTTATTTCAAAGTCATCCTCAGACAGAATGATAATCCAAACCATGCATACACGTATATATTTACAATGTATGAATTAAGTAACGAAAGTCAAGCAATAGAAATTAAACAGTGTGATATTTACGAAAGCGGAGTTGGAAGAGCTGTCACATTTTAAAAGGATGAATTGAAACAACAGACCAGACTGGTGGAATGAGTGTATTGTAATTTAAGAGAAGAGTTGTAATTCTTTGCTAGCCTTAAGACCCGTGTTAACAAACCATTTCTTAATATATGTGTATGCATGGTTTGGGTTATCATTCTGTCTGTGGATGACTTTGAAATAAATCGAAAATTCACAGTTCACTTCACGTCTTGTTTTGATTCCCATTTTTACATCTCAAGATGTCTTGTTTCTTTGGAATTTGTTTTTTACTTAACTCTTAAAGAGTACTCTATAATCGTATTTATGTCAATGTGGTAATGTATGTTAGTGCAATCAGACTACGTTACACAACATATTTGCAATAAAAATTTTCTTTTAATTAAGTTTTAAGAAAAAACCAATACATAATCTTTTTGTATTTCTTATAAAGAAGAAACTGAGTGACAAAAAACCCAAATATTTAAAATTTATTTTCTTGAAAAGTTTATTGTACAGTCGCTGCAATTGTTCAGCACGTTTTTGACTGGTAGGTTTGCATCTCTACACTGTTTGGCAACATGGCCCATTCTTTTGCAAATGTAGCAACGTCATCCTGTTAAATATTCATAAGAAAGATCGTATCTTCTTGCAGTATTTATATCGGAAATATCTGCCGACATTTGTTCACTCTCACACCGATCTTCTAGTCTACTTAGAATTTCGGTACCATCCTGAGCAACACAATTTCCATGACCTCCTTTAATGTTATGTCGCATCAATAGCTGCTTGTACGCTGCTTTGAACTGTCGAGATGTCGGGTTGTTGTTCCAACCTCCTGACGCTCGCACAGATGAAAAAAACAATTCTAAATGATCTTGACTTGTCTTATAAGTAAGCAAATATTTAAGGGGAGAATTTTCACTTATAACAAGATCCTCAGCAAGCCCTTGCACTGCTTCAATGCACAACAGAAACCCCAAGAATCCTGTTTTCCTCTTATGGGAAAAAATCGACTTTCCATCAGCACCCTTCAGATTTAAGATGTATTGCCTTGCTTCATCCAAGAAGCTTTTTATCAGCTTGTAATTCGCTTTCCTTATTGGTGCTTTGTAATTTTTAGCAATTGAATTCCTGGAATTCAAAACGTCAAACAAGCGATCAAATACTCAAATGAATTTGACTGTTTGTTCACACCCTTTAAACAGTGGAAGTTTGAGCTTACCTTCACAGAACTCTAAAGCATCTGCAACACTCGAGCAGAGTGCTTGCACTGCTAAATTTACCTTCATTTTCTGTGGCTTCCAGTTTATGTGAGCTTTCTTTAGTTTGTTGAGTGAATGCAACCATTCCCTCAGGAAGTCAAACAACAAAGACATATTTACCATGATGATTTAAATTTGAATTGTAAACAAGAAAAACCTTTGTTAAATTCGACCAAGATGGCGACCGTGACCAAATAATTTTACTCGCAAACACAGCCACACAAAGCTTCAATACACACATTGCATTGTTCACTTAGCTATGTCTTTATCGAGTGTTTGTCAAATTAATGCTCATATCAGTTAATTCTTCTATTTAAATGGCAGTTATGAACGAAGTTCATCATTTTTCAGGACATTAGTTCGCTGTGCTTACGAAGCGAAGTGTTGCAACTTAGGATTTATTTCTCACTAAACTCAAAAGCGAAGTTTTCGTAAATAGGATTTATTTCTCATCCAATATAGAGCAAAACACTGCCGAAGAGAGGAGCAACTTCTAAAGAATTAGGGAGCGAAAATGTCATTTGACGCATTTTCTCCGGCACGAAAACAAAGGATAATACTAGAAAAGAACATTCTTAATAAGTATTTCCCAGGCCGTGTATCATGGTCTGGCGTTAAATGCGTGGAAATTACAATGAAAAGCAACTCAAATCGCAACTATAAACTTCGTGTATACATCCCACAAGATTTTCCCAACTGCTGTCCTGAACTGGTAGTGGTAAAACCAAAGATTATGAAAAAAAGTGATGGAAAGGCTTTACCTTGTCCGAGCCATTCATTTCACACTTTAGGGAAGAAGGATGGTTACATCAAAATTTGTCATTATATTCCAGGAAATTGGACGGACGACATAACGTTTTATCAGGTGTTCATGAAAGGTCGTTTATGGATTGAAGCTTATGAAGGTCATCTTAACACTGGGAAAGACATAAGCTTTTATCTAACTGAGTCCAAAAATCAACAGAACCAAGTACGAAATCAAAGACAGGACCCTACTCACCCTAGTAGCGAAGAAGAATCTTGTCTTATCTTTGAAATACTATATGACATTAATTATTTAGTGTGAAACTGTTTAGCCTCACTAGTTAGCTATTCATTCTTCAACTCAACGACTTCATTATCACTTTTATGAACAGAACTTTTTAATATGCGCTCGAGCTGATGCATTTAATTGACAATAAATTTTCAAATTGTGAAGCTATTTACATTGAAGAACAGTTACATTATTGACTTTTAAAGAACGCCTTGCAAATTTCATGTATGTGAATTGTTAGTAGCCCTGAAGTGTTGTATAAATATGAATATGAAAGAAAATTATGATCAATACAAACCTATATGTTACAAGCATCTTGTATAATTTATACCTGTTGAGGTCAAGTTAAATACAGTTGTACATGGTGATGTCATGACGTCAATAGATTCATTCAGTGTCTGTTGGGTCTGTTGTTCTTGAGTAAAGTTATATATTTGTGTAATTAAACGATCAGTATTTAAGCTCCTTTACGTTACACCGACATTTTAACGAAGGTAGATGAGTCGGCTCATTTTATATAATCAATTATTATCTGAACTTGTTGATTTTATGTCATCAATTATTGTCTGAACTTTTTCATTACGATAGATCTTCTCTCTCTTTTCGTTGTCTTGAGTGGCAGCACACAAGATCATTACTTCACATTCGTTTATCAAGCGAGCTTGAAATTGCTTATCACAATAGTTGAAAGAAATATCGCCATTATCCATCGTTGCATCTTCAGGATTCAATTCGGCATCGATTCTATTCTTTATTGCACGCAATTTCAAGTGGGTTTCGTCTTTAGACATTTCGGTATCACAGAAAGTTTGCTCTTTGCTGAAATTGCTCACATTGCCGTTTTGAGATTTAAGAGCTATAGACAGCACTCTTGGTATTAAATGAACCAGCTTTCTGAAAGGACTTTCGTCTTCCAGTATGCGCAATTGCAAACTTTCGCCTTTCAATGGATCCACTTCTTCTTTCAGAAGATCGCTGTTTGTACAGAAAAAATTAGGATCCTTTGCTTTCTTTCTTTCGCATATATCTATGACCACATGATCTTTTTGAAATGAAAGATTCGTCAATCTTTGTATAAACTTAAACAAATGCATGTCATAAATTTTGCGACGTATCCAACACAGTCTAGGTGATGATCTTGTGCAGCATTAAATTCCTCGTCGTTTGAAACGACCAAATGAACGACCACGTTCGAACTGTGCGTTCGTAAGCCATACAAGAAACAACACAGACCACCATAACCAATTTCACTTTCAAAGCAACTTACCAATCGTTCGTGTTCACTTTTGAATATATAAACGTATTGAATTGTGGGGATCAATTTTGATGGCATTATAAATTAAGTTAAAGCTTTGTCGTTTTTTTGTGATCTTTGTTGGATCAACAGCGTTCAATCTTGAGTCGCTCTTGAGATGCTAACGTTTAAAGAGATGTGAAAGTTGTTTGTATATTTAATGATGTAATACAACTAACGATTTTCCCTTATGTTGTTTATTGCGTCATTTTGTAAATGAAATTGAAAGTGCGAAAGCTAATTCTTGGAGTTTCAATATCATTTCCGTGGAAAATAATTTTCTCGTTATATGCGTCCGTAGAAAACATACTGTTTAAACTACTTTTGGAAGTTGCAGCTTTATTCAGAATTCGAAATCTGTAATTGGCGAAGAACAGCTAAGAAAGCAGTGCTTTCCACGGCTTGCACACTCTAACATCTAGACTTCTTTGTTTATCCTCGTTTTCCATTCCTGGGAATTCTGTGTTGCGTTGATAAAAATGTTCAAATTCGAAAGTTATTATCGAAACTCACTCTCATTATAGAATTCGCTTTTGTGAATGGACGATAAAAGATTGAGACATATGGGTGCTATTCATATTAAACCGAAATACGACTGGGACAAATACAAGTTTCTATCAAACTTGGGCGAAGGTGCTTTTGGTGAAGTGTTTTTGGTGAAAAGTTGTGAAGACAGAAAGAATTATGCTTTGAAGAAGATAAAATGTGAAACAAATGATGATCTTGAACATGTGACGGAAGAGTTGAAAGCGATGAGTCGACTGGAACATCCAAACATTGTGAAAATAGTAGAGACAATTTGTAAGCAGCAAGACGATTTCTTGGCAGATATCTACATCATTCTTGAGTACTGTCCTCGAGGAACTTTGACACAAAGATTGTCAAAACCACACGATGAAGCCAAACAACTTAAATGGTTGAAACAACTGTCTGAGGCCGTTGCATACATTCATGCCTTAAGTCTAGTGCATCGTGATTTGAAACCAGATAATATTCTGTTCAACGCTAACGATAATGTTAAAGTGGGTGATTTCGGCCTTGCACGAGATTTTGTTTCCGCAAAACGCGAAGATGAAACATGGTTGAATTACTATATGAACAGTTTTTGTGGTATGATATTCTACATGGCTCCAGAGGTATTCGATGGTCATTACAACGAAAAGGCAGACGTATTTGCTTTAGGTTTGCTAATGTATATCATAGTTGAAGCAAAGTACCTTAACATCAATGACAAACGTTGTTATGGTTTGTTTATCAGCCTTAAAGATGGCACATGGGCTCCTCTGGGTTTGCAAATGTATCATGATAAAAAAGGACTTCAATTTACCTTTGAAAAATGCTCTCGGCGAACTGCTCAAATAATCTGTTCTGCTCTTATCTATAATCAAAATGACCGCAGTGATGCAGCATCTATTCATGGAAAGTTGAAGGATATTCAGCGAATGTGAAAACTGCAAATTAATGCTTTGCACTATCAAGAAAAGTACAGATGTAGTGCGAAAGAAAAACGATGGGATTCAATAGAATCATTCAGCATTAATGGCTGGAATATACACAATGATAAAACAGCCCTGTTTAAAACAATAAATGCATTATATAACTAGTTGATTGTTAATGGAGTCAAACGTTCACTGATATAAATTTTTTTTATTGAACAAGCTTTCGGCTGTCTGTCCATAACCCGTCGATGGCTGTAGACAGACAGCCGAAAGTTTGTTCAAAAAATTTTATGTCAGTGAACATTTGACTCCATAATGTATAATCCTGATATCGGATCACGCATTTTTACAGTTGACTGTTGTATTTAAGCATGTAATTTAACATGAGGATGTATGAGGATCTAATTTAACGAGAATATAGCTACACACACTATTTTTATATATTTTTCCGAAAACCACAAATGAAAGTAAAAGCACAGACCCTTTCAACTCATTGTCCCATTTGAATATAAACAAAAGAGGGAGGGCCTTGGAAAAATAAATGCCTTTTATATAGCTATACTATATTGAAATTACATGATCTTAACGAAAGCGATAGATGACATTTATATATAGACAACAGGTACAAGCATAGGTACAACAGGTACAGTACGATTTCCTCTTAAAGTCCTGTTTTAAGAAAATACAAAAACATCTTTCTCAACCTGTGAAATTTATTACTATTTATGACACTAAAAAACTGTCCTATTTTTTCTCTAACAAAGACAAACTTCCTTCACTTTCTCGCAGTAATCTTATATACGAAATGACTGAGAGCGAAAACGCTCAATTCCTGGCGACTCTACAAAACCAGTTCTCACAACTCAATGAACTCCCTCCACCTCCCAGAACTCTCTCTCCTATAGAAAACCTTTTATTCAACAACTAAAAATACTTCACTCAACCAAATCTAACAACTACCACATTCTTGCTTTTCTTGAAGCACTACTCATCAAACATAACAAACCTTTTCTCAACACGGGACTTAAGGCTAGCAAAGAATTACAAGTCTTTTCTTAACTTATAACACACTCATTCTACCAGTCGGGTCGGCAGTTTCAATTCATCCTTTTGAAATACTACACCTCTTCCAACTCTTCCTTTGTAAATATCACACTATTTAATTTCTATTGCTTATTTCCGTTTACTTATTTCATGCGTTGTAAATATACATGTGTATGTATGGTTTTAAATACCATTCTGTCTGAGGATGACTTTGAAATAAAGTCGAAAATTTACAGTTTACTTCTCGTCTTGTCTTGATTCATATTTTGCAATCTCAAGATGTATTGCTTCTTCGGAATTTGTTTTATATTATACTTCTTCAAATTGTCGGCTGGTCATGGTTTTTAGGTACAAGCAAATAAAGCAATGGGTTCTCATTATTTATGTAAATAAGTTATACTAGAAGGTAGTGCTGTAGAACTAAATTTATCAGATGGGGGGTTCTCTTGACGAAGCTGAAGTGATAAACTTATGAAAAATTACCCATTTCAAAGGTGGAAGGGGAGCTCCTCCCCGAGCGCTCTCTACTTCTACAGCACTGCTAGAAGGGAGAAGCTTGGAGAAGGTGATTTTGGAACAGTTAGTCAAGCAGTAGCCGACAACATAAAGTCTCAAATCTACGCTGTTAAAGATATCATAGGACATTCTTAATAAGTATTTTTCAGACCATGTATCAAGGTCTGGCGTCAAATACGTGGAAATTACAATGCAAAGCAACTCAAATCACAAGTATAAACTTTGTGTATACATCCCACAAGATTTTCAAAACTCCTGCCATGAGCTGCTAGTGGTAGAACCAAAGATTATGAAAAAATGTGACGGCAAGGCTTTCCCTTCTCCGAGCTATTCATTTCACACCTTAAGTGAAAAGGAATATTACATCAAAATTTGTCATTATATTCTTGAAATTTGGACGGACGACATAACGTTTTATCAAGTGTTCATGACAGGTCGTTTATGGATTGAAGGTTATGAAGGTCATCTTAACACTGGGAAAGACATAAGCTTTTATCTAACTGAGTAGAAAAATCAACAGAACCAAGTACGAAATCAAAAACAGGACCCTACTCACCCTAGTAGCGAAGAAGAATCTAGTCTTATCTTATAAAATACTATATGACATTAATTATTTAGTGTGAAACTCTTTATTGAATGAAAATAATCATAAACCTGGCTATTTCTAACATCGCAATATGTTTGCAAATTTCGATGACATGGAAAACGAGTGTAGCTCTCAATATCTTTTTAGCCTCACTAGTTAGCTATTCATTTCTTTCCTTTCAACGACTTCATTATCACTTTTATGAACAGAACTTTTTAACATGCGCTTGAGCTGATGCATTTAATTGACAATAAATTTTCAAATTGTGAAGCTATTTACATTGAAGAACAGTTACATTATTGACTTTTAAAAAACGCCTTGCAAATTTCATGTATGTGAATTGTTAGTAACCCTGAAGTGTTGTATAAATATGAATATGAAAGAAAATTATGATCAATACAAACCTATATGTTACAAGCATCTTGTATAATTTATACCTGTTGAGGTCAAGTTAAATACAGTTGTACATGGTGATGTCATGACGTCAATAGATTCATTCAGTGTCTGTTGTTCTCAAGTAAAGTTATATATTTGTGTAATTACACCATCAGTATTTAAGCTCCTTTACGTTACACCGACATTTTAACGATGGTAGATGAGTCGGTTGATTTTATATAATCAATTATTATCTGAACTTGTTCATTTTATGTCATCAATTATTATCTGAACTTGTTGATTTTATGTCATCAATTATTGTCTGGACTTTTTCATTACGATAGATCTTCTCTGTCTTTTCATTGTCTTGAGTGGCAGCACACAAGATCATCACTTCACATTCGTTTATCAAGCGAACTTGAAATTTCTTATCACAATAGTTGAAAGAAATATCGCCATTATCCATCGTTGCATCTTCAGGATTCAATTCGGCATCGATTCTATTCTTTATTGCACGCAATTTCAAGTGGGTTTCGTCTTTAGACATTTCGGTATCACAGAAAGTTTGCTCTTTGCTGAAATTGCTCACATTGCCGTTTTGAGATTTAAGATCTATAGACAGCACTCTTGGTATTGAATGAATCAGCTTTCTGAAAGGACTTTCGTCTTCCAGTATGCGCAATTGCAAACTTTCGCCTTTCAATGGATCCACTTCTTCTTTCAGAAAATCGCTGTTTGTACAGTAAAAATTAGGATCCTTTGCTTTCTTATTTTCGCATATATCAATGACCACATGATCTTTTTGTAATGAAAGATTCGTCAATCCTTGTATTAACTTAAACAAACGCATGTCATAAATTTTTGCGACGTATCCAACACAGTCTAGGTGATTATCTTGTGCAGCATTAAATTCCTCGTCGTTTGAAACGACCAAATGAACGACCACGTTCGAACTGGGCGTTCGTAAGCCATACAAGAAACAACACAAACCACCATAACCAATTTTACTTTCAAAGCAACTTACCAATCGTTCGTGTTCACTTTTGAATATATAAACGTATTGAATTGTGGGGATCAATTTTGATGGCATTATAAATTAAGTTAAAGCTTTGTCGTTTTTTTGTGATCTTTGTTGGATCAACAGCGTTCAATCTTGAGTCGCTCTTGAGATGCTTACGTTTACAGAGATGTGAAAGTTGTTTGTATATTTAATGATGTAATGCAACTAACGATTTTCCCTTATGTTGTTTATTGCGTCATTTTGTAAATGAAATTGAAAGTGCGAAAGCTAATTCTTGGAGTTTCAATATCATTTCCGTGGAAAATAATTTCCTAGTTATATGCGTCCGTAGAAAACATACTGTTTAAACTACTTCTTGAAGTTGCAGCTTTATTCAGAATTCGAAATCTGTAATTGGCGAAGAACAGCTAAGAAAGCAGTGCTTTCCACGGCTTGCACACTCTAACATCCAAACTTCTCTATTTATTCTCGTTTTCCATTCCTGGGAATTCTGTGTTGTGTTGATAAAAATGTTCAAATTCGAAAGTTATTATCGGAACTCACTCTCATTATAGAATTCGCTTTTGTGAATGGATTGAGACATATGGGTGCTATTCAGATTAAGCCGAAATACGACTGGGACAAATACAAGTTTATATCAAACTTGGGCGAAGGTGCTTTTGGTGAAGTGTTTTTGGTGAACAGTTGTGAAGACAGAAAGAATTATGCTTTGAAGAAGATAAAATGTGAAACAAATGATGATCTTGAACATGTGACGGAAGAGTTGAAAGCGGTGAGTCGACTGGAACATCCAAACATTGTGAAAATAGTAGAGACACTTCATGAACAGCAACACAATTTCTCAGCAGATATCTACATCATTCTTGAGTACTGTCCTCGAGGAACTTTAACACAAAGATTGTCAAAACCGTACAATGAAGCCAAACAACTTAAATGGTTGAAACAACTGTCTTAAGCTGTTGCGTACATTCATGCCTTAAGTCTAGTGCATCGTGATTTGAAACCACATAATACTCTGTTCAACGCTAACGATAATGTTAAAGTGGGGGACTTTGGCCTTGCACGAGATTTTGTTTCGCAAAACATGAACATGAAACATTGAAACTATATGAAGTTTTTTGTTGATGATATTTACATGGCTCCAGAGGTATTCGATGGTCATTACAGAAAAGGCAGACGTATTTGCTTTAGGTTTGCTAATGTATATCATAGTTGAAGCAAAGTACCTTAACATCAATGACAAACGTTGTTAAACGTTTAGCCTTAAAAATGGCACATAGCTATCTATTTGCAAATTATCATGATAAAAAGGACTTCAATTTACCTTTGAAAAAGCTAGAATTGCTCAAATAATCGGTTTGCTCTTATCTATAATCAAAATGACCGCAGTGATGCAGCACTATTCATGAAACTGAAAAATGATGAAAAAGACAAATTAATGCTTTGCATAATCAATAAAATGATGAGTGCGAAAGATGGGATTCAATAAATCATTGAACAATAATGGCTTCATTCAGAACCTCCTATAGAAAACCTTTTATTCAACAATAAACTAGTTGAAACCAAATCTAACAACTAACATTTTTTTCTTGAACACTACTCATCAAACAACAAACCCTCAACAGGCTTAACAGACAGAATTAAATTTTTTAACATAAAATTTTTACCAGTTGCGTTTAACATCCTGAAATCCTACATCTTAACTTTTTTGTAAATATCACACTATTTAATTTCTATTTTTTTCCGAATATACATGATTGAAATATAATACAGTATTTTTATATATTTGTCCGAAACCACTTTGAAATAAAGTCAAATTTCAGATTCTCGTTTGTCTTGAAACAAAGAGAGGAATCTTAAGAATGCCTTTCTTCTTAGCTATTTATCTTGAATTTACGTAATCTTCAAAACGACGACATTTATATAGACAACAGGTACAAGCAAATAAAGCAATGAATTCTCATTATTTATGTAAAGTAAGTTATACTAGAAGGTAGTGCTGTAGAACTAAATTTATCAGATGGGGGGCTCTCTTGACGAAGCTGAAGTCATAAAATTATGAAAAATTACCCATCTCAAAGGTAGAAGGGGGGCTCCTCGCCCAAGCGCTCCCCACTTCTACAGCACTGCAAGAAGGGAGAAGCTTGGAGAAGGTGATTTTCGAACATTTAGTAAAGCAGTGGAAGACAACATAAAGTCATAAATCTACGCTGTTAAAGATATCATAGGACATTCTTAATAAGTATCTCCCAGGCCATGTATCAAGGTCTGGCGTCAAACACGTGGAAATTACAATGCAAAGCAACTCAAATCGCAATTATAAACTTCGTGTATACATCCCACAAGATTTTCCCAACTCCTGTCAAGAACTAGTAGTGGTAGAACCAAAGATTATGAAAAAATGTGATGGAAAGGCTTTACCTTGTCCGAGCTATTTATTTCACACCTTAAGTGAAAAGGATGGTTACATCAAAATTTGTCATTATATTCTTGAAATTTGGACGGACGACATTACGTTTTATCAAGTGTTCATGAATGGTCATTTATGGATCGAAGCTTATGAAGGTCATCTTAACACTGGAAAAGAGATAAGCTTTTACCTAAGAGATCAGAAAAGTCAACAGAACCAAGTACGAAATCAAAGACAGGACCCTACTCATCCTAGTAGCGAAGAAGAATCTAGTCTTATCTTATAAAATACTATATGACATTAATTATTTAGTGTGAAACTCTTTATTGAATGAAAATAATCATAAACCTGGCTATTTCTAACATCGCAATATGTTTGCAAATTTCGATGACATGGAAAACGAGTTTAGCTCTCAATATCTTTTTAGCCTCACTAGTTAGCTATTCATTTCTTTCCTTTCAATGATTTCATTATCACTTTTATGAACAGAACTTTTTAACATGCGCTTGAGCTGATGCATTTAATTGACCATAAATTTTCAAATTGTTAAGCTATTTACATTGAAGAACAGTTACATTATTGACTTTTAAAGAACGCCTTGCAAATTTCATGTATGTGAATTGTTAGTAACCCTGGAGTGTTGTATAAATATGAATATGAAAGAAAATTATGATCAATACAAACCTATATGTTACAAGCATCTTGTATAATTTATACCTGTTGAGGTCAAGTTAAATACAGTTGTACATGGTGATGTCATGACGTCAATAGATTCATTCAGTGTGTGTTGTTCTTGAGTAAAGTTATATATTTGTGTAATTAAACGATCAGTATTTAAGCTCCTTTACGTTACACCGACATTTTAACGAAGGTAGATGAGTCGGCTCATTTTATATAATCAATTATTATCTAAACTTGTTGATTTTATGTCATCAATTATTGTCTGAACTTTTTCATTACGATAGATCTTCTCTTTCTTTTCGTTGTCTTGAGTGGCAGCACACAAGATCATTACTTCACATTCGTTTATCAAGCAAACTTGAAATTTCTTATCACAATAGTTGAAAGAAATATCGCCATTATCCATCGTTGCATCTTCAAGATTCAATTCGACATCGATTCTATTCTTTATTGCAAGCAATTTCAAGTGGGTTTCGTCTTTAGACATTTCGGTATCACAGAAAGTTTGCTCTTTGCTGAAATTGCTCACATTGCCGTTTTGAGATTTAAGATCTATAGACAGCACTCTTGGTATTGAATGAACCAGCTTTCTGAAAGGACTTTCGTCTTCCAGTATGCGCAATTGCAAACTTTCGCCTTTCAGTGGATCCACTGCTTCTTTCAGAAGATCGCTGTTTGTACAGAAAAAATTAGGATCCTTTGCTTTCTTATTTTCGCATATATCAATGACCACATGATCTTTATGAAATGAAAGATTCGTCAATCCTTGTATTATCTTAAACAAACGCATGTCATAAATTTTTGCGACGTATCCAACACAGTCTAGGTGATTATCTTGTGCAGCATTAAATTCCTCGTCGTTTGAAACGACCAAATGAACGACCACGTTCGAACTGTGCGTTCGTAAGCCATACAAGAAACAACACAAACCACCATAACCAATTTCACTTTCAAAGCAACTTACCAATCGTTCGTGTTCACTTTTGAATATATAAACGTATTGAATTGTGGGGATCAATTTTGATGGCATTATAAATTAAGTTAAAGCTTTGTCGTATTTTTGTGATCTTTGTTGGATCAACAGCGTTCAATCTTGAGTCGCTCTTGAGATGCTTACGTTTACAGAGATGTGAAAGTTGTTTGTATATTTAATGATGTAATGCAACTAACGATTTTCCCTTTTTTTATTGCGTCATTTTGTAAATGAAATTGAAAGTGCGAAAGCTAATTCTTGGAGTTTCAATATCATTTCCGGGGAAAATAATTTTCTCGTTATATGCGTCCGTAGAAAACATACTGTTTGAACTACTTTTGGAAGTTGCAGCTTTATTCAGAATTCGAAATCCGTAATTGGCAAAGAACAGCTAAGAAAGCAATGTTTTCCAGCGTTAGCACACTCTAGCATCTAGACTTCTTTGTTTATCCTCGTTTTCCATTTCTGGGAATTCTGTGTTGTGTTGATAAAAATGTTCAAATTCGAAAGTTATTATCGAAACTCACTCTCATTATGATAAAAAGGCCTAAATGTTTACACTGATGATAAATACCAACGATTAATAGATAACATTATGTTGTTTTACCATAGAAGTATAGAATTCGCTATTGTGAATGGACGATAAAAGATTGAGACATATGGGTGCTATTCAGATTAAGCCGAAATACGACTGGAAGAAATACAAATTTGTGTCAGAATTGGGTGATGGCGCTTTTGGTAAAGTGTTTTTGGTGAACAGTTGTGAAGACAGAAAGAATTATGCTTTGAAGAAGATAAAATGTGAAACGAATGATGATCTTGAACATGTGACGGAAGAGTTGAAAGCGATGAGTCGACTGGAACATCCAAACATTGTGAAAATAGTAGAGACAGTTTGTAAGCAGCGAGACGATTTCTTGGCAGATATCTACATCATTCTTGAGTACTGTTCTAAAGGAACTTTAACTCAAAGATTGTCAAAACCGTACAATGAAGCCAAACAAATTAAATGGTTGAAACAACTGTCTGAGGCCGTTGCATACATTCATGCCTTAAGTCTAGTGCATCGTGATTTGAAACCAGATAATATTCTGTTCAGTGCTAACGATAATGTTAAAGTGGGGGACTTTGGCCTTGCACGAGATTTTGTTTCCGCAAAACGCGAAGATGAAACATGGTTGAATTACTATATGAACAGTTTTTGTGGTACGATATTCTACATGGCTCCAGAGGTATTCGATGGTCATTACAACGAAAAGGCAGACGTATTTGCTTTAGGTTTGTTGATGTATATCTTAGTTGAAGCAAAGTACCTTAACATCAATGGCAAACGTTGTTATGGTTTGTTTATCAGCTTTAAAGATGGCACATGGGCTCCTCTGGGTTTGCAAATGTATCATGATAAAAAAGGACTTCAATTTACCTTTGAAAAATGCTCTCGGCGAATTGCTCAAATAATCGGTTCTGCTCTTATCTATAATCAAAATGACCGCAGTGATGCAGCATCTATAAATGGAAAGTTGAAAAGCATTCAGCGAATGTGAAAACTGCAAATTAATGCTTTGCACTATCAAGAAAAGTACAGATGTAGTGCGAAAGAAAAACGATGGGATTCAATAGAATCATTCAGCATTAATGGCTGGGATATTCACAATGATAAAAACAGCCCTGTTTAAAACAATAAATGCATTATATAACTAGTTGATTGTTAATGGAGTCAAACGCTCAGTGATGTAAATTTTTTTATCGAACAAGCTTTTGGCTGTCTGTCCATAACCCGTCGAAGGCTGTACACAGACAGCCGAAAGATTGTTCAACAAAAAATTTTATATCAGTAAACGTTTGACTGCATTATGTATAATCCTGATATCGGATCACGTATTTTTATAGTTGATTGTTGTATTTAAGCATGCAATTTAACATGAGGATGTATGAGGATCTAATTGAACGAGAATATAGCTATAAACTATTTTTATATATTTTTCCATAAACCACAAATGAAAGTAAAAGCACAGACCAATTCAACTCATTGTCTCATTTGAATATAAACAAAAGAGAAAGGGCCTTGGAAGAAAAAATGCCTTTCTTATAGCTATACTATCTTGAATTTACGTAATCTTAAAGAAAACGATAACGACATTTATATATAGACAACAAGTACAAGCAAATAAAGGAATGGGTTCTCATTATTTATGTGAAGTAAGTTATACTAGAAGGGAGAAGCTTGGAGAAGGTGGATTTGGAACAGTTAGTAAAGCCGTGGACGACAACATAAAGTCTCAAATCTACGCTGTTGAAGATACCATACGTCGTAGCAATGAAGATCTGCAATTCTCTGTAGACGAAATTTTGCCAACTGAGTAAAATAGTTTAGTGTTTGGAATAGAGAACTTGTTTCATTTCCATTGACTTTCACGTTTTTCCAGAATACTTACATATTCATGCGCTCTTTTTGTCTTTTTAAATATTTTTTATTCCTGCTGGCCTATTTTATACTTCTTAAATTGGCAGTTTTTTTTATCTTAATTTTCACTCATTTCACACATACGGGAAATAAATAATTCCTTCAATTTGATGTTTTCTATATGCGTGAGACAAGGAGCCAATTTTTAATCATCATTATTAACGAATGTGCTATGACACAATGGCATATTAGGACAGTCTCAGTCTGTGAATATATGTATACACGAACCTTCACAATTATCGATTCTGCTCACGCCATGTAGAAAGACAAGGTATAATTGTCCATGATATTTTGCTTTCGGTTTGAAAACATGCGGGACGCCTGGAAATTCTTAGAAAGGACGTCTTGCATGTCAATAAACACAGTTTAATGTTTCATTCTGCTTTGTTTTCACTATAATAGTCGTTGTCGCTAACCAAATGTTCAAAAACACTGCCGAAGAGAGGAGCAACTTTTAAAGAATTAGGAAGCAAAGATGTCATTTGACGCATTTTCTCCGGCACAAAAGCAAAGAATCATAGTAGAAAGGATCTTCTTCAGAAATACTTCCCAGGCCGTGTATCATGGTCTGGCGTTAAATACGTGGAAATTACAATGCAAAGCAACTCAAATCGCAACTATAAACTTCGTGTATACATCGCGCAAGATTTTCCCAACTCCTGTCCCGAACTGGTAGTGGTAGAACCAAAGATTATGAAAAAATGTGACGGCAAGGCTTTACCTACTTTTAGTCATTCATTTCACACTTTAGGGGAGAAGGATGGTTACATCAAAATTTGTCATTATATTACCGAAAGTTGGACGGACGACATAACGTTTTATCAAGTGTTCATGAAAGGTCGTTTATGGATTGAAGCTTATGAAGGTCATCTTAACACTGGAAAAGACATAAGCCTTTACCTAAGAGATCAGAAAAGTCAACAGAACCAAGTACGAAATCAAAGAGAGAACCCTACTCACCCTAGTAGAGAAGAAGAATCTTGTCTTATCTTATAAAATACAACATGACATTAATTATTTAGTGTGAAACTCTTTATTGAATCAAATAAGAAAGTTTGCAGACAGACAGCCGAAAGTTTGTTCAACAAAAAATTTTATATCAGTGAACGTTTGACTGCATTATGTATAATCCTGATATCGGATCACGCATTTTTTCCCAGCTGATTGTTGTATTTAAGCATGCAATTTAACATGAGGATGTATAAGGATCTAATTTAACGAGAATATAGCTATACACACTATTTTTATTTATTTTTCCGAAAACCACAAATGAAAGTAAAAGCACAGACCCTTTCAACTCATTGTCTCGTTTGAATATAAAGAAAAGAGGGAGGGCCTTGGAAAAATAAATGCCTTTTATATAGCTATACTATATTGAAATTACATGATCTTAACGAAAGCGTTAGACGACAATTATATATGGCAACAAGTATAGAGATATTACATGTCGTAACAATGAAGACCTGAAATACTCTGTAGCAGAAATTCGTTCTCTTGGTCAATAAAGATGGCAGGGATGAAGACAATTCATATTTTTGAAATGTGATGCACTATCCTGGCTAGGAGATATTAAACAATGGCTTATTTTTTGCATGTCTTTGACAAAAATGTCGCAATTTTAGAAAAGCTTTCAAATGCATTGGATAATTAGCAATAATTAAGTGCAATTAATTGGAATATTAAACTTATTAGCCAAACGGACAATTGTAAGATTTAGAAACGAGGTTGGAACGTAAATGGCTTGAACTATGAATAACTTCATTTTGTGCACCTTTGATCATTTTGCTGTGCATGATAGGAGGTGTTTTGTTTTCAACATCATAATTTTTACTGTTTTTTTTCTGATTTTTTCTCAGTTCCCTCCTTTGGACGAACAGAACGAGGCTTGTCGTTTTCAACATCACTGTGAGTGGGAGCAAACGAGATTTTCATTCCTCTTTGATACGTCGATCAAGCGAACTTGCAATTTCTTATCACAATAGTTGAAAAATACCGCCATTATCCATCGTCAAATCTTTAGGATTCATTTCAGCATCGATTCTATTCTTTAATGCATGCAATTTCAAGTGAGTTTCGTGTTTAGACTTTTTCGATGACAGAAAGTCGATTTCGGACTGAGTTAACTCTGTTCTTTATTGACGCTCGACACATTGAGTATTTGAGAGTTTTTTTTGGACGAATCCGCGATCTGAAAGAATTTTCGTCTTCCAGTATGCGCACTAGTTGGCATTTACGTTTCAGTGGATCCAGTTTTTGATGAAAAATGCCGCCATTCGTGCAGAATGCTTTCAGTGCTTTAAGGTTTTTTACTTTCTCTTTTATCTTTTACCAGGTGATCCAGTTTAGATGACAAATTCCTCGATCCTTGCACGATTTCAACTACTAAGCGCCTGCTGTAAAATTTTTGAGACGCATCAAGTTTAGGTGATTATCTTGAGCGGCAATAATTCCTCGTCGTTGGAAACGACCAGCTGAACCACGTTTAAACTGTGCGTTTGAACTGCGCGTACAAGAAGCAAAACAGACCACCATCACCAATTTTACTTTCAAAGCAACTTTCTAATCGTTTTTGCTCACTTTTATATATATAAACGCATTGTAAAGTCGGAACCCATTTCTAGCCTCATCAATCGTACCGATTTTTTTATGAGTCGTTCTTGAAGTGTTTATATATCTGCAAAAAATGTCTGCATGTATAATGATGTAATGCAACAGATGATTTCCCCCATTGTTCATGGCGTCATTTTAAAAAAGAAAATGAAACTGCGAATGCTAATTCTTGGAGTTCCAATGTCATTTCCGGGTAAAATACCTTTCTCTTTATATGCGTCTAAAATTCTCTTAGAAGTTGCATCTCTATTCAGAATTCGAAATCTACTATTGGTAGCAACCAGGTAGGAAAGGAATGTCCTCCATAGTGATAGTACAATCCAATACAGAAGATTTATAGAGATCTTTCTGTGTTTCCCATTTTTGGGAATTCCCCTGTTTTGTTGATAAAAAATACTCAAATTCTAAAGTGATTATCGCAACTTATACTTATGATAAAAAGGTCTGAATGCTTAAACTGATGATGAATAACAGTATATAAAACTGGGAACTTTATATTGGTATAACTTAGAAGAGAAGAATTCGCTTTTGTTATTGGATGATAAAGATTGAGACATGGGTACCATCCTGAATAAGCCGAATTGCGACAGTGATAAGTACAAAGTTATATCAAAATTGGGTGAAGGCGCTTTTGGTGAAGTGTTTTTGGTGAAGAGCAGCGAAAATAGAAAGAATTATGCTTTGAAGAAGATAAAATGTGAAACAAATGATGATCTTGAAAATGTGACGGAAGAGTTAAATGCGCTTAATCGACTGGAACATCCAAACATTGTGAAAATAGTAGAGACAGTTTGTAAGCAGCGAGACGATTTCTTGGCAGATATCTACATCATTCTTGAGTACTGTTCTAAAGGAACTTTAACTCAAAGATTGTCAAAACCGTACAATGAAGCCAAACAAATTAAATGGTTGAAACAACTGTCTGAGGCCGTTGCATACATTCATGCCTTAAGTCTAGTGCATCGTGATTTGAAACCAGATAATATTCTGTTCAGTGCTAACGATAATGTTAAAGTGGGGGACTTTGGCCTTGCACGAGATTTTGTTTCCGCAAAACGCGAAGATGAAACATGGTTGAATTACTATATGAACAGTTTTTGTGGTACGATATTCTACATGGCTCCAGAGGTATTCGATGGTCATTACAACGAAAAGGCAGACGTATTTGCTTTAGGTTTGTTGATGTACGTCATAGCTGAACGAATATACAATTACATCGAAGGCAAACTTTGTTATGGTTTGTTTCTCAGACTTGACGATGGAACATGGACTCCTCTGGGTTTGCAAATGTATATTGATAAAAAAGGACTTCATGATCAATTTTCCTTTAAAAAATGCTCTTCGCGTGTTGCTCGAATCATCGAGTCAGCACTTGTTTATAATCAAAATGACCGCAGTGATGCAGCATCTCTTCATGGAAAAATGAAAGATATTCAGTGGATTTGAAAACCTCATCAGCCAATAAATAGTACCACAAAAAAAAGATGTCCAACAAAAAAAACGATAATCACTCAGCTTTAATTGCTGGGATATTGAAATTGATTAAAACTGACCTCATAAAATAGTAACTGCCTGGATATAGCTCATTGATTATTGTATTGAAGATTGGAATGCAACACAAGAGTTAGTCAACGATCTTCAAGGATGTAATTTTACGGGAAGATACGCATGCACTAATAGCTATATATTATGATTTTTTAACGAATATACCTATACTATAATACAGTTGAACGTAATTTGCCGCTATTAAATATATGTAAGGCCCGTTTTAAACGTCGTATTTCACACGAACTGTATGCATTCAAAATAAAATATATTGAGAAATTTCATCTCATTATCATTTATTTTTAACGCATTCAGCACAGGTAAAGTTCGACGTCTCAAACGGGTCCAAGACGTAATAAGCATTTCCAACCATTCTAATGCTTGTCTTTTTTACTTAAATGACAAGATAATAGTGTCTAAAAAGCGACTATAAAGTCGCTTTTTTCACATCGCCAGTATAATGTTTTGCGCTAAGATTTCCAAAAAATTCAGTATTCCTTGAAACATCTTTTTAAACGAAACCATTAATTCTTGTTTTTAGAGGGCAAGCCCCCACAACCATTTCAGGAATTATCCCCTTAGTAAGGATTACCGACTTGTTTGGCTTTATATGTTCAGTGATTGCTATGACGTATTTACGTTAAATTACTTATCCAAATGGTGTAAATGTTTCATGTAAAAAGAATATCTCATACTTTCACATTTTTATATAATTTTTTTTGTATTTAAGGCTTGTTTTAAACGTCAAACTTTAGATGCACCGAGCTTAAAAACAAAAAAAAATGTGATGAACACCTCATTATCTTTTTGTTGTAAAAGTGTTCGGCTCATGCAAAGTTCCACATTCGAAACGAGCCAAAGTTCACTTGAGTTGGAAGAAACCAGATCGTCATCTAAAATTCGTTTATCAAACGAGTCTGCAAAAGAAATTTTTCAATCCTTTGAGTTTACTTTCAAATTTTATTATGAGCACATAGTCGGAAACCATTTCAATGCCATAGCTTTTTCAAGATCTGTCGCTTTTTTGTGATCTTTGTTCGATCAGTTGCACAGATTTAATCTCAAGTGGCTCTTGAGATGTTTTAAGAGCTATGAAAGTTGTCTGTAATTAATGACATAATTCAAGAGATAGTCTTCTCTTTGTTTATGGCGTTCTTTTGTAAACGAAATTGAAAGTGCGAATGCTGATTCTTGGAGTTTCAATATCATTTCATTGGAAAAGATTCTTATTCTTGTATATGTGCATTTATAGAAAACATACTGTCCAAGCTACTATTGGAAGTTGCAGTTTTATTTAGTATCTGTAATTGGCATTAAGCAATGACTTGTAGTGCTGGTAAAGAATGAATCCCAAAAACTTCTCTGTATATCTTCATTTTCTTTTTCTTAGGTATTTCCCCGTTGTGTTTATGACAATGCCTCAATTAAAAAGTTATTATTAAAACTCACATTCATTATGACATAAAAGCTTGAATGCTTAGACTGATGATCAAGAACTCTTCTTTTAACAGGAGACATTGTGATGTTACACCATAAAGAAGAAATCGCTTTTGTGTTTGGACGATAAAGATTAAGATTGCAACTCTGTGATTATGTCAAAATACGACTGGGACAAATACAAGTTTGAATCAAACTTGGGCGAAGGTGCTTTTGGTGAAGTATTTTTGGTAAACAGTTGTGAAGACGGCAAGAATTATGCTTTGAAAAAGTTAAAATGCAGAACGAACGATGATCTTCATAATGTGATGGAAGAATTGAAAGCGATGAGTCGACTGGAACATCCAAACATTGTGAAAATAGTAGAGACAGTTTGTAAGCAGCAAGGCGATTTCTTGGCAGATATCTACATCATTCTTCAGTACTGTCCTCGAGGAACTTTAACTCAAAGATTGTCAAAACAGTACAATGAAGCCAAACAACTTAAATGGTTGAAACAACTGTCTGAAGCCGTTGCGTACATTCATGCTTTAAGTCTAGTGCATCGTGATTTGAAACCAGATAATATTCTGTTCAACGCTAACGATAATGTTAAAGTGGGGGACTTTGGCCTTGCACGAGATTTTGTTTCCGCAAAACGCGAAAATGAAACATGGTTGAATTACTATATGAACAGTTTTTATGGTACGATATTCTACATGGCTCCAGAGGTATTTGATGGTCATTACAACGAAAAGGCAGACGTATTTGCTTTAGGTTTGCTAATGTATATCATAGTTGAAGCAAAGTACCTTAACATCAATGGAAAATGTTGTTATGGTTTGTTTATCAGCCTTAAAGATGGCACATGGGCTCCTCTGGGTTTGCAAATGTATCATGATAAAAAAGGACTTCAATTTACCTTTGAAAAATGCTCTCGGCGTATTGCTCAAATAATCGGGTCTGCTCTTATCTATAATCAAAATGACCGCAGTGATGCAGCATCTATTCATGGAAAGTTAAAGGATATTCAGCGGATGTGAAAACAGCAAATTAATATTTCGTATTATCTATCAAGAAAATAGATTTGTGGCGAAAAGAAAAACAATGAGATTCAGTTGAATCACTGTGCAATAATTGCGAGTATATTGACAATGATAAAAACAGACCTGTTTAAAACAATAAATGCATGATATAGTTAGCTGATTATTGTATTTAACCTGCACAATAGTGAATCTAAACAATTAGATCCTTATGATGTAAGGATCTAGTTTAACGAGAATATAGCTATACACTATTTTTATATCTTTTTCTGAAAACCACAAATGAAAGTAAAAGCACGAAACGTTTCCACTTATTGTCTCATTTGAATATAAACAGAAGAGGGAGGGCCTTGGAAGAGAAATATCTGTCTTATACACTGTTTTGAAATTATATTATCTTGCGGGAAGCGATAGACGACATTTATATTAACAACAAGTACAAGCAAATAAAGGAATGGGTTCTCATTACTTATGTGAAGTAAGTTATACTAGAAGTGAGAAGCTTGGGGAAGGTGGATTTGGAACAGTTTATAAAGCCGTGAACGACAACAGGAAATCCAAAATCTACGCCGTTAAGGATATTATATGTCGTAAAAATGAAGATCTACAATACGCTGTTGCTGAAATTCGTGCTCTAGGTCAATTAGTTCACTCTAATATCATTAAACTGTACAATGCAAAAATAAGTCAGACAGCTCCGTTTCAAGCAAAGTTAAGTCTTCTACTGGAGTATGCTGGCGGTGGGAATTTAAATGATCGATTGAATAGAAGAAGCTCTGTGAAAAAAAGGTTGACTTGGATGAAGAAGATTATCGAAGCCGTGGAATTCTTACACGATAACAACATAATGCATCGTGATTTGAAGCCACAGAACATACTTTTAACTTCAAGGGATGCGATTAAACTTGCCGATTTTGGTCTCGCTAAACATTTTGCAAACAGAGACGAGAATCAGAATTGGTGTGAGTATTACCTTAAATTTGGTGTAGGACAGTGTTCCTATGTTGCCCCTGAAGTATACAATGAACGATATACGTACAAAGTCGATATCTTCGCAGTCGGTGTACTCTTTCATGTTCTGTTAGAGAGAAAATATCGATATGTAGACGGGAAAAAACAATATGGCGTCTTCATTGATAGCCAACCGCTTGGTTTGGAAATGCATAAACAACAACATGACCTTGAAGTCGAGTTCTCTGACACAAGATTTCCGCTTTTAATAAAGCTGATCAAAAAGACGCTTGCTTTTGATTATAACAAGCGACCTACGGCCAGCGAAGTGAAAGAATACTTTCAACAAAATTCATTTAGTTTTTTTGCTTTATTTTGTTACTTAGTTGTGTGTTTTTGGGGGCACTCTTTGCACCACAAGACTGCAATTATTTGCTACAATGGTATATCTTTGCACCGCTTCATTCACAATCACCGCATACGGCACCATTTTATGTAAACGAAACATAGCATTGTTGAGTCTCAGTTCACTTTTGCACTTCATTCAAAATAGTCAACAACTGTAAAAGCACAAATTCCCATGACAGTTGACCCCTCTTAGTTCGTATCCGTATTTAGAGTGGAATTTGTAAGTAGAATTGCAGAAACAGTCAACTAGAATGTATACATTTGATAAAAGAGAAAAAAATATGTTTTCTACTTTTGTTGAGTTGATATTATTATTTCTCTTCTTGTGGAGAACCGTGTTGTGCATGAGAGACAATCGGTAATAGCTAGAAAGTAAATTATCGAAAATAATGTTTACCAAGAAATCGATCAGCTCAGATGAATTCCAAATTTAAAATATTTGAATAACTTTATTTAGCTGTAAGTGATATAGCTGGCGGCACTAAATAGGCAGGTAATGGAAAACATACAGAAAACCCAACATTTCGTTTGCTGTAGACGATAAGATCGGTTCAGGAGCATTTGGTGTAGTATTGAAATCTTCAGAAAATTAGCAATCAGGATGAGAAGCGGACGAACACTTGCGGTAAAATATGTAAAATGTTATACAAAGAAAAACTTAAACGACGTAATTTGTGAGATATCAGCTTTAGGGATTTTGAGTCACGAACATTTTATAAAACTATTTGAATTTGGTGAAAGTCAGTATTAAAATGGAAGTTGAGTTCTCGCATGGAGGAACTCAACTTCCATTTGAAATGAACAAAGTCCACTAAATCGAAACCTTTGTTGTACGCACAACCTTATATCTCCGGTGCATATGAACTACGTATACTTACATGGCAAAGGGATCGCACATCAGGATCTAAAACCGAACAATATATTTCTAACTGATAACGATGTGTTGAAACAAGAATTAGGCTACGATGTAAGGATCTAATTCAACAAGAACACGCAATAACGAAAGCAAAAGTACGAGCCTTTCGACCCAAATTGGCTCATTTATGGATAGATAAACATAAAAGGAAGAGCCTTCAAAAAAAGGAATCTCTTACATATATTCACTGTCTTCAGTGTCTTGTAATAACATTATCTGGTGGAAAGCGATAGACGACATTTATATAGACAACAACTACAAGCAAAAAGAAGCAGTAGATTTTCATTATTTAAGTAAATTAAGTTTCGCTCAAACTGAGAAGCTTAGCGAAGGTGGTTGGCGGCACTCTTTCAACTGCAAGATAGCAATTACTTGTTGAAGAGCATTGCATCATTTCTCTAAATGCATTGGTAAACGTTCAAATGGTCCAGTCATTTTCAGACCAATATCAAAAAAATGTTCTTGATGTATTAAATTAATTACTTATATACATCATATCATCCAGATCCACGTAAAACTTGTAAAATTATAATGGTGTATCTTCACACGCATCATCCTAAAGTAAACGCACAATTATACAACACCATTTTATGTCAACGCAACACTGCCTTTTTAATCTCAGTTCACCGTAGCACATCAGTAAAAAATAGTTTACCACCGAACACAGCAACTTTACATGATCCCTCTTAGTTCGTATAGGTATTGAGTAAAATTTGTAAATAGAAGCTTAGATTTAATATAAAAAAAAATTTTATGCTTTTGTTGTGTTGAAATTATTTGCTTTGTTGTGTAGAACCCTGTTGTGCAAATTGTATGAGAGAAAAAAATGTTTACGAAGAAAAAGTTCATGAGTTCAGATGAATTTGAAAGTGAAAATGTTTTAATAGTTTTATTTACCTTTAAATGATGGCCAGCAAATCTGCAAGAGAATCTGTAGGAAATGTCGAAGTATATAGAAAACCCAGTATATCATTTGCCATAGGGGAAAAGATCGGTTCAGGGGCATTTGGTGAAGTATTCAAAGCTTCAGAAAATGAGAAATTTAGAAAAGGTGGAAGAACACTTGCGGTAAAATACATAAAATGTCGTGCAAACAAAGATTTAAACGACGTAATTGGTGAGATATCAGCTTTAGTGATTTTGAAGCACGAGCATATTGTTAAACTATTTGACTTTGGTGTAAGTCAATACTGGCAAATGGAAGTTGAGTTCTCACTTATAATGGAATATTGCTCACTTGGTAATCTTGCACAACACCTGGACGAACAAAGTCCACTAAACCGAAAACTTTGTTGGATACGTAACCTTATATCTGCGGTGGTCTACTTGCACAGAGAAGGGATTGTACATCAGGACCTGAAACCAGACAATATATTGGTAACGAAGAACGATGTGTTGAAAGTGGGTGATTTTGGTCTCGCGCGACGTTTTGCACATCGTCGTGAAGGTAAGAAATTTCACGTATAAAGTCATTGGGAAAGGATTCAAAAAGTCAATATTTAACAGAACTTCTTGTTTGGAGGAGGGAAGTGGTCTAAACGGCTAAATTACTGTTTAAATATTAGTGAGGCATATAAGGTGCCGTCAGCAGTATTTCGACATTTGCTTTGTAAGAACAAATATCTTCCTCTTTCGCTTTTGAACAATAATGTTTTTCTTGGGAAAAATAGACTCGGCTAGTTTGCTTTCTGGTTTTTATTTTACAGAAGATCTAATCAAATTCCTGTTGTTCCTATGTTCCTCAAACCTTGATTTTGAGGAATTAAAGTGTTTGTCATCCCTCTGTTTTTCAACCCTTCATTTTGTGGAATTAAAAAGTTCTTGTAGAAAAAAGAAAATTCACAATTACAAGATCAATCTAACCTCAAATCGAAAGCCTTTTAAATAGTCGTATAGGCTATCACCCTTTTGTTTGATTTTCCCGCGAAGACTATTAGAAAAATCATTATAATTTTACTATCTATACTCTGTTCTGTCGGCAACACTATATCCCTGTTTTTTTTTTCAGATCAATCCTGGAAAAATTACTACCTTTCAGAAGGTTGTGGTCAGCGCTTTTATGTCGCTCCTGAAATGCTCAAGGATCATCATACAAATAAAGTGGACATATTCTCGTTAGGGATTATCTTTCATGCAATTATCGAAAGAAAATTGATCAAATTACAAGATCAAAAATACTATGGTGTTTTTGTAGGAAAAGACAAACCACTTGGGATCGAAATGTATGATAAACAGGATAATGTAAGGATTCCATTCGAAGGCAGGAGGCGAAAACTGATCGAGAAAATGCTTCTTTACGATGCAAAGAAAAGACCCACAGCTGAAGAAGTTCAAAATATCATCGAATCAAGATGGCAGAGATGGAGACAGCTGATATTTTAAACGGGCGTCCGTCTACCTTAATAAACCCATGGATTCAAGAAATGGTAAAAACACGCGTGTTTTTCATTTAAAAAAAATATGGCCATTCAAGAAAAAGTGCAATGTCTGAAGAACAAACTAAAAGTATTAATTGCATGCAAGTTACAATGATGTACTAGAACTTTGAACATTTAACATCGATTATAAAAGTACAATATGAAGTATAGATATATGCATCGTATATGTACCTGTGTGTGCACATTTCAATGTACATTAATTTCAATAATATACATGGTGTATGTCAAATACTGTGTTTCGTTGTTTTATGATCGCTCTTTTGATTGGAAGATAAAATGGCATTGATACGTCCGCCAGTAGAAATCCTATGAAAACCTTGATACAAGCTCAAAAGTTGGTGATGAATTAAATGAGCACATTGACTTAAGAATGAATACGCAGTATTATAAATGTAAACAAAACTTTCGTGCAACAGAACAGAAAGAGACTTTAACAACAGAAGTAGGTTGATTATAACATCCTATTCATCACAAGGTTTCTTGGATAGAAACGTCTGCCAGTCTTGCCCTATTTCGGCATGTGCCTTTAAAGACTATGCCTGCTTTTCGAACGAATATCGTAAGGGGCTACGAGCTGGGAGCATTTTCATTTCACCTTCAATCATTTTACCTGTATGCTTGTTAAACATAAAACAGCCAACATTCACACGATTTCTGCCAGTAATGTTAGCAATAAATAAGAGAAAGCGTCCACCACTGATGCTCTCCAAGTGTCTCCATATTGTAGACTTATCTCCAGAGCTGGGAAATGCCAAAGCAAGTCTATGGTTTGAATGCCATTCACCAATATTACAAATACCTTCTTTCTCAATGAGATATTCTCCAGCAATTTGCAAATATGCTACATCTTGATGAAAGGATGTCGGGGTACGTCGACAATCCTTTCCAGGACCCAACACAAATTGCACAACTGCAGTAGACTTGTTATTTTCTACAGTCCAAGTACCAAACAAATCACCTCCAGTTTCTATATTATCTTTCTGAAGTACCAACCATTGTAGATACTCCAGTTCTTCTGTGTACATAAACACGGTAAATCTTCCTTTTGCTTCCATTATAATAACTCGCAATAAACGTCTGGCAACTGAACTGGAGTAAATCTTCAGTTTACAACACAGGAAAGAAAGTTTGCAAAAGTTTTTTTTGTAGAATGAAATCGAAAACAGCAATATTTACGTTTGGTTTCCTGGAAAAACTTTTCAAATACTTATGAAAGCCGTTCTTAGTAATCGTTTGATAAAATTGATGAGTTAAATTATTCGTATACACTTTCGACATCATATTGAATTCAGTTTCGATTTATGAAAGCCGTTCTTGGAATTCGTTTGATAAAATTGATGAGTTAGATTATTCGTATACAGTCTATATATCATATTAAATTCTTTCACTTTCATCAAGTTTCATCCAAATCTCCGGTCTTTGAGTTGTTGCTTTCTACTGCCTAATTCATGCACACAGCAGGATTTCAAATCAAACAAAGTATGATAAATAATCGCTATAATTTTGTGCCATCAAAGATGGACAGGTTTTAAAACGAAAAAATATTCAATGAGGCATTTGGTCTGTGCCAAAGAGAATATACAGTCATTTTACAACTTTTGTCCCTTGGACAAGGTATATTTAAACAAGATTTACATTCTACTGCATGAGATGAAGTACGAATGCAAACGAAGTCTTGACCTGAAAACTTTAGACGCATATCTTATATAGTGCAAAAAAAAGATTGCACAGCTAAAGAAGATTTAAGTTTGGTATAACTTCAAATAAAGATGGCGGAGATGAAGACAGTTAATATTTTTGAAAAGTGCTACACGAAAGTGGTCGGGTAGACAATACAAAATTGCTAATTTTTTGCGTGTCTTTGATAAAAATATCACCATTTGAACAAGCCCTCGTATACATAGGTTTATTAACGTTAATTAATGCATATAGACTATTATACTTATCGACAGAAGTAACAATTTTAAGATTAAAAACGAGGTTGAAACGTAGATTAATAAAAGTACCATGTGAACTATGAATAAGTTCATTTTGTGCATCTTTTATTATTTCGCTGTGTACGATAATATCTCGAGTAGTTTCAGACGTTGTTGTCTGTTACCTTACGATCACTTTTTTGATTCAAAGATCTAATGCAAGTCGCGAATTGGCAGATAATCCAACATGCAACATGATGACTATAACGAAAACCTTCACTCATGCGTGAACATAGGTGCTGAAGACAAAGACAACCTTGACACGAACATAAAATGTTGTGAACACAACGAAAACATTCACACGAGAAAAAGGCATCTTCCAAATCTTCTTCGGCTCGACCAACATATGTTTTGTTTTCAACTTCATAATCTTTGCTGCTTTTTTTTGATTTTTCGTTACGTTCCTCCATTAGACAGACAGAAGTTAGCGTGTCGTTTTTATCATCATTTTGTTTAATTTCACGAGATTTTTGCCAATCTTGATCCTTCTCGGCAAACGTAGCTTTGCGACCAAAACATCGCGAAAAGGACAAAATTAACTTTCTGCAAATGTTGCTACAACACCCATCATCAGGGTTCATGTGTAGAAATGTTTGCCAATCTTGTCCCATCTCAGCAAGAGCTTTTGTCGAATTTGGTCGCGTTTCAAACGAGTATCGTAAAGGGCTGCAGGCAGGGAGGAATTCCATTAAAACTTGATTCATTTTACCTGTTTGCTTGTTAAACATGAAACAGCCAACATTCACACGATTTCTACCTTCAATGTTAGCAATGAATAAGAGAAAGCGTCCACCACTGATGTTCTTCAAGTGTCTCCATATTGTAGAATTATCTCCAGAGCTTGGTACTGCTAAAGCAAGTCTATGGTGTGAATGCCATTCACCAATATTACAAATACCCTCTTTCTCAGTGAGATATTCTTCAGCACTTTTCAAATGTGCTACATCTTGATGGAAGGATGTTTTTGTACGTCGATAGTCATTTCCAGGCCCCAACACAAATTGCACGACTGCAGTAGAATTGTTCGTCCAAGCACCGAACAGATCACCTCCGGTCTCGATATCGTCTTTCTGAAGTACCAACCATTTTAGATACTCAAGTTCTTCCGTGTACATAAATGCGGTAAATGTTTCTTTTTCTTCAACGTATTCTTCAGGGTTTTTAACAAATCTTTTGTTTGCTCTTATCCAAATGGTGTAAATGTTTCATGTAAAAAGAATATCTCATACTTTCACATTTTTACATAACTTTTTCTGTATTTAAGGCTTGTTTTAAACGTCAAACTTTAGATGCACCAAACTTAAAAACAAAAAAAATGTGATGAACACCTCATTATCTTTTTGCTGTAAAAGTGTTCGGCTCATGCAAAGTTCCACATTCGAAACGAGCCAAAGTTTACTTGAGTTGGAGCAAACCAGATCGTCATCTAAAATTCGTTTATCAAACGAGTATACAAAAGAAATTTTTTAATCCTTTGAGTTTACTTTCGAATTTTATTATGAGCACATAGTCGGAAACCATTTCAATGGCATAGCTTTATCAAGATTAGTCGTTTCTTGTTATTTTTGTTCGATCAGAAGCACAGATTCAATCTCAAGTGGCTCTTGAGATGCTTTAAGAGCTATGAAAGTTGTCTGTAATTAATGACATAATTCAAGAGATAGTCTTCTCTTTGTTTATGGCGTTCTTTTGTAAACGAAATTGAAAGTGCGAATGCTGATTCTTGGAGTTTCAATATCATTTCATTGGAAAAGATTCTTCTTCTTGTATATGTGCATTTATAGAAAACTTACTGTCCAAGCTACTATTGGAAGTTGCAGCTTTATTAAGTATCTGTAACTGGCATTAAGCAATGAATTGTAGTGCTAGTAAAGAATGAATCCCAATAACTTCTCTGTATATCTTCATTTTCTTTTTCTTAGGTATTTCTCCGTTGTGTTTATGACAATGCCTCAATTAAAAAGTTATTATTAAAACTCACATTCATTATGAAATAAAAGCTTGAATGCTTAGACTGATGATAAAGAACTCTACATTTAACAGGAGACATTGTGATGTTACATAAAGAAGAAATCGCTTTTGTGTTTGGACGATAAAGATTAAGATTGCAACTCTGTGATTATGTCAAAATATGACTGCGACAAATACAAGTTTATATCAAACTTGGGCGAAGGTGCTTTTGGTGAAGTATTTTTGGTAAACAGTTGTGAAGACAGAAAGAATTATGCTTTGAAAAAGTTAAAATGTAGAACGAACGATGTTCTTCATAATGTGATGGAAGAATTGTAAGTGATTAGTCGACTGGATCATCAAAACATTGTGAAAATAGTAGAGACAGTTTGTAAGCAGCGAGACGATTTCTTGGCAGATATCTACATCATTCTTGAGTACTGTTCTCATGGAACTTTGACACAAAGACTATCAAAACCGTACAACGAAGCCAAACAACTTAAATGGTTGAAACAACTGTCTGAGGCCGTTGCGTACATTCATGCCTTAAGTCTAGTGCATCGTGATTTGAAACCAGATAATATTCTGTTCAACGCTAACGATAATGTTAAAGTGGGGGACTTTGGCCTCGCACGAGATTTTGTTTCTGCAAAACGCGAAGATGAAACATGGTTGAATTACTATATGAACAGTTTTTGTGGTAAGATATTCTATATGGCTCCAGAGGTATTCGATGGTCATTACAACGAAAAGGCAGACGTATTTGCTTTAGGTTTGTTGATGTATATCTTAGTTGAAGCAAAGTACCTTAACATCAATGGAAAATGTTGTTATGGTTTGTTTATCAGCCTAAAAGATGGCACATGGGCTCCTCTGGTTTGCAAATGTATCATGATAAAAAAGGACTTCAATTTACCTTTGAAAAATGCTCTCGACGTATTGCTCAAATAATAGGGTCTGCTCTTATCTATAATCAAAATAACCGCAGTGATGCAGCATCTATTCATGGAAAGTTGAAGGATATTCAGCGGATGTGATGAAAACAGCAAATTAATATTTGGTATTATCTATCAAGAAAATAGATTTGTGGCGAAAAGAAAAACAATGAGATTCAGTTGAATCACTGGGCAATAATTGCGAGTATATTGACAATGATAAAAACAGACCTGTTTAAAACAATAAATGCATGATATAGTTAGCTGATTATTGTATTTAGCCTGCACAATAGTGAATCTAGACAGTTAGATCCTTATGATGTAAGGATCTAGTTTAACGAGAATATAGCTATACATTATTTTTATATATTTTTCTGAAAACCACAAATGAAAGCAAAAGCACGAAACGTTTCGACTTATTGTCTCATTTGAATATAAACAAAAGCGGGAGGGCCTTGGAAAAGAAATATCTGTCTTATACACTGTTTTGAAATTATATTATCTTGCGGGAAGCGATAGACGACATTTATATTAACAACAAGTACAAGCAAATAAAGCAATGGGTTCTCATTACTTATGTGAAGTAAGTTATACTAGAAGTGAGAAGCTTGGGGAAGGTGGATTTGGAACAGTTTATAAAGCCGTGAACGACAACAGGAAATCCAAAATCTACGCCGTTAAGGATATTATATGTCGTAAAAATGAAGATCTACAATACGCTGTTGCTGAAATTCGTGCTCTAGGTCAATTAGCTCACTCTAATATCATTAAACTGTACAATGCAAAAATAAGTCAGACAGCTCCGTTTCAAGCAAAGTTAAGTCTTCTACTGGAGTATGCTGGCGGTGGGAATTTAAATGATCGATTGAATAGAAGAAGCTCTGTGAAAAAAAGGTTGACTTGGATGAAGAAGATTATCGAAGCCGTAGAATTCTTACACGATAACAACATAATGCATCGTGATTTGAAGCCACAGAACTTACTTTTAACTTCAAGGGATGCGATTAAACTTGCCGATTTTGGTCTCGCTCAACATTTTGCAAACAGAGACGAGAATGAGAATTGGTGTGAGTATTACCTTAAATTTGGTGTAGGACAGTGTTCCTATGTTGCCCCTGAAGTATACAATGAACGATATACGTACAAAGTCGATATCTTCGCAGTCGGTGTACTCTTTCATGTTCTGTTAGAGAGAAAATATCGATATGTAGACGGGAAAAAACAATATGGCGTCGTCATTGATAGCCAACCGCTTGGTTTGGAAATGCATAAACAACAACATGACCTTGAAGTCGAGTTCTCTGACACAAGATTTCCGCTTTTAATAAAGCTGATCAAAAAGACGCTTGCTTTTGATTATAACAAGCGACCTACGGCCAGCGAAGTGAAAGAATACTTTCAACAAAATTCATTTAGTTTTTTGCTTTATTTTGTTACTTAGTTGTGTGTTTTTGGGGGCACTCTTTGCACCACAAGACTGCAATTATTTGCTACAATGGTATATCTTTGCACCGCTTCATTCACAATCACCGCATACTGCACCATTTTATGTAAACGAAGCATAGCATTGTTGAGTCTCAGTTCACTTTTGCACTTCATTCAAAATAGTCAACAACTGTAAAAGCACAAATTCCCATGACAGTTGACCCCTCTTAGTTCGTATCCGTATTTAGAGTGGAATTTGTAAGTAGAATTGCAGAAACAGTCAACTAGAATGTATACATTTGATAAAAGAGAAAAAATATGTTTTCTACTTTTGTTGAGTTGATATTATTATTTCTCTTCTTGTGAAGAACCGTGTTGTGCATGAGAGACAATCGGTAATAGCTAGAAAGTAAATTATCGAGAAAAATGTTTACCAAGAAATAGATCAGCTCAGATTAATTCCAAATTTAAAATATTTGAATAACTTTATTTAGCTGTAAGTGATATAGCTGGCGGCACTCAATAGGCAGGTTATGGAAAACATACAGAAAACTCAACATTTCGTTTGCTGTAGACGATAAGATCGGTTCAGGAGCATTTGGTGTAGTATTGAAAGATTCAGAAAATGAGCAATCAGGATGAGAAGCGAACGAACACTTGCGGTAAAATATGTAAAATGTCATACAAACAAAGACTTAAACGACGTAATTTGTGAGCTATCAACTTTCGAGCTTTCACGAACATTTTATAAAACTATTTGAATTTGGTGAAAGTCAGTATTGGCAAATGGAAGTTGAGTTCTCGCATGGTAATCTTGGGCTACATCTAAATGAACAAAGTCCACTAAATTGAAACCTTTGTTGTACGTACAACCTTATATCTCCGGTGCATATGATCTACTTATACTTACATGGCAAAGGGATCGTAAATCAGGATCTAAAACCGAACAATATATTGGTAACTGATAATGTTGTGTTGAAACAAGATTTAGGCTACGATGTAAGAATCTAATTCAACAAGAATACGCAATAACGAAAAAAAAGTACGAGCCTTTCGACCCAAATTGGCTCATTTATGGATAGATAAACAGAAATGGAAGAGCCTTCAAAAAAGGAATCTCTTACATATATTCAGTGTCTTCAGTGTTTTGTAGTAACATTATCTGGTGGAAAGCGATAGATGACATTTATTTAGACAACAACTACAAGCAAAAAGAAGCAATGGATTCTCATTATTTAAGTGAAGTAAGTTTCGCTCGAAGTGAGAAGCTTTGCGAAGGTGGTTGCGGCACTCTGTCAACTGCAAGATAGCAATTATTTGTAGACAACAACTACAAGCTAAATGCATTGGTAAACGTTCAAATGGTCCAGTCATTTTCAGACCAATATCACAAAAATGTTCTTGATGTATTAAATTAATTACTTATATACATCATATCATCCAGATCCACGTAAAACTTGTAAATATTATAATGGTGTATCTTAACACGCATCATCCTAAAGTAAACGCACAATTATACAACACCATTTTATGTCAACGCAACACTGCCTTTTTAATCTCAGTTCACCGTAGCACACCAGTAAAAATAGTTTACCACCGAACACAGCAACTTTACATGATCCCTCTTAGTTTGTATAGGTATTGAGTAAAATTTGTAAATAGAAGCTTAGATTTAATATAAAAATAAATTTTATGCTTTTGTTGTGTTGAAATTATTTGCTTTGTTGTGTAGAACCCTGTTGTGCAAATTGTATGAGAGAAAAAAATGTTTACGAAGAAAAAGTTCATGAGTTCAGATGAATTTGAAAGTGAAAATGTTTTAATAGTTTTATTTACCTTTAAATGATGGCCAGCAAATCTGCAAGAGAATCCGTAGGAAATGTCGAAGTATATAGAAAACCCAGTATATCATTTGCCATAGGGGAAAAGATCGGTTCAGGGGCATTTGGTGAAGTATTCAAAGCTTCAGAAAATGAGAAATTTGGAAAAGGTGGAAGAACACTTGCGGTAAAATATATAAAATGTCGTGCAAACAAAGATTTAAATGACGTAATTGGTGAGATATCAGCTTTAGTGATTTTGAAGCACGAGCATATTGTTAAACTATTTGACTTTGGTGTAAGTCAATACTGGCAAATGGAAGTTGAGTTCTCACTTATTATGGAATATTGCTCCCTTGGTAATCTTGCACAACACCTGGACGAACAAAGTCCACTAAACCGAAAACTTTGTTGGATACGTAACCTTATATCTGCGGTGGTCTACTTGCACAGCAAAGGAATTGTACATCAGGACCTGAAACCAGACAATATATTGGTAACGGAGAACGATGTATTGAAAGTGCGTGATTTTGGCCTCGCACGACGTTTTGCACATCGTAGTGAAGGTAAGAAATTTTACGTATAAAGTCATTGGTAAAGGATTCAAAAAGACAATATTCAACAGAACTTCTTGTTCGGAGGAGGGAAGTGGTCTAAACGGCTAAATTACTGTTTAAATATTAGTGAGGCATATAAGGTGCCGTCAGCAGTATTTCGACATTTGCTTTGTAGGAACAATTATTTTCCTCTTTCGCTTTTGAACAATAATGTTTTTCTCGGGGAAAAATAGACTCGGCTAGTTTGCTTCCTGGTTTGTATTTTACAGAAGATCTAATCTGCTTCCTGTTGTTCCTATGTTCCTCAAACCTTGATTTTGAGGAATTAAAGTGTTTGTCATCCCTCCGTTTTTCAACCCTTCATTTTGTGGAATTAAAAAGTCCTTGTGGAAAAAAGAAAATTCACAATTACAAGATCAATCTAACCTCAAATCGAAAGACCTTTTAAGTAGTCGTATAGGCTATCACCCTTTTGTTTATTATTCCGGCGTAGACTACACGAAAAATCATCATAATTTAACTATCTATACTCTGTTGTTCTGTCGGCAACACTATATCCCTGTTTTTTTTCAGATCAATCCTGGAGAAATTACTACCTCTCAGAAGGTTGTGGTCAGCGCTTTTATGTCGCTCCAGAAATGCTCGAGGATCATTATACAAATAAAGTGGACATATTCTCGTTAGGGATTATTTTTCATGCAATTATCGAAAGAAAATTGATCAAATTACAAGACAAAAAATACTATGGTGTTTTAGTAGGAAAAGACAAACCACTTGGGATTGAAATGTATGATAAACAGGATAATGTAAGGATTCCATTTGAAGGCAGGAGGCGAAAACTGATCGAGAAAATGCTTCTTTACGATGAAAAGAAAAGACCCACGGCTGAAGAAGTTCAAAATATGATCGAATCAAGATGGCAGAGATGGAGACAGCTGATATTTTAAAACGGGCGTCTGTCTGAGCTTAATAAACCCATGTATTTAAGAAATGTTAAAGACACGAGTGTTTTTTATTTGAAAAATATGGCCATTCAAGAAAAAATGCAACGTCTGAAGAACAAATTAAAAGTATTAATTGCATGCAAGTTACAATGATGTACTAGAACTTTGAACATTTAACATCGATTATAAAATTACAACATGACGTATAGATATATGCATCATAAATGTACTTGTGTGTGCACATTTCAATGTACATTAATTTCAATAATATACATGTTGTATGTCAAATACAGTGTTTCGTTGTTTTATGATCGCTCTTTTGATTGGAAGACAAAATGGCATTGATACGTCCGCCAGTAGAAATCCTACGAAAACCTTGATACAAGCTCAAAAATTGGTGATGAATGAAATGAGCGCATTGACTTAAAAATGAATACGTAGTGTTATAAATGTAAAGAAAACTGTCGTGCAACAGAACAGAAAGAGACTTTAACAACAGAAGTAAGTTGATTATAACATCATACGCATTACAAGGTTTTTTGGATAGAAACGTTTGCCAATCTTGTCCCGTCTCGGCATTTGCACCTCTTGACTTTGCCTGCGTTTCAAACGAGTATCGTAAAGGGCTGCAGGCAGGGAGCATTTTCATTTGACCTTGATTCATTTCATGTGTATCCTTGTTAAACATGAAACAGCCAACATTCACACGATTTCTGCCCTCAATGTTAGCGATGAATAAGAGAAAGCGTCCACCACTGATGCTATCCAAGTTTCTCCATATTGTAGACTTATCTCCAGAGCTTGGTACTGCCAAAGCAAGTGTATGGTGTGAATGCCATTCACCAATATTACAAATACCTTCTTTCTCAGTGAGATATTCTCCAGCACTTTTCAAATATGCTACATCTTGATGGAAGGATGTCGGGGTACGTCGAGAACCCTTTCCAGGACCCAACACAAATTGCACAACTGCAGTAGACTTGTTATTTTCTACAGTCCAAGCACCGAACAGATCACCTCCAGTTTCGATATTATCTTTCTGAAGTACCAACCATTTTAGATACTCAAATTCTTCTGTGTACATAAATACGATAAATCTTCCTTTTTCTTCCATTGTATTAACTCGCAATAAACGTCTGGCAACTGAATTTAAGTAAATCTTCACTTTGCAACACAGGAAAGAAAGCTTGCAAAAGTTTCTTTGTAGAATGAAATTGAAAACAGCAATAATTACGTTTGGTTTCCTGGAAAAACTTTTCAAATACTTATGAAAGCCGTTCTTAGTAATCATTTGATAAAATTGATAAGCAAACTATTCGTATACAGTTTCGATATCATATTGAATTCTTTCACTTTCATCAAATTTTATACTTATCTCCGGTCTTTGAATTGTTGCTTTCTTTGCCTAATTCATGCACACAGCAGGATTTCAAATCAATCAAAGAGAAATAATCGCCATAATTTTGTGGCATCAAAGAATGACAGGTTTTAAAACGAAAAAATATTCAATGATGCATTTGGTCTGTGCCAAAGAGAATATGCAGTCACTTTACAACTTTTGTCCATTGGACAAGGTATATTTAAACAAGATTTACATTCTACTGCATGAGATGAAGTACGAATGCAAACGAAATCTTGACCTGAAAACTTTAGACGCATATCTTATATAGTGCAAAAAAAAGATTGCACAGCTAA